CTATGAGCATAGTGTTGTTTGCAATTATGTCATTGCCGCTTATTACATTTGTTTAACGTTTATCAACACCATGTACTAGACTAATGATATAGGTTTCATCCTCATGTATGTAGCAATTAACAATATATTTACCACGAATGAACTGAGGGTGAAAAGTACTTCGGCGACCTTGGTCACCTGTGACCGTCGCGTGCATACAAGTTCCTTTTAATTTATATTTATTGGAGTCCTCATTGAGCAAAATCGCTAGATCATTTACTCTTTTCTATAGACCATGTAAGACAATTTGTTTTTTAAACCATGACATATACTATGTCCTTTATACATATATTAAAAAGCTATTTTCCTATTTAAAATTTACTTTGCATATACCTAGAATACTTGAGTAGAGTACCTAGGTAGAAACCTGTATTTAAAATTTAACAATAAAGTTGTCAATTTCCCCGGCGTTTAGATATTAGTTTATCTACAATATAAATCAGTGAAATTTGTTTACTTTAATAAGTGTAAGGGCTCGATACATATCTATGCCAACTCTATGCCAATTGAAGGGCAGTTCACATTGTCTATTTACTATATTTGGTATACAATTCTGTCGTCTATGGTAATGACTGGCGCGTGCACACAAGATTTCCAAGAATGTATCACAGCAGTATTAAAACGGAAAATCACAATAGATTAAAATCGTATTTGCTTGCAACTCTACACTCTGTCTCGTAATTTAGTATTTTCTTAAAAAGAAAGTTAAATTCGTAGTACACATAGGTTGATATTCGAACAGAAGTGTTTCCAAATATTTATTCTACGAAAAGTAGTATTGTTTAAGACGAGTGATAATCGGTTTTGGCAAATAAAACGTATTTAGACCCCACCTAGAATTTTGTGGTTCAAGGCTTTGAGTCTATTTTATTTCTCTGCAAAAGAGACTTCCTTTGAACAAAAAATTCCTGTTTTCGGAAATGTATGGACTACAATTTCATGTCTATTAAGAGGTACTACAGTACATGGAGAAACCCCTCAATTTAACCAACGATATTTGTAGTTAATGACGATGTAAAGATCAGTGGTCTTGTATTTCATTACGAGCTATAGTACCCAAGCAGAAAGCGATGCAAATGTTAAGTGGCGTCATAACAAGCTGTAAAACGTTGGCCAACTTTTAACTCCTTCACAATTGCCAATGACATAATGTGTCGACCTGATAAATACTGCTGTCAGCTGCTGTCACCTCAACCTGTCTCCTGTTTTATACACTTATACATATTACAGCTGTTAAAATGCTATCACTGCAAATGATACTGTATTAAACTACAATATGGTAGAATAATCCGAAGCAGTGTCAGTGTCAGCTCGAAAAGTGAACTATAATGTGTATTCATACATGCATATACATTCCTGTTCCACATGATTTATATCTTTTGAGAGCGATAGTCTTCTTATGAATAAATCCCACCAATTATCAAGCGGGTCCGCCACCGCTGTTCTGAACAGAGTACGACTTATTTTTTTTAATCAACCACAAAACATGCCTTTGGGCAGAATGTCAGAAGCACTGCATTAAGGTTTTAGATTTCTAAAACCACTTATCTCATTCACTGTCTTTGCGCAATGCTTATGATCGTGATGAATGCTTTCGACTGAAAACAACAGGAAGGCGTGTTTTTGAAAAGATTCCGTAATAGTATATGAACTGCTTAGGTTCAAGACTTTCATTACAGAAATTCTTTACAGTCATTTGAGGAATAAATGACAACAGTAAATAACTCTTATATTGTATAGGAAAGGTTAGTGATAAATTATCATGTATATTTCTCAGCTAAAGGTAAATAGGCTACAGTAGCTACTCACTTCGTACACTTGGTGTAAAATTTATAGTTAATATATCCTCTTCCTTTAGCAAACTAAACATGATTGTGATAAAATTCACGGGTTAATATATCGAACAAAATGATAAAATTGAATGATAAAAATCTGATTTTATTCTTTCCATGCACGTGTCATTCTTTGTATAGTTATGTCATTTTATAGCTATATACATAGGATTCTGGGCCATCATTCATTTTGTTTGCTCTGCATTCATATCTCAGCGCTCATACAATATTTCATTCGGCTATTTATTTGAAATGCCGAACAAAACACTTTCTGACTTTCATCGAAATAGAAACGAGTCTTGTTAGGTGTGGCAATTGGTGAAAGTATTGGTACCTCTATAGTTTGCACTGGTGCAGGTGTATAGAACATTTCCACATTGGAGAATGTTTAGTTTAAAAGCTTTTAAATCACTTGATATGTTAAATCTTTGATACAAGATTTTTATATTTATTGTAAGGTTACTAATTCCTGGATACGTCTTATTCCTAAAATATTCATGCATCAAGCAAGCGTGCAGAGCTTTTAAAACTAAATTTCGTTTCATAAACATATAAAGAGGCACAATGCCGGTCGTTTTTAAAAAAACAGTGGGTTATGATTATTACCGGCAGATAAAAACGGCAAATTTGTCTTGTATTGTCCACTGATATATCAGAATTAAATCCCAAGTCGTAAATCACAAACTGAATGTGATTTATGTCACAGACATTAATCTTTGACTTAAGTTTTTTTAAGTTAAAAAATGTGTCCTATATGTTGAAGTTATAATATACGCCAAATAATAGAAATCTTAATATTAAAAGAGTATTTCCTCAATAACACAAATATACAAATAGAAACATTTACAATTACGGACATACCTATGGAAAACAATCTTTTAACCTCGCCGCGTCGGAAACAATTATCGTTCCGTCCGTGAACTCTTTAAATTCTAATCTTAAGAATCAATTATAGTAAAAAATGCATCGCTATAGCACAATCAAGTGCCACCCAGAATATTTGTGTCTGTTTAATGTACAAAAGCGTAAAAAAGGATAGAAGTTAGAATAAGCATAGAAGTTGCCATAAAAATTCAATATCAATAAGTGACATGTCAAATAAATTGCTAACTTTAATTTATCAAATAGGTTTTAGGTTAGATGGTTCACAAACTGATCGAGAGAACTTAAAGCTATATTTATAGCATCAATCGATCGTCTTGTCCAAGTCCCAACCAGTGACGCGGTTTTACTCTAAAGTGCATGGCGTATGTTCAGGTTGTGAATCGTAATATGATTTATATAGACTTTGTAGGGAGCCATAGCATAACTTTTGAATAAAAAATACAAATGTTATGATGAGCACGTGTATATAGATTCATGGGTGGTCTCTACGAAGACGAGACCGATTTAAATGTGGAATTCCAAGTAGCACGCGTATCATACATGATTTTATTAATTAAACTCAATTGAGTTTTAGTTAGATTTAGCCACTTATAATATGGAAGGCCACGGTATAAAACTTGTTTGTTCGGATAAATAGACCTTTACAGTTGCTAAATATAAGAAACTTCAAACGGATTAGATTTTAGTTGTATCAAATTTCCTTAATGGATGAAGAGAGTGACAAGGTGACATTCTTCTAAAAGAATAGATCAATCACCTATATGGCAGGTCTGCTTTGGTCTGTGTTCTAGTATAATATTTGCATGTTAACGCATTAGGTTAGAGCAATATTTATGACGTCAATTGCAGTGTATACAATGTGTACCATGAAGTTAGTATGAACAGTGCATGTGATGAAATGCCACGCCATATATAACGATAATCGTTTTTCGTTAAGACTAAAAAGTGTGCCCAAGCAATACTAAATTGAAAAGCAGAGCTTATATATATATGTCCCTGGCGTCATGAGCATAAACTACACGCATTGTATCCGGCCATTTTGAATAGAAAACAAATAGGTAAAAAATTACCCTACGTGTCAAAGTAGCAAGTATATGAAATTCTTTTTTCGGTTATCTATATATGGATATTTGTTACAACCGATAGATTACCAGACCTTTTTTACACAAAATAAACTCTTTATATGTGCAAGGATAGAGATTTTATCACGACATTAAACAAGACCAACATAGTCTGCGTGGCCTGACCAGCGTGCAGTGTGTATGTTTTTCATATATATACTCATGTAAGTTAAATTACATGGCTGGTGTTTGTCTTCTGCCAAAAAACCCGAATATATATAGTGACCATATTTATACAGTATGACAAGCATTCTAATAAAAACATCTAAAAATGCGAGCAATGGCAATGCATTTGTTATTGGATATTCTGGCCGTGCATAAAGACAATGAAAGTGCATGACGATGCTATATAATAGCCGTGAAAACATGTATAAACGCCCACCGCTTAATAATTTTCCCTACAGCAATCTAAATTTAATACTGCGTATGTTCCGGTTCGTCACTTGCTAACCTTTAACATTTTAAAACATGGAAAAATACAATAACTAAAACAATATTAACTGAACAATATCATGAAAGAAAGGTAATTGTTGGACACAGTCAAAAAGAGTCTTTTATATGTATTTTTATCGCAAGAATTTTCGAAATAATACTTTGGTATGTGTAAAGAAATTTACTTCTTGAAAATTTATTACGATATTGGTCAGGGTGTTTTTTGAATAACCCAGTAACCTGACCGGATGAACTTTTATATATGTCATCTTTTCATGACTATATAAACTTTGACCAGTTCACAGCAGATTAATATAGAGAAATTAAAGATGTATGCATGTACGATTAAAAAATGTATATATTTTTGTGGTTGCTCGTTATATCTTGTTGTATTTGCAAGGAGAAAACAACACTGACTCTTCAAAGATCATTGTTTGTATGGCAATCATTTAGATTTAGGAAATTCATTTCATCCATAATAATTTACAACATTAGCATACACTTCATCGCAATGCCTTATATACACTAATTACTTGTCTCATATAAAATTCCTTTGATTTTGTAGAGCTCTATACACACATTGATAGGAATTGAAAAAGGTTGATATTTGTGGACGGAAATTCGTATTATTTTCAGGAATAGAAAAAGTATAACTAAGGTAAGAACCAATTCTTGTTGAATGTTGCATGCAATAATCTTCTATATAGCCGTGAAGATATTATGAAAATAAGCCCACTTCGCTTTTCAATTGCTCCTCTAACGTCACTCGCCGGTATATAGGCTGCTGTGGACAGTTAAGGCTGCTTTGCAACTAAGTATTTTTCACACAGAAGTGTTCGTGAAGAGTAAACAGTAAGGTTAACAAAACTAAATGCGTTGTTTCGCAATGGTTTGTGTCGAACAGCGTATACAATTCAGTTATTCCAACCAATGACTGTGGTATCGTTACTATCGCTGTTATAAGTGGGGCGAACGACGCAGCAAGCATAAAGCATGCCAATAAATCATTACCTTGCATGATTGTTTCTGTTTGGTCTTAATTTGAATTTGAAACTGAAATCTATAAGCGCATGCTCCTGGCTTTAAACTTGAAGACGCAGTTGTTATATCACATGCTAACGTGATGCAATAAAGTTGCTGAATGTCTTCATTTTTGTTTTGTTTTTAAATATTGGATTCACAAAATTATTGTAATCTTCGGAATTTGTTCTCTTTGATATTCCCTCGAAATAGTGATTGTGCATGGTGCATGGTTGTCTCTTGTTACCTAGTGTTCGTCGGCAAGTTTCGAATACAAATGTTCAAAGGCACAAGTGCATGGAATGGATATATAAATGAATCAAACTTATACTAAAATGAGTTCGCGGTAATTTTTCACCAGTCGTATATACAAATATCGAAAAATATACACTTCCAGCAGCCCTCATAAACGTGATGTGGTTTGCTTTTGGATAATTGCACGAAAGGTATCAACCAATTGCAAGAACCAGGACGCCGTGGGTGCGAAGGCTAGGTTGGTGTTGAAGTGCTGTGACAAAAGCATTTGCATTATGAAATTCTACCATAATCCTATATACTCTTAAAATGATGGTATCGTTTACTGACTCACGTGTGTGAGGTCTAAATACGGTTTATCGAAGTTCAATATAGAGATCATGCACATATATCAGAATGTGTCGACGGGGGGCGCATAAAGGCAGAAGCATTCATTGTCGGCCAAATTCGGCAAAAGCCGGGCATGTTGCCTAATTACAATAAAGAAGAGACGTAAATTCATTTCTATATTTTTGCTGCGATACTGAACAACCGTGAATGCTGCCTTAACCAAACAACATGTACAAATTCAGTACAAATTTTACGACCACATCCGAACACCGCGAGTGTACTGAAAACTTACAGACGCGAACATGAGCAAATTCTTTAAATCACGAGACATTAAAATTAGAAAATATTTCGTCAGCAATACTCGACATCCGTCGCATGATGTATCTTCCCAATGAAACAGCGGCAAACCCTGGGAGCTGAAACAAACCGAAACATTTCTTTACAATGTCATAAGTAACAAAAATTTTGCAACAAAGACAAAAAATCTTAAACTCGTAATAGGGCTCCTAGAGAGCGTAGATATAATAAAGGCCTTGCTGTGTTAGAAAGGAAATAGCCGCATGTGTTTGTTTCTAGATAATAAACCCAATATGCGGAAGAATGTTAGAAACTATTAAAATTTCGGTCTGTTAGACGTAGAAGAAAAATATGTTGTAATATATTTAACCCCCATTTACCCTCGTACTAAAAATAAATGACATTTTTCATATCTGATTTGAGCCTTAATCAAGATACAAAAAGCTGCTAGGAAAACATGGCACCCACTGTCAGATTAACGTTCAGCTTCTTCTGACCTGATTATCGCGCTTTTGTTTACTGTTTGTTTTACGGACTTTGAAAGCAGACCTACATAAAGCGGCATTCCTAACGCAGCCCCACTTAGAAGCTGCTAGGCATAGGTAATCATTCTGAGGTAAACTGCAACTATTTTTAGGATACAGGTTCCGCTTAGTTTAACTAATTACACCTTACACATTGCGTCCCCTTAAACACGAAAGCATTTTAAGCGGACGAAATACAGGTGTCTGCTGAGTGATTTGCCTTTTAAAACCTCCCCGCAAGATACCAGTAAGTATTCGAACAATCTTAGTCGTATTAATAAGTCAGATGGGGGACACAGTTAAAATACATAAAATGTTTGGAAGAGAATTGCTAAGGAATTCCAACTATGACCGTAATAAGCAAATATTGTACGAATACAATCAGCTGTGATTATGCTTATTTTGTAATGATAATCGGCTACCGGATATTTTGTTGTCATTGTGCTATCATACACGTAGCGAGAAGGACGAATCTGAAAGAGTTGCTGTTTGCTTGCGACAGAATACATTTTCATTTCATTTCATTCAGGTATTTATGAACCTCGCAACCACGAAATATTTCTGGACTTCATATTGTTGATATATAATTATCGCTTCAGTGGACAAGAGTGTTCTTAGTTATGAGGCATTCATATAGACATACAGTTGAGTGTTTATTACAGCAGACCGATCACAGCGCTAACTTCGATATACAGGTTAAATTTCAAGAATACTAAAAACAATTTTTCTTCTTTTAATTATTAAACAGGATGTATGAGGTCAGACAGTTTCACGGACGCAGTTCAAGAAATGAAAGAGGACATAACATGAGCTCACTTCTTGCTATATTTATCATCATCTGTAATCTTGCTAGCTCTGGGTATTGCAGAAGTGTCAATGAAAACACTTTCACTAAGGAAGTACAAGGAAACGACCACAATGATGATGAAGAATTTGATTGGCAGTTATCGACCGACAACATTGACTTTTATAAAGTTCTACATGGTTTAGACTTGGAAGACATAATTATGTTTTTAAAGAATGCGCCGAACGATGTGGAAGATAAAACAACTCCAGTTAAAACACGACAAAAGCGATCAGCAGCAATGATATTTGGTAAAGATGATCGAAAGCAAATCACAACATCATCAGATGCAGAGGTTATGCCTTACGCTGCATCAGTCAAAATTTCGACTGGTTGTTCAGGAACACTGATTGGTCCAAGACATGTTCTTACTGCAGCCCATTGCGCATACACAGGAACAAAAAGGAAGACTAAAACAAGACTAAAAGTTGGTAAGAATAGCTTTCAGTTTATTTTTGAATAGTTAGGTCCTCATGTAACCAAAAGAACGACGGTTAGTGCTATCTACATTATCCCCCAACACCCCCTCCCTCATCTTTAAATTTATAGTTTACAATGTCAAAATGAGACGTGGTCTTTAGGACTTTTCAATAAAGCGTAGGAAATGCGAGGGCACCACGTGCAATTTGAGAATGAAAACGGAATTCTCAAATGCACAGTCTGTAAGGATGAACCTATAATAGTAAACAAGTCAAACAATTCTATTCAGTTTGATATGCGCAAAACGAAAATTCCTGTCTAAGATGATCTGGAAGAAAGTGCAACAAAGATGCAGTTTCTGAATGATTAAAACTTACTTATTTTACTGAGGACGACAGGCTTGATCATGGTATAAGAGATTCATTTCGGAAAACCAAGTGCTGCCAACTTTGAAAATAGCATTCATTCTTTCACAGTCGATAATTACACTGAGAATTGAATTCATTTTTCATGATCGCATAACAAACGTCGTTTTAAATTTCCAATCTTATTCGGCGTTCCACAACTAAACATGCTTTTTCCTAAACTGACTATAATTTGCTGTGAACTCCTGAAAGCTTTTTAAATTACACTTGACAGAAACAAAAAAGCATGACGAGTTAAGCGCCATTAGATAAATGAGGTGAATAGGATCGAAAGGCATTTGAATGAGGTGGCTGAAAGAAATGATATCTAAACATGGGCTATTGACTCGAAATCTTTGTCTTTGTCAAACAATACATGCATGAAAGAAAGGAAATACCCAAAATTCACTGAAGAAAGCAGATGTAACCCTGATTTGAACTAGCAGTTTTGCGACTTATCATAATTTCATTATGACTATGTAACATCACTGTTGCAAATTTAAAATGCTCCTATAAAAAGAGGGAAAGAAATCGACGCAGTCGTGAAGGTTAATTATGTTTTGCTTCGAAGGAGCTCTACTAGCATTCATGCTGTGTTTACTAAACAAAACTCTTTTTAATTGCTTTCCGACGAACGTCAGTGAAAATATGAACGAAAATTCCACAGGGTCGTGTCAGAAAAACGTTTTGATTAGTTCATGACAGAACACATTCTTTACTAATCTTTGCAGTCAAAGTTTGATTTTGGGAACAATGACGTCCGCTAATCCCACTGATTTACTCAACTTAGTAGTTTATTCTTATACCATCCATCTTTATCGCTCAATTTCGTGTTCTCATCTATTCTTTCCACAAATTCCGAAGAAAAATCCAAGTGAGGAAAACACTATATTGCGTTAAGAGTCATTTGGGTATAGTCTGCGAGTTGAAGTAAAACCTTAATTACATATAGCTTTGATAAGGAAGATTCTTGACAGACGTGAGCTAATTAAATATTCCAGCTAAATTAACTAAAGTATCTTGTAAAATGCTTTTGGTAAAATTTCATTACTTAAATAAAAAGGGCTAAAAAGTAAAGTAAATGCAAGCTAAGTCAACGAGTCATGCACGCACGCGGATACCGCTTCAACTATTTTGCACGAGTTGATCCGTCCACTTTTTTATACAGGGCTTGTGTGGCCTTATAGAGTAAGAGTTTAAAAATGTTAATGTGACCATACGATATTGTATACGAGCATGTATATGAGTATATGCGTAGGACTAAATATAAACAAAACAACCAAATAAGCAAACTGAATGTTGAAATAAGCTTTAGCTATGACTTAGCTCGATCTCTCCAGAAAACGTTTTGGCTTCCTACAGATCTAAATATAGCAATTCTGCAGAAGTCAAAGAATATTCCTTCCTTGCATTGTTTTATCGTCTGTAAATATGCTTTATTTTCTCGATATTGGATGGTTTCCTAAAGGAATGCGAGTCGCAATATTTTGTAGCGACAAAGACAAAAAACGAAGTGCAGTCCATGCATGATTTAACTAAAATCTTAACACATATTAAGCTGTTAGCTTAGTCCACAAATATTGCGTCTGAATGCATGTCTGAATATATTTGACATTCAACATGAATTTTTTGCATGATTGATCGTAAAAATGCACGAAATTCTCGAACACTTTGCTTTTGAACATATCACGCCCTAACGTACAAAGCCGAAGACGTTTTAACGAAATACATGTTTCATAGCAAAGTAGCATGTACTTTTAAAACTTTATCAAAGAGACGCTTTGGCTAGGAATACTCTGAAAGGCTAGGAATACTTTGAAACTTAGGCTAGGAATACTTTGAAACTTAGGCTAGGAATACTTTGAAACTTAGGCTAGGAATACTTTGAAACTTAGGCTAGGAATACTCTATGAGCACGTCAGATACCACTGATGAGCACTCTATACCATAAGCACGAAAATGGTTTTGTTCCTCCCTATTTAAGTTTACAAAAATATAAAAATATATTATATAAGCCATGCAACAGTTGCAGGTTCACCGAAACGCATGTGCATATATACATGCTCAGTAAGATGCGTAGTAAACTAGCGTATGCAAAGGCAATTCCGGCTGCATATATACCAATAATGAGAATACAATATTTAGACAAAACGAATTAAGCTGAGGAAACAACTCTGCGCCAATGTCAAACGCAAATGATTATAGAGTACTTCAACTTCAACTATACATACATGCCTGCATGCATGGGTATACGAAATTGAACCTATATTTTCTCCTTTGAGGATCAAGGGTAACTAAATGCCTCAAATACCCCCTAACAACCTTCAAGGAACAAGATGCAGAACTCGTATGTGTTCACAACTTCTCATTTACTTTTCTTCCTTAATTTGAACAGGTTTTCTCCACATGAGTGGCAGAGTTCGTTGGCGAAAAGTGCGCAAGGTATACGCTACAAAGGAATGGCATACACTAACAAAACAAAGTCGGTTGAGATACGATTATGCTGTTTTAGAGCTACGGCGAGAACACAAGCGACCATACATGACACCTGTAGCTTTCCACAGATCACAAGGTTCAAAACTGCAATTCAACGGTTTTCCAGGAGACAAGAAGGCAAACACAATGTGGCACACGCGTTGTAATATCTTCAGAGAGTGGCGTGGATTCCAATTAAATTTTTGTGACGTCGCACCGGGAATGTCTGGTTCAGGTTCTTATATATGGCGTGACAGAAATAATTACTTTGTAAGAGGGATTGCTATAGCTGCTGTAAAAATTCGGCAAGGACACAGAATATACAGATTCAATGTCGTCAATCCACTGACACGAGAGAAGGCGAAATCAATATGTAAATGGATGAGAGCTGGAAACAGTTGCAAATCGTTCAAATAATACTCATGCACTATAATAATATACACATGCAGGCAGACATAGCATTAGTCTATGCATGGCTAGCAAAATCTTGGCCACGACCAAGTAAAAAAGTGCATAAGGAGGTATATAACCACGACAAGTATATATGCACATCATTATGAGCTAGTGTGTATCATAGCCGAGAACATATCGCGTCAAAATGACAGAAATGAGTGACAATTATTTAATTAGAGGACTATATAGTGTACGTTATTAGAACATCAAGAATAAATGTGATTAATGTATAGTTTAATGAACGCGTCAACTGCATGTGAAGTCTGGTGAAGAACGATCTCTGAAATAATCCAACATAATTATATAGCGGACATACTTTGTTTTTATGCAACAACTATTCGGACAATATTTTACTTTTTCCAACTGATGCGGTATCCGTGTGCTTTGGAGAATTATATAGAAAAAAATGTAACGATTAGTCAACCTGATTCAGCTTGCTTTTGGTCATCTAACATGAAAACAATTTATAGCAATTAATTAGTGAATTCTTTTAACGGCCAAAATATACATGTTTTATTTGAAAAGAAAATCGTCTCGGTTATGCAAACATCGCTTTTTTATCACAAACACAGCGACTAATGCACGCCGGACTTCACAACGTTCATAGCTACTGTGACAAGAGTATACATATAACTTGTGCACATCCCATATGAATTTTGAATTTGTTTCCAATTATACGACAATAGTGTATTTTCTCATTCCTAATATATATTATATATTATATAAATATACGTGGAAATACTTTTACAAAAAGATCTATTAATTTAAGGACATTTATGCTGGTGTATAAAATTATCAGTTTTCATGCAGTCATTATTATCGCAAGTGTGATTCTTGATTATATAAAGAATAGTGATAGCATTGTTTCTGCAGTTACGTAATTCCTTAAAATATTATGTTAGCAATATATAAAACGTTATAAATCTATAATTAATAATAAAATTAAGTGTGCGTATATAAAGGTTTCTTTTTTGCATGTTAATCTCATGTGTTGTATTTATACCTTGGCTTAATTAAACAAGAGGTTGTCAGAGACGAGCCAGGAACTGCAGGGGTATAGAAATTAATCATTTTCCATTGTGCTTTAAGGAGATGGGGTGTTATTATACCATGAGCCGGATCCAGTTCAGCGTGTGAATTTCGATTTTGAAACTCGATAACCACAGCTAAATGTCTGGTAAAACTTTACGACGAATACAGGACGTTTAGATCATGTGTATCGTTGCATGAAAACACGTGTTGTATAGTAAGACATATTAAGGATGTCTGTGAGGCAGGCTTGTTGTATGATTTGCAAATATCACTCTGATGCATGCGTCGATATTCAAACAAACCTTGTACATAAACGTACAGTACATCAATTAACGACATACGCTCTGCTTTTACTTTAGAACGAGAAACATGAAATATTACTTCTTCTAAATTCAGGAAATGAAAATCACTATCACGTTGTGTATCTCTTCTTCAGTTTTGCTAAGCAACAAAACACTCAGCAAGAATTGATTCACGCACATCCACGATTCACACAGAATACATTCACAATTTAAAGAATAGATCACAGTTTGGCATTTGGTTTGGCCTAAAGTTATCATTTACAAGGGGATTTTAATAATGAATGTGTCGTTTAGAACGTGAACTTAAAGGTTCCAGTTCTCCATGATCCACTAATGAAAGAAGCGACCTCCTTATATGTCAACGATAGAAGTGACGAATATTCAGTGAAATGCTAGAGCTGCTACAAAATACACAAGTAAATCGTCTGTAGATAAGGTTTTCATTGTTAAAACTGATTCAAGCAGCTTCTTTGTCAAATTCGACTGCGTGCGGGTGAGGAGACTCAAACTGTGAGCAGATGTAGCGAAAGTCAAAACAATGTTACAAAAATCAAATAAAAGATCGGAAATCGTTGTTAATCTTCTAGCGTATCGTCGCCTGCAGCTTCATGTATAGTTCACGATGTTGGGTAATCCTGCTGCAGAATATTTGGTGTAATCCAAGCATAGGACACGTGCTGAAGTAAAATCTTGTGGAGCATCAACAATGATTGTGGGCATGTTTGTGCTATTGTTGCCTGTAATTGCATTAAAAAATATGAAAAGCAACGCTCAATCATTGCAACAATATCCAATTTTGAAATCTTTTGAAATGAAGTGCGCAACCCGCGAAGAACGTAAGAACACTGTTAGTTTTGATAAGATAAGATCTGCTTCCTATCAATCTAGTAAAACTCTGCATTGAGACATCTCTGTAAAGTGCTAACGAATCTCAATAATACTAAATACCAAAATACATCCAATTATTTATAAATTGTCCTTCGCCCGAGTCGGCCATGTTTACTCACTAATTGAACACGCATTGGGGAACCAATACTAATGATTACCGCCAGAACAAATATTGTTGGTAATCAATAACTTTAGTTTTACCGAAAGCTTATAAATAAACCGAAATACCGCATGTTCAAAGCGATTTTACCGAAGTGTAATCTATGATATTCAACCAAAGCCGCAATTCCACTGCATGGAAGATTTAATGATATCTCTGTTGTCTAAACCACATTGGCTGAGTGAAGTTTGGACTTCATTTTTACTTCAATGCAAATATTTATCCATTTAGTCTTGTCCTATGTACTAGAAACAGGGCTGGGTTGTAGTTGACAAAAGGGAGGAGCAATAATGCGGTGCGAGGCGACAAACCACGTGTTAGGCTTTTGAAAAAAAATGAGTTTGTAAAATTGAACTTTTGCAATACGCGAGAATACTAAATCTCGAGCAAAACACTCCACCGTCTCCACGAGACAGGTAATGCATTTGTCGAGGGCAAATAGCCTTCTTATCTGAAAAAAGAGAGGAACATGACGTTAAAATCAACGAGTTTGTTATTCTACGCACGTCTTATGCGAGGTATGATTTAATTTCTTGAGTTATGACGAACGTGCGGACAGCTAATAAATGCGCATGAGCGGTACAACTAATTATTGGGCGTTGGCAGGGAAAAATCGTTCATGTTCTTGACTGTGGTTTTTCCTGTTTCGAAATACTCTTTGCTTTTCGAAATACTCAATGCTTTTTTAAAAGTATTGATTAATAAAATGGCTGACAAAATATAATAAAATGTGTAAATGATAATTCCAGGAACGAAAACCATCACGCCATCATTTCTTATGCAATTCTTATTTGTAGATATACTATACATAGAGTAGGTACTCGCTAAATTTCTTTAAATTGTCTATTGTTTAATTACTTTTATATAGAATATTTATAGAAGTATAAAATATTTTAAATATAGAATAGGATAAATTTGTAAATAAAATTCCCAGACAGATTGAATAGCTTAAACAATTATTATGATGCAAGACATTTTGGCTATTATGATTTTAGAAACAACATGTCAAGATGATTGATCGATAGTAACAATAAAATAAATACCAATAAACACCAAGAACGGCAATTAATCCGAAAACCTTTGTATGTCCAGAATTTAATATATCACTTTGTTTAGTTTGAATGACACTGTAACAAATTTTATGAATAAAAATCATAACATGGTGGTCTTGATACTTAATTAAATTTCCTGGTTTATGTGAAATATTTAACCTTACAATCGAAAATGCCTGTTCGAGGTTTATCGCGACAGAAGTGTAGAACATATGACACTGACTGATACAGTTTATATTCTGCAATAGTCGAAGTTAATAATTTACTAAATTCAGATGATATTACAATTGCACACACACCACACATTTTGATCCAAGTCTTTTTGATCCAAGAGTTTCAGGCGATAGCCCGCAACATAAATTAAGAAAGTGTTATACGAAGGATATCTTGTTCTGCTCTTATCTTTAAATTTTATATAAAATAGGATAGCTATACAATATGTTGTCACATGTACAGTATATGTTGGCACATGCACCTTAGTTACCATCCAGTTGTACCAAAGGTCAGGGTCTCTAAGACCGTGTTTCGGTGAAATCCTTTAAATGTTCTTGTTAAGATGTGTAAAAGCTGTTAAAACAACGCACATGTCGCGACTGACGTGAGGGTATTTGTGTTATTTCAAAAGGAAGCCTTAATTAAGTTCGCAAAATAGGCGTCTTTTGTTCTTAGCTTGAATAAATAGATTGCTCGCGCGAAAACGAGGCGATAGGTTTTACGAAACATTCAAGGCCTCTCAAGTCTTCAGAGAAAACAAGTTGAGTAACCGTGCATGTATTAGCTTCAGTAAATGTATTTACAATACTTATATAAAGCTTTATTATTCATTCAGCAAAACTGCGTTTCGCACATAGCTATAACATTGTGACTGCAGAACAAGCCTTGACAAGGTCATTTGAACTTTTTGACCTCAAAACCGTATCTTGTCAAGCTTATATCCATAACGTTTAGCTGACAAAAGACGCTTGCCTTTAAAGAACATTTTATTCTCAACAGATAAACAATATATAATTTCACCAAATAGCTGTATGTCCGTATATTAGCTATAAACGAGACTCTGAACAAAATACCTAGCTTACTTTAAATTTTCTATTCAACACACACACCAAGACAAATATTTACAAGCTCTAGGCCAGACCAGGGGGCAATTTAAATGTTAAAGGCATTTTAATCTTTATGAAGCAAGATAACCTTAAAAATTTTTGCTTATAGCAACGGCTTGGTTGAACAGTTAAACACTATGTTTTAGTAAATTTTTAAACGTAGGAATTCTTTCTGCAAACCTTTCTTCGTATATAATGATCTTGTTAACTAGTTAAATGTTTCCGTGAATGTGTTTTTCATATCCAAATATGGTACGACAGGAATTGAGTCTCTTTCTGACGTATATGTGATTTTCTGCTTCGTAGACAAAGGGTAAAGTTATTGTCCTGGGAAAATTAGGTCCGGGAAGTTTGATCCTGTGATCGAGCCGAGCGCTCAGAATCCAGAGATAAATGTGCGATAATGCATAATTAGCAAGATGTGATCTTTGACTTGCACGTTTCTTTCACCCCACATGTTGTACGATGATGATGCAATTTTTTTAAAAATGTTGGGTATAGAAAGAAAAGTTACAGAAGTGTCATTCATTCAACTCTTCTCCTATGAGCCAGCTGAAAGGTTCAAATACTCGACACGACACGTACACAAGCTATGTCCATACCTTGACGCAGGGAAAAATTCCTTTGATTAAAACATTCTTTTTAAGCTGCCAAACTCAAGTTCAACATACGCATTAACCCTTTGTCAACCAACATACCAAAGTCAGTCAGTCAAGTGCTCTATACTAAAAATACACCAGACTGCATGACCAGAGGTCAATTTAATAGAAAGAGTTGGGATTTTTTTACAACTTTTTTGACCCAGTATAGCGTCATTCAAAATAATTAAAGAAACACAAAAACAATATAAACGCGATCTCGATTTTGGGCAAGATTACACTTTGTCAGTTATCAACCTGATATGATATCAATATATTTCCTGAAATCTTTCATTTATGTTCCGTGAATTGCATGAATAGTGTCACTAATGATAGACCAGGTTTTTCATAGTTAATATATTTATAGCATGGTTGTCGTGAAAGCTTTTCTCACACAAATATATAGACAAGATTTTTCCATAGTTTATATATTTATAGCATGATTACGGTGAAAGGTTTTCTCACAAATAGCTATATTATCTATATAGACCAGGTTTTCCATAGTCAATATATTTTTGACATAGCTGTGGTGAAAGGCTTTCTCACACAAAACCACAATCACATTCCGTAATTAAAAACAAATATATCTAAAATTAACGTAATTATAGATTCAGGAACTTTGACACAATGAAGTGATAAAAATCTTTGTTTGCTGTTATTTGTTGGGCCAGGTTAAGGGTCGTGAAGTCTGGAAAAAACAACTGCTTAGAAATACAGACGCCAAAACGTCTGACATACCATTCAAAATCATAAATAATCTTTCTTGTCTGTTTTCAATCTTTTGTCGAACCATCTTATTCTTGAACTGTTTTTCAGCTTTTTTAAGACTATAATTGTGTAGATTTGCCCAAGTCCATCTCTTGTTTTGAGGTAAGGAAACATAAACTGTTAACTGAACTCAGCTGTAAAAACCCTCGAGCTATTTAACCTTGTAGCTAGGTATCTTAATTGAATGAGACGCATGAAAAACCTTTTCAATTAAATCTTAATAATATTGGCCTGGTTCCTTCAGAATGACATAAAAGTTTCTTATCGTGTTGATGTGAACAGATGAAACATGAATAAAACAAAGCATGGATATCATTAATCAATACAGTATCAGCCAACATAAACCAATCTTGCAGTTACTGGATTATAATAGCTTTACATCAATTCAATACCATAACTAAAATGATGTAATGTACTTGAGAAGATCAATAAAAGTTCGTACAATGAATCGTTTGAGCATTTAAGTTGTTTCATGTGATAATGACACAAGAGACGATAGAAAACTCCTGTTCAATGAACGACTGCACACGTAACGTAAGCCTAGAGAGTTGAGGCACTTATAACATGGTATTGCATGATTGTACTCACTCACTTTCAGAGTTGGAACGAGCGAATTTAATTTGTATCCTGGATCAACGATATTCTGTGGAAATGTCGTTCACATGGGAAATCGTTTGAGCGACATCGTCGAGTTTAGATATTTCCTTTTATTGTCTGCTTGATTTAATTACTAAGAAACACAAAGATTCTTCACAGCTGCATGGGATTGCATGGGATAGGTCTAAGACTCAGGTCTCACGCACATGCAAACCCTTGCCTCAAACGACAAGTTTTTGCGAGTTCATACCAAAAGCCACAAAGAACATAATCGCGTTTGTAAGTATTTTTATTGAAAGCATTTAGTACTAGTTTAATTTTAAGTCATCACAATTCTAGGGGAGATCATCCATCCATTGATGATAATTGATATGTTCCTTCTTCGCTGACAAAGACGACAGTCTCGTTGACGTGTACGAAGATCAGCCTGCAAATCTTCGCACAAAATGTCGCATACATGCAGTGTGGATCATCCACAGCTAGCATTCACAAGATAATATTTTACGCTTCACATTATATTAACCTCAAACAGCAAACACCAGGCAAAGAAATATCTTAGGCTAGAAAATCCTAAAAATTCCTGAAACTGATGATAAAACTTTCAATTGCCTGTGTGCATGACTATGTCTCCATCTGTTAACCTGAGACTCAAAACTATTAAATTGCTGCTGAAGTGAAACAATCAATTGTTCCAATATTTCTTTCAAGCAATATACTGAACAGAGTTGCGGATATCAGGCCATTCTTATCAGAGATAAGGCAATCACTGTTTATATGTGATCTGCTACCCACTGTATGGGCTTCATTTCTATGCCTATATATTTCTTATTATTTTAAAACTACAACTATAATAGATACAGTAAAACATACAAGTTAGAAGAATATATACCAAAATAATTAAAAATCAATTTAGGATATTAACCATTGAGATATAGGTATTGACTGTCTGGGAAGAAGACAAAGTACTTGAGTCAGTGTATAGACACTTCAAGAGCAAAATAATTAATTGTTGCACTGTTTATCTTTCTTTTGTTGCAGAGGAAGTGTTGATAAGATATTGCATTAGCAGAGGTGAAGATAGACACCTAATTAAGCAGCAAGTATAAATATGTTCATTTCATACTCTATAATTGCTTATATATGAATATATTAACGATTCTTATGTTAATATGTATTATAATATGAATACAAATAACACAGGTGACTTTCATAGTAACAGTACAGTGTGGTCACATGGATCAGTGACTGCATGAATTTGTAGGTTAAAAAAGGCAGGTACAACTGGGATTGGGGCAGGAATATTGGCTGGAATTCATGTCAAAACAAATTATTCAGCACGTGGAAACGTCGCGTCGTTTGCCTGTCGTTTGCAAGTGAGTGAAGTGACGTACATGCAAGTTGTAACAACTGTGAACTGGCTGCAACCAATCCAGTTAATATCCAGGGATACTGACATTTTAATGAAAGCAGAAATTGCAATGTTCACATTCACTTACATTTTAACATCTTCCCATACCAATGCAGCTTTGCAGCCATCGAGTTAGATCCTGTAGTTAATTCATTCGACATCGTACAGTCGTACTGCACCACACATAATTTTCTTTTAATATATTATTTTTATTATTAAACCTGGATAGAGCGGGTAAAATAAAGTCCAAACCACAGAAACGTTTTTCAGGAACGTTTGGCCCTCTTAATTCAGATTTTCTACCGTTTATGTGATCATACAAAACGGTTAAAATACGCTTAGAAATTTATAAAATGTTCATTTTTCAATTTTGTATCATAAAAATGATAAAATAGCAATTCATGAGCCCGCTTATTTGGCCAGCGTAAAAAAACTTGAACCTTCCGTTCACTTTGTTAAATCTGTGTAGTTCATAAGACTTACAGAATATAAGAAACTTATTTCTAATTTAAATATTTATTGTTAATTCTGCACTGAGAGATTAACTTTCCTATGTAGAGTGCGAGGTCTTGCTGCAGAGCTCAGTTAGGCAAAGCTCTAGTGTCCTTTATAATGAACTACAAGACATTAAGTGTAGTATACAAACACACTGACACAGTACTTCATATTATTCACGACTGACAAGTCAGTGAACTTCAGTAACTAGGTTACAATGTGAGATTATCCAATATCGGCCCATAAATATTTTCGCGACGACATTTAATGTTTTAAATATGAACTTAAATAACTACAACATACTGCCGTGTATTCGTCAACTGTAAGTACTTGCCTTAGTGACAGAAAAGACGCACATGCATATAAATTAATCTGAGACTATGAAGTTTAGAGAACCCCGGAATGAAATGGTGTCGGCTTTTTTCTTCAATTCTCCCTCTCCAACATTTATTGCTACTAAAGGTATTGAATGATCAACATTCGAATTTCTTTTTCATTTTCTATGCGAGTTTCGTGCACAACTGACCATAAAACCAATCTGCAATCACACCTAAACTTTCAAACTGGCTTTGTAGTTATCACTCCTGTACATTCATATCATAAACTGCGATGTTGAACGCATTCTTCCCTCTTCTTCGAACATGCGGTGTTGTGTTCTCAGTTAACGAGGAAGAAAAGTTAAGATCCACCTGTGACTTTCTGAACTCTGCCTTGATTCTATCGAAAACAAAAAAAGTTTATTTTGTATTTCGTTTTCATTGGGACACATTAAGTTCCTCAGCTGAGATCGCTCAAAAAAAATGACTTAGTTCATCCAACCTCATAAATTGAGATCGTTAAGTGTGTTTAAACAATTACCTTGGCGTGATTTGTAAATTAACAACACAAGGAGGTTTCATATTTATGATGATTTTAGTGACCAGTTCAATAGTATGACTTGTTCGGAAGAGAAAATCGCCTTTACTAAGAGATTTCTGCTCAATATTCTAAACAACAAATGATTTATGCAATCAACCATACAAGCATCATACAAGAATGTTTCATTATAGTTAGGTTTACTCAAGCTAGGGTATTGCATGGTTGGAAGATTGCATCGTCAGAATACCGCATTCGGTGGTAAATTGTTCGCACTGTTTTTACTAATTTCTCAACTATTACCTTCTTTATATGAAACATCACAAGCTGGTCATAGTATGGACTGACTGATATGCGAGGAATTTCCCCAAAAGGAATTTTGTATTTGATCTGAACATTCTTTGGATTTACGAGCAACAAAGAATCGGAGGTGACAACAAGAACACGATTTACGGTCTAAAAAATAGAGATATAAAAATTCATGAAAAATTCAAAAAAAGCAACACGTCCGTCTAGAAAAATAAAAAATAGCAGCACTTGGTTCATATTTTTGATCACCCTCCTACAACCCCAACAGTACATGTTGTCATGAAGATGTTGACAACCATTATCAGAATGAAGTTTGTGATAGTTCACTGTATTGTTTAAAAGCTCAGATTAGGTTTATCTTTAGATTACGATTTTTCTTAAAAAAATGTTACCTTTCCGTTTTTCCGGTTAATTTTTGAGACCCAGTCTGCCCAAATTACTGGGGCATTATTTGTTGTCTTCTTCCATTTCTTATTATTTGACAATTTTACATATTCTCCTTTGAATGGAACGGCCACGCTAAAACAGAAAACACGTTAATCGAGTTCACTATGATTCACCGCAGGAAATTTATTATATTATACTTGATCTTTACATAATACGATACAAGTGAGGTTTCTTTCCTTAGCCTCGTTCTCCTGAAGGCTCCGTCTTAGTTTATAGGCAAACGCGAGGTATTTGTAATGTAGTGATGAATTGATGATCTGAAGGGTATTAAAAAATACATCATTGGCTAATTTACCTGTCTGGATACAAAGATTTCTTCCCTTTAAACATTTCACTCGCTTTCGCTTTCTCTTTCATTAATTTTACTCTTTCAGGAGATAAGCCAAGTCTGTATTTTCTGCACTACATTATAACGAAAAAATGAATGTCACATACAGTGGGATATAGTGGGATAAAATGGGATGCGACGGTGCAAAAACTTCTGTTAGGAGGCAGGAAATTAAAACGTAAGTTGTAAATACAAAGAAGCAAAAAACAAAGAAAGAATGACAGATCAAGCGCATGGTGTGTTTCTGGATTGGTGATACAGCAAGCGGCTGGCCTGCATGAAAGAATGAAATTCTCTAGAGATGTGAGGGCGACACTGCATAAATAATTTTAAAAAAATGAAATATAAAAACGGTTTCAAAATATTTAATTATGCTCGTTATATCTTACACGATGGCGGTGATACATCTCCTTTAAAAGCCCATTTGCCATTCGAAATCTTTGTAAACTTGATGGCCAACTCCTCTCCAGTGGCGATTCCGAAGGTAAGTTTTGCGAAAGCTTTCTCAAAAATCTTGAAACCTGTTAGAAATAAACACGAAGAAGATAATATGGTTCTGAAAAAGACATGAACCAAGAAACAATCTCTGAACTAATTATTGCAGCCATAGATCATTGGGATTAGAAAGGAATTAATCGGCAATATTTGTTTACTTAAACTTTGAAAGAGCATCCGTGCATGCAAGAATGGCAAACACAGTCACTCGATATTCTCTTCAAAAACAAAAACCGACAGATTACATACAAATATTGGGCAGGAACGTCCCCAAATTGGGAGATACACAGAGGGTAAGTGGGTCGCCGATAATCACGGAACCGAGAAGAGTGAATTACTTACGAGGTAAGATAGCCAGCAACGTTGAATAACTGCTGTGGCATGAGATCGGAAGAAACGTTGATATTCTTTTCGCACCTGTAAAAAAGTAATTTTAAACATCACAGAGTTATAGTTCAGTTGACGATAGCTCTTGTTGAACTATTAAATTCCTATTTGTCCAAATTTTGTAACACTGAGAACTGTTTTGGGCAAATAAATCATGTGAAATAATTCAACCTTCAAGTCTTCTAAACAATAAAGAGAAAAATTAGCCTTACCCGCCATCCTCTCACAAACGAAGCGATCATAATGGCTGCATTACGCTGCGCCCGATAATCCTTCTTTGCCTAAAATTACGTAGGAAATACAAAGGAAAATATTAGAATTGAAAAATATGATAAAGTTCATAAGAAATGAAAAGAAATATACCTTGAATCCTCTAAATGTTTTGCTAATCAATATTTGGCTGTCCTTCATTTTGATGAACTACAAAGTTGTCACAGAAAATATAGAAAAAATATAGATGCATGCAGATATTTTATAAATTGTCTTCGCTGAAACTGTGATATATGATGATGAGGCAAATGCAATAATTAACTATTGTATGTGAAGAAGTAGCTTAAAACGTATACGTTACCTTCTTCCTGTCACGAAAACCCTTATAACGTTTTTGTATGATGACTGCAAGATCTTCCAACTTTTCTTCTCTTCTATCTTCCAGTGCAAACAACTAAAATTAGGAAAAGCATGGGAAAAAAAGTAAAGATTAAATTGCATTTGTTCAAATATACAGAGTTCAGAATTCTGATATGACAACATGTAAGATTAATTCGCGTTTAAATCGGACATGATTCTGAATCTTTATTCGCCCAGGTGTAACGAATTGTAAAATTTATTGTAATACAGCTAAATTCTTCTTCTTCCATTTGCTGATGTATAAAAGTATAAATATTTTATACCGTTTGTGGATTTCGGATAAAAAGTTTGGTCCTTCCATAATCATATTCACTTCTTTTGATTTTCTGATACTGAAAATTAAACAACAACAATTATAAAAATGTTTGTTACTCGATTTAGAAGATTCTTTTCTAGAATGATTCTTTTCTAGAATGCTTCTTCTCAGGATGTTGCATACTGCCGAAGGCAAAAGAAACATAAAAAAAAGCACAAATAGCAACAAGAAGTAGCTGGTTTACCATGTATAGAATTGTTTCATGCAGAAACTCGTCTTAATAATTATTATATCCACCATCTGAAAGCTAGTTTCCAATCAGGAAAATTCTCGACCATGGTCGAATACACCATTTTCCGGCGGACTCGACTATGGTCGAATACGCCGTTTTTTGGCGGACTGGTCGATTACGCCGTTTTCTCAAAACTTGGATATTTCTGACGACGCGGACTCTTCATTGTTGTGATAAAAACAAGAGCAAAATTACCTTCAAAATCTCACCAAGTCCTTGTTTAGGATCACGATCCCACTTCGGCCATGTTTTTGGACACAAACTTTTGTATCTGGAAACAGGAAATATTTTAAAAAAATAGTTTATTAGAATAAAAAGCTAGTGCAAATATCATTGCACGTAATGATAAGTGAATCAACAAATGAAACCAACGACTCAGCAATATGGGTTGTAGACGTAAAGTTGAGACGGTGAAGACAAAGGGATGAAAAAGGGGGAAGCTTGAAACATTACGTTTCAAGTTGTTAAGAATCAATTAAGTAATAAAATACCTTTCCAAAGCTATAGAGTATTCCTGTCTATAACAATAACCAGCACGGCGAACACGAACGTTCTCCAATAACCTAAAAATCCATGCGTAATTAACAACGAATGTTTTTCGCTGTTTGGGGTCTCAAAAGCTACTGAAGTATTTTAACAGTTCGATTCACAACGAGCAAAATTAAAATCATAATAGTTTCACTGCAGGCGCGAGTGATGTCATTATAGGATGAATAAATGCAAACCTACCCTAAATACCGGACTTGATGCCTCACAGAATGTTCATCAAAAACTTTTTCCCTCTTTGCTTCATTTGGCTAAAAAAGAAAAATAGATATTCCACAATCCTTTGTTGTAAAATTCGACATGACAGTATATTCCCATAAAAGTTATACAATACCTTAATACACCTCACATAATTGGGATTTTTCACTGTTAAATTTTTCATCAACTGTGCTACGGACACCTGAATACAAGAAAGTAGTTAATAAAATAGACCAGAACGATAAAAAAGACAATAGAAGATAATGCAACACTCTCGAGCGGCCCACCTTGAATTTGGTAGCAGCAGTACTGGGTCGTTTACGAGAAGGTGTCTCGGGATTTCCTGCCGTCGGATAAAAATGTAGCAATTACAAATCGAAACGACATCATTAATAGAATGAATTTTAACACTCATTTCTACTAACCCAACTAATCCCTTTACCTAATGCCCCGGGTATGCATGTGGACAAGGCGAAGGACCGAAGGTGCCTTATTTGTGCATGCAGATCAAATACATGCATCGTCCTCAAAGAAAATTACCTTCTGGAAAAAGTTGTTGCAACAAAGGATGTTCGCATTGAAACATTGCTTGTGATAAATCACGAAACAACGGATCATTGTTCTTGTCCAAGAAGCCATTGACGTTGTAAGTCACCTGAATAAAAGAAAAATACATTGACTTAGGCAGAGAAAGATAACAAAGATTGTTCCTTACGTGCATGAGCCAACGACACACGGCGGGTTCCATTGTTTTCCGTGAAAACCCTCCCGGGTGAAATGCCTTGGAATTGTTTCCTCACTCAGTGATTACTGATAATAATGGGTCACCGTCATCAGAAACCCAATGGGTCCGGTGCAGAAAAACCGTTGTGTCAGCATTAAATATGAATAAAAAAGCAGCTCCACCGCCCGATAAAGTTACAAAACTAATTTTCCTTACATCTCCTGCATAATGTCGCAAAACAAAATGTCCTTGTCCAATCTTCAAGTTTGGTTTCCTCGGATTTGTACCGCTCTCGCTGTCATAATGTGGATGGTCCAGAAATTTCGCATTTAATTTTTCCAAAAGCGTCATATCGGAGGCCTAAACAAAATCACATCATAGTGATGATACTGTGAACACACCTGACTCGAAATCATTTGTTTAGTTCGAGTACAGAGGCCACAGGCCTACAAAGGCCAAAGTTAGCAGCACTTGATATTTTATATCGAATCAATATTTTGAAACAATAACTCACAATTATTATACAATTGTTATACAATATTAATAATCTTCATTTAAGTCACCAGTATAGATCAATGAAATAATCTGTACCTTTCCAGGTCGCAAACATTCTTCGTCTATCATGGCTATTATTCCAACATTGCTCTATAAGGCAGAAAAAAATAATTAAATGTGAATAGCCAACTGAAAATAAACTAAGAGTCAGTAATCTTACTTTTTCAATAAGATCACAAATCACAGAATTGTTGAAATAGTCGATGTGAGTCCATTCAATACCCTGAAGAAGAAGAAACAGTCAATTCAGTGTCTACATCATGAATTGTTCTTCCGGCGTTAAAAAAGAATGCAAATGCAGCAAAGCTGATCAAAATTTTCTTACCTCTCTCACATACTCGTCTTGTTCTGATTTTAAGGTCAGTTCAATGAATATTTGTTGCAGTTTTTCGTTGCAGTAATTTATAATGAATTGTTCAAAAAAGTTTTTCTGAAAATTGGAATGGAAAAGATATTAATTGTTTACTATAGATATGACTAGACCTTAAAGTTTAATTTCTGATCTTACTCCTTGATTATCTTAATCAATAATGAAGAGGTTACCTGAAACACCTCAAATCCATAAATGTCTAACACTCCAATTACTTTGGTGCGAGTTCTTCTTTTTACCTAAGAATGTAAAGATAAGCTGTTTGTATTCAGAGGCAACAGGGATACAGTGGATAACAGTGGATGCCACGAAATACCATTCTCTCCCATTCCTATATATCCCTTCATTCCTATTCCTTCATTCCTATCATATAATCATTGATTCTATACCTTAATACTCTGGTTGATCCTTGCTACCAACCAGGAAAATAAGCGATCGTATAAAGCTTTGCTCAGAGCATCTCTAGCGTAACCAGCCTTGAAAAAAAATGAAAATATCATCAGCCTAATTAGCAACAGTCAACTCATATACAACTTTCTTAAAAACCTGTGTTCGACAATTGTACCTCAGATGGCGATAAAGTTGTCTTGAAGGACTCGTATTTTGTTGCCACCGTTCTTTCTGTTAACGCCTTTTGTAACACTTCTGGTTCACATCTCAGTAAATCTCCAATAATTCTCAGCACTAGAACAACATGTATATGTATATGATGAACAACATGATATTTTAACGTCTCGTATCGTTCAATTCTCGTCAGTTTGAACTCGTTGTTTTATGAAAAGGTAATGCATAACGTAAATTTTTTACCCATTTTATTTGTGATAAATACACCGTCAGCCCCGTGATGAAATTGCGCTGCTTCAAACTGTACATTTCCAAGATGGAGAATTGCTGATATCAGCTGATAAATACAAAGTTTCTCTTGGTTTTTAAACCCAATTACGCCCATAGCACTCTAAAAAAAATTTAATTTTAAATCATAGTTAACCTTGGAAAACAGTGAATGGATTAGCATTTTTACAGTTCCCTATACCTACGAGAGAAAAATGACACACTAGCTGGCAAACTTGTGATATTCAGTTAGTCGCGAAAGTACTGGGGGGAATTTACTATCCGTGTCTCGTGTTATACCTCAGTATAACGAAAGTCTTCAACGTCGTTAATCGTTTTCACAGAAATGCAACCACTCTCCTTCAAATATGCATATTTAGCGCAGTTTCTTTCCAGGCCCAGGGCGCCTAAAATAAAACAGATGAAACATATATTCAACCAACTTAGAAATCGCTTGTTTTTGTTTCATCAAGTCATCACGTATTCCCTGACTTTAACAATTGGAACCTATGTGTTGTTATATAAAGTGAAATATTTTGCAAGAAGCACTTCTCCATTTTGATGTAGTTTTACTTTATTGAATATGCAATAAAATATTTCTTACGAAGAAGCTCTCCCGATCCACCATTGAGAAGCTGATAGAAAATGTGGAAACTTCTCTCCTCGTTGGCACGATGCACAATTCGAGACTAAAACACAAGAAGTTTCAACACAAAAATAAGAAATAAGTTCTAAATACACTGCATGTGAATATCAGATGATAATATCCGACAAATCACAGCTATTACATACCTTTTCCAAAAGATCTGGTTTTCCGAAAATCAACATGAAAAAGAAGACATAATAAATGAGTCATATTAAAAAACTAACATAAAGAAACTTAAGGGGGATCATTTATCCTAGCTGAACGAAAACATTGTGAAATATGAATTGAAAACGCTGTTGTATAAATATTACTGAAGGTCAAAGTTTAAATTTAGTTTGTTCAATGAATCTGAGGACTTTTGTGTTTTTCCTTTTAGCCCTTCGTTCAACCAGTTCATTAGAATCGAATGCATAAAGTTCAATAACTGCTTCAATTAAGAAAACACTGCATTAAATTATATATTTAAAATGTACGATGAACATTCTGTGAACTTACAGTTTGTTATGACACCACCAACAGGTTCTCCTTTGAAATCAAACTCTAAATCCATGTATTTCCCCTAAGACAAGCGAACATTTACAACATCACGCACGTACTTCTGTTTGTGAACCAACACATGTATGTATGTATTACGCACGCGCTCTACGAGCACATTTCAATTGTTAAGATGCATTGATTTCTGCGGTGCTGTATAGTGTCATTCTGTGAAACAGCCGCGGTATATAGCTATAGGCCTAACCCTAAACATTAATCATAAATGCATGCACAAACTGATACGTATACTTACAAATCTCGACGAGTTATCATTTTTTAATGTCTTGGCGTTGCCAAACGCTAAATATTAATAATGAAATACAACAAAATTAACTAGTTGATTGAAGAGAATAATACACAAATGTCGCTAACTTACCTTCCAGAATTGGATTACATTGAAGAAGTTGTTCTTTAACTTGTTCAACTTGTTTTCCCTTTCCAGAAACAGCCGCAACATACTGCATGATAATTTTTGAAGCTTCTACAAAGCGTTTCCCAGAAGTATTGTTGTAAATGCAAACATTTTTAACCAGCAACTGAGTCTGGTCTTAGGAGTTTAGTCTAATTACTACTACCATTACAATACATCAGGTTTACCTGTCTTCCCAGCACCACTCTCCCCAGTAATAAGAATACACTGGTCTTTATTGTGATCTCGCATTGATCTGTAAGCCAAGTCAGCAACTGCGTACCTGTAAAAATCTTCATTTAAAATCTCTTCCCAGAGCAATTCCAACAGGACTACACACTACCCTAAAATGGTCTTGATGGCAGTGCGAAAGATATCATTCTGGAATACTTACAGATGTGGCGCCATTTCATAAATGTTTCTTGATCTGTACTCCATTATCACTTCGTTTGTATAAAGATACAGTTTTTCATAGGGATTCACTGACACCACAACATTTCCTATGTATGTCTAGAATAATTGCAAGAAAACATTTTATCAATATTGTAGTGTATGATAACTCTATCAGATGAACTAATCACGAACACAATATTCAGTAATTTAGCGTGGTGGTATTCTTCTACGGTTAATAAGAGATCGTAAAAGTTATACAATGTACGCATGCGTTATTTCATTTTAATATATTATGCATATAATTTGCAGTTACAACTTGCAGTACAGACTCTCTGAGGAAATGAGGAAATCTCTAGTACAATATGTTCTCTACAATTAGCCGCAGAAAATGTTCAAACATACATAAATTTCTCCAGCTTTGAATCGTTTCTCAAGATTCTCCATGAGTTTGTCTTCGGTAAGTGGATCAAGTAAAACCATATCACTGACCCCGGCCATGTCATCCATGATATTTCGTCCATCGTATTTTTTCTTGCTCATTCGCCTTTTCTTAGAACCCTTACCAAGACTACTCCGTCGCACCAGCTTGTGACCTGGATCCGAATCATCTGCCATCTTTGCACCTGGGAGGAGATTAAAGCCTTGATAATTATCAATAAACCATTATAGGGCTGCACCGCCTGCTCGGTCACGACTCACAAGGATACTTCAAAGATCGAACATTTGATCTTGTTCAATGTTAATGCATAATAAATGTTGCGATTTCAGTTAGATTACTAATACTGTAATGGTCTGAGTCACCAGAGTTGACACAGTTTAACAAAACAGTATTTAACGTTCGCCTGTCTTCTCAAGAAACCCCCCAGTCGTGCTCTAAAGCTCGAAGATCACATGATATTTCTCAATTAAATTATCACCCAGCAGAAACTGAAGTTGGAATCGGACTTACTAAAACCACAATTATTCTGAAATATAGGATTCTTTTGGTACACAATACTACCAATCACTACACAGCACAAGCAGCAACTACACACGATGCTTTAGAAGTAAACCAAAGGCAAAAGTTGCTGATAATTCTTTTTCGAGTATATCTGATTAACTTAGCAGTCTATATGTTGACGTGTAGTCTATACAAACAATTCAATAGCAATCTTTTAAAGAACTCTTTATTAATAATGTGGGTGTATTATTGTTCAGGGTATGTCATACTGGTCACATATAATTAAAGAATAATGATTAAAAAAGATCTTTGTGCTCTTATCAATCCGCTAGTATTTTCTTTAACGTAACGAAAATCAACACAAGGAGTCAAGGACAGAAACAAAATCGGAAGCCACAAATGACAATGAAAAGCGTCGTAATTTACACGATAACTAGAAGAATAATATATTTTAATAGGAAAACGAGATATATTAAACCAAACGAAACCGAGGCTGCACCGACACCAGACTTTTCTCTTTAGTCTCGAGACTATCATCATCATGACAACACCGGCAATAAACGGTCTCGGCAGTGGCAGTGTGTCAGTCGCCCCAGCTATCAATATTAGGGAGCTTTAGCAGTGACTACGAGTACGACTACGAGTACGAGATTCGTCATTCTCGTGCGTTGTTTGCTTACGCCATCAGCCAAAACTCGTAGTCGCCGGGCTTTTGAGTACGAGTTTTTTGATAAATTTCGTACTCGAAAGCCCAACGACTACGAGTTTTGGCTGATGGCGTAAGCAAACAACGCGCGAGAATGACGAATCTCGTACTCGTAGTTGTACTCGTAGTCACTGCTAATATAAAGCTCCCTAATAGCTTTTCGCTACTGCAAATAACGTAAATCATGATTTATATAAATAATTATAAATATTAATAACAATTAGCCGAGCATTTCCTGAGAAGATGCGTGCAGTTTAGCAGTTACGCAGTTAAATTATCGCAGAGTCACATTTTATTCATTTCTGGCACTCCCAACTTCTCAAACGCAGAATATTTCTTTTCCATAGTTATAAAACACAAAAAAACATAAAAATTGAAGATATGCTTTCACAATTCGTTAAAAAACCACTATAAAGTCCATTTGTATAAGGTTTTTCCGGTACTGTGGTATTTTTGGTATTCACTAACAAACTCAATCCTTTAACAATATCCGTTTTTTTATCATAAAGATAAGTGCTAACTATGCAATTATGATGAATGCAACAATCAATATTTTTTTTTATATTATAACCATTTACTTGGTGATTACCAGACAAAGTGGGAATATTTTCCAATTTAATATATTAATAACTTTAAATATCATTTTGCCGACTTTTGCTAAATGCAAAATTTAAGCAATTGTGCAACACCCACTTGATAGCTATTTTCCTGACTGAGCAAAAGGAAGATTTCCAAAAATGGTCAGATTCATGTCCCAATGATGGTGCGTTATCTACCACACAAGTGATCTTGTTCATTTCTGAACTCACAAAAAACTGTGTCAAACCAAAGAATCCTAAGAGCTAGAACTATTATTATTATTTCAATAACAAGTGTCCTGGAAGTTCTCATTAACTGATGATCAGAGATACCTGCATGTGCGGGGATAATCCTATTGAGGGTGTGAACAGCAAACACCACAACAAATCGCATAGGAAAGGAATTCTTTAAAATAGAATTGAATACAGTATTGCAAAGGATTTGCATAAAACAACATTGTGTCAGGACTAGGAATTGTTTAAAGTGCATTTAGGGCCCATAGAGAGTACTCTCTTTCTCAGAGTGAAACTATTATGAATGAACTACAGTGTTAAGTGCATGAAAGACAATCACTTTGCTTTTGACAAGACTTCTTTTTTGTTAGAGTAAGAATAGTTTTTGAGAGGTCTTTAAAAGGTTATTAAAAATATGGAAAAAAAAGGTTTGCACTCCAGACTAGGATCAGACTAAATAAGAAAATAAATGACATGCAATGACTATGTTTCATTAATCAGGATGTACATTTTAAATTGTGATGGTTTGAATCTTACTAAAATCATTATGCTTTACAATATAGATTTTTTTATAGATCAGTATGGATCTCATATAAATTTAATCTCATACAAATCTGTTAAAAAATATCATTTAATTATAGGTTTTTGGAACTGCAATCCCAGGATTGCAATTCTAAATCTTAAGTTCGAGATCCACTTGACGTGTAGAGTGGTGCTTAATTAAAGCCTATATTGAATGGTTGCTATATGTACTTTCAACTATCATGCTGACAATAATTACAAGAATGGGTAAGTATCTGAACTTTAATAATTAGCACTGTAATTAATACAACTGCAATTGAATCATAGAGCATTGATGCACAAACATATTGTACTCTTTATATAATGTCTGCACCAAATTAATCTACACACATGTACCCTAATAGCAGGTAAACTATTAAAGTCTGACATTGTTATCAATATGCTCAAACCTTGCATTAAGAAATTAAGTGGCCTTTCTGCACCTATAGAATCTAAATGCAACAACATTGTCTACATTCTCGAGAATTCTTCCTACACTCTTAGTGTGCATTCAAGGGGGCACAGTTATACATTTTTGTTGACAACTATAATGTGTACATTCTATGACAATCATACACCTGTGTATATATTTACAACATTACATTGTGAAACTACCCTAAAAACGAAATTTAGCCACGTTATAATTTGTTGCAACATTCGAATTGGTAAACTCTAAAGTAATAAAAGCCGTGTATTGTACTATCTCGTACACAATTTAAACATTCCATTCGTAATTGTCAAGTTAAGACCCAATTAATTACTAATATTAGATTGAAAACCATACACGAAATGCCAGGTAAAATTGCCCAAAAATTCAACTAGTAAAATGGGAACACTTTCGTTGCCCAGCAAGTGCCACTCAAAACACTAAAAAACCGTGGCAAATTTGATGCGAATATTGGATCTGATAATACCCTACAGATCAGAACTAAAATTTATTGACTGAATAAACACTCGTCTATGAATTTCTAATTTTATTTCCAACTTATACAACGCAGAGTTTTACTCATAAAATGTTCTTTCATAAAATGTTCTCAGTGGCAAAATGTCACAATTAACATTCGCTTTAACCTACTAATTGCAACAACATGGAAACGTCATCAAGAATAAAATGAAACCGTATATCCATATTAGAAACCTCTGTTGAAATATAGCGGTCGTCAAATTACAAGTGCTTACCTTATTTATGATGCCAGCTCATATATATTCAGTTCCCGTGTTTCCTTCAGTAAATCTTCACCACAAAATCACTGTGTTTACTATACACAGATAAATGTTTTCCTAACGGTTCTCCATTGCCCCTAGAATACGCTAGAAGTGCTTTATGCGTGTCGGAAACACACACTCCAAAGCAATGCCAAATGTATTTTTTCCGAGTAACTGAATATTTTATTCGGTCTGCTGGAAGCCGCGGGTAAACGCCCGCGCATGGCATGTATCGCCAGAGAGCGTAATCGAAAAATCCAGAAAAGTCCCATAATTTTTGGCATTTTCTCACTTAACACGCCAACTTTTACGGAGTAAAATTGGAATTTGATTCCACGCAGTTTACAATAATAAAGATTGTAATTCAAAACCACATTTCTTCAACTTTAATTTTTCAGTCGAAAACTGACCTGTTGGTCCTGTTCGCAGGTCTGAAGGAGGTCAGTCGTATCTAGGGAAGGGAAGGTCGAATAATGTTTACATCACTGGTTTATTTATACTATATTAAATGATACGTTTATTTAACGAACGAAATATTGATCCGTTCATTCCTATTGCAGTATCAACATCGTTGAATACCTTTTATTATAAACTTCTCAGGAGAAATTTGTTGGAAGTCGTAAATAAAAGATAGTCTGTACTCAACCACTCTCCCCCTCCCTTACACACAATAAGATTGAAACAAAATTTCCTGATGACAGTATTATGAATGAAAATAATAAACACAGACAATAAAGTTGATACGAAGTGATAACAACTGCTTTTATTTATTTCATGATTACCGGTATTCACTGTGATGCAGAAATATGAAAAACTTGAAAAAATCGGGGAAGGTATTGGTTTATAATATTCATTCGTCCTCGAGTTTATATAAATGTACTTTGCACCTTGTATGTGCTTCGAGTACTTCATGTCAATGTTTTAACTTTATCTTAGGAATTGTAAATATAAGAAATTGTAGATGAATCAGGCTCGTTTACTTTTTACCCAGTGTATAAGCATGGCAATGATGACAAAGTATTGAAGCCCGGTCTTATTAACATAAACAGGGCTTTAGAAATATCTAAATATCTAATATTTGAATATCTTTTTAATACAAGTAATTAACTGGTAATGTCTGTTGGAGGCCTGTGCTTACTTGGACAAATATCATATCTGGAGTATTCGCTCACTCGTAATGTTTAAAAATTTGGCACAATTAGACGTACCCTGGCAGCAGCTCACCCAATTTTAGCAAAACTTTCAAACATCACTCAATAATCTCTGAAATAGGTACATATGGAACTGTGTTTAAAGCCAAGAATAAAGAAACTCATGAGATTGTAGCACTAAAAAGAGTTCGTTTGGATGATGATGATGAGGTGAATTAATTAGGTGAAATCCAAGAATATATTGCTGATTAACTGGTATTACTGTATTAATAATAAGTTGTCTGACATGAAACTAAACAAAGTGCTCAGAGTAACAATGACTGGATCCTAATAAACTGGTATATCCAGAGCAATAGGCATTGGACTGCTTCATTCTATTTTGTCTCCTACCATGCCCTCTCTCCTTTATATTTGATATTGGAATGAAGTAGACCCAGCCTAGGCTGGACAAAGTTGCCAAATGTTAGTGGACTAATATATTTGGTAGTCTATCTTATCCAATCAATTGTACATCAGGGTGTACCCAGCTCGGCATTACGAGAAATCTGTCTACTGAAAGAATTAAAACACAAGAACATTGTCAGGCAAGTTGACATTATAATTTGTGTCTCAATACTGAGAAGCACATTTTTTACCAAGTACAACTCTATACAAGTAAATCATACTTGTTGGCCATATAAAATATCTTTTGTTTGTGTTTTTGTTTCAGATTATATGATATTATGATAAGTGAGAAAAAACTTACTTTGGTTTTTGAGTACTGTGACCAGGTGATTTCCTCTGCCGATTTCCTCTATACATTAGATGTAGTTCATTTATACACTTGTGCTGGGTTGTAGAAGACCCTGTCTGGTTAACAAAAATCACAGGATACATTATACATACCAGGAGGTTTCAAATGTTTATCAGTAAGCTGCATTATTTGAAAAGTCTACAAACTTTACCAAATTATTTTGTTGCCTTATAATAGCTATCATTGGTATACTTTTTATTAAAATTTTTATGCAGGATTTGAAAAAATACTTTGATAGCTGTCAAGGGGAAGTTGACGCTAATATTGTAAAGGTAACATGATGTATGTTCTGTCCTTATGATCTTTTTAAATTGTGTTTTGAGATTTCATAACCTGGATATATACCAGACTCCTGATTTGGTCGGTGTTGACGTTATCCTCATAATTTCTATAGATCAATATGCAGTAACAATTAGGCAGGGAAGGGAAGTCGTTAACGTTGTTAGTCAGTCGTTTTCGGACCAGACCGACGAAGTCTCGGATGATTTTTCTTTATCTTTGGGCGGTTTCGGGCGGTTTTTAGTAAGACCCGCCTCGACAGACTTTGCGTTGAACTCCAGTTTATTGGAGAAAATATTTTAAAATTATTTAGTCTTTCATGTATCAGTTATTACGAGGACTGGCATTTTGTCATGCTAATAATGTGCTACATCGCGACCTCAAGCCTCAAAATCTACTAATTAATAAGGTAAACGAAATCTTCACCTGCAATAATTGATAGCAAACTCTGGAAATTTTTTGAGAATATGTACTTGCTGCATATTGTGCCTAAAGTCAGGCAAATTTACCATTTACCGTAATTATTTAAAGGATGGGGAGTTAAAATTGGGTGATTTTGGATTAGCTCGACCGTTTGGTATTCCTGTTCGCTGTTATTCAGCTGAGGTTAGTTACACTCCTAATAAATTCCATCTTTTAAAGATAGCATGTTCAAATGCATTATAACAATGATTGCAAGCTTTAATTGTTATCATTACTAATTCGTACATTTTCTTCTGGTTGCATCTGCTTATTTCTGCGACATTAAAAGCCATGGTTTTATAACGAAAAAAAGTAATAAAAACCCTGGCTGCGTGGTGTTAGCATTAGTGTACTGCCTTCCATATTTTTTTTTATCAAAATGTTTCATTTATTCAACATTCAACAGGTTGAATTGCTCAAAAATGAATACTGTTGCTTTAGTATATCTCAACTCTAGGTTGTAACATTATGGTATCGTCCGCCAGATGTTTTAATGGGAGCGAAGATTTACACGACCTCAATAGACATGTGGTCAGCTGGATGCATTTTTGCAGGTATGCATCACAATCTTTTTTAAATTCAGAATCCTCTTGAAGAAAGGATAAATTCGAATAAAACAAATGGCCAGAGCTGTGAAATCTTACTATTACAAACATCTAAGAAATACAGTACGTTTCTTTTGGCTGTTTCATGTCAAATTTTGAGAAAGAATTAAAATAGAATTAAATTAAAATAAACGGTGATCAACGCTGGTAATCCACAATATTGGCTTGAATATGATTCTAAAATTGTTTATTTAGAATTGTCGAATGGCGGAAGACCTCTTTTCCCAGGGAGCGACGTTGATGACCAACTAAGAAAAATATACAAGTATCTTTATTGTTTTCCAAGCTCGAAAGCAGTTAGATAAATTTATTATACAATGTGACAGACATGCAAAATAGTACCATTGCATTACAGATAGCGTTCAGCAAAGCTGTATTATACTTATACGTGACGTGTCCGTCGTAAGGGCTCAGTCTTTCTGATTATTTAAAACGCTGTTTGCATATTTACTTGAGAAATTTGTTTGTAGTATATTTTTTTTGACGTACTGTACTATAAGAATCTTAGGATCACCAAATGAAGAGGCTTGGCCTGGAATGACAAAATTGCCAGAGTATAAAGTAAGCAAAGAACACTTAATAAAGGTGGCTCTTTTGGTGCCTCTTAAATTTTCTTTTCGTTGCTGGACGTATCGTGCAAATTGTTCAAGCTATGAATTTTTTCTTATAAAATATAGGATTATGGGTTCCATCTTCCAGTATCGTTATCTCACGTTGTTCCAAAACTTCCATCCATTGGCAGGGACCTACTACAGGTGTGGTATTCTCGTGTATTGCATTGTATCCTGGGTTCTGTGTATAATTTGTTGCATTTATATACATGTTGAAACAAGTAAAAAATTATCTGTTAATTTCCTGCTATTTTGGGCGAGCGATCGTTTGCATTTTTTTCATTCATTTTTTAATGCAAAATATGACAAGCAATCGTCGCCCAACTGTACAGATGAGACGAAGCGTTTTGTTGCTCAATCAATTTGTAGGCGTTAATTTACAAGAGCTATGCAGGCTAACCTGGACAAGTGAGCCTCGAAAATTTACCACCTCTCTAATAACACAACATCTCTAATATGATCGCATTTTATTTTCATCGTCTAGAAATTGCTCGTGTTCAATCCATTAATGCGTATGGCTGCAGACGTTGCAATGAATCATCAATATTTCAATGATCTTAATCCTTCAATCAAAAACTGATCACCTGATCTGTTCTAATTTAAGTAACTCCGCTTTCAAAGAAGCAAGAAAAATATTTCTGCATAATCGTGAATATACATGCATAAAATCAACTTTTGTTTTACATCAACTTCACCAATATCCCCAGGCAATATCCCTATGCTTCTGTTGGAGAATGCATGTGAAAATCTCTCAAACTACTTAATAATAATTAAACACTTTTAGCAAAACCAAAAATGTTGATCAATATTTAGCTGAAAAGTATAATAACTGGAATTGATTTTGACAGCAATGAGTATGACTAACTTTGTGGTATATAAAACTATACGCATGTTACGTTATTACATCATTTGTCTACGTCTATATATATATATATATATATATATATAATTATATATATATATATATATATATATATATATATATAGTCTTTGAATCAACTAACTTACTAAGCCATTATCCCCATATATTTATTAAGTGTTGCTGCTATGTATAACAAATTAATTTATGGTATTTTCGCCAAATCTAAAATGTGGTTTCTAACTAATGGTTTCTAACGAACCCACAAATTGAGTGAATACGTTGAAGGTGGAGCATTGTCTGCGTTGTAGCCAAAATCATAGCGAGGTAGAGTTCCACCAAACCTTGCGTAATTTTCCTCTGTTATTCCAACACCATGATCTGCTCGGCCACAAGCACTTCCTCCACCACCAATCATCATCACTGCACCATCACCACTATCCCAATCACACCAAAACCCAATGTAGTTACTACTCTGAATGTTGCTGCTACAACTGTGCTTCTCAAAACCTGCCGTAGTTTGGTACTGACCGCCGTAACTAACTGGACAATTTCCACGACACTGATCACTTGCCCAGACAGCACCATTACGAAAGTTTCCATAACTTGTGATTTTAGACCTGAATGTCCCACCTTGAAGACAATTGGAAGTGGTTTGTAGTAGAGCTGTGTGACTAGAGTCATCACTTCGTGTTATCTTGAATTCGTTGGCTTTTACTTTCCAGAATGCTTCAGAAATCATATCCTTGTTTTCAGATGGACTCCTCGGATTACCGAAGACGGAAGATTTGTCAAACCAAAATACACCATTTTCTATCCAATTTTTTGAATCAGCATTTGAAAAGCGACTTATAAGAGTCCATCCATTGTTGGACATATCACAGTAGGCCTATAGTAAGCGAAAAATTTAAAAAGAAAAAGGTAGGAGGAATATAGCCAGTCAACGTCTTGCGGTGTGTGAGAACTGAGCTTCTTTAAACGCTATTAATTTTAAAGATTTATAGACCACCATTCGAGGCGAACTCGTAAATCAAAATTTGGTTTTTGGGTGTTACTAAGCGAACTGGGCAAAGTTATTAGGTCTGACATAGCAGTTTTACTATTCCTATAGTTGTGACGACTAAAAATATATAAATTAATATAGTTGGCGCTAATTAACAATTATGACGAGGAAATGTCGCTGAATAAAACAACTCGAACTGATACTTGATCAATAATAGAAAAACGTTGTGACATTCTTTGTATAAAACTCTTTACATTTTGCATATATAGTTAAATTCTATAGTTAACTCAGAAATACACAACTCTGATTGGCCAATTCTCTCCTTAACTACAGTTAAAAATAACTAGTCTTTTATACAATTGGCCCCAGAACTAATGCTTAAAAAATCCAGAACTTGTCAACGCTGTTCTGTTAAGGAAAAAACTTTTTTAATTGCTCGCATTCTTTATACTCTAAATATGCACTTACCAAGTATCTTCCAATTCTGTGAAAACCGTTACGTAAACCAGGTTGCAAGGTTTTCAAACGTAGACAACCTTTTATATCTGTATAGTATAATAATTAATATAACATCAAATGTCAGAGCATGTAAACATTTTTAGATATTTGCCAGTCTCTTATTTTACTGCATAATGTAGAGCAGCATTCCTAGAAAACAACATATTTTATTTACGAGAAAAGCTTTGTGTCCTGCTTTATAAAAACATTACATGTACTTTACTTACGATTGCCTAGCGAAAAAAGTTCCAGCTTCTTTATTCTTTCCTCGATCTTTTTCTGTTCACTTTTTACCTTAACATTAATGCAAACTATATTCGTATATAACTCTTTTTCCTATTGTTAAATGTCGCGAAACTGATTTAACTGATTGCAAAATTGCAATTGCGAACTACGGAATTTCGACCCGCAGCCACTACACTTACCAGCTTTCTAAAAACAGTTTATCTGCGTAATGTAAAATAGCATAATCATTGGTAAATTCTAACCGCTTATCGGTTTATATTGTTAATTAACTGTGACAACAAGAATTGAAAATTATAAAAACTTGCATAGCGGAACAAAATCGACACTGTATGAACCATGACATGTTGATGCAACTAAATATATCAAGAACGAAATTCCCCCCTTATTTCATATTTAAATAGAAAGCATGTTAAATTCCTATTTCATTGTATCTAAGGTCAGAAGGTGTTATAATGAATCTGAATTTTGATCCCCCTGGCCCCAGACAAAAACAGAACTCTACTATATAAACTAGATCAGAAATCAACCTCGTTCCCAGGGCCTTTTGAGACCTTATAGGGAGGGTTGAGGCTGGATCAGAAATTACATATACTACGCCACTGACAGGTAGTATGTGTTGATGAGAAAAGATGGGAAAACTCTAAAATCAAGAGCTCCGTGTGCGGAAAAATTTATCTCACGAATCGTTTAGGGAAATATTTATCGTGTCTGCATGATATTTTCTTTATAGTATTTTCCATGCCACAAAGTATTTTTTGCCCATTGGCGAAATCAATTCCATATTTAATCCCATATATGTCATTAAGAGATATTCTCATTGAGAGTAATAATAAAAAACGACCGTGAAATATTTTCATTTCTGCATGTAATAACTTCCGCTAATACAACAATTAAATGCCAATGGTATTTTAAGTTGACGCCCAATGTAGATTCATCCGCCATATATGATTCAATCTCATGCAGATTTCAAATAAAATGTGCATGTACATTTTTTCTGTTGCAAATACCTCGTTCATCATTGCGATTTCCTTCCAGTTTTTTTTTCCACGAACTAACAGTGTTTCGGTTTTTTTTTAGGACGATAAAGTAAAAGTCCTGGTGCAGAGGGGATTCTACTTTCAGCTTTTCTATTTGGAGCCACCAAGACCTGTTAAATATTTCAAGATCTGATATAATAACTCAATATACCACAATACGTGCATGAAAAATGAACGTATTAGAACGAATGAACAGCATGTGCATGGAATATAGTTTACGGCATGGTTGAATAGACAAGCTTGCAATTGTGTGAGAAAATGTATCACTGTTAATAATGAATTTCGCTTTGTCAAATTGTTATACGTATTCTTACCGCACCATTCTTTTTTACTTCATTTGTGTGAGCACAATTACCCTGTTAGAGATAATCAAAACAAATAATTAGGATGTTTTAGGACTGTCTATGAACCTGAATTGTTATGACAATAACGTATACAAAAACCCGATGTTTTGCTTTTCTTCGCTTTTTATAGCTTTAATTACACGTTTACTACACCTTTCGTCGTGTCCCTGTTTCTTCGTCAAGACTGTATGTTACATTGTTCCCATTCTTGTTCGTAACAACGTATTCAATACATTTTCTCCAGGCTCGTTTTGGAATGGACGAGCGAACCCATATCCAAACATGGACATTTTTTGTTATCTCGCCTTCATTGATGGGAGTACAATCTGACGAACAGTAATTCTTTGTTCCTCCTTTTGGTCCATAGCACGCGCAGCACTGTATACAAAAAGATAACGTCAGTCGTTATACAAAACGCGATCAGGGGGGGCACATTGCCTTACGTTTTTGGACACACTTTTGTAACTGAATTTGATGGGAAAAACCAAGCATTATAAGGCGTATATATAGCATAGACGTACGGCGCTTTTACGTACCTTTGGGGGGATAAACAAAATCATGCATAGAAATGCTTCTGTCACACATTTATAAACGTGTGCTTAGGCATTGCCTAATGAAGACAGAAGTATATATGTTTATACTTCTATATGTTCATATTTCTTATATGTTTTATTAAAGGTTTTAAGTGAAGACAGAAGTATATATGTTTACCTTTCCATAGGAACACCCAACAAATGCAGTACTACTGTGTAATATCCCAGAGCTTGCTGCCCTCCTATGAGCACTGTAGCTATATTGTATAATCAAATATGTATTAATCCTAGTTTCCATTTATTCGTGAGTGTCGTGAACATGTCAAGGTGGCTGATGTGATGGAATATTTCTATGTATTAGCAGTCAAAAATGACCGATTTGTTCATGAAATGACAACAAATATAATTCACATCCGGACATTTCTCATCGGTGAAAATGACTTGTTCACGCGACAATTACGACTAAATGGAAACCAAGCTTTATTATATATAGATAACTGCATAAATAGTAAGTTGGTAGATAGACTAATGCCTGTTGGTTCACATATGACCGAGGCATGCCTGGGTTTTTATTGTTTATATTTGTTATTGCATAAATTCTTTTCAAAATTATCGGGTCCGTCTGATACCGTTCACATTCATATGTGAACCAGGCTTGACTTATTCATTATACCTGAAAGAGCCTGAATCGTCCAGTCTTTCCCCACCAAAATATGCAAAGCCAGGCGAGCAAGGCTGCTGAAGGCATCTGTTCATCTTTCCCTAAAAAGAAATATTTTTGAATTGCACATTCGTTATACAGAAAAGGAGAAAATATTAGGAATGCTTAAAAATGATAAACTGACGTGACAAATTAAACCTATAAGTTGCCGGACTGTTCTTTTTTTAAAAGTGTATATCAGAAAGTTATGTAACTGATGTTGGGTCCAAAGGTGAAGTAGTTTTCTAATCTTTTTTATGGTTTGTAAAACTTACCCATCCAATCAATCGTGAAAGGTGTCCACTAAAAAGAGAGCATCTATAGTTTCTGTTTACAACTTTTCCTGTCTGCAGGTCTTTGACGAAAGAAATATCACCAATTCCAGGATTATTTTTAGTACATCCTCCAGAATTGCGAACAAGAAGTTGACCAAAAGGACGCGTATTTGCCAATCTGAAACTCCTTCAGTAAATATATGGTAAAATATATTATTGTCTGCATGGTAATTTTTTGGCAAATTCTCCATCATCAAAAGGATAGCGGATGTATACACTTTACCAATGCATGCAGCAGGAACTCCAAAATTAAATGTATGAAAGATTTGACGTTGTGAAAGAGACCTACACTATAATATAATTTTTTAAATTTTCGACTCACCAATGAGCCTTTGTATCCTTAAAGTTTGATGTTGTTGATATTTGGAAACGTATATCTAACATATTAATTTTTCCAAAGATACTGGACCAATGAGGTTTTCCAAAAGGATCAACAGTTTCATTCGTTGAAGGAACAGTCCATGTGACAGCGTCATCTTTCTTTGCAACCAACAAGTATCCTCCTCCATCTGTTGTAACGTCACACCATGCCTGATAAAGATTTAGAAAACAGTATTTTCTTGAATGCGTGTAACCCCAATCAGTGGCTACCATGCGCGCCCTGTAGGATAGATATAATAAAACTGTACAAGCCCACTTATACAGTGTGCTTCAAAAAAAGGTAATCCAAATTCTATAGCCTTTATTTTGCGAGGTTTAGCTCTCTTTTTGTTCATGCCGTAGGGATCTCAACCTGCCTTAGAGTAAGGAACACATACTCAGTTATAATTAAGGAACACACCTTAGCCACATCTTCTATAGCTGTTGAATTTATCCAGTAAAATCCGTCAGTGGCATCAGGAACTCTGTCAACGACATCTGAGCAGTCAAGTGCAGGATTAAAATACTCACCGACAGTGGAACTCCCTAAATAAATTAAAAATGTATATGCATGAACCTTTAAAAACATTTTAGGGCTTGTGTCAAGTGCAGAAAACCTTTGCACTATAGCCCACAAGATATGTACGTATTTAAGTATAAATTGAACTACTACTGAGTACTAGCTGAACTGTCAAATCTTCAACTGCCAAAACATGCGTATAAATGCTCTTTTTCACAAAGTAAATGCATAAATGCTCTTTTTCACAAATCTTGCTCACAAAGCTGTCCCTTGAATATTCTCCGTGTCTATAACGTCACCTTCTTAAACTATGTATCCCCTTAGCTCCAAGAGCCATAAATATACATACCATCGATAGTTTGCCATAAGAATTCGGTGGTTTCTTCTGTGCATATAAGAACTCTATCAGCTCCAAGTCTGTCTTGAACGAGTTTTATTTCGCCGTGATTAGATTGGTCACATTGTCCTGGGTCAATGGGGTTTTTCTTATCAAGCTGCAAGTATAAAAAACTCAAAATCGAGAATAATTTCATAAAATCCACTGTGACGCACCAATCAATCAACCATTATTCTCATCATCTTTGACAAAATAACGGCTTGCCTTTGACTTTGTACTGTAATATAGTGTAATAGAAAGAAATTTAGAGACAAGGAAATACTTACAGAAAGTCTAACATACTTTGAACTATTCGTGCCAGCTCCAAACACCAAAAAATATGAGAACAGCGTGTAAGTTAACATCGCCATAGTCAGTGTTGAATTGTGTTGAAATCAAGAACCCAGCTTCTTTTATACTGTCTGTCAATAAGACATTTCGCTTCAGCAGAAGACTGAAGAAGCGACTTCCGCTGAATGTAGGAAATTTCCTCAAAACATCCATGTATCTGTTCAATCATAGCCTACAAGGCTATAACACAATGTCTGTTAGTGACGACGATGTATATAAAACTTATTCGGGCCATAGGAAAAAGATATAATATATAGAGAATTTTATATTTATGCTTATACTATATAAATATATATATAGTTCTAAACACTGTTTCAAATTCAAATTTTTGTCAATATCTTCAGCAAAACAACGCATTTTTTAAATTTGAAAGATTTATTAAAAATACCTCACGCAGTGCATAATCAGTAAATTTGAAAAGAATGTTTGTTTTGATAAATATTTTCATATTTCTCTTTATTCTTTTAAACGACCTCGCAATTGCAGGTAAAGACAAAAATGACGTGGTAATAAACATTACCTATATTTACAACTAAATGGACGCAAATGCTTCTATAAAACCAAGCCCTGGTTTGGCCAATGATGTCCAAAGCCTCAAGACTGAGTTTATTTGATTACAGACACAGCTGGAATTTTGTTAGGCCTATATATACCAATATCCGGGTGAAATAAATAGCACATTCTTTGGAAATATTTGAGTTCCCTCAAATATTTCTAGCAAGTTCTTAAAGACGTAGTAATTACATATTATGCATGATTCCAACTGCGCATTGTTTTGTCATGCCATGTACATATTCAGCTCTGTTTCTGTGCATGATCCATTAATAATGCCCCGTACGGGCCAGTTTTCCTTGACAAGTTTCCTCGACCATGCAGTTCACTTGCTGGTGTGTGCGAACAAATTTTCCTTGCCAAGTTTTATTTTCCATGTTCCTACTGCGCAATTCCTGTCAAGTTTTCCTTGACGGCCATACACACGAGCTTAAACTTTTTCCTTGCTGAAAAGCTGGCATGACTAGCTTTTGAACAAGGCTCCTTGTCAAGGAAAACCCGTCAATTTTTTGGCGTACACACGAGCAAATAAAACTTGGCAAGGAAAATTGGCCGTCTGTACGGGGCTTAAGCATTAAACAATATTGTGTGTGATACGACCATGGTCGTATTCGTCATTTTCCGGCCAATGCGACCATGGTCGTATTCGTCATTTTCCGGATAATACGACCATGATACGACCATGGTCGTATTCATCATTTTCCGGCCAATACGACCATGGTCTTATTCGCCATTTTCCGGCTAATACGACCATGATGGTCGTATTCGCCATTTTCCGGCCAATACGACCATGATACGACCATGGTCGTATTCGTCATTTTCCGGCCAATACGACCATGGTCGTATTCGTCATTTTCCGGCCAATACGATCATGATACGACCATGGTCGTATTCGTCATTTTCCGGCCAATACGACCATGATACGACCATGGTCGTAGCATGGTTGTATTGGCGGGAAAATGACGAATACGACCATGATCGTATTGGCCGGAAAATGACGAATACGACCATAATGTTAGAATCCATTCCGCAACAAACAGGGAACCAAACCACGTGAAAATACACAGGATATATTAAGAGAATACTATATCAATGAGTTGATGATAAACACCTCGTTAGACAACATTACTCATTAATTAGCCAATACATAGCAATCAAATCCGTACATACCAATCACATAAATGGTTATGCAGTGATATTGCTCGAATTTTAGTGGAAAATACTGGCAAAAAGAACACAGAAAAATCATGGAAATTGGACTAGTTTTGTACAGGGTAACGTATATTTATGCCTTGCATGCAAAGATATAGTGCGGCCATGTAATAGTTTAGATCCATATTTGAGATCATTTGTTGGCGTAGTCTAATATAGTGTTTGTTGTGAATTAAAGTACTGCAGAGGCTTGCTTTGGATAGGATCTTAGGAGCAAAATTAACGTAATGCATTTGTTTTGAAATCATCAGCGTAATAATGTAATTTCCTCGTTTTTTCGCTGTGCTATATGCTCTTAACCATGGATACAAATGTCCCAGAGAGCGTCTTCTTCATCATCAAAGTTACCCAAAGAGGTGTGTAAGCGAATTTTTTTAGCGAATGTTCTCCCATTTTATTTTGCGATAGCATGACAACCATGCAGCCAATCTAAATTCACATAACACTTTATTTATTATATTAAATGATAAAATCACTTTAAATTCTACATTTTCAAAAACTAAATTTCTAATAACTATTATCTTAAATTCTATTTTGAAACTATTAATTATATAATCAGCGACGTAAATTATGCAGGTGATCCAACTTACAACTTAGTTGCAATACTTGAGAACACTTTGAACATAAATCAATTAAAATTGCGCTGATCATCCCCATAGAGAGTATTAAAATACTTCTAAAATATTGTTACAGATTTTTTATAGCTTGTTTGGTTCTTGTAATATTTTGACATGCTGACGTCAGGTCTGAGGTGACAAAAGTTTCTGTCTTGCTAGACATGCAGCTATCATCGGCTGTCTGACAAGTCAGCTTTAAGCCAACCCAACACCTGACATGCATGAGAACAAAATTTAACGCGTTAAAGATTAATCCAAGATGCCTGACAATTCATGACAACTCGTTGTTTCCATTAAAAATTTTACATGCATAAACTAAAGTTGTAGTATATCAATATTCTATAAGTCGTATTTCAATCTATTTTACGATCGTCATATCTTATTTTCTGGATGACCTGGCTTGTTCCTATGACAACCAGATGACAAAACGATCTTGAAAAACCAACGTAGATATCCATATCACGTGGTGTCCAGCCTTTGGGTATAAAAAATATCAACACCCTTGCCTCCAATCCTTTGAATCGCTGATAGGAGTCAACAGTAACGGGTGGGTCATTCTTACCATTCTTGGAATATTTCAACTCGCACCATTTCTCAGAATTTACGGATTTTATACTTTCATCTTGTAAAAGAGTTACGACTCTATTGACTTCCGTGCCGCAGGTGATAATGGCCATATCAAACAATGGCACACCTTGTTCTTGCAATTCTTTTATTGTGGTGATCAACAAATTATTCAGCTGATCAACACTTTCTCCTGGGATGTACTCTGGGGATTTACCGTATACAGAGTGATTTACGGTTGGGGGAGACAACTCCTCGTTAGAGAAATCCGCCGTAGCCGAAGTAACTTTCTCCCGCAGATCGTCATAACAGTGGCTATAGGCTTCATACACGTTATGGGTATTCCGAACAACTTTGGTCAGCGAGTGTCTGGTAAATCGCTGGTTGATCTCATAGTTCCTTGGTCTAGCGGTGTTTCTTCTTACCACTTGAAAGGGATCCTCGAAGATCCAAATGCTGGATTTCTCCCGTTTATTCAACATCGAATCTAGTAATCCAAGCCAATTACCTGGAAGATCTTGTGCTTCATCCACGAGGATATGATGAAATTTGTGCCGTGTGTAGGTAAAATGGGACCCAAAATACTTCTTTATAATCTGTTGATCGATAATATAGCTTATCATATCCTCTTCAACTCCATCATCATTCTGCAATTTTTCAAGTTTCAAACAGTAATTTTCTATTAGACAAAAATTACCCACACAGTCGTGCAGAGGAGGGTCGGTACCTACCTACATATACGAACAAGTTTCGCTACTGGTTTATGATAACAACCAAACAATGAATTATGAAAATCTAATTTTTTTTACCTTTGAATTATCGCTTTTGCATGCAGTAAACGTATGCATATGGTGTAGTATGATATATCTATGGATACATCCAGCAGTGTTAAATAACTGTTTTTAAAACGCTGCGTCAATGATGACTAAACTATACAACATAAAATCTATGACAATAGTTTTACATACCCTCTTTTTCATGTCTTCAAATTTCTCCCATTCTTCCTTGTCCCCTTTTACAGCTTTAAATATATGGTGGAGCAACGTGCAAAAGGTCTGAACCCGCACTGATTTCCCTTTATTTTTGGCATTCGTCTCAACCCATCGTCTAAAAATAAAAAAAAACCCAAAGTTAAACATCTATCACATGGCGTAACAGTCAACTTGAATATTATGCACTGAATATGTTGCAAACAGTAGCTTTGTATTAAGGTTAAAGACATTTAGTTTGCTTGTTGAATAAAACGATAAAATCTTGCTTTCTAGCTATTTTGAACTTAACCACCGTTTAGGCTAAACGGGATTGATAGCTACAACCGTCCCCTGGATAATAAATGTAGGGGTCAACGAAACAATCTTGCATTGCCGCACCGCATGAACATGGTTGTTAAAATGCTGTTAGGAATTGTTGAAGCTTAGCTTCGCTTAAATAAATTGTTACAACTTGTTGATAACCATGTTTGTGAGGTGTCCCACAACATTCTGTTCAAAATGTGCATCACCAGCTACGTTTTAAGCTCAGTTAGGAGAGAAAATATGTAATACTATATATTAACATTGTTTTACTAACTCTATTTCCTTATTGACTGGACAATTGTATGTAATAACAAGAATCTTCTTGTCGTCATCATCTTCTGGGTATTTATCAGCCAAAAGTTTAACCCGATCCTTTAAGACGAATGTCTTGCCAGTTCCAGCAGCGCCCGTTATCCAGACATCTTCAGAATTTAAATCACGGCTTTTTAAAAGATTCGCCTGTTCTTTAGTGTAACATTTAGTTTCTTTAGTTAAGTTGCTATCAGAACCGCATATTGCTCGTCTTTTAAATTCACGGGCGTTGTTAAACGTAGTTCCGTCGGACTGATGGTATTTCAGTAGAATTGCCGTTACCATTAAAGTATAGTCACTGAATGGAATTTTTTGTTTGACGATGCCTGTTCGTCTCAGCCAATCTTTAATATCAACCAGGCCTTCCTTAAAAAGGATACGAGTATCATCCTTATTCTCTATGACTATATCACAACGGGCTAGGAGCGGAAATGCGACGACCTTGAAAGTTGGAAGACCAGAAGGTATAAAGTCAAGCACTGATACTTTTCTTTCCAACTGGTCTCTTGCTTTCAAGAATTCATTTTTGGCTCTACTTTCTCTTTTTACCGCCTTGCATTCAAATATCACCAAACCGTGTATGGTCACAAAAATGAAATCAATTTCCTCGTGGTTAAAAATACGATCATGAAAAACAAAACCATGCATTTTTCCCCTAAAATGTTCTGCAGCACGGCCTCGATTGTTGATATTCTCCAGTGTATTGTACAGAGTGCGCTCAGCCTCCCTACCACTAGTGGAATCTCTTGTATTACGTTTAGGAGTGAAGATACAAGGGATCATATGGACTTTTGAAGCATGACTCTCTTGCTTCCAATCTAAGAAAAAATTTTAGACACTGCGAGATACTGTGTACAACATGATGCATGTGCTTCTAAATTGTTCAATTGTAAAACATGAAAACCTTAAGGTATATTACATTGTCATAGTGTTCAAAAACAAAGAAACAAAGAAAATATAAAAATTTAGTGACATCCTATGGATAAACATGTGCAAGGCACTCTCATCCCTTAACAGTTGACCTAATTGGACACAAAGTCATTTGCCTAACTACAGTATCATACCAGTGCCATATTCCTGTTCCAATTTTTTAATGACAGTTGTGGTAACTTTTCCAGTTAATAAATCATTCTCTGCCACTTCATCAACCTCCATATCTTCTACATTCATCACTGCTTCTAATTGAAGATAATGTTAAGAGATTATACTGAAATAGAGATGAAATGATAATGTGATTGATGTCTCTGCAATCCTGGAGCAGGATGCTACAACAAATAATCAATTACAAATTCAACAATGATACCAATCCAAATATTACTTAGAGGGAGGCATTAAGAAATGAAACCATTTAAATGGATATTGCTAGCCTCCTAGCTTATTATAGCAATCATGTTAGGCATTCTTTATTGCAAGTGAAAACATGAAAATGGTATATGAAATAATTCTGCCAAAATTTGGTACCTTCATTCTTTCTTTTTTGTGATTTCTCAGCCATGACCATCATCTTGCACACCTAGATTAACTAAAAGAAGAGATTTTTATATGAAAATCAGGCATCACAGCTGGGAACATTAATATAAACATGTAATGTGGTCTCGTAATCGCAATGCTTGAGCTGTTTCTTTGTTGTCCTGAAATTAAGCCATACAGTATTTAATACTGCTATAAAATTGTAAGAAACTCTCGCATTGATATGACTAACCGGATCACTCAGGATTTTCATCAATTTAACCTGCTCAATTCTTCTAATGCCCTATGTACCCTGGATATTTATTGATATAAACGTGGCCATAATTTGTCGCCATATCAATGATATCATTCATTCATTCTTTCGCTACATTTATTGGTATTATTTATGTTTTTCTGTATCAGTGAAGTTGATATTAACGCGCAGAATTATTTTGTTAAGATCTTAACTTACTTATCAGTCGATTAAACTTGTTTATTTTTGTAATTTCTCAATATCTGTTGTTGAACAACCGTTTTGACTCGAGCTCCTGTGATTAAGATTTTCACTTTTCCGCCTAAATATTTAGCGATGAAATACTTCATCTTGCATAAATTCAACATGGCAGCTGATCTCGACAAATCACAAACCAGGGCGTCCTGCACAAAACTGAGTTATCATGCGCCTGGAGTTATTTGTCTCCGTTCTTTCAACTAATAATATAAAGGGAGAAAAATTTAGATTCTAATTATCGTTGGGTAAAAACAAATTTGAAGTGGTAATTCAGTTTTTCCGAGAATCTGGCTTCTGATTGGTTGATTTTTATACTCAGATCAGCTGAAAGTTACTGGAAGTAAGTTTACATGAAGCGTCGTTCTCGTGTCAAAGCTTATCCTCACACTTACGGATCAAAATATTTTTTGCATGTAATTGGAGAATTATCTTTGCCTCGTTTAGAAACTCGAGAGTAAGAAAAACAAAATGCAACCATTTAAAAAAAAAGTTCAAGTTTAAAACAGTTCTGACGTTCTGACGTAATCACAGAAAAGATCTATTATATTGAATTGTGGAACGGGTCAAATTTACACACAACATCACCGACATGAAATGAATCACGAGCAGTATAGGGACTACAAACAAATTACATCAACGGACCTTATCCAATCGAAAAATGAATTTGCCGAGGGCGTGCGGTCAATCTGTGAAGCATGAAACTTTTTACTTCCCTATAGGCTATATAATGATGGTACTGTAAGTTTCGAGTACCAAATAACTGAAAAATTTGACCCATGACTGGGACAATATACAACAGAACGGATCTACGGGTCGGCGTGTGTTGACTAATGCTTAAAAATAATTCAAAACTAACAGCTGTCGACGCTGAATCAAGTGTATGTAGTTCATATATGAATATCGCAAGCTAAACACGTTAACGGTTATAAACTGAACTGAAAACTTCAGCACAGCTGAAAATCTAGCTAAAAATAAAATCAGTGAAGCCAAAGCCCAAAGGAAGATCTGTCAAAATCACAAAATGTAAATATATTTATGACATCTTTTAACATACTGTGTAAATTCATATCGTAAAAATGAGAATAATCATTGATTAATATGTGAAGAAATAGTATATTTTATCCAGTTCAATTAAAATATAAAGCTCTACTTTTATAGCGCTATTGACGCTTCAGTTCTTCGCTTTTGGTCTTTAAATATTTCATATTTGAATATATATATATATACCGCTACTCGTTCTTTCCAATATTGTTTTTTGCACATGGTTGTAGTTATGCATACATATATAGTCTCAAACATGAAGAAATTCATGGGCCAAGCTTGCGATTCTGAATCATTGCATGCCTAAAGTCATGGAGACAATCTTGAATAAATCCAACTATCTTCACCCTCCTTCCAGCAATTGCTTTTCTCAAAAGATTGATTCTCTGAAAGTTCGTTTCTTCGGAACTGTATCCTATCATGCAGTCTATTCATTTGGCCTTGCCAAAATTCAATAATCCTCGGAGTAACGAGATATCCTCCCCTGTCATTAAAAAGGGTTGTTTCTTTCAACAACAGCCAAATTAAAGATTGTGATATTAAGAAGACTGGTTAAACACAGTTTAAAAGTAATCTTACCAATATTCAGGTTTTGGAATTTTTTCATGTTTTGCAAACTTTTCCGTTAATTTTTCTTCTCTTTCAACCAACACCTTATAGGACAAAATACAACTCACTGCATGAGATCATGTATTCTGCCAGCACCGCAAAATTGCGGTTTTTGTTAAGTCTATTTTAGACAGTTGATATACCACATTTGATGCGACCTAGTTAAAAAATGCTGCCATGCTGCTCCTTGGTTATACCAGAACAACAAAACCCAATGGATGACAAACCATCTTCCCGCAATAAATACAGAGATGGTAAACAATGTGGGACAGAAAGACATTATTTTACTTTACCTGTCTGTTTGGTATGGGTAAACTCTGGTGACTTACACAGGCACCAATCTGACTACCCAGTGGTCGAGAATGAAAGTAATTTGTTGACTCCTCTTCACTCAATTTACTCACTTCACCTTCAATTCTAATCTAAAAGACACATTTAAAATTCTTTATTACGTAGTATAACTATGGATGATGATCTCAATTATCAGTTATCTATACCTGTTTATGTAATGGCTGCCAGTGAAATACAAGTGCAGCATTTGGATTTTCTTCCTAAAAAAATAGTTAACAAGTCAGCTTCATCAGATAAACTGTGCCTCATGAATGTTTAAGTAACCTTTTGACAATTGACTGGCAGTCAGAAAGCACCGACCTATTGGGTATTTAAGAAGATCAGCTGAAAAATTAGTGTTCTTTTCTTATACTTCTTGCAATGTTCTGCCTTAAATTCTTATCATGTCCAACTGCAACCTTCATATAAATATATTATACAGTATGTATTATAATACTGTATCACTTACCAACTCTTGTCCTTTCCTGCTTTGGTAATTTGTATAAAATATAAATCCTCTGTTGCCAAAACCTTTGAGAAGAACTATCCTGGCAGATGGTATTCCAGTTCTAATTGGAATGGATCAATAATTAAATGTTGTAACAACATCTGTGCACCTAGCTACAGACTCCAGAGTTTGGCATTACTACACCCAAGATGAAATCAGTTACTAAGTCTAGTCTCTGCTGTATAGTGCATTTATATAGTGCATTAAATGCATCTAACCCTGAGCCTTTTCACAAAAAAGATCTTTTACAACTGAACCAGGGGCAATTATAGAATACCCTACCAACCCAACACTTAACAGTGAATGCCATATAGTCTTATAGATAAATGTACTTCGTTTTATGTTTCCTAATGCATGAATTGGACCTCCAGAAAACAAGAATAAACACCATCTTTAAAGAACAGGGCAATTCTATACTCTAAAATTGATCCTCTAACAGATCTTCAACATACTGCACTATTGGCAGGGTATTCTATAATTGTACCGTGTGTATAATTGATAATTCCACTCGAAATTAAGACCCTTTGAACCTTTCGAATTTATAGTGCTTAGTGCTAATAGAGATTAATAGTAAAATAAGTTTTTTTAAACCTGGTGCAGGTTGCAAGTGTCATTGCATTTGCTTCCTCGATTTTATCACAATTCTTCGCCTCATTAAACCAAATGTCAAACAAACTGATTGGATTTATTGCAGGAAGATTCTCAGTGTCTAGTTGTTTACCAGGATCGTAATCAATTCTCATCCCAGAAATGTTTGTGTCGACCATTTTGTTTGAATAGGACGTGAATAAATGTCGTTTAATGACTTGACCAATTATTCCTCCACGTGAAATCATTTAATAGAAATGAAGAACAATTGTCAAATACATAGTAATCAAAGCAAAGAAAAATAGAAAATGTGAATCCTGAGAAAAAAGAAAGTCACGAAACAAAATAACAAATAAATAAATCCATAGGATGTGCCCGCGATTCAAACTACCTCGTTAAAAAAAATACTTCATTTAATCCAATAGTATTTATTCCACTAGTATTTTAAGGAGTGTGTGTTACACCCTTGATACCATAAATATTATATATGTATCTGTTCTGCATCTTTAGCATGAATGTTAATTTGAATACGAATTTTCCTCTATTTTTTATCTTCCTTCAATACCAAAAATACATTCCGTCTATGTCTTAGCTAAATATATGTATCAATTCATTTGTATATGTATTTCCATTACAAGATATGCTCACAACGCCCATACAAGTTATTTTATAAGTATGGGCTTTTTTACAGTTCCGACTCGCTCTTACATCGCAGAGCCGAGAGCATTGTTGGAGATTTCAACTGAATATCTTGAACCTCCCGTTTGGTAAATACGAACTCGAAGTTTTCAAACCGTTATTTGTACAATTAGTGATCTAGGACAAACTATGCCACATTGCCACAGCATTTCGTGGCGAATTAAGCATTGAATTCCAATGATAAAGCCCGGTTCCAGTGGCAAACATATCAGGTCCCACTACAACTTTTCCAATTATTTCTTTGTTGTTTTTTACAGTTAAAACAAGACTGCTGTGGTCTAATAAATCATCAGGTAAATCAAAATGAAAAGATTCGTTAAAAATTGGCTCGACGCTGTGTTTCTTTGTTGTTCTTCGTACGTGAACTGTCTTGCCACCAATCATAGCTATCATAGATATTTTCACGACAATCGCTGTATAGGAAGAAAAAATATAATTATCAGTCATAAACGGTATGAATCGCTTGTCTCATAATCTCAGTAAGACAGCCTAACAGAGGTTAGTCCCCTATTCAGCCTGATCACAGGTGCGATATATTCCCTTTGCTCAACAAAGGTATTAGGTATCTTCATGAAAAAGGTACTGCCTTAGCATGTCTGTCTTCTGGATTAAAAGGGTCTGTATTAGTTGAACGTCAACGAATGAAGACTGAGTCTGTATCAAAGTTACGTCTTCTAAATAAGATCAATCTCTTAGAAAAAACACCCTTATGAACGGATCTCTCCAAGAACAATCTCACTTACATGGCTTCTTGAGGGTTCCCTCGACACCAAGCCCCTTGCCTTTCATGATGGAAATTGCCAATCTCTTCGCTGCTGGCAAATATTGCAGCGAGAAGAGAATTTCTCCGATACATGCATTCTAAGTGAAAAAGAAATTAATAATAAGCAAAATTTAAATAATCTGATGAATCATGATCATATACCGAATGATCATCACCTCTAATATAATCAAATAATTGTGGCTGGAAGAATAAGTTTCTCACCTCAACTTCACAGTTTCCACAATCTTCAATCTCACGCCAGATTTCTATACAACCTTCTTCTTTAAGAATTTGCTCATAATTTTCCTCCAATGGAAACAAAACCCTTCCGACCGCACTTTGACGAGAGAATCTATCAAAGTCAAAGATTGTGAACCTCAAAGTACGTTCTTTCAATTCAGAGAAAGGACAAAAGAAGAAAAACGTTTCGTTGAACAACGGATTTGATGTTTTTTGACGTCCTTTGGTCTGTAACTTTTTCTTTTTGTCAGGAAGCAGACAAATTTTTACATAAGGTGTCGCTGAACTGGTCGTCGAACTTCTTCGTCTTTGTCGAATTCTCTCCGCACAAACCAAATCAACAATTAGTTTTTCGTCTTCAGTTTCATATCTTACGCTAAAACACAACCTGCCAGGTCCAGTAACAATAACATCTGTATGTTCTTCGATTGCGTGCTTGTAGAGTTCTGGATCAATCATGGTAGCATCAATTTCCCCGCTGTCAGTAGAATCAGTATTGTTACCGTAGTCTTGAAACGTGAAAATTTTTGGTATGTGCGTTGGCACAACAAACCCAAATTCGTCTTTGGGATTGTCATTTTCTTTTACTTTGCTATAGAGTGTCGAGTTTTTACGAAGACATTTAAATACCACGACAATCGCTGACAACAAAACGATAACAGAAACAGCACTTATTAGGAAGATTAATATGTCAAAATTCATTGCTTCCGTTATAAAAGTTGGTTAAACATCCCCTATTTAACAAAAAAATATATATAAGTGTTTGTTAAAGTGAATCTTTCTTTATCATAACTCGTTCAGAATCATTGAAATATTGTCTGTCCTGAACTTGAGGGTATGCACGGGTCTAAATATTCCCTGTTTGTTTCAAGTATACCAATATTTAAGTCAATACGCGGTTAAAAACTTTTGGTTGTTTCCGAATAAAACCGGTATAATATGGAGCCCGCTTACTGAGTCGTTTGTGTCGCAATACGCATTAATTGTTGAAGTTGAACAGTGTCGCTTTTTTGGAACTTCGTCTCTCATAATGTTTTCCTTTTAGTAGATTATTTTATTCTGGGATTTTCTACCTAACCCCGGTGCAGCGGTGCCATTCTTGACGCTTGCTGGCCGTCTAACGTTTCTCTCTTCCGCTTGTTAAAGATAGCAGACTAGCAGTTGCTTCTCTCCCTACCGGCCTGCCCCTACTGCAGCGCTGCTGCACCCTCATATATAGTACCTCAGGCTGAGCAAGGCATTACCACTTGTAATAGGACAAAGAGTGGAAAATATCAACTGATTCATCCGCCATTTATCAAAAAACTGAGATCGCACCGAAGGTCGCAGCAAAGATTGCAATTGCGAAAAACCTCGATATAAGAAGAAGCACAATTACTTCCTTGCTCTGAGTCATACAGTTCTAATTATAAAATGATTAGCAAAGATATTTAGCACTTATTGAAAGCGGAACTAGATATTGGAACTGGTTACGCCTAAAACTACAAAAAATTCAAGGATACAATTTGAGTGCTACATTATCACATTGGTGAGAAATTGTTAGAAATTAACGGTATATAAACATCACCTCACCTACTATTTGCAGTTTAAACAAGATGAAAAATATTTGATAATTACTGCTGGTTAAAATTCCAAACGTCGATCAGTTGTATAAAAAAAATATAAGGGACTGGCAACCGGCAAATAATTCATTCCTAAGATAGTGTATTTGCTAATATTTTTATTTTGATTTGCGAAACATCAGATCATCGCGCATTAAACAAACATATTGATCTAAGGAAATACCTCCGGCTCCGATATACAGTGAATATCTAGTCTATAATTAAGTAAATCACTCACTCACTCAATGTTAAAAAATGCTCCTCCAATCTAGACAATCCATGCCAAAATCAATTCACGGCTTTTAAAGGCTCGTTGACGTTGTTATACTAAACAAAACAATTTCAATGATAATGTCACAATGCTCACCACGGCTGCCTCACACGAACACTGATGCGTGGGCCAAACAGTAACATAGCAATACTCCCCCACCTGCATTTTAAATGCATCTTTTTTCTCTTCATAAGTATAATATTTGTTTTTAAAGAGAGCTGTAAGGTTTCATGCAATTCGACACTCATATTGTGATTCAATGAAAGTTGTTTTTTCCAAATTTTAAACCTAAAATTGAACTCTGCATTAGATGGAAAGGGATGATTGGTCATTTGTTCCTATTGAGTCAGACAATGACATCAAGGGACAATTTAACATTAAAACACAAGAATAAACATTTCAAATGTTCAATGAATGGTTTTGATCTAATCTAAAGTTAGGAAAGCGTTTGGTTTTTAACAATGTAAAAAAACCAGATGGAAACTGCTAGACAGAAACGAATGCTGATGTCGCGAATGGTTGTGTTATCTCAACGATCGTGCGAGGAATATGCCATTATTCCACATATTACATTATGCATGAAGTATACAAGCACGTACTGGCCACAGCTGTTGAACGAAATTGTCTCAAAATGGCTGCGAAATTGTTATAACAGTAAAATATTCAAAACAGGATGACTCTATATAGCAGAATAGAAAAAGGAGCACCCTAACCCCAGCCCTAAGGCAGTGTTCTACATAAGCACACGATACTATAACCACATCTGTATTCACACAGCACAGAACAGCAGGCCTGTACTGCCAACAGTTTTGCTTGAAGTAAACAATCATAATAATCAAGTATGAAATTCGAAGAAATTGAAGTGACGCGGATAATTTAGCTACTTTAGCTGAATTTAGATCATGGATTATACAAAAGATTATATAACCATGGTAGATGGTCATAAGCATATCAAATAGAATTATTGCTATTATTGGGTATAACTATATTATCTCCCCATCATATACAACTATGTGTACTTCTATAGCTGATCTCTTAAAACATTCGCTATATTATTTAATTCAATGCCTGTATAGATCTTTACTGTACACATCTTTAATACAATGTATAAGATCACAGAACTCGCCGACCTTATAAAGCAATTTTTATACACTTATTATTATATATATTTAATGTTGTCGGTTTTTAGTGTTTTTGAAAACATCACGTTCAACGAGAACATTGATCAGAGATCACTCATCAAGATATTTAGACTTATGGTAATCACGTTCCATGGATTTGTCTTCGACTTTGATAATGTATAGACATATTTATACATACTCAAATACCTAAATGATTAATAACCTATGACTTTGTATAATGTTTCTAGGAGAAAATCGATATATTATACAAGCATACATACCTTGCGTGCGTTGAAAGTCAAGACGATGCTTATTGGATCAGCTTAAGTAGCTACGACCCCAGTTTTTCTCCTTGATGTGTGATGGGTCATCGAGTGTTTTCTGTTTTCTAACAAAGACTGACAATATACCTCGTAGGTGGTATCATTTGATATTTAAAATTACTCAAATATTCCTTTGTCTCCTTTTACGTTTTTTCACTCTGTCTATATTCGACATTAATTAATTTGTTTGACAAGTAAAACATTACAAAATATCTCTTAAGTACACTGACTAACCAACTACCCTTGCTGTTTACTTTCAGATAATAAAAGCGGATGTCAGGGGTTCAAACTTCAAAAACTAATTTGAGCATTCTTAAATTTTAAGTGTAGTTTTAAAAGACGTCTTTCATCGCATACGAAAAACCTAATTTATTGTTCGGTAAATTATCTCAGCTCAACAAAGCATAACCCACTCGAAATATAATCACAATTCATGTCAAGGCAGAACTTTAAATAGGCAAACAAAGCCGAGTTCCGCAATATTTTAAAATTGCGGAAAGTCCTTATACTTTCGAAAGAATGAAAACCGTTCTTTATTTTTTAAAATCAGCTTCTTATATCCAACATGCATTGATCTAAGACGGAACAAGATAAAGCCATATATAGCGACCACGCTTCACGAATAGCCAAATTGGATAAAATTGCAAATTTATAAGTTTGTGTTTTTATAATCAAACTCTTAAACACGCTATGCGGCTAAGTATACTTCCTTAATTTGAAACTATATTGTCATTTCTCTGGTAAGTAAACAACTTAAATTTGTTGGACCAACGAAAATACCTTTCTTTTAAACTGTGTATCCAATGGTTTGCTGTTGGTGTTGTAAGCAGTGTAATTTTTAAAGCTACCGCTAGCAAACACCACACCTCTGAGCTGGTATCAAAGTGAAACCACTGGTGATATTTGCTTGAGTGGAAAATGCATCAAATATTGAACACTATGCATGGCCGATATAAAGAAACAATTGAACGGAAATATCTCTAATTTCTTTTTAAAACGTCGCACAACACTAAATATTCTAGAAATCTTAATAGCATATTCGATACAGTGCATGCTAACTAGTGTAAGACGGTTGTAGGAATGTTGTCTTGATAAAAACTTATTGTTGTGACTGATCCCCAGTTCACTTACATTATACAAACGTCACGGTTGTGTAAGAATCTGCATACTATCCTAATGTCTTGTGCACAAGTATACTTCACAATCATCTTGATTGCAATTGTATACGTCAACACAGTATTGGCGAAGAGTAAAACACACAAACAAACAGAGCCACGAAAACACAGCCAAGCCAAGGAAGGTGTTTTTGTGCAGCCAATTTTCAGACTAGGCATGATATTATCTTCTACGCATGCTCTGCAAGTACCTTAGCGTCTAGGGCTTTTATTTTGCCTCCCAGGACCTGGCCGAGCACGCCATCAAAAAAGTGTCTGACACAGGTCCAGCTCTGTGTATTATCTACTCTGTACTGTGTGGTAATGACGTAATGTGCTCAAATCAAAAGGATAACACTGAAGTCGAGTCGAGAATTTTTGAATTGAATTCAATTCACACACGAGAGGATGCATGATTATCCTAATAACTTACAAAATTCTTAAATTTTAATACAATGCTATTATGGTATCCTAGATTGTTGAATTATAAGAAGGTTTAAAATTCAAATGTGAAACTTCTCTTTTTTTCTTCACAGCCGCTGCAGGAGGGTTGACTTTAGAGGCCATGGCTTTTAATAATAGAGACAAGCAATGGGCAACCTGTGGATTAGGAGCACAGGATAGGGCTGGAGTAAAACCGTCCGCATCTTCTGTAAATATGTCACTCCCTCTAGTTATCAGTTCCTCAACCACATCTTTTATGCCATTCTTAGCTGCTACGTGCAATGCTCTAAACATGAGAAAACGGCTGTGGGAATCATCGTATTGCATTGCGTGGGGTATTTTTAATATAAACAAGGCGAAGCTTCACTTGCAATACGCCAATACCTATTCGCATCTCATCGATACGGTTGACAACGTTTGATTAGGTTAATGAACTTATTACGCTGCCTGCCTGGTAGAGACGGGCATTTATTTCAGGATCTTACCAATGGTAAGATTGGGGTTGAATTTCGAAGTTTAAATTAGATGTAACACACGAAAATGCTTGGTCGCAATATTCAGAACATCATGTAACAGGAAATGAAGAAACTTACGTTTGACCTCGTGAGTTGGCGCGATTAACAACGCTATCAGGTCCTTGCTTCAGAAGTAACAATGCACACGAGGAGTTACCCTGCAACACAATAATTATCAAATGCCAAAGTTTACAATATTTCGTTAGAAGGGTTGATTCTACAACTACCGTGTCTGAAATTAGTAGTTGGTTCTACGACTCCTACCTCAATGCAAGCGAGATGCAGGGCGGAATTATCGTCATTGTTAACAAAAGAAACATCTGCACCATTTTTTAACAGAAATTCTAAAAATTAATTACATACTGCCATTTAATGATGCTTGTAATGATGATGCTGAATTTTCTTCTTTTGGTAGATGTGAACGAGTAGAGAAGTTATGAATGTTCAGAGAAGGAGACCAAATATAAATCTGAACAATCTTTTGTTCGCTCGTTAACATCAATCAAAGAGGATGTAAAAATATTTTCAAGTCACGTACCAATTGCTCCGTCATGACCTCGCTCTGCAGCGATCATTAATGGTGTATATCCATCTACGTCAACAGGGTTGATATCTCCCTCGTGTTGTTCTAATAACTCCATACATTCCACGTGATCATTATATGCTCCAGCATGCATAGCGGTCCTAAAAACAAAATATTATCGAGACTATAGTATAGGCAAGGTGATGTAAAACATGTTGTTGTAAGCGATATCGATGTTAACATAATGTGATTGATTTCCAGGTTTGCAACACAAACACAAGATTTGATTCAAATCCATTTGCGATTCTTCGTTGATTAACTGTTTCATTGCTTGATTGTTCAAAAAAAATAGAACTAACCTTTTTTTCTTATCGACTGTATTCACTATTTCATCAGTTAAAGTATCCAAGAGAAGCTCTGCACAAGAACCATTGTCGGTTATTCTAAAAAAAAATAATGAATTCACAAGACAAGAAGGAATATGATTGAGAAAGATGATATGCTCGGGAGAAATCCAGGTTGTTTTAGGCGGAGATTAGGACAGAGAATACGACATTGACTAGAATGGTGCAAGTAGGTGAATATTGTAAGCTGATGAGGGGTTTCATTACAACGTGTACAGACATAAGCCTTTGCTTGGTACCCCGCGATTATGTTTCATTATTTATTACAATTCCATGCAATAATATTACCCACGGTAACTTACACCGCACAATGAAGAGGCGAAAAGGGGTTTCCTTGAAATGTTTGACAGTTTTCGTCCTAAAAACAACAGAAAGTATTAATACTTTATATGTATAATCAACAAAAAACAACATATACTCAAAACACCTTATTTGGAACATAGTAGATGTTCCAGCTACATTAATACGATCATTCCTATTCATTCATGCCTTTTCGCAAAGTTAAACAAGATCGATATGAAAGATCTCTTTCTCAGCGAGAAACACCTCTTAAAATCTAATCCAGTAACTGGAGAAAATATTCCAGCATTTTCTACTTTTAACTCACCTCTAAAAGAACATCGACACAGCTGTCGTGGCCTGGGAAAAAAACCAACATCAAATTCAAGCTCAAATGCCAAAACATGCATAGTCATGCAATGACCTCAGGGGCTGATAAACTCTGGAAAAAGAACCCACCCTGATGGTCTGTGAGTGGGGTCTGTCTGGTAATTTAATGTTACTGTAACATACCGTTGTAACATGCCCAGTGTAGAGGTGTATAACCACGATCATCAAGAATATTGCCAGTGCCACTGACTTGTAATAATGAACCTAAAATACCAACATGACCATATGCGGCCGCGAGATGCAAAGGACTTGTACCATTACAATCTCTGAAAATATATCCGACATACATTCAATGATATTGTCATAATAATGAGAAGAAATAATGAATGTAGTATATTATGGTCGACGACTTTCACTTACTGTAGTTATAGAGGAAAAACATTCTTAATTATCACGGTACAAACCTGCTGAGGGGATCGGCTTGAGCGTTTAATAAAGTATCTACACATTCTTCATGACCATTTGCTGACTGAAAATAAAAAAAAAATTATCTATTATGAGATACAGCTAGTTTACGGAACGTTTCCTCAAAGAGGACGGCAAGGATTGTATTGGGACTGCAAGGGACGTATAGGAATAATATCCAAGGGACAGTAGAGATCCTCGCGTGCTCCAGAACAAAAAATCTCTTTCGGTAAAAAGATGAGAAAATTTTGAGAGTAAGACCGCTCACCGCTCCGTGTAAAGCTGTTCTCTGGAATACATCGTTCGCCAAAACATTACATCCTTGGCTAAGTAACAACGATACACAATTACTATGTCCATTTGCAGCAGCTAACATGACTGGAGTCCTATGAACGAAGAAAATTAAAAAAATAGACTAAAAACAAGAGACTAAACCTGTAGGCAATGCACCTGCATGATATTAATTCATACAAACCTTTCCTCTGAATCTGTTGAATTTACGACATCGGATACATTCGCATTTTGTAGAATAGTTCTAATACAGTCAGTATGACCGTTGTAAGCTTAAAATTCAGGGAACGTTATTAGCATGAATTTAGCCGGGACTCTTTGCACTGATTCCTTCTTGCATGCATCATGTAATGCTCTAAACTTACCGGCAGCGTGAATGGGTGTCCTAATCCCATCAGGAACTAAAACAGTTGCACCATGCATCAATAAGATCTCAACACATTCGCTACAAAACCATAACAAATACGTGAAATTGTGAAATATGACTAAAATGACCCGTTATAATATTCTGTACTTACTAATGCCCATGGGACGCAGCTAAATATAGAGGAGTACGACCTGTGATGACAAATAAAACACTAATTTAACAAAATATATCATGAACGAGAGCTTGAATATCTGATATCTATACCTGGTTCTTGCATGCATGCAGCTGACTACTGTACGGTATTGCAAAGAATAGAGCTACAGTGTATTCGTATACAAGTTAGACAATGAAAACAAAGATGCCCAACACTGAGCAGAGATATTTCGAGTATAATCTGTCAACAAATCATCGAGTATAATCTGCCAACAATATCACCACACGTTTCTTGCTCGACAACTCATGTTGGGTAATGATAACATGCATGCACGCTTGGTCAAAAGATAACCTGGCTGGCTAAATACATGACACAATAACATCTTACCATCACTGTCCTGAACATCAGGACTGATGGCTGAATGAAGCAGAGCATCAAGAGCTGTAAAGTGACCATTGAACGCCTAAAAACATTTGCTTGTTTGAGTCAAACATGAGCTGATAGATTGCAGAACTCATACAGTAAGTAGTTATATTATACTTTCATGCACATGTTTTCTAAACATTCATTTATAAGAAAGCACATTCTTACCGCTAAATGACACGGAGTTACTGACGGTGACCCAGAACTAGTGTTAAAAATGTCTGCAGAACAATGATCTAGTAACTACAAAAAGAAATACGAATTATATTTTTCTTCGTATTTAACCCATGCAATGCATTTCATTGTATATGGATAGAAGACTATATGTCTGCTTATTTTTCGTTGTAAATGAGTGGGCATTTGGTGGTGAAAAACGACAATATACAAAGGATTATATTTATAAAGACTCTTACTCTAAAACCTTTCTCTATATAGAAACTAACTATATCTATTTTACTAACCATTTCTATTGAGAGTTTGTTTCCTTTTACAGAAGCATAATGAATCGCAGTAAATCCTTTCTTGTCTCTCTTGCTTGCATTGGCGTTGTTCGTAAGTAAATGTTCAACAACCCTACGAAGAGGATAATATACAATTTATGATTGCATCGACAGACACACTCGGGCTCGAAGTTTTTGTCTATCAAAGTGTTTCTTTATCATACTCTTCTCCAGGTAAACTGAGTTATTAATGTATTGAGATCTCTTGAAGGTTTACAAGCTAGCTACATAAAATCTGCAATTAATATTTATAGTTGTATATCAAATAAATATCATACTTAGCATCTTCATCATGAGCTGAGGCATAGTGGAGTGCTGTACACGATTTAGAATCAGATTTATTCACGTTACACCCAGAACCAACTAATAACACAACGCTCTCGTAATGAACATGACCAGCCGCGTAATGAAGTGGTGTTCTAAATGAAGGAAAACAATCATATGCAATTAAACACTGCTGTGCATTAAGTTAGCTAATACCAGGTAATCACTTGAAATGTGCAGTTACAATATTACCCATTGAAGTTAGCTAATACCAGGTTATCACTTGAAATGTGGAGTTATAATATTACCCACTGAAGGTTACAATTTAATAAAATTGGAAAGACCACGCCCTGCATGATATGACATGAGACAAAATGTTCGACCAGTAAAAATTAAACAAGCTGGTGTCTGATCCACTCGAGGAAAAGACGAATAAAAACGGACAGTTAAATTTTTCTTTCGTAAATACTTTAAACTGTACAGTACCTTCCAAATTTATCGGCGACGAAATGATCTGCTCCGTTACTCATAAGCAGTTCAAGACAATCAACATTTCTGAAAAATAAATTTATCAACTTACTTCCCTGCCTCGTGCACCGCAGAGGATCAGAACATTCAAAATTGACAAGGCAAATGATTTGGGCTGATATAGCGGCTCGTAAAAGTGAAAACTTTTCAACTCGTTTTCGACGAGATACTCTTCCACGACAAGTTAAACCACTACTAGCTATAACAAACACTGATCTTGCGTAACCACGTACCCACTGCATGCTGCGCCATGGATACATGTACGATTATTGTCGTCCTTGTCATTCACTGATGCTCCTGGAGATAAAATATGTATTGTAAGATAATAACTATATGTTGCACTTCATTTTCAAATTAATAATGATAGAAATTATGATACCATATTGTAACAGCTTCCTGCAGCATTCAATATGACCAGCCAAGCTCGCCATATGTAACGCACTCATTCCGTCATAACCAGCTCTATTGAAAGATAACATCATCAATTATGTATATTACAACTGCAATACATCTACACAATGTGTTCTATTATTTCTTTTTCACAATTATTTTAATTACTCTACTCTAATATAAACACAACGTCAGTAGTTTTCCAAATACATAATGGTCTAATGGACTTCAGCTTTCCTGCACGAAGACGGGAGATATGGGTTGCTGATACATGTATTTCTGGCTGCGAAATACTCTGCACATGCATGCTCTGCAAACCGCAGCATGAAGTCCACTACAAATTGAGGAACACTGTATGGAAGAACGGGGTACACGGGGTATAAACGAATACGGGAATTATACAGAAACCGATATCGCTTCTGTCCTAAGAATGAGCAGAAAATTACTTTTTATGATCAGCACCACTCGCCAAAAGAACACAAATAACAATTTGTTGTCCATAATACGCTCCAAGATGAAGTGGAGTATTGCCATTGTCGTCTGGTGAGTTCACATAAGCCCCTAGAATAAAAACACATTGCTCGAGTTGAGTGCTTCGTGTGTGTGTAACAAACCATTTCACTGTTAAAATATATAAAAATGGTTAATTGAAAAACAAGGTTGACTACAAGGAGATAACTTCTTACCATGTTGAAGTAAGGTTTGGGTTCTCTTATTTCTTCCACTCAGAGCTGCTAAATGAAGTGGAGTCTGACCTTTCTTACACTATCAAAAGATAAAAATGTTGGTTCATCATTCCATCAGTGATAAACCGCAGAAAACTTTCTTACCTTGGAATTTGGAGTAGCTCCTTCGTGTAATAAAATTTCTAATGCCATATCAGCGTTTTCAGCCGCTGCAGCGTAGTGCAATGGCGTCTGAAGAAAATGATAGAAACTGAACGTTTAACGAATCTCCTTACGCAAAACACATGAGTATATCTTCATCTTGTGAGATCATTTCATAACGCAAGATGTAGTTCTTACCAAGCCTTTGTTATTAGCAGCATTCACGTTAGCCCCGTGGTTAATCAACTCCTCGATAACAACATCTCGTCCATTACAACAAGCAACATGAAGTGGAGTATTGCCCAAACTGTTTGGATTATCAACCTAGCAGATAAAAAGAGTTTCACATTTCAGGTTCACTAATATGTAAAAAAAAGATCATGGAAACGTAACGCACGTTCACAGCATGTTTTGAGACATGGAGTATCACAGAAGGTAAACGATTTGGCATGACATCTAGGCTTGATTTGACTTGCATCTAGGTTTGATTCCGGCTGAAAGCCACCCGCTTATGAAACCAAGTTTACCCAAAAACAATACGTAAAATACTGAGCTTACCATAGCACCAGCAGTAATTAATGTTTTGATGGCATTTAATTGACCTCCAGCAGCGGCAGCGTGAAGTGGGGTGTGTTTCTGAAAACATAACAACGAGAAAATAACACGTCATACAATGTATATTTCGCTAATTCTGGGAAACTTGAGAAACACTCGTGGTTAGTTAGTTCAGTAAGACAATCCCACACAGTTACCTTTTTGTCTCTGCAATCAACTTCCGCACCACTTTCAATCAGCATTTCAAGACAAGTGATATGACCTATGGAGATTTTATAAATATTTTTCACATGAAACGAATTGTTCCAGTGCAATTATACGACCCATTCACAACCCTGAGTTCTGACCGTGCTCCCCCACAACTCCATAACTGCTCTCATGTGAACTTGAAACAGTCTAATATCCAAGGGAAGCTACGTACATGCAGGTATATAAGATCACATACTCGAGATTATTCTGTGATCTTATTTCAAAATTTCTATCACTCCAGTCATGGTAAGTTTTCCTAAAGTCAATCTCACCATGATAAGCTGCCCAATGAATTGCCCTCTTATCTTTTTTATCAGAGCTGTTGACATTTGCTCCATGGCACAATAATAAATCCACCATCTTTAAATAAACAAAGCACAATTGATATTAGAAACGTGTCATCAACGTGTACACGAACGAGAGTACCAGCGGTAAAACACGACTGAAAATAGTGACATTGACAATGGGAAGTGTTCGCGTTGACAGTGGTGTTAATATAAATCTATTTAGATTCAGCAAAATTGACTGGTGTTTGCGAAATAATTCACCACAAAAAGCAGGATTGTTTCATGGAAAAAAGCTGAAGGGAGCCATTTTCATTCACGTCACAACAAAAACCCCCGCAAGGCACTATGAAAACAGTCAACCCCTGCAAGATACTGTAGAGTATGTTGTACCTGAACATGACCATTATAAACTGCATGTTGTAAACTGGTTCGTCCAGCACGATCTGTTATGTTCACATTTGGAAGATGAGGAATAAGCAGCTCTAAAAGATTAAGAATTCTTCCTAAATTTCTGATCGATTGCAATTCTGAATGTCTACCGAAAAAACTGAATATGATTGTGTGTTATGTACTGTATCATATCAGTTGATATCACAGCTAAGACTAAGAGTATCATTAATATTACACTGTACATATATTCCTAATCATACAAATAAGATCATTTGTGGTTTCTTTTATTCTTTAATAGTTCACAGGAGGATTTTGCAGATGTTTACAACAAACAGCAAAAGAACCAGCAGCTTGATTGGACTAACCTGCACATTTCACATGGCTGTTTGCTGATGCTAAATGCAATGGTGTTTGCCAATTCTTGTCTCTTGCATTAACATCAGCACGGTGTTTAACTAATGACTTCACACATTCCTGAACAAATCATTACGAATGAGTTTTCAAATTACAAGACAATGTTACTACAGTATGAGCTTCAGTACTGTACACCTGTACACACACAGAAATGATCATTACTAGCTACTGAAAATACCATATAATTAACTAAAAATGAGCAAACAAATGTTGATTCAAGCAGGGTTATTAACATACTGTGTTTCCAGAAGCACAAGCCCGATGAAGTGGAGTCAGCCATCGGGTGTCTTTTGTGTTCACTTGCGATCCTGGAAAATAAATAATAATTTGTAACATACAGTAGTGTGCGAACCACAACACTTCAGCAAATCATTTCTTGATTGGAATATTTGCATTGGAAAAACACAGGTCATCATAAAAAGATTACATATAATATATTAAGTAGCCATGCATCATTCTGCCAAAGATGTTTATAGTGTAGTGGTAATGATTTAAGTTCTGTAAGGATATAAATTGAAACTCACCATTAACAATTAGAGTGTTAAGAACTTCAGTATCTCCTAAATATGCTGCAGCATGCAGTGGAGTTCTTCGTTCATGATCCTGTGAAAAATATATTTGATATATTATTGCTAGAGTAGATGCTGAGAAAACCTCTGACAGCAGATACGTATTTACATACTAAATATCATTACACACTGAAAATCGTTAATCTGGGAAATCGAAGTCTGGCTAAATAATGTAATGGTAATGTACAAATAATATTATTAAAATATTAAATATCATTTACCAGAGAATTTACATCTTCTCTCCTTGTTATAAGAGAACGAAGTTCCACAGCATCTCCTTGGAAACATGCTTGAACTATTGGTTGCTGCAAAATAGAAATATAGAGTTTTATTCAAATTTCAATAGAATTTTCAATTAGTTTTCTTACACACAAAGGTAATTACATCATGCTAGACAACTGATAAATCAAGGTTACGAAATAAAATGAATTGATATTTTTTTGTTTTAAATATGACAGTTAAGCATAATAGTGGAAAAAGTATTTAGATCAGGCATTAAAATCTTTACTAACTTACACAAAAATATATAACAAATATATTGCAAACAATATCTTTTAAAGGCAAGTTATACTATCTGATTGACTGAAGTCAATGTGCGACAGTCTTGTAGTCATAACAAGATGATAAAAGTAAATTCCTCACACGACACTCATTAAACATCACCCCAACAACAACACAAAAATGATTCAAAAAAAATCTTTTTCAAAAATTCTAATATTTTTTTTCACAAAAGCTTTTGCGACATATCAAAATATTAGAAAACGTAACTATATTGAGTGGAATCAGACTTTTGGCACCAAACTGCATATACCAATATTTATGCATTGTCCAGCTGTGAGAGATCAAACAATAATTTCCAACATTGTAAGAAAACACATTTATTTCAAATAGTTACTGGAAAAGTACGTTGAATCAAGGTATATTTTTGTGGGTGACCATAAACCATATTTGATGCGGCAATAATTAATGTAATATTAAATATCCTATTGATATTTGATTGGTCGGAAATCGATAAATTTCATACTTACAAGTACATCGTAAACACCTAATAATAGTGCATCCTAGCAATGGAATAATTTCTCCATATATTACAAAAATGACGAATAATAACAAGGGTATGCTCTAAATTTAATTTCGTTTTTTAAAAGCGATTTTATCTCACCTCATCTGATAACTGATGAATTACCATGTCCGTGTTGGAAAAATCATCTGATGAAAAGCACAATACCGAGTGAATACAGCAAATTATACGTCAATTTTCATTGATCCATAGTTTTCTATAATGTCTTTAGATTGGGATTATCTTGTTACCTAATGCACGCTTCAAACTACCATAAAATGAGCAGCTAAAAATAATTTCACTTCGTTTTATTTTGCCAAAATTCCGCCATATTGATTCTAGCAGACAGAACGATATTATGCTGGCGAGAGCACGCAAATACTCTCTTCACGGCACGTTACGAGTGTTATTACGAGTAGTAGCCGACGTTGCTTTATTGCGGCATCAGGCAGAACCAGGTTCAAAAATATTTTATTTACATAAATCTTGATAAATTACAAAAATCATGTAAAAAGTTCTAGTAATAAGTTCCTCCAACACAGTGAAAATAATACAGAAATGAAAGAGTCTTGACTGAGTTTTGTGAATAAGTTTTATTACTTTCACACTTATGCAGTTTTATGATCAGGTACACATAGATGCCAATGAATCTTTTGCAAAATCATGGACATGTCTTCGTAACAAGGCATAGACATCCTTACAGCCCTTTTTTGCAAGATCAAGTATTTTTTCTAAGTTATCTGCATGTAACTTTGAGTCCAGTCTGAGAAGGACAATTTTCTCAGATTTTGGCAAAATTGCCAGTGTTAGTTGAGGTGCACTTGATGATTCTTCAAGATAGTTTATATCCAAGAGAGCTGATTCATTAATAAAGCTCACTGCACATGAACACACATAATCTTTCATTGGAATACCAGCATCTAGTAATGCTAAAGTTGCAGCATTAATACAGGCACTGTAGTTTCCTCCATCAGCTTGCAAAATCTGCAGTAAAATAACATATTTATATTGTATTATAACAGTTCTATCTAAGTACAATTTTAATTTTTATAGTTATCTAATTTGCCAATTCCTAGAATCGTTACTGTTCTCAAGTGTCAATACCCTTTCATTTCAACATAGCATCATGTCCTCCAAAAGAACCCCACCTGAGGGTGTTAGTACCCACACAAGGCCCTAGTAACTACATGTTCAACCAGAAAATTAGATATAGTTATTTGGCAAACAGCATTCAAACACTCCAACATTGTTTTATTACCTGTACAAAAATATCAATTTGTGATCTTGGATAATTTGAAGTCAGGATGCATGACTCAAATGTTCGCTTAATTGCCATGGATATTTCAACAGACTTTCTATCTCCTTTAGCTCTTGTCTTCCTCTCTGTAGTACTAAATGTCGCCATGCTAAACTCACAGTTTATTAAGGCTTGATCATGACGAGCTTTCGCCTTATTTAGGACCTCGTGGGGACCATAAACTGCGGCCAATGTCTTGGTGTTACCCATTTCAATATACGCCGAACCATCAGCTTGAGTGAAAACACCCATACGACACACTAAACGGCGTAGTTCGTTTGGTCGACGTCCATCTAGACGGAATCCTTCAGGTGAAAGAATCTCTAGACCTGCCATTTCCTAAAATTCACAATCTTTCTCCCATCTTCACAGTGCTTCTTCAGTATTCTATTTTTCCAATACTTCATGTACACACAATATTAATAATCGTTATTTCGAAATTTTAAAGACAGAGAACCACTCACTCACAGAACCAGAAAAAAAATTTGGTAAGTTGTCCATCTGACTAAATTTATACTCTATCTAGTTATATTTAGACACAGATATTTGGGGCAAAAATTTCGTTTGATACTGTACTATGATTTATAGAAAACTGAAAGAATAGAATTGTCAAACAGAAAATTTAATATCTGTACAGAAAGGGCTGTAGCAACTGGCAAGCACATAATTTTTCCATACCTGAAGGGTTTACGTTTTTCTGATAAAATGGGTGTGGTTAATAACAGTTGGTGCAGGGTGCTGTCATTTATCAACTTCAGCAGTGTACCCTATCCTTTTTTCAAGATGACTTTATCAACTGAAATATAACCCAATTTTGCCGAATAGTCAACTTGTAGATGCAGCACCCTCACACACCCTGCTTTAATTGCTATGCCCCTATGTACTGGTTAGCTTTTGATTTTACCTGTTATGTATAAAACATGCAATGAATATAGTCGGGAAATGACTCCATAAATCAATAATTTAAGCTTTATTAGGGAAGTATATCTCTATATTGCATTCCTCCTCAGCTTTGGTATAAAATATATTTTTTAAGAACAATATGTGGCTTTACCAATTAATAACTAGCGCAGTAAGTATTCTGAATCATTGCCATGAATCATTGCTTATTCTGCTTACATAGATTGTCAAGAAAAATATGTTTTTGCATGGTGTTTTTGTCTATTAATAATAAACAATGAAAAAATAATAATACATATTGTTTCTATAAGCTGCCTGACTAGTTGCTGGTCTACTTGGTTAAAAAATATGGCATCCAATGTTATCCGTGGTATCATTGGGAAGACTTTGAAATATGAAGACACCTTACCAAGTTTGCCAGTACCAAGATTGAAACAAACTTGTGCAAAGTATCTCCAGTCAGGTGGGAAGAAGTATCATATTTTAATCAGTGATTGAATGCATTTCATTCATTATATTGGAACATAACTGTTGATGGTGTTTTAAAAAATGAAGACAGGAACAATATGTTAATACAAATTCAATAATGTTGAAAAAAAACAATTCTGGTCCTGTGGTTTTGGAATCATACCTAACTCACCAATGCCTAATACCTGACACAAGAAAACCTCTCCATTGTCCAATGATGTATTTTTGTTTTTGTAGTAAGACCTTGTGTAAGTGATGAAGAGTTTGCCATTACAAAAACAAAGGTTCAGGATTTTTGCTGTGGAATCGGTCCAGTTTTACAAAGCAAACTTGAAAAAAGGGCTTCTCATTCTAAAAACTGGGTAATTTGAAATTGCAATGTAATAGTATTGTAATGTTACTAGTTCAGAGCTTTTTGTTATATGCTTTCTATGTCTACAAACCAGTTTTTCTACAAACAAGTTATTTCTCAATACAATCTACCTCTAGCTTGAGAAATGGTGGGAAGAAGAAGCTTATTTAAAACCTCGATATCCTATTGCACCGTTAATCAATGTCTCTGGTCCAATGATGTTGTATGAAGATATATGGCCTGCTCTGAAGGGAACACAAATCAAACGAACAGCAATCACGCTGCATTTTCTTCTGAATGAGTGGAAATTACTATATAAGTATGAGGTTTATTTATTGGTCTCATTTTATATACTTTAATCTAGTGACGAGACTTACAATATGTTAGTTTTAATATTTACTGTAGTTAGAGGCCAGAGGGTCTTAATCCCACCCACACAGGTCAAGTAGCGGTAAGGAGTAAGCAGTCTTGGCACGTTTTCACTTCGCAGAGAATTCAGACACTAAAATATTTGATTCCACTCTTGAAAGAGTCGTACGAGACATTTGTATACAAAGATGGTCAGATGGATTGATTTCACGGAAATCTTATCGTCTGGGAACGATTATGCAGCGGTCATTAGCAATAGCAATAGCTACCTTAACTTAAGCCTGGTTCTCATATGTGTCACCGATAATAGACGATTGTATTGTTGGTGGCCGGTGACGAAAAATTATTTAAAAAAAACAACTTTATTGGTTATTAATCCCCGACAATTCATCGCCGACTGTCAATGAGATTCGAGAACCAGGTTTAAAAAGCAAGCGACGGTTTTTAAAAGTTCAAGGATGGCTCTTGTAGTCTTGTTTTATTCTTCATGATATCCTCCGTTGTTGTCGAAGACGTTGTTCTCTTCAGCTTTCCAATGAGGGTTTTCTATAAGATTATATACGTGCCTTTATTTCACCCCTTGTTTTGCACATTGATTGATACAATACTAAACTTACCGTACGGTGCTTATTCAATTTTTATCTACAGTCAAGAATTTCCAATCGATGGTAAAGATGGTACGCCACTAAGTATGTCTCAATATTATAATTTAATGTCTTGGTGTCGATTTCCTCAGAATAATGTTGACAACTACATGGCTTTGTTAAAACCAGGTAATTTGAAGTGAACATTTAGAGATTGGCCATTTCATGATGAGGTAGATGTAAAGTGTTCTCTTTATTTCGCGCAAGGCTCGCTGATGTAAACTTGTTTCTCTGCAGCACCAAGTCCAACAGTAAGATATGTAACTGTTATGACAAAGGGAAGAATATATAAATGTGATGTTTTAAATTCTGAATTAGAGCCAATTAGCATATCGGAAATTGAAGCGTAAGTGAACATGAAAGTGAAAATTGTTATTCTTTGCAGTGGTCATGATCTCCCACCTACCCCCCCCCCCACATCCTTTGGGGAAGAGACAACATAAAACGACTCAAATAATTACCTCTTTACCCTCATGTCCCTGACGTCAGTAAAATTTTCTGCAAGATTTCAATTTCAAACTAGGCAACTGAGGCATATTGTAGACGATGCATCTCAGAAACCAGTTGGTCCAGGTTTGGGAAGTCTCACAGCCGAAAACAGAGAAACCTGGACAAAGGTACATGTATTTCATATCTTCTCAGAAATACGTTGTCAAAATGACAAAAAAATGGTAAAAAAACAAGTTATCTCAACAGTAGAAAGGCGTTAAGACGTTAATAAAACGAAGTATGAAATGCAAAGCTTTAATAAGATTTGCCCATAAATCGTGGCCCTATATGACTCATTTACGCGTTATTTTAACGCTTTTCTTTCAGGAAAGACAGCATCTCGTTTTGAGCAATCCAAAGCACTGGGAACTGTTGGCAACAATACAAAAAAGCCTTTTGAATGTTGTTTTAGAAGATAAAAGTCCTTCTGTGATCGATGAGGTGACGATTTTTAATTATCATTACGTGAAATTATGCAATTAAACCGCACGAATATGATAATTTCAAAATAAAGGCTTTTGTGGCTAAGTTTGGGTCTTTATTTTTGAACGTTTTTTGTATTGTCTTCAGGTCTGAGGAAGTTTTAAAGCTCAGGAAGAATTCCAACATTTTAACATTTTATAAAAAGTAATTAAACTATAAATGCTGATTTTGTGTTTCGTTTTCAGCTACAAACAGCTTTGAATTGTGGCAACTGCAAAAATAGATGGTTTGACAAATCTTTTCAGTTAATTATTTTCGAGAATGGATTGATGGGAACGAATTTAGAAGTAAGAAATATTTTTTAAATCTTCGAACAATTTTTCTGCTATCTATAGAAAAGCGTGAAGGTCTTTAAATCCCCCAATGGCCCCACATAAATGTCTTCCCATTCAGAACTGTCAAACGTGCAGTTCAAATTCGTGTGTATACAAATATATAGCCTGTAGAGACTGCGCGCAGGCTAACGAATATACTGCTAGTACAGTATATATACACAAATATATCTAGTTAGTACAGCTAGTATATACACAATAGACCTTTTCGGTAATTTCGGTAAAATCCATCTCACTTAAGATGGTCCTAAATTTAAAACGATGATTTAAAATTACAGAATTATGCCTCATCTACGCAATATTTTGCACTTATGATAAATATGCACTGTTTACGGTTATGTGGTTAGCTGGCTTTGAACAATAGTTAATAAAGTAATTATAAGTTCATTTCTATCACACATATCAAACATACCAAGACATGGCGAAGAAAGCGTTAGCTTCGTTGTACTCGTATATAAACCCCACATATAAACCCCTCATAGTTATCGATGATGGAGATGTTCGAAGACTTTGGTCATATAATAGTTCATGTTCCTCTGGAGGAAAGTACGTGTGTTTAACAACAATCCCCGGATCTCAAACTGATCAAAATGATGAAGCATATGTTGTAAAAGCGACAGGTGATGGAACAGACCCTACAAAAATCAAATTTCATAAAACGAGTCCATTTCAACCAACTTATTCTCTCCAAATGGAAAAAGCTGGTCTTTGGTATACTATTTGCACATCAGGATCGGCCAATGTCATCGTTGGAGTTACAGAGGCTTCTCTTGCCAACATAAATGTAACATTTCGAGTGTGGGAACTATTTCAACCAAATTCAGGCTACGTTGTTTTAGAATCCAGTGAAAAAATAGGTGAAGACAGCCTGTACCTAAGCAGTGACGGAGCTGGGAACATGAAGCTGATACCCTGGAATCAACCAATTCCACCCCCTCCTGATACAACCGCAGAAGTAGATCCTGCCTTGTTATTTCGAGTGGTTCGGCCTTTTGGATATAGTTAAGACTTGAGGATAAACATTTTCATATCATATTTGATGAAATAATCATTAGGACAGCTAATGACATTGACTAGTTTGTATTTCGCATATAGTTGTTTTCGCAGCATTTTTTATTCATGGTAAATTGAAAATATTGTAGTTTTGGCTTGACTTGCGTGATCTCATGTAAATTTTAATTATTCAAATAATTGTATTTCGTGACTGTTGCACATTGTTTCAGGTAATAATTATATTATGTTTCTTTGTGGATTAAACAAATAGTTTTGATATTTTCATTTCATAATTTATTCTCAGTACATCTCACTTCTCGAATGTAGCTACACCTCAATACATGCAGGCACAGCTAAGAATAACGCTTCAGTAAACTGTCCGTGTTCGATCGTCTTCTTCCCGACTGGTTCCTTCTGACAGCGTTTGTTTTTACGATATAAGAACTTCTTAGGCTGCTTTTGAATACGTCAAATGATTGTTTGAAATGCAATATTCCTTTTTTAGCACCTAGCATTTGACGCAGTGATTCTTATTCTGGCTGTAAATAGAGCTCTAGAAAACGTGAAGAAATACTGGGGGAAACAACCTCGGGTAACTTTTGACAATATTGTAACAAGTGAGGGAAAGGGATGCTTGTCAGATGAACGTTTTACAAACCTCTGAGCAAAATTACTATTTCTAAGCCAATTTTGAGCAAAGTTACTAGTTCTAAGCCAATTTAAATTTTTCTAAGCGAGATCTGATGATTCTGGTCCAGGCGCGCATTTTTTGATATCCTGTTTGTATACTTTTCCAGAGTGATGAGATAAAAGTTTCAAGTGTTTGTGTTCCGAAACCTGTGGAACTTCAGTTTGATCTCGATGATCGTCTTCATAGAGCTATAGAGAACGCCACTGTACAGTTTGAGAAGACGGTAGGTAAAACAGTCGCTGCATTTCATTCAATTATAATTCTGTTGTAATTCTTTCGTTATGAGTATGTTATTTCCTGCATAGTTTGATGATAAACTCTTAATTTGTTTTGAATCAATACTTCGTAACATGATTTGCAATCCTGAACATGCAGGAACTTATATTTTCTCTTATATCTCCTGATTTAGTCATCAAACATTGCAATAAGAACTTTAATTTGGAAGCAGTATGGAAAAACATTTATCAAACAACATCGACTCCACCCAGACACTTATGTTCAAATGGCAATTCAACTGGCTGACTTTAAGTTGCATAAACGGTATGAATGTATTATGCTGGCGTACAATATACCTCGTAATGGCTCTAAGTGGATGTGATTTGTTGAAATAAAAAACCCCCACATATATTTAGACTTCTAAACAAATTTTAGAGTAGCTCCCACGTACGAAACAGCTTCAACGAGGCAGTTCTATCATGGGCGTACTGATACGGTAATTCTTCTGTGATTTATTTATTATTGTTCAATCATGTTGCATTATGGGGTATAATCCCAATTTTAACGGCAGAGAAGCTGGTTACTAACAACTATTCGTCTCGTCCTGCATCGAGATTCGCATGCGTTATTTAACAATATCCAGCCTTGATACATTAAGAAAATGATTTTTTATGTTTGGATATAAATCACTGCTTTATGTGTCTGTGTATCTGTGTCATAGGTTCGTTCCCACACGACGGAAGCTCAAGAATGGTGCAACGCTATGGAAAGTCGTCAAGCAACGGTAATTGTTGGTAGTCCTTGAAGAAAAAATATGATTTCACATACACAGTCGTCAACAATCAATAGAATTCTATTGATTATCAATCCAAGACCTAGCATTGTTAATGATTTAGGATAAAGTATATATAAATCAAATACAATTGAAATTATTTAATTTGATTTCTGGCATTTCCAGAATAAACACAAAATTGATCTTTTACGAATTGCTTGCTTGAAACATGATGAATTAATGAATGGGGCTACTCAAGGATTAGGTGAGTATAAAGTGCACTAAAAATACGTCTTGTATCATCAATCTCGCATATCGTGACATTGAAATATACCACTGGTCAATTGTATAGACTGGATTGAAAAGCGGGGGTAATTACCCTGGGTGCCGGCCATTTACTGCCCCCTCAGTATAGTTGTTGCTTCGAGTGCATTTGCCAGACCACCGTAACCATATGTTTTTCCATAGCTATAGGCACCTGCATGGATGAGTTTATTTCTAGCAATGTTTATCAAGAGTTCTTAACACAGGTTATTGATTATTTTAGGAATTGATCGACATCTCTTAGGCTTGAAAAATACTGGCTGAAAAATCAGGTTTGTTTTTTCACGATGCTCGTGCTTTATTTGTACGATAAAACTGTGATAAGTTTTTAACTTTTCAGGTTTACCAACTCCTGAGATTTTCACTGATTCAGCGTGGACAAAAAGGTGAATCCTGTATTCTATTTAGATCACAAAGATTTAATTACGACTTAATTAATAAATGTATAATTAATTATTTTAAACTCGGGAACAGCTATAGCATATGATAGAAGTTAGATTTAATTATGACATAATCGATGTGATGCAATATTTCAGTGGAGGTGATGGTAACTATATACTCTCGACCAGTATAATTGGTTATTCTTGTGTTCTTGGTGTAACTTGGCCGATGGTTGAGGATGGTTATGGGGCGTTTTACAGCATACAAAATGACCGGTACGTATATGTTTATTTTTACTTAATGGACAGGCTAGGAAATTTTACTGGGAAATAAAACACTCGTAAAACAGATATACGCTACTATATCCAGGTGCGCGTATTTTTCGTAAGTCATGATATTACGGAAAATTTCCAGTTCATATAAGTCCATAAAATGAAAATAACGTCTCGTTGCAAGAAGGATACACATATCGTTCTTCCGCTCGAACATAGAATCCTTATCTCCGCGCAACCGTGTATATAATATCCTCCATATATTTTAAAATATTCTTAGCAAACCTGTTCTAAATTCGCAATGGCAATGCCAGTAAAGTGCTCTTAAAGCCACTTTTCTGAACACATTCCATCCTCATCCGCCTACTCCCATAACTGCATGTGCATGATGTCGTTTTTAGTGTAGCATGAATTAGCAAAAGTGTTGTTTGATCTGTTTCGATTTTATCTGCGTGCATACGGTAGCTTCATATATATAATTACTAAATTATCTATGCATCTCCGAGATACTTAAACAAAAAAATCTTTCTCTAGCATCAATCTGACTGGATCTGCCTATGGTAGCTCGAAGGTGACTAACTGTGAAAAGTTTTTGAGAAGTATAGAAGATAGTTTATCTGACATGCAAATTCTTTTAACTAGCAGCAATTTGTGAATCCATTTTACTCTATATATATATATATATATATATATATATATATATATATATATATATATATATATATATATATATATAAATACACACCCATTTGCAAAAACGTTGGCCGCAGATAGATAGATAGATAGATAGATAGATAGATACTCGAAGTCTAATTAGAATTGCATATGATTACATTTGCATGGGAATTCAATCATATTACACAACATATGCAATTCTAATTAGATTTCGAGTATCTATCTATCTATCTATATGCGGCCAACGTTTTTGCAAATGGGTGTATATAAATATATAAAATTATATATATAAATATATATATATATATATATATATATATATATATATATATCGTGCTTTGAAATGTAAAATAAAATAGTTAACAAATTCTTTAAGTGCACTATGATGTTGTATCATTTTTTATTATGATTTTAAATATAATTCGTACTGGTTTTTGAAATAAATTACTTTTTGACGACATTCTCAACGTCATCTCCAACATCACGTCAGATGAACGTGTTCAATATTCTAAATTCTCGCAGTTTTTTTTACCCTTGTACAGCATTTGAAATCAGGATGGAAACTCCTCTGTTTTCCTTCGCTGACTTCATCAATGTGAAACCAAGGGTTAGAAAAACAAACGAATGCGAATGGTTCAAAATAAGTAATTTAGTTTAAAATTACTAAAATTTATTTAGAGCGTGAATTAAACCAAGAGTTATTGACTCGCGCAACTGATTTAACTTTTTGCTCTGTGTTTACACTCGAAGTAATTCAAAACCTGATTGCATTTCCTCGAATTGCTTCAAAAAGCTGATTAATTGAAAGCATTTTTCAATGACGTATTCGATCGGCTTCAAGATTCAATCCAGATTGCGTCGCCATTAACTTATTTTCTGAATAAATATATGGAAATTACCAAATGGTTTAACTGATTTCCTGTCCCGTCCGTTGACGTAATCGTTTATTGTCAAGACCAAATTAATCATTGCGATCTGATTGTTTAAACCTAATACGCAGCCTCACTGATATTAGTGATATAGTAATATGTCATGATATTAGTGATATAGTAATATGTCATTCGCCCGGAAAGCTCCTGACAGCCTGTCACACCCGAAATGCTCCCTAGCGCCTGCGGAGGAGGTAACTGTCAGTCCTGTCACACTGCACGTATCGTATGTCATGGCGTAGATTACGATAATTGCAATGAACTGGTGATTTACGAATCCCTCTGTTTTGTGTCGCTGCATTTAGTTTTAAGATTTTTCGTAGGCTTGATTCATATCATGTTCTGCAATTCATTGCTTTTAAAAAAAATGTATTCCGAAGATAAATGTCGCGCGTTAATTCTCATGAAAGGATCTTGAGATGATTTTTTCTCCCTGAAAAATTGAGAATCGTTCACATTCTTACCGTCTGTAACAGAATTCTTTCTGAAAGTGTCTCAGACGGCAGCATAGCGTAAATGACGTCATGCACGTCTGCATGTACTGCTGTTATGACATGTCTGAGGATTTTAGATCAAGGGAATGTAACGGTGTGTTTAGAGCTGAGGACTGTTGCACTTGGCATATATCTTTATTACTTTGTTACTTAGTTGCAGTTCATCTATCGTTGTTTAATACTTGCAGTTCATCTATCTTTATCAGTTGCGTGACACTAGGCTAGAACTAATGCCTTCTAGACGAAGGTATACGCTACATTTCGCAATAATTATACGGTTGAAGTGTTAAACAAGCTTTATTTCAGAGAAATACGTGATTTTCGTCAGAGGGAAAGCTTGCGGCGCGTTTTTTTTATTGCGTCACACATGATTATTAATCCAAGAACTTAATACGAATCAGGAAATAGGCGATGAATGGCGTAAGTGCAGAAAAAACCGACGTTCATGAAAATGTAAACACGCGTGCAAAAATTCAAATTTGCACGGAGAAATGATAGTTGTTAATAGCTGATATTAGCGTGATGTCGACAATACTCTGAATGACATGCGCAAAAGTTTTCAATCGCCGTGTTGACGAGTGGTAAATGCCAGTTGATGGGTTTATCCAGTTGATCGGTTTGATTAAGTTAAAATAATATCCTGGCGTTTGACTTTATTTTTGAGCGTTGACACGGAAATGGAGCCTTTTTTGTTCATTTTAAATTTGCAATGATGTTTCGTCTTTTGATAAACGTTACCCGCGACGGGGGACTTGCAGCTAGGGTGTTTATTTTTCCAGGCTACATGAATACGATTATTTGAATGTGGATAAGGATCTCGGGGATTAGGAGATTTGAAAATAATGAACCTGCTGGATAACGAAATGTTTTATGTTTTGTTCAATCGTGCAGAAAATGAGGCTGGTTATCTGCATTCCTACGATTCTAGCGAATTCTTTATAATTCCTGACATCAGAAACCACAGTCTCGTAAAAGTTTCCTCACATTGTCACATACCATCCAATTTTGTCGGACCAATTAACTACCAATGGATGTTTATATTCTGAGTTCTTGCTGTCCCTGCAGGAAATCAACTAAGGCTAATGCAGTACTGCATGCTTTATCAATATCAGATTACTTTCCATACGTCAGAAGTGAATTGGATCCGACAAAGTTTGATCGTGTTAACCGACCTTAATACATACAACATTTGATCCTCCTTCAAGCAATCCGATGAAGTCTCAGCGTTACCGTTTCATAACGTTTATTTCATTTACCGTAAGATTTTTGAATTCCATCCATCGCAATCGTCAATTATATTAATACTGTTTAGAAGAAAAACAACCATTATAGTTTGTTGCTGCAAGATTACCCAATAGTTGTGTCTAATTCGTCAATGATGTGACGAACTGATAGACGGCAGTACTCGATTATAAATTTGTTTAAGCGCCAAAAAGCAAACGGATTTCATTAATTTCAGTACTTTGCATAGATTTGCATATGGGTGGATTAGTTGGACGTTAATGTGTACCAGCGCCTTTGAAGGCATGAAAGACGTCTTCATTATGGAATATGGAACCGCAAGAGGTTAAAATAACTCCCCACCCTTTCTTTGTTGTAGGTAGGATGCAAATACTTAAGAAATAATGAGAATAACTGGAGTATTTAAAAATGTCTTTGTTATTAGGTATAAATAAAATATAATAAACTATCATACATATAAATATATACACACATATAGAGTAAAACAAAGATGCCATGCATGTATGGTATATATATGTTCATTTATATTTTCCAGCATCGTTCATTACCAACAAACCACAGGTTAGTCTAAACCATAGGTACAGGTGGATTTTATCATCATTATTGAAATGCGGCTTGGCATTTGAGAATATCCTAAACACTCCCTATACTCCACAAGACGATGCGGTGCTTCTCTGTGAGCCAAGCGATGATAACGGCGACCTGTAATTTGGCGTGTCTCTTAGCCGTCTATTTAATGAAAATGCAATATCTTTAAACATTATCCCAGCTTGTTTGGCCAATAGTTTTGCTTCTTTCTTATTTCTGCACTTAAGAACATGACATTGAAGTACATCAGCTGTTTTACCGAACTGATAAGTAAAGAAAAATATCTTTGGATTAAGTTCGTACACTCCACAAAATTGAATCCGTCGCGTGCGGAAAAGCAGCGTCGAGTCGTGGATATCATGTCCACTGGACGTGAAAGAACAATTCTCATTTGAAAGAATAAAGTCTCCTTTTAGAACGTCCTTTTGTTTCGACTTCTTAACTGACTCACATATTGATCGAACAAATGTACACATATCGTCCAAGCCAGGCTTTTCAAGTTCTGCTTGGCCAAGATATTTCACTGAAAATGTCGGCGCTCCTTCGTCACTTGTTGATTTTACTGGACTCATGCAGCTTAATAAAGGCGACTGCATGATCGCGTAGCGTTCATTTAATTGAATAGAACTAAAAACGTCGTATAAATATTAAGTTGAGCTCTTCAGCCAATAATTGTGTTAATTTACCAATGTATTAACATCAAGAGTTCATGCACAAGTTCTTGTACCTTTCTAGATTCTCCTAATCCAGTTTCCTTGCGACTTCGTGTAGGATTATTGTGTACTATAATGCATATTTTGGATTATTATATATACTGCTGGAAAAACGGAAGGTCATCAAAGTTGACTCAAAGATCAGAGGGGCGTGTTGTTCAATATAATCATTAACATAGGAATTCTTAAAACAGATTACGACATCATGGATTTGGATAACAGGATACGTCTGAGGAATGACGTAAAAATGATACAATCTTTTAGTTTCTGGGAATACCCATGCAGTTGAGAAAGTCAGTTGTCAAAGTCGAATATGGATGTATATATGAGAGGCTGAATGCATGAAAATGTTTATGACTCGCCTAATATAACTTGTATTATTTATGCACATATGTTTATTTAATCATATGTCCTCTTTGTCTCAGATTTTAATAGTTTACTTAAGTATTTAACTCCCACCAATTAATATTTCTTCAAAACATAATGATCTTTTATCCCTACAGTTGCCATTCAAGTCATACACGAGTAATTTTTTCAAGATGAACAATCTAGTAACTTCTAAAAATTTTTGGAACAATTTAATTTACAATGCAATTTAATTTATGCCTAATTAACGATAACATTGCTTATAGTGACAATAAAAAATCTTATACAACATTTGTTGGCAACCAGCAAAAATTTCTACGATTCACAAAACTTGGATACGTTTTTTTTCACACGGCTTCTTTCATTAACGTTGAGCTTTGGTGACAAATGATTTTATTCTTTAGACTTTACCTAAAGGCTAGCCAGGCAAGCTAGGTTTATTAACTCCTTTTTTATCTTTTTGACTGTAGTCACTTATACTTGACCTGATTTGTCTGTTACTTAAACAAGTGAGGAAAACTGGACAAAACTATAAGTTTTAACCAAACTAAGCTTTACAATATATTAATACTGAAAATCAACTTGGTCTTGGAATCATTCATCACATAGTCATAGACATAGTAAAAGACGACATATTATACGGCGCGTTTTTCCTTATCTTGACTTAATGAGCGCACAAATGAAACAAATGCGTCAACAACCGTAAATGCATGACATCTATCGATTCAGAGATAAGCCTGCTTCGATAATTATATAAAATTAATTCTCAAGTATTAGAGAAAGGTTTATCAATCCGACGCTAAAATTGTGCAAGCCTTAATTGTTTTAACACATTATTGAAAGTTTTCAACGTTGTTATACAACGGCAATAAACTTTTTTAAGGAAAATACCGGCCGGGAGAAGGAATATTAATGTTAATACCCTCGGGCTGATATCGCCACTCGGAAGATATATTTTTCGAAAATTTGACGTCTGCGTCCACTTCTTGCACGCGCATCGTCCCCGTCATGTATGACCACTGTGCATGACACTAGACGTTTATTCATTAATGTTCTCGTTCCTAACAGTACGTCAGAAATTACGTCTACTTTAAATTGAACATCAGTTTCTTCGTTCGACAATCACATGAAACACTTCATACAACCTTGTTCTTAATAAACTTTTTAAATCTAAAATGACTTTATTAATGAAGCACAGGAAGCAGGCTCGTGTCGAGTGCCGGTCCTGTCGTAGACCATAGCTTCTTTACTTCTTAGTTCTTTTTGTCATCATCCTCTTTCGCCCAACATTGATTCATTTTGCCGCCAAACACAGCCCCATTCCCGTGGGCAGACTTGTAATGACGTATATTGTTGCCTTCATCACATTTACAGCCTTTAAATGTTTTCTCGTGTTATTTCAAAATTGGTTTCAGCAACGATGTAACACATGTATCTGACTATTTAAACAATTTATTTTCATAATGGTTTCTTGGGAAAAATCTGTATTTACGAATTACGTTATCTACATGTGAAAAACATATATAACATGTCACATGATATGGTGAAGCCCCCGTGAAACAATCAAATAAATAACATATTCAACTTCCTGGAATAAATCCTCAGGAAGATGATATAATAAAAAGTTATTCCGCCTACACTTTGCTTCTTCTCGCTTCAACAAGAACTAATAACGGCCAAGATTCATCGGGTTAAAGTCGGGGGTGGAAATCATTCATATGCCATATGACATATGTCTGTTAAATCGCGTGAGCGTCGTATGGAAAATAAATATATGATGCAGAGTCGAAGAGTCAATCGATGATGTTCTTGTAGCTAAAGACATAACATCGAGCAGAGAATGATTTATGAAGATTTATTCAAAAGTCATTTCCTCCTTATGATTGAGATAATCCTTCAATATCGTCGGTAAAGGAAGTCTTTTAATGTGGCCTAGTCTTTTTCCACCCAAAAGACATCTTATCTTGACACGACACAAATGGGTTAATTGTCTTGGCTGAAAGAAAAAGTCATACATGCCATCAAATTCGTCATAACCTTGATTAACACATTCCTCGCAAATTGAGCATAGAAACAGCATCTGTTCGCGACGGGTGGAAAACTCAAGTAACAAAGCGATAAGGTCTGGACACATACGAACATAACACGGTACAAGTATTGATGACGTTGACGCTGAGCTCACTTCAGTTATCAGTTGTGTGATATTTCCACCTAACACGAGAATTTTTCTACAGCATTGTAGAAGTTCTTTATAATCATCAGAGTTGTAGTTTTTAATCAACTGCATACATAGTGTGGTTAGAGCCGACTCCCCTTGTATATCTACATAGTTGACATCAATATCATAGCTCAAAAGTTCGTTCAAAGATTCACAACTTTTATACTTCGCAGCCAAAATAAGAGGTGATGTAAAGGTTCTAAGGTTTACATCAGCACCGTGCGCAACAAGTTCTCTAATAATTTCCACGTTCCCGACTTCACTTGTAGCTACCATCAAAGGCGTTTTGCACAGCAAAGGATATTTCGTCTCACATATTCTGTTTGGGTCAGCTCCTTAAAAAAACCCTAAGGAATGAGGATGGTGTACTATGATATTAGCGTGCTGCAAATGCTTAGCCTTAAAACAGAACATAACTTGCGTTTTTTAAACTCATATGTTTCTACACATTCTGGTGTATATAAAATAGCGTACGTGGTAGCGCGTGCTAAATGACGTACAAAATGGTGCGTACTGGTGTATTTTATCACAGATTACTAACAGTTCTCAACATAACTCAACTGTGTTAAACGGCGGTATACGGCTGCAGCAAATACAATTATATAACGTGGTGCAATGGACATCGCCTTTACCGTATTTACCGGCTCGTTTTTTAAATTTTTAGCACTTCAGATGTGGCGCTTAATCGAGGGCTGCACCCATTTTCACAGCGAAATTTGGACATTTTAAAGAAAACAAACTCCAAACATTAGGCAAAATACAATTAGTTCTATAAGGGAGTCTTAAATTATGGGAATTTTAAAAATATTTTTGTATTGTAGTATTTTACCTGTATTTTAAATAGGATGAACTATTTAATAAAAAGATAATCACTGGAATTTCTGAAAATACAGGTACCTTTCAAAAGCAACAACTTGACTGCTGGTAGGTTGTTAGCGGAAACAGCTTCATATAATGGTGTACAACTGTATAAATCACTGTTGACATCTGCACCATTTTCAATCAACAAACTAAGGCAAAGGCCATCAATGTTTCGTGCGGCTAAATGAATAGGCGAGTTATCATTATCTTCTCCATCAATTGACGCGTTGCTTTCAATAAGTAACTTTGCACATTCATATTGTTCGTGATAACATGCTACAGCCAAAGAAGTTCTTTCTAATTCATTGCGAGATTCGATGTTCACACCTAATGAAAAATACTTAAAGCATGACTATAAGAACCTGGTACCGTGGTACGGGACATTTATATTAAAGTGCAGTTTATGGAAACTTGTGCGCGTTCATGTTGACTAAACGTTACTTTTTGTATATTGGAGTTTATATTGTATAGCGTGTTTTACTTGCAGATATAGAAATAAAATAGCATTTGAATAGATATATATAGGTACGAAGTACGTATGTAATAAAGGACAACAATTCAGCACATGGCCCAGCGCTGAACATTACTTGATTCATGTGGACTTCACCTACCATAATTTAACAGGGTTGCAACGCAACCATGGTGACCCTCTTGACAGGCAATATGAAGTGGTGTTTCCCCTGTTTCAACTGGGATCTCAGCATCAGCACCATGGTTCAATAACAACTCTAAGCATTCCTTCTCACCATATTGACATGATATATACACTGGAGTTGCATTCTCTTCATTCCTTATATCCAAATCACAATTTGTTCTCACAAATATTTCTAGTATCTTTTTAAGACCCATGTGACAGGCTTCATGTAGAGCAGTCCAGAGATTTATAGGGAAACCATGATCTGAGTCATCTGACTGATAACTGGGATCAAATTTATAGTCAATAAGAATCTGGTAAATGGCAAATTTTATAGTTAAGCCTAGTTTTAGCTACAATATACTAATACAATTTCAGATACATACTAGCAAATGCACAATCTTAAGTATTTTACAATATCAATTGCAGATCTACTAACAGAGTATGGCAATTTACGTAGATGAAAGATTAACATATACTCACAATTAAACTATTTTCTACATAATAGATATTCAGCTATTGCAGAAAATATCGTGGTAAGTGGGGAAGGGGAAGAGGGAGGGGGAGAAGCAGACTGCATAAAACATTAAAACATTAAAATAATATACTAATGACTAAATATAAAACTACTTAGCTACTAGTAGACAGCGTAATTGTTAAATATAGTTGTTCACTGTGAAAGGGGTAATCCATGTACAATAATATTTACCTGAACATATTCTTCACTATCTAAAGAAGTAGCTAATAAAAGTGGGTCAAAATATGTTTGAACAGCATTATGGTTCAACAATAACTTGAGCACATCATACTGCTTGTTTAAAACTGCTAAGTAGGCAGGTGTCACATAAGCGTCATTGATAGCATTAATATTATGGCCATCTTCTAGTAATGACAAAACCTCATCACCATCTCCTTTTTCAACAGCTTCATGTATTGCGTTCTAGGACATAAAATTACAATGGTTAAGATTGGTGTTGTCCAGTAGCGTAGCCAGCCTGACGATTTGTCCCACTATGCTAATATTTTGGTGTTTATTGACTGTGAAAACAATGAATTTCTAAAAAAATTAATAATTATAATAACACGAAATTTACATAGCGGGACAAAATCGTCAGGCTGGCTATGCCACTGGTGCTGTCATATCCATATCTGGTTTAATCAGTACCTTTTGTGGGGTTTTTTCTCTCTGTTCACCCTGGTTTAAACACCTGCTGTGTTTAATATGTCTCAAGCTTAACATTATTCACCTCATTTGTTTTATATATATGCAATACACAAGGCACAAGCCATGACTATGACTATGAGTCTACTACATTTTAACCAGTTATTAAACCAGGGTTGCAAAGGGTAGATCTCAAAAATTCACCCATCACAAATTGTTATATTGATATTGTGAGATTTTTATATGAGCTTGCAACTCACCATTTATAGACATGTGGCAAATGCCAAATTACAAATTAATCAAAGGACAGAAATATCATCACTCCAATATACTTGACTGGACTCCCACTGACCTGTATATATCAGTATATTACAGTGGTATTTTTATATACAGGTCAGTTCCCGAGCAAAAAGGGAAATTACCAGGGTTTTCGGCAGGCCCAGGCAAGGAAAGACCAGAATGTAATGATGATATTCTCGTTGCCACGCCGGCCTTCTTTGGATACGATACATCAAGAATTATTCCTCAAATTGCACACATGAAACCTCAGAGGCTCGAAATAACATATTTAAGATAGAATCTAAGAAATTTTAAAAAAATTTTACAGGAGAAATTTGCCTGGATAATGGAAGCACGCGCAAAGGACCGATTTTTGATTTTCGATATCGTTATATCGTTTTTCCATTTTCTTTATTCAGTTTTGAATATCGACAACATTTTATGGATTATTATTGCTTTAATAAATTACCAAGAAGATAGTAACCTACTTCGTAAAAGTTTGAATAAACAGGTACGTGACAATAACTACTGAACAACCTTACGTTGTCAAGTTACGTTTGTAGTGTATACACTATAAACATCGCGATAAAATTCCTGAATTTATAGATTGTATTTCACTGAATCAACTCATTCTTTATGCGTTGGATAGAAAATGAATTACAATAGTTTTACAGCATCGTGGGTGTTTTTACAATAAACGCAATGAATCAGCAAAATCGGCGTTCCAGTTATGTCTGCTATTTAGTATTTACATAAAGTCTGTGGCATATTGTTGGGATTTGGGCGTTTATAATATATTATTTAATAAAAGCTTCAAAACTAAACAGTTCGAAAACAAAAGTAAATGGTATCAGCACCAGGCCTAGAGGACTTTCAGATATAAAAGATGACGAATCATATAGTTGGGAATTTCGTCAAATATTTGTAATATTGCCACTAGGTAAAATACTGCATAATGTTTGGGTGTACATTATAAATTTTATGCATGGATGTTCTGAGTAATATAAATTTGACAAAGAAAATATGTCAGCAAAGTTCACAGATTTTAAACCTTTTTAAAAATGTCCAAAATTTGTTGCATAATAAATTGACAGTATAAATGGCATCTGTCACATATAAGGTGGTTCCGCTGCTATATTGTTTGGCATTTTAAGTAGACTGGTGCAGTATATCGAAATGTTGATAAATATCTGTTTTTAAAATATCAGTTCATTGATATTGATTTTTTTAGTTTATTGATATTTCGATATACAGAGAGTATCATTAAAAAAGAATTATTTTCAGTGTTATGAAATTGTCCCAAGTTATTACCATTAAATAAACGTTTCAAATATTTTCTAGTTCAAGTTGTGTTTAATGTCTGACACACACCGCCTGCATCCTAAGCACACTGGTCGAACAGAATCTGATGCAGTTGCTGTTTTTCCAAGAACAACCGTTTGCAATAGCTGCTTGGAACCATTATCTCAAAATGAGAAAACATCCTTTCATTGCAATCAGTGTGACTATAAAGTGTGTACTAGGTGTGATGAACCACAAACCCATCCTGTGCATCCTAATCACCAATTGTACCTAGTTACCCCAACGAGTCAATGGAGATGCTATGTATGCAAGAGACCTAATACAGAAATTAAGGAGACAGTTTGCTATAATTGTGAAATCTGTGACTTTCTCTTGTGTAAGAATTGTTCTAGTGATATCAATAGTCAACTTCATCAACATACTTTACTTCGTACTGATGTCAGATTAGTTTATGGTCAGTCAAGTGGAGACTGGCGCTGTGATATCTGTGGAAACAACAATGGACCCGGAGATTTGTAAGATATTATATATTTTTTGTAGCCATATATCAGAAAATTTTAAAACAGAGAGATTATCTCTTCGCATCATTGACCCTACTCAAGTCTGGATTGAAATAGTCCAATTCATCCTCCCATAAAAAGCAGTTGTACAGGGTAGAGTTTATCAGTATTCATGTTCCTGTTTTAATGCTTAGGATGTTACCAGGAGCATGGGGTGCTAAAGGCCATGCAATATTGTGCTGTTTAGAGTCAATCAAGATGATAGAACATGAAGAAGTTTCTACTCATCATATCTTAGTACACATGTCCCTTAAATGATGTTTAATTTATTTCAGCTACCCAGCACATTGTCAGCAATGTCAGTTTGATCTTTGTGAAAACTGCTTAAAGCCGTACAGGTCTACATACCATGGTGAAGAGCATTTGCTGTATAAAGCTGATTCAACCATAACATATCCTCTGTATCATGGTGGATGGCGTTGTGATAGATGTTTACGAAGTTTTGCTCCACACGAGAATAACATTCCTTTTCATTGTTCCCAATGTGAGTTTGACTTGTGTCCAAGCTGCATGAACACCACTGGTATGCCGTCAAACAAAGGTAGGATTTCTTATAATTGCTAAGTATGTACTGTTGCTGTACTAATTGTCATTGCTCTACAGTAACTCTAGTGCACTCTTTTGAAACATGAAAATCACAGTGTATAGGAAACACTGCTCCACGAAAAAAAAACCATATTTGAAAATTTATAACTCTGGACACCACCACTGATATTAGTCAAGGCTAACCATCATCATTTTTACATCAGGCTTCACAAAACAATTGTTTCAAACTTTCATTTTCATGTTTCTTAAGCTGGTTTTGATGTACCAAGAGCGGCAGCTAGAGGTATGTCAAATAACGTGTTTAGCTTGAAACAGCTTTTAAAAGACAGGCGTACCTCAGGAAACTAATGTTTTAATAAGGTCATTGTGTTTTATTTGGTAGTTGAAACTAGAAGTCCTCCTCTAGGGACAAGAAGTCCTGCTCCAGTTACTGCTAGTGGAAAACCAATATCATCTCCTTCTGAGGAAGTTGACAATAATGTCGGTGCTACAGGACCTCCAGGAGCTCAGGATGACGTCGGAAATTGTGTAATATGTCTTGAAAGACCTAAAGATGCTACAATTGTGCACGGAACGACAGGTCACGTCTGCTGCTGCACATACTGTGCTTCGGAATTGTTTAGAAGAGGAGAAAATTGCCCTATCTGTAGAGCTCCAATTCAAACTGTTATCAAACAGTACACCGTTTAGGATACTCTTCGGCGACAGTGTCTCGTCTGTCGGCTTTCGTGGCAGTTTAAGCTTCACGTGGACACGGCAAACATCAGGCAAAGAAAATTTAAAAATACAAAGAAACTGTTTTTAGTTTTAAAGCTGTAATAGATCTTGGTTATTTTGTGATAGGAGAAAAGTTATGAAATGAAAAAGGTTGAGTAGAAATTCTCGTACGAAAGTTCGACCCTGCCTAGCCGGAAAACATGCAGCTTCAACTGCCTTTCATGAGGCATACATACATAACATACATGCACGGAAAAGTTCCTACCAAACACGTTGTCGATAAAGAAACGTAGGAAAAAGAGAGCTCATTTATTGCTCGTTTTGTTCCTGAAAGCCAGACTATGCGAAGATGTAAATTGTTGCTTAAGCAAAGTCCGAACACTGTATAATAATAACTGAGACGTTGCGAATAAAACCTCGTTCAAAAGCAAGAGAAAGAGTTAAGAGTGATATCAATCTTCCACTCATGCAGCAGCTAATAATCTGAAAAGTGAAAACGCAAAATTATGTAAATTTTGCTCATTGTTGACTTGGTTGTATCGTACCCCACGTGTGACGTCACACCGATGACGAAACATCGAGTCTCAAACGAGCGAAATTTAAAAGCAAATGCGAATAATGTTCATTCTTAAATTGTAAAACAAATTCTCAATTTGGTTTTCACATAATACGAGGAATTAACAAGTCCCAGTTTGACCTCGTTCGAAAGTACACCAATAACACTGTATGTACTCTACGCTCTGGACACACACAGAGCATGACTTGGAAGTTTGGGGACTACCCTGTCCCATCTTTTTCACCGGGCTGAATCTAAAAGTTTTCGCTTATTTTTTTCAATCGAAGCCCTCGGTAAACATCGTCACTTTGTGAAATATTTCGCAGAATCCTCCTCACTCCAGGTCACTGAGCTATAATATAATTAAATAAATATAATATTATAGCTCAGTGCTCCAGGTCTATAAATGACTCGCGCATGCGTTATACATTGGACTTCAATATTTGCGCAGTCACTGTGTTTGTGGCGTAATGTTCGTGGGTGTATGCGTCCGTGGGGGAATTCCAACTTCCAAGGTGCTTTCTGGACTTCCCCTTCTAAATTATACTATAAAATCTACTGCATTTCGAACATTACATGTTTCATCAGGAGTGTAAAAGAATCGGAGAGGTTTTCATCGCACAGAATATTGAAAATTCTCACTAGAACAGAACAGCAATATTGTTGGTACGTTTTGACAACGCAACATAATGATTGTAAATAATATCTGTTGGCAGGGTTTACCGTAATAAGACTCGGATCAATATTATTTGAAAATTCTATAGTTCGTGTGCCAGGAAGTAAAGCCCAAAGCCTTTTTCATAAAACGTAGTATCTTGAGTAAAAAGGGGAGAAGGTAAATTCTTAGGCTTTACTATCAAAGCACACAACAAAAAACATAGCACCAGGGACAGTCTGAACTATTATGCGATTGTTCATCTATGTTGCAAGCAATATAGTGATGAGCATCAAATTTTTAACTTTCATTGGTATCAAATTTTATATTTTTCTTACGTGGAGTTGCATGCACCTGCATCATGACAAGCCTAAAAGAAATTTTGGCACAAAGTTTTTAGCAAAAAAGTTTTTGACTTCACTTTTCTTAGAGCCTGTTTACATGGAGTGAGTTATCCCGGCCAGGCCAGGTAAAAAGTGCATCAAATCAAAGGCTTAACCTAATTAGACTTTCGTTATATGCAGTTTTCACTTAGCCTAGCCGGGATAACTTGCTCCATGTAAACAGGGCCTTAGAGATATTGTGCATTATATCACTAGAATGTTGCATTATATCACATATTTTCCCTTAATTGTGCATTATATCACATATTTTCCCATAGGTCATGGCCTAGCTTTACAGATAAAAATCAAACCAAGTGTAAGTGCTACTCGTAATGTCTGCTACCCATCGCCTCCATCCTCACCACACTGGTCGGACAGAATCTGATGCAGTAGCTGTTGCTCAAAGTACTTGTGTATGCAGTAACTGCATTAAACCTTTATCTCAGGAACCATCGTTCCACTGCAATCAATGTGACTTCATTGTGTGTACCACATGCGATGCACCAAAAGTCCATCCCGTACATCCTAATCATCCACTGTACTTAGTTACCCCTGCAACACCATGGAGATGTAATGTATGCAATTCCTGCAATGCCAATTCTAAAAATAATTTGTGCTACCATTGTGAGATCTGCGACTTTCGCATGTGTAAAAAATGTTTCCCATGCATGTACAGTAAACTTCATGTACACCCTTTACTTCGCACTGATGTCAGATTAGTTTATCACCAATATAATGGGGAATGGAACTGTGATATTTGTGGAAACAGTAATGGACCAGGTCACTGGTAAGATGCTATACTGTTCTTTATTTAGCCATTTGAATTTAAAAGTCAGGTTCTAATAGAAGAGTACCTAATTTTTCGACCAGGAACTGGTCCCTAACCGCTGCTAATCTTTTTCTTCTTCTTCTTCTTGTTCTTGTTAGGGGGCGACGCTCTTTAAAAAAACCCTAAGGCTCTATCATTACTTGTTTGATCGAAATGAAACTTGGCACAATTATTCTAAGCAATATTCCGCATCGATTGACAGAGTTCGAATTTTTACTTTTGACCTTTGAAGCAAGTTACAAGCAATTCTTGATATATTTGCAGCAAATAATATATACATATCATTAATATTCAGCCTATATATAAGTAAACGGAAACGATTAGAAATACATTGTCCTCTCCATTGTTGTAAATACAATGCAGTTCAGAAATTAAACTCGGTTACGCAGTTCCTGGTCCCTATAGTACGATTGTACTTGTTAGTGATATTATTTTCCAATTTCTAAAGCTAATTCAAATATAGAGATGTGTTTATTTGTTATATATACAAAAGAAATATGAATAATAGATGAAAAAGGTATAGACTTAAACTGTAGTATTTTATACTACTATAAAATTTACTATACTATTTTATCAAGAAACATAGAAATATGCTCTTAAACTATCTGAAATGAACTTGCATGGCTTTTAACTAAGTGCAATTGTTTCAATTGTTTTAGGTATCCAGCACATTGCCAGTCATGTCAGTTTGATCTTTGTGATAACTGCATCAAGCCATACAAATCAACATATCATCAACATCCACTTTATAAAGCGGATTCCAAAGTGACTTATCCAGAATATAATGGTGGTTGGCGTTGTGATAGATGTTTACGAGACTTTCAAGTTAACAACAATCCTTTTCATTGTTCTCAATGTGGGTTTGACTTGTGTAACAACTGTATGCGAACGACAGGTGAAATTTCAAATACAGGTACTGTACTATGAATAAATGCTCTTCATTTCATGTGTACAAATACATATTATAAACATATTTTGAAATATAAATAAATGTTATGTCTGCCTTTCCTAGGGCAGAATAAAAAATAGAAAATCATTAATCTTTAATTCACATGCAGTGACTGAATCTTGATTACTGTTTCTCTAGTTGGTTTTGATGTACCAAGAATGTTAAATGGAGGTTTGTGGAAACTTGATGCTAAATTATTATACATATAGTATATAATGTATGGACTGTGACTAAAACTGAACAAATCATTTGATAAAGGTTGCAAAGGTTTTTTCTTCCAAATGTAAGCTTTCCACCCAAACATGAGAGAGTACACAGACTTGGCAAGGACAGGGTAACAAACAGTGTGACCAATTTTTAATCAAAGCTTATCAAATCCAGCTAGACTGCCCCCTTCTGGTTCAAATGTGGTAATTATTAAAATCCGATGGGGTTGTCAATGTTCATCCAACCACCCATGGTAGAAAATGTACCAGATCAGGTCACAGTGGTAACCAAGTGCATCATTCACTTCATTGCTCACCTTACTGTCTCCTCAACCCTCCTAGCCAAAGTTAATTCTCTCGAGTTAATATATTTCTTATTCCTATTTCTATGTTACATTTTGCAGATGCAACTACGTTCAGATCTGGTTTTAACTTGACAGCTAACGCGAATCCTATACGGCAGGATCAAATGGAAAGTCCCCGTCCAGCGGAAGATATGCGGCACGAGGAAGAGGGCCGTACCGGACCCCCTGTTAACGCGGGGAATTGCATAATATGCAATGTAAGACAAAAGAATGCTACAATTGTACACAAACATGAAAATATTCCAGAACGTTCCACGTTGAGCAGAGATAACACAGGCCATGTTTGCTGTTGTGTCGAATGCGCTGAAAGATTGTCGAGTTGTCCTATTTGTAAAGCTCCGATTCAAACTGTCATTAGACATTTCATTTCCTAGAGATTTGTGCAGTGATATCTGCAGTGAGCAAGTACAGTCAGTGAGGACAGTCATGGAATAAACATGATTAATATCGCAAATTTTCTTTGTTCCGTAATCTTGCAGAATAATAGATAAAATAGAAAATATAAACTTGTAACATGTTTTGGGTAAGCCAGTGTAGTGATTTATGTACAATTAATAGTGCCTCTTGGTGTAATAACTGTGTCAGGTTCTAGGCCAATGCACTGTCCCATATATAGATTATGTGTCCTATGAATTAAGTATGTGTTTGCATGTTCGCGTATTTTCATCGAAATCGAATTTGCTTATATTTACAAAAAAAAAATACAGCTTTCAGGTCTTTTTGCATTTTTAAAGCTCTGAAATGCTATTTGCCGCATTTTTGCGATCATAATCAGCCTCACCTTTTATTTATTTTCCGACAGTGTTCTGGGAATCGAACCCAGAAGCCACACACGCGTTTTTGTTACTGTCCACGAACACGTTTTGCTTTGGCCCCAGACATGGACACTGTTTTTTAAAGCCAAACGAAAAGGAGGGAAACCGGAGTGCCCGGAGAAAAACCCTCCAAAGGTAACCTGAATTTCAGGTTACCTGACCGGCGTTCCGAATTTGGTATTTTCATTTAGAAATCGTCCGCAATGACAGTTCAGTTTGGTTTTTATCTATATGGTTCCGCTCATCCGAACCAAGTCCCAGGAATTGCCATGCAATTCTTGAGCTTCGTCAATTCCATCACGCTGATGGTCTAACGTGCGCAGGCGCGTATATTGTCAATTGCAAAACACCTGGCTCTTAGAAGCTTAGAAGTTAAACTGCGCTTTGTCTGACAATGGCAACAAAAATCATTTCAATTTTTCAGATGTCATATTATGATTAAAAAATGATAAAAAGTGCTTCGAATTCACGACTTGCATGCTTTTTCATCTCAAATCGATGTAGACAACAACACTCTTCTACTACCCCTTCTTTTAAGACATGCACCGTTTTTTCGTTCTTTTATATTTTCTGGATTACGGTTGACCGAAGATGGAGGAAATAAACGTAATCGTAACATGCAACTTACTCAAAATGGTTAATCAATCTCTCTTACCTCTTGCACCGTATAATTACCTTTGGTAAACTCTGTAGCGAATGTCACTGCTCCATTCCAAACTGTTGTCTTCTTCAACATCAACAACTCGACGGTGGGCGTGCAAGAAATTGAAAAACATAGTAAGTGTGTCAAAATGCAAAGGATTTTTTAAAGGTTAGCGTTTTAGGCAAGAGGGTACTATACAATATTATAACCTACAGTTTAAACACAATATACCCTCAGATAACCCGAGGTGGATAATATACAAGTCCATGCGTGCAGTTATCATGCAATGTAATATAGGAGGTATATTTTTCCTTCTTATACAAACTTCATCAAGTTGGTCAAATTGATTAGATTACGTTTATTTCCTCCATGCTTGACATTAACCGGATTTTAAGAGCATAAACGGCAATCGGAAAAATTAAATCAACAAGGGAAACAGAAGAGTGATAGGTGTCTAGACTTTTTTCTTCATATTTTTTACTTCAATAATTCGAATTTAAATGTTCGAAGACTAAAGTAAAATTTTTGATGCCACTGACGGACGGTCTTTAGAAATGGTCGCATTATAGTCGCCATTAACTAAACAGAGAACTTATATAATCATATAAGCTACACTGGATTATCTTCGTATTAATCTAAAATTAGGCTAATACGAATTCGATCTTTTCTTTCGTTGCGTGCGCGTCGCCGTCGACCATGTTAATTGCATTTCGTTACTTTCATTAACGTTTTAAAGCCATGCATCTTTCGCAGCTTTAAGACCACCATAATTCACACACAAGTGACAAGTGGGAATGTTTCATCGAGAAACCTCGAAAACGCTCTCAAAAGAGCTGTGAGAAATTTCCTGAATAGCCTGTTATCATGCATGCATTGTCGAAAAGGGTAGAATGTCACTTGATGTGTGAATATACTAGGTTAGACCACCAGCAGGAATCAATCCGACATGCACATACAAATTAATCATGCATTACTGTAATTAGTAAATTTACAATTATGTACCTCGTCTAGCCTCCACTTGTACACCCGTTTCGTGCCACCGATCCTGCGACGTTCGTTCATCATCTGATCCTGCAACGATCCTCCATCATCTGATCCTGCGACGATCCTTCAACATCTGATCCTGCGACCGTGCGACGATCCTTCAACATCTGATCCTGCGACGATCCTTCACATAGATGGCAAATATTATATAAATAATTTCCAACACGTCACTGATGCATTAAGCGTTCAGGATAAAATGATCACACAAACTCGATTGCACACCTTCCACATCTCCAACGCCACTCGTCCAAGGCCTTCGCATTACACACGCGAATACAAATTGTCATGCACGTTTTTGTAGGAAATATTCATTATTGCTTCGCCGCGTTTTTTTCGTGGTACCGAGAAAGCTAAAACACTCGACTATTATCTCCTTCTAGAAATACAATTTTCATGCATTTTTATGCTTTAGGCGCTCTGTGAGTGATATTTTTGTTCCGGACTATTGTCGTTCAAGATGGAGAAAATACAAGTGATTGGGGCCCCAGAATCACTTGTATTAACTCCGCATGCGCTTGACACGACCAGACTCATGTCATGCAAAAACCGCAATCCGAAAAGTTGAAAATCAAGGAGGTAAACAGAAGAGTGTTCAGTATATCTCAGCCAAAAAAGCCAAATCCCATGCATATTTTACTCATGCATATTTTCATCGAAATCGAGTTTTGTATTTGCGTGCCTAAATGTCCCAAGGCAGGTCCGACATCTTTTGACAACGACGTTTCTTTCATTCTAAAAAAGAAAATCTCGGTAAAACAAAAAATCCATGGGCATATAAACTATAAAGCCTAGTTAAAATGACTTTTGGCTTTCCGAGTCAATGGACTTTCCAAATTCCATAAAATCACAATAAACGCAAGGTATTTTTGACAGGGAAAGCACGGAACAATACATCGCAATAAGCCTGATACTTTGGGCACAGCAGAGAAGATCCGAACATTGAACTATGTGGTGCAGTAAACAGGTTGAAATGGCTCAGCATAAGTGAAGTTTAGCCACAAAGTATAGATACATAGACTACAATAGGATAATTATAGGCGTTCAATTTCAGTTTGAACCTCCGCGTACAAAACAATGTTTAGCTGTTGTAACTAACATGAAGCGCCGAGTATTACGATACGACAACCGTATCCGAAAAAACGCATTGTGAAAGCCGGAAATGTTTGGGCTATTTCTTGGGAAAATTTAGGATAAAGTCCCCGAAAAGTTCGATTAAATTATTCTCGTTTTGCCCACCCTGTACACTGATTTACAAACAGAACAATACCTATTATTTAGAACGAACAGAAGTTAGAACAATACCTATTATTTGCTGCAAGCAAGCGTTTGTGTTTCGTCGCAAATGCTTTGACCATTTTTCTTCGCCGTACTTCGTTCTAACATGAAATAAGAAAGGAAAGGCAAAATCAAGTTAACAGCTCACTTGCATTTGGCACTTTGAATCGAAATATACAAGATATAGCAGTGAAAATCAGCAAAAATATGCCTCCGGTCTCTAATGCCTTCTTGATATTCAAGCACGGCGATGAATTAATTTGCTAAGATCATTTGATCAAAAAAGATTCTTTACACCAATCATGACCATGTACCTGATTACCAAAGATGGCAAAGAAAATTCTTCCAACTTTCCTCTACACTTCTTCTCGAGATCCTCCTTTCCTCTTGACTACCACCATATTCTGAATTTCTTCCTGAATCAACCACCTTTTATCACCTCAAACTAACCTCCCACGCCACTCTCCTTATTTCATCAGGTCCCAACAACCATCGATTGTTTGTGTTCCGCGACATTCAACGGATAATGCACTTTATGCATCGATGACACTTTGCGGTAAAAGACTACAGGGTGTCTCAAAAAAACGCAACCACTTAAATATGCAAGACATTAATACAGCTCTAAAGCACAATAGATAAGCACCTCTGGGAATTGAAAATGGCTCTTAATCCTTCATTTAAAATGCTAAAAGTCATTTTAGCTGAACTGTGGTGCAAACCCGAACAATATTAATAATCTTGCATATTTAAGTGGTTGCGTTTTTGTTGAGACACCCTTTATGTAAGGCCTAGTTATACGTCGCATTTTTGTCCCGTCGAATGCAATTCAAACAATAGATAATGAGATGATAAACCTCATTAAGCTTCGTTTAGCATCTCATTATCAATTGAATGAATTGCATTCGACGCGACCAAAATGCGACAATGTAATTTCATCCATACAGGTTGGAGTTTGGCAGATTCGTCCGATTTTAGAGAATGGACCTGCCCCGTTCTTTAAAAATAGTGTTTATTCTTGTTCTCTGGAGGTCCAATGCATGCATTAGGAAACATAAAACGAGGTACATTTTATCTATAAGACTATATGGCATTCACTGTTAAGGCCTGTGTTAGACGTCGCATTTTAGTCGCGTCGAATGCAATTCAAACAATAGATAATGAGATGATAATGAAGTTTAATGAGGTTTATCATCTCATTATCTATTGTTTGAATTGCATTCGACGCGACTAACACAGGCCTAAGAGTTGGATTGGCAGGGTATTCTATAATTGTTCCGTTGTAGACGCAAACTAAAGTCAAGCACAATCCAATATTTTTATTGAAAAGATGTACATATACAGTCTTTAGAGTTAAATTTACATTTGTATTGTGTTTTAACAGCAGTCTTAGAGATTATTTAAATCATTTACAATTGGTATGTTCTTGGTGCCAGTCATCATTCCCATTCATCCATTTCCTCGTTTGTTGAGACTGAATCTTGTATTTGAAAAAGGTCAGGGAACTTTGGCAAAAAGTTAGTGATTAAACTGTTGTACAATTCATAATCTAGAAGAAAAAAGTTATTTGTTGGCTTAGTGGTCAAGTCAAAGGAACTAATGTTGATCCTATTTTGCCTTTCTTTATCAACAAAGTTGAGAGGTACCTTTTCTTTACTTACCAAAATCTGTGCCAGCAAAATTAAGATATTTCTCAGCTACCACGCTTAAGTCTGGTTTAATTGTGCCAATTATTTGAATACATTCTCCTGGCCTTTCTTCATACTAAAATTTGTTGCACAAAATCATAGGTTTGTAATTTGCACACTTTCCAATATTGTACTGTTTAAGCAGTATATTTATGGTACTGCTTGGCACCGCTATTATACTTTATTTTGCCCAACCATAAACCCACCAAGCACTGGGATTCATGGTTCAGAACAAATGGCAACATAGCCTTGATCACATGCACCTATCAACAACAATATTCACAGCATAAGGTTAGATTTATCATCAGGCAAACTATGAATGCAAGTTGAAGATGTCTAGAGTTAAAATAATACAGCAAGCCCACAGACAAAAAAGTGGGTAAATATGGAATATAATGAAGGCTATATATTATTCGTAGGGTCCACAGGTTGGTGGGGCATGACATATAACATACCCTTACCTTTTCCCTCAATGAGATATCGACTTTTTGTTGATCACATGACAAAAGTTGCAACTTATCACCAGTTGGGTTGACCTGGATATAAATTTCATAAAAAATATACCCGTTTATATTTTTCAATAAAATTTTAACATACAAATACATATGTTACCAAACCTGTACAATTTTTCCAACTAAACACACCATTTTCCCCACATTTTCTGATAACATAGAAGCGTTTATTCTAGGTACACTGCTCATCGTGCGAATTCGATTTGTTTTATTCGAGAAATTTGGCAATTGGCACCTTCCCGCGGAATCATGGAAACATGGTGGTCTTTCGCGCCAAAATTGAAACTAGTGCCAGGACGCAAGAAAATCTTATAAGAGAGAAGAGAGTAATAACTAATAAGAGGGAATTAGAGGGTTGCTTTTTATTATTTGTGCCATCAATCATAAATCCAAGTCACTCGCTGCCTTAGTAAGTTCAAACACCGAGTTTTGTATCAATTTACCGACGATTTAAAAAAGAGGGGAAATTATCAATTTAGACAATTTATCATACGTATGCTGTTTGCTGCGTCATTTAGCTTCCTCTTATTTCATTCACTAAAATGACCTTACGCAATTTATATCAATACCCAACTTCTCTTGTTTTTACTTTGCGAGTTTCTACGTCGCCAACATCGCCTAGACTCAGTTGCAAATTGCAAAATTATACAATTTCACACTTCTTCGAACGTGAAAAAGTTGCTGGCACGTCAATTTGGCGGATGGAAAGTAACATTGACGAGCAGTGACGATCATGGTCATCGGTGAAATGACTATCAAATTTGCAGCCTTTAATACTATCTTTAAAACACAATGAACGCATTTATATATAATTTGATATATGGTAAGAAAAATTCTTCATTGTATGTGAATGACGATGAGGGAGATGAGGCAGATTATGTCGATGAAAATGGATTTGTTTTAGTCAAATCCGAAGAACAGCAAGATCCAGAAAGATTTACTGAGGTATACTTTTTATATCTAAGACTATATTACACAGAATAAATAAGTGTATTCGGACTTTTATAAGGCTGTCAGCAGACTCAGCTGTGACTACTGTCGGATGTTTTAATTTGAAATACTGTGGTTGTTGAACCCCTACAAAAATAAAAGTCATACTCTGTGATGTCATGTTAGTGAGTGTCCAGAATGGATATAAACTAAACATTTTTCACTTTTTAGAATGAAACTTCTCCAATTCAACAATCTACAACAGGTATGAGGAGTTTTGGAAAGGGTTATTTAAAGAGTTTTAATTTTGAGTGGAAATCAGACACATGTATAGTCATGTATACAATCTCTGAGTTACAGAAGTAGATGACAAGTGTGATTATGATTTTCCTCAAAATTAATACCCATTAGAAAAACTGAATTATCCCACATCAAGTGAAGTGCTAAATCTTAATTAGGATTCAGTATAAAGAATGGTGTGCAGAGCCAATCAAACTTTAAAAAAAGGTTTTCTGCATTTGATGATGCCCAACATCTCCCCATCATTCCCTGGGGAAATCTGAATTTCAATATTATTCAATATATATTTCTATTAAAATCATTTGACACAGACAAATTAAGCCAAACTGGAGACACACCAAGTTGTCGGAGCTCTCAATCATCTGTGCCATCTTCAAGTGTTGCAGATATTCCAATGCAGATATCTGCATTGTTAAGAACTATTGAATCATGCCAAAGGTTCTCTCTAAATAAACGTGAATATCTCGATCTTGACTTACTCAATTACAACTTTAGTACAGAAATATCTATACTTAATGACACAGGTGTAGGAAAATGATAACTAATCAGAAATGAATGAAGTAAAATATAATAGGGTTGCCATCAAAGTTACTACCTGACAGAAGAACTGTGATTTTCTCTGCAGCAAGTACATGACTACGGGGTGTGTAAATGAGATAAATTTCTGTTGCTCACCCTGAAATTTAGCAAAGGGGGCTTGGGCCTCCCTTCACTGCACTACTAATATGAATGATTTAATTACAAGTTAAACAATATCTGTAGGACTGTATTATCACTGTTAGCGCAAATGTTTAATTCTGTTTGTTATTCTCGTTATTTTAATAATCCTGTTCGCAGATTAATCACTATTATACACGTATTTCAACACTAACTGTTATGTTGGGAAGGTGTTGTAACTTGAATTGACGATAATAAGACCATTCGTAGTTTAATTGTTATTGAATTAGTTGTGTAAAATTCATTTCGGACGAATGTGTTCAAATAATGAAAGAGTGTAGCGGTAATCTCGGAACGCAGACAGACTCACTTAAAAATAGATAAATATAAATTTATAGAGAATGGGGTAGGCTGAATGAAAACTGACGAACTAGAACCCACGAACTAGAGGCGTCAAAGTCGACCTACATGTCGAACTGGCCTGAAGCAAACTCTTGAGGCCGAGGCCATCAGAGGCCACATACAGAAGAGAATATCCTTGGCATTGGCACAGAGGAAACTCTGTCGTGATCGTGATAGGTTCACTTTACCCATAGATAACGTTCAATATTTCAATTCAGCAGAAATGAGCCCCCAAAACATACCGCGTGCCAAATCTCATCAATGAAATTTTTTGTTGTAACTGCGTGCCTGAGTGGTTTTCGCCTGGTGACCCAACCGGATGTCATCGTAGGCCATATTAAGGAGAATTTACTGCCTATCAGAAACCACAAAAATCCAGCTTCAAGATAAAAAACAAGTAGTTAGCACAGCTAACTTATATTAAAATGGTAATTTTCAGATTTGCACTGTTACTTAGCAAACGATCTCAAATATAACTTCAACGACAACGTGAATGCGTGCCACTCAAACAGTGCACAAAAACCTTTACTTTCCCGTGTCTCATATCTGGGCTTGACCATGGACGGAGAAAATGACAATGATTACGGAAATTTTGTTTTAACTCTAAATATTTTCACAGTATTGTTATTTCACAGTATTTCACATATATTTTTACTTAGGTAGGACGCGCCGGCCCAGATAATGTTGAACTTGGCTGGACTACATGTAATTCAAAGCTAGAATGATCCACCACTACGATTTTTGCACTAAATTGAAATACGACTTCAGTCAGATAATTTAAAATATTACTAATAAATTGATGAAAGATAATCAGTCAATATGACTACAAATTCAGCCATTCTCTCGTGCACTTTGTTTGCATCAGTCTCCCGGCTGCGAGGGCGAGCGAGGGACACTCCGAGAGTATGTTTGCTTAAAACTCACAAAAGGACAAAGTACCTGTCTAGCTTTTATCTTATAGAGGGGTTTAGGAGTACATTTAGGACGCTTGGCATTTAATTTGAGTATATTTAGAGCATTTATTATATGTTGAGTATTTGTTACTATGTAGAGTTGTTTGCATTTTTGCATTTAAGATGATGAGACGCATTGATGAGACGCACTGTCATTACCTGTCACCTACTATCATTACCTGTCACCTACTATCATTACCTGTCACCTACTATCATTACCTGTCACCTACTGTCATTAAATGCGTCTCATGCACTGGTCTCATGAGACGGGCGCATTTTTCGCCATTTTCTAGAAACGTACTTAAACAGCCTCGTACCCAGGCGCTTTAGTAAAATATAGAACGTATATATAACTGAATGCAACGTTATATATTTTACAATTAAAGCGCCTGGGTACGAGGCTGTACTAAGAACCAATTATACCATTCTAAAGAGTATTTTGGTGATTTCATATGGTTGTTCATGGCAAATGTGTGTTGAAAAATTGAATTAGTAAAGTGTTGTTACGGATTCTCCATGTAAGTTCAGTCATATTTCTTTTCATCGATATAAATAAACATATGTCACTGTGATTTCACTGAGAGACCGCATGTAGGTCAGCAACGCGGCTGAAACAAACTCTTTATTGATAAATGTTATAGCAAAGAGTTATTGTTTAATGAGGTATAACCGTATAAGACGTTGGAAGCATTGGGTTCATGTTCGGAAACAACTGTATGATACCCAACTTGAAGTAGCACTCCCTGCGTCTTGATATGCACGGTTTTACACAAGACGTAAAAACCAGAAGTTTACAGTAAACAGAGCATGGTAACGTCCATAGGTGTTTAATTATTCATTTCTTTTTTGATGAACCATTGTACTGATAAATGCCGTTCGTCGTGTTTCCGTCCTACATGATTAAGTTCCCCATCACTGTTAGCATCCCCGTGGCTCTATATTGAGTTCCAGTGATTCCATTACTAATATAGAACATTTTCATTTAAATTTCAAATATTTATCAAATTACATGCATTTCTTTTGAAGCTTTCCAGGCTTTATGGCATGTTTTCACCACTGGTTTTCACTTCCCTCGAGCGTCCTACGTCCCTTTCAACGCGCAGGAAGTAATGGGAAGACGATGAATGATTTCAACGTCCCATCATGCGTCAGCCAGCGATTTTATTTTCACTACACTGTGACTTAACTATATTTGTCAACCCTGAGCGTTTTCGTTGCAGCAGATTCCCACAGGTCGTGTTGAGATCAAAGGACTTCGCTTTAATTTTACGTTTGGACTTGCAATTTTTTTTCATTTTAATCTGTTGATAAAATGAGGAAGAAAAACGTGACATCTTCACACCGAAACAACCTCATTACCAGGACAGGGTATCCCACACTGTCACTGAATAGAACTGAAAAACTTTTAGCTAATGTTTTTACCAAATGTCCATGCCCTAGACAGTAAACATTGCACGCTATTTAAAAAGAGGATGACTTTCAGGCTTTAGCTCGTCATCTCGTGACCACTTGAGAACGTGCTATAGCCTATTTTCATAAACGTTAAGAGGCCTTTCCCTCATTCCCTGTTATTTATTAGTATTACTCAGCAGTTTTATAATTAGATGTCATCAATGAGAGATATCAGATATGCCTAGTTTTACCGTCCAGCTTGACCGTCACTCCATGAACGTAAAAAAATTAATAAACTATGCAAATCATACAAACTACGTATTGCCTTTGGGCAACTCGTGCTGTGTTCAAATAGAGAAGAACAAAGACAAAGAAAGACAAATACTATTTCATATTCCACTTCATTTTCCGGAAGATAGCTAGAGCATCGAAATCAAAAAAATGAAAAAATGTGTCTGAAGACACAGATGCTAATCTGTCTGTCCACATCAATGGAAGCATTAGCATGATTGCTGCGTTTTTTTTAGCGTAGGTTATGTCACGCAAGTTAATGAATTATAACCGGACGCTCATTAATGCAGAAACAAATATTAGCGTGCGTCCAATAAACAATGTTATTCTTTTCGTATACAAAGTCGAGAAATAGCGTCCCGTCTTTATTTACCTGCTTCTAGAATCATTGACAGTGTTTTTTTGTCTGTTTATTCACTAATATTTTACAATGCAACACAGTACAAGTTTTTTGAATGATGGATTTTAAAAATCTCCCCAGTTAGCACCAAATTAATGTCACAAAGCAACCAATCATATTGCTCCATTCTTGCCCGTGTGAGCGTAATAGGACAAGGCCGTAAAGAGGAAACAATAAATTTCGCTGCATTAGGGTTTCTTTCTGTCCGTAGTATTTTGTTTCTCAGTTTCCATCTTTTCATACGTAGAAACAGTTTTTGTGTGTGTTTTGGCCAAATATTATTTCATTCGTGTACACTGCTAGGCTGAAAACACTCCATCCTGCCCGAATCGTCCTGAAACAACATGGCTTCGCAAGGGACTCAAAGACCAAGACGCAATGCTTCTCCATCCAGCTCTACCAAGCCACAACCTATGAGGGCTACAATGCCATTCTCATTAAGTACAAAAAGAAATCCAAGTCCTCCCAGAGGAACATTCTTAAGACGACAAAGTCCGGCGTCTTCTCCCGTTCATAACGAAGGCCCTCTCAAAGCAACAAGACGAAGCTCGCCTGAAATTCGAACTTCACCTGAGAATCGCCGAAGTCCAACTTCACCCAGTTTACTATCATTTGGTTCGAAAGGTAATATTTTTCTAATTTTTAGTCCATTTCCAAGATGTGGATTTGGGAAATTTACCATGAATCCATGACGATTTTATTGTATTTATTGGAGACAATTTGTCTTTACTACAAGTCTTCAGGAATACTCTACATGGGCCAAGACCAAGTAAAGTACATCTTATTGTTGTAGAACTGATAAGGGTCTTTAAATATAACTTTGGTCTTGTAGTTGAAAGACCGAAGTCTGGTGGGCCAGCCATTCGTAGAACATCCTCACTCGATACATTATCGGGAAACTATATGAGCTCTCAATGGCCTCGCGGTGAAATACCAGTTGGTTTCCCCGCAGCAATGGTGTGCAAAGAAACTCAGGTGATTTATTTGTTATACTCTTGTGTACATCTTATCCACTAGGTTTTTCCGTTAAAAAGCTCTGTATTTTTATAGTAGAAAATCCTTGTGAGAAAGAGTTTTTCTGTTCTGTTTTATACATCATTGTCCTTGGGCCTCATGATATCTCGACTTCGTGTTGACAACAGCAAAAAAGTATTTGATTTTTTTGCTATTTATACATTATGCCTTATGTTTTGAATTCTACCAAGGATGAAGTATGCATAGTGTCTGGTAATCCGGAGTTAAATAGATCGAGAAAGAGATCATATTATTGTTCTCGTAGTTACATTTTTCATTTGGAACTGCATTAGTACTTAGTAAATTTCATTGAGTTGTTCATCTGCTTTATTGTTCCCCTTGGGCTATTTCTCTTAATTTGGGACAGTTCAAGACAATTTGACTAATGTTAACCTTTATATAGCTAGTCCATGTGTGTGATATTATTTTGCAATGGGGATTGATGAAAGGGGGCAGGGGGTAGTTACAGAGCAAAAATTCATAATTTCTTCAAAACTGAGGCATCCATTTTATTGAGATGAAGCAAAGCAGGTAATGCCAGAAATGTTCGCAGAGTCAATACTACTTATGGTTTGGCTAAGAGGAATCCAGCTTGCTGACAAATGTCAAGCTGCTCTGTACAAGTGGAGGTTTTGATTTTTGTGTGAATGGGCTTTTAACTTTTTTCTCCTTGCCTATACTTGTAAGAATAATGAGGAACCAAAGGAGAAATGTGATTTCAAGATTTGTTTCAAAATAGTTTTGCCCAGTTAAGATGATGTGATTTTGATAGTTTTTGTTTCATCGTTCAGTCAATATCTATTAATTATTTTGGTTGTTAATTGAAGGATGACATGCACTAGTTTATAATAAACATTTTAAATTGCCTATTAAATAATGATGCAAATTAATCACAATCAATAGATTGTGCATTTTCTGGAGCTGTACATGTACATGATAAGATGTGAATACAAAATGAAAGGTGATTACTCCAGTATATACATTTATTCTCCCAATTCAATTACATATCAGATTACTACTATGTATAATTTGTTTCAGAAATAGTTTTGGTTCAGAAATACCAAAAAATGCAAAATTTAGGCCATTTTAATTTTGAAATGAACTTTGCCTGTTTTGCCAACAACAATTAATGCTGCCTGGAACCTTGAAGAAGCAGCCTGGAACCTTGATATAATCAGTTATTTTGAAGTAATCTTGATATCAAGTGTAAACAATTGGTAGTGTTGGCTAATAATAATACCAACTAATTGTAGACAGCACCGTGGGATGAAAATGGTAGTGGTACTACAGTAGAACAACCAAAACACCAACGATCAGCGTCATGGGGAAGTCCAGATGTCGTTAAAGAGGTATATAATTATATCAACATTCTGTAATTAAGGAAACATTTTTAGCAATGTTATTTAAATTTTTGAGCATAGAGGTTCCGGCAAAATCGCCAAAGAACAAAGCAGAACAGACAGTCACCAGTTGCTGCAGATCATACAGCTATTGCCCACTCTTCATCCATGCCAATCCCTGTAGGGCCTAAACCTGTTACCCTTGGAAGATGTAGCATGGAAGGCCTTAATTCTGAGATACAAGGCTTGGTTGTTACTGATGGAGATGATTCTGTATTTAAAACTCCTGTAAGTATGTATATACTAGTAATACTGCAGATTTCTAATGCCTACATTTGGATACATAATACAGGTAGAAGCAAGGTCAATGATTAATTTATTTCTGACTAGAATGAACAACCTGATGGGCATAGAGCACCAATACCCAGGCCTCTGTCAAGCAGTGTTGATGCCAACACACAGACCTCAGGGGAATATTTGGATTATCATGAGGGAAACCACAGTATCATGGTTGATCATGCATGTCAGACTCATTCACCAAGCACCGCAGCTGGAGGAAGAGAAAGTAGTTCACCTGATGTTCCAAGTGGTTTTAAATATGCATCATCTCCAAAACCAAACAATTCTTATCTGTTTTGCCGAGAGCCTCCAGATGGAGCTGAGAAAGTTCCTTTGCATGTTGATGAAGTAGGGTAAGTTGTGGTATATCATATGTTTTTACATCACTTGAATTACATTTAAAATGCATATATAAATATTACCAGATACACTAATGTTCTACTATACTGCCGTCCATCTTCTGAATAATACAAACTATATGATGATTTCAAGATGATTCACAGAGGTTTAACAAAAACTAAAATATTAAAAAGATCTTTCTTTTGGTTCTAGCGAGAGCCCAATGTGTGTGTCTGGACCAGATAAATCTAAGGGAACCATCAAGTTTAGCAAGCAATCTCCGTTTCATTTCTTTACTTCTTTACCATCAAAAGTTGCTCCACCATCCGCAGAACATTCTTGCATACACTGATATGCATGGTAAAAGAAATGAAGACGTGAAAATGATAGTTTTCTTCACTTATGCGGCATTTCTGTTTGGAAAGAAGAGTATATGTAAGGTTGGTGCAAGATGATAGCCAAATCGTTAAGTATACTGTAAGTATTATTATTATAACGTGCAAAGCATCGCTGCATGTGCCATTTTTCATCATAACCTGGGAACCATTGTTGGCATTATATGTCTACAAATTGCCAAAAAATGGCACCTAATTGCCAAAAAATGGCACCTGTGTTTTATTATACATGCTGCACTTAGCTGAATCTCAAACGAAAATGTTTACAGTTTACCAGGTATAGTTTATTGAACGAAAAATAGAACTATTGAAAATATAGTATCTTATTTTTCTAAAACTAGTTGAGACATCGCATTATTTTCATCAATATAGAATTTGTAGCGAGGGTAGCTATTGAAGTTTGCATTCATCACTTGATAATTATGATGATGATATACGAGTTATTCCTTGGCCTTTTTTACGTCGCGTTTTGGTCGCTTCAAATCCAGTTCAAACAATTGATGTTAATCCTTATTTATTGTTTGAATTGCATTTGACACGACCAAAATGATCTTGGATTATTACTATCCAAAAATAAGAAAAAAAGTCCACTTACAAGACACAGCACATTTCTAAAATCTACGAGATGATATTTCGGGTTTTTTGTAAAACTTTACCTACACGATCCGATCATTTACGATAATATCAGTAGCTAGGAGTGTATGTTGCTTTCACGTCGATAGTCTTGTTCTTACAGCCTATACTTACATCCAAAGGCTGACAACGCCAACCTTGGGTTGTTTTCCACAACTGTTGACGGTTTTTTCTATACTTCATATAAATTTCTACCTGTCTCAAACGCGTTTTTAACAAAATCACTTCTAAAGTAATGTTTAGTCAATGCTTTAAGCATCTTAACGAGACTCTCGTTTTTAAACGATTTCTATGAAATTTAATTACTAGTTATTCCAACGTTATATAATGTAATTGTATGGACAGTATAGTCACATTTGATATTGTGCTCAAGAACACTGTATATCAATATATAATTATATATAGTATATAGGCGGAAATCTATGTATATATGATTGACGTGGTTAGAAACAACTATTAATTGTGCATTCTTTGATCTACTAAAATAAAACCAACACATTTTAAAGAAGGGCATATTATCTAGGCAGTTTTATTAATATATTCCGACTAGCTTTTGGAGAAATTTTGGTTAATTGGAGAATGTATAAAAATAGTTCGTCACCACATTGCTTTTATGTTTTTATGTATCCGGAATTTCCATTCTAAATTACAAATGTTGCAGAGTTGTTGCCTGGCGAATTCCCCGTTGTCCTGCTAACAATAATAGCCGTCTTTCGATCCAAATGTTGCACGTAGAAAACTTTACCAGTAGGCGTGTCTATTCTTTCCAGGCAAAAAAAACAGTGAAACGAGGCTTCAAGCCAGTGAACATAATAGTTCTGTAAACGAGATAAGCGCAAGACACACCTAGAGTTTTAGTGCGTTAGTTGCACCGCGCGCATTTAGAATCGAATTTCGACAGCTTTCCGTTTATTTTAGTAATTTTCCTATACCAAGTTGCAGCCACTGATCTCAAAACTGAGGAATTTACAGATGATAAAGCCCCCTTTTAGACATTAGTGAAAAAAGCCACGGTTGGGGCGACTAAATCTACGGTAACATGCATGCATCAAGGAAACCCCGTTATCCTGTGGAAGTGTCTTTGTCTAGTTCCAGTACTTTTAAAGTCGCGTTTTTTAAACAAATTGTGCTGTACGGCTGTACCCTCTCTAGCTGTTCAGCTACGTGGGGGAGGCCAGGGACTACGACTACGAGATTGCTCTATCAATTTTCTGTCAATCGTGCGCTTTATCCAGTCAAATTCCGCGATCAGTGGATGTGATGTCACTAGCTATACTTTCCGGATACATGCTTGCGCGAACTAGCAAACATTATATAGTCTCAAGTATATTTATTTTGGGGAAAGATGTAGTATATATACTTATATAGCGCAAAAGGAAGTCAAATCAACGTGTATATTATCATGTAACTTATTTATTAAAACACGCGTGGTTGATACAGTGTGATTTCATATTATAATCTTGTCTTCATATATTTTATTTTCATGCATGAGCTTGTTCTCCACCACCAACACCAACAGATTGATAAAAAGTAGAAATGAGTCACGTTGGTGGTTTTCACTTCACGTGGCGAGAACATGTTCCCTTAGTAGAAAACGGTTTTAGAAATTTTTGAGCCTTTCATTTTATCATCTCATCTACGGCGTCAATTCGTGCTTGGGAGTGGTCCTGACGTGAGACATACTCGTCTAGCTAAAGTGCCACCCATTTTCAAATGGGAATAGGGGTATGCCACTACCATTGCTTTTTTCAGTAATTTGGATGGCAATGCAAATCAATGAAAAGGTCATCATGGAAAAGGTTTTGTATAAGAAGCCTAAGGCCTAAGCAACGAATAACTAATTTACGGATTTTTGCTATGATTGTGTTACACATATTTATGTTGATTTCTAACATATTCTGTAATATGATCATAATTCCATTCATCGTACCATCGACAACTACCAAATTCATACTGATCACACGAGACTCTGGGTTGGTTAGCTTTTCGTTTTGGGAGTGGTGGTTCTGTCATTCGTTTTCCAAGACTTGGAAAATTCTGATAATAGTACCTAGAGAATTTGTAACAAATATTTTATATCTTTGTCGGAAAAATTGTTAACGGGAATTTCTTCTTACCATCTTTGTAAAATATACTTTTGACCTTTAATAACTTCGGCAGCATTGTGAATAGAGGTTGGATCACACTTGCCATCTTTACTCATACTGTTCCACACCAATGCCAGACCTTTCTTTGGAGTCACACTCAAACCAAGTTGTGGAAATGCTGTTTCACCTCCCTTAGCCACGTCTTTCAAATACACTAATATAGTCCCATAACGATCTCGCTTATCTGCTTGACCAACTGTACAATCTGTGTGATTTTTGTAACCTAAAGTTTATATTTGCAATTGCGTTATGCTGATATTAATCACATCACTAGCGCCAGTCATCTAATGGTAGTACGTAGCACATAGGAAGAAATAAAATAAAAGCAAGATAGTTCAGGTAGGAAGGTTGGTGGAAGGGGTTCTAATGATCATATATTCGAGTGAGCAAAGGATGATACTAGAAAAGCATGCAGGGGAGTTGTTCCCCACTCGTCAGCGAGTGTTGCAGTTCTGGTACTGTGTGAGCATTTGCATATATGTTACAACTAGTATGAATGTGTATACCTACCAACATTTTGTGGATACGAAGTAATCTGAAACTTTCCTCCATTTTCCGGTGATAAGCCAGTTGCCAGTTTTATTCTATCGTGCAACTCAAGAGAAAATTTACTTTCACCCGGATAAAAAGAAGTACTATAACTCCATTTCATGCCATGTTTTCTCACAAGTTGGGATAAACTTTCATTGATACATGTTGTTCCTTGTAGGAAATCATTGTTGCTGACCTGAATTTTTAGATTGACTTCTTTTAGATTCTGTCTAAATGTTTTTATGGAATCAAAGCAAAGAAGTGGGTTAAGTTTTGATGTTTGAGCAACATGGCTGTCATGAGCAGCAGCCAATGCATCACATTCATAAATGCTGAGGAAATTTTCTAAAACATAGGCTTGAACTGTAGTGTCCTTGTGATGATGGTGCAACTGCTTAATTTTGATTGTTGTTCCAGCAACATTGATTTTCTTAACTTGCAATCTGTTCAGGATATGAGACTTGAAGTTTTTATAATCATCTGAACCAAATTCATGGATTGGCTCTTTCTTGGCTAAAAAAGTTAACAAAAACACTGTAGTATTCCAAATGTTTTAAACTATGCCCTATTTATACAACCAAACTCAATTTGTTGGCCCAGCACTTCTAAAATGGGTACCTGACCAATGCATTGGTTAGCCCAAGTAGTGATAACATTGGGTTAGGGTACCAATTTTAGGCGTGGCTTGCAAATGAAAAAGTTGAGTGTGGTGTAAACACTAGCTTATTGTTTTGATGAAACCCTGAAGTTAAAACACCAGGAATTTTTTTTAACCACATTGAATGAGTCTATTGGCTAAAAAATTAATTAGATACCTTTTCGATTTATCTGTTTAACACTATTTTGTTTTTTGACAGGTTTAGTTTGATCTTGGTGTACTGCCTCGTTGTTCTGTGTACTACCGACATCACTTTCAAAACTTTGATTCCTCCATATCAGGATAAAACTAGATACCAGAATAATAACAACAAAAAATGATCGAAAATAATTCACTCCACTACTATTTTCTTTCAGATCGCCTTTCTGACCAGTTTGGGGTCTTGAATGGTGCGCATTTTTCCCAACTACTTTATTTATCTGAGATGATCTGTTTCGTTTAGCCATTATGTTTTAAGCTTTATTTTATTAATTAAAATATCGAAACTCTAAGTGTAATTATAAGTAAATTCGTTTCTTTTCTCTAAAAATCACCTGGCATTACTGATCCTGTAATGCGCAACCATGCCAACCAGCCAGTTTTATTTGATTTAATATTAAAAAAAACGCATTTTATTCAATTACCATTTATAATTGGCTATCTTTAAAATAGGGAATGGGGAATGCGGGAATGCGGGAATGCGGGAATGCGGGAATGCGGGAATGGGGGAATGCGGGAATGCGGGAATGGGGGAATGCGGGAATGCGGGAATGGGGGAATGCGGGAATGGGGGAATGCGGGAATGCGGGAATGCGGGAATGGGGGAATGCGGGAATGCGGGAATGGGGGAATAAGGGAATAAGGGAATGGGGGATTGCGGGAATGGGGGAATGCGGGAATGGGGGAATAAGGGAATGGGGGAATAAGGGAATGGGGGAATAAGGGAATGGAGGGATAAGGGAATGGGGGTATAAGGGAATGGGGGAATAAGGGAATGGGGAATAAGGATGGGGGAATAAGGGAATGGGGGAATAAGGGAATGGGGGAATAAGGGAATGCGGGGATAAGGGAATGGGGGAATAAAGGAATGGGGGGATTAGGGAATGGGGGAATAAGAGAATAAGGGAATGGGGGAATAAGGGAATGGGGGAATAAGAGAATAAGGGAATGGGGGATTAGGGAATGGGGGGATAAGGGAATGGGGGAAAAAGGGATGCAGGAATGGGGGAATAAGGGAATGGGGGAATAATGGAATGCGGGAATTGGGGAATAAGATAATGCGGGAATAAGGGAATGCGGGAATAAGGGAATGCGGGAATAAAGGAATAAGGGAACACAGGAATGGGGGAATAAGGGAATGGGGCGAACAGTGAAACCGGTGAACGAGTGAGCGGGGGAACCTGGGAATGGGGGAACAGAGGGATGGGGGGAACCAGGGAACAGGGTAAAGGTTAAACTAATAGTAACAGTCTTGAGCCTGAAAGGAACAATTTTTAGTATATATTAGGCGTGTATACAGTATTATGGCTCTCTACAAATATATTTATTGTTATTAATGCCAACCTGGCAAGTACTAGTGTTAATTGTTATTGTGAAACTCAGGCACTCTTGTATTTACCAAAGTGAAAAATCAAAATATACTTGCCTTTCAGTAAAAATTAAAACTATAAATAAGATAATGGTATTGTTGTGTGCTAGTGTGTTCATTTAGTTGGCATGCAAAATTTCAATAGTGATATCTATTCAAAATATAATGACAAATGCAACAGCTAGAACATATGTTATATGGGAATAACATTGCTCAAGAAACTGTTCTGTGTATATAATTTTCATGCATGTTTGCATTTGCTTTCAACAAAATTTATGAATGAACCCACTGACCCTTAACTAATTAAGGACAGTCATCCTTTATTAGCGGGTTTGGGGCTTAAGAGAAAAGGTATAGTATAGGGTAACTGCATGAAAATGAAGTGTTATTAACAATATAAATCCTTTCATCATTAAAATCTGAAACCAGGCATGAATCAACTAGCTGTACAATCCTAAATCATTATGCATCAAGTGACTGACTCTTTCCCAATCAGCATACAAAGCTTAAATTCTTATAAAATCTTTAATGAATCTCAGTCATTCCTTGGTAGGAAGTCTCAGGCCTATAGCTAGTTATATGAAAACATTATATCAGAAAATATATAATCAAGTATATAATCAAGTAGGGCATTTAGATATTTATTGTAGTACAGGAAGTATTTATGTATTCCAATAAATGTCATAAAAAGGTAATATACATACATAGTATTTAGTATTGCAATGTTTGCATGCCAATTATAAAGTGCAAACATTGCTTATTACATAATTACCAAGTTATTCACAAAATGCACATTGTTGTTTCACTGTAACCAAAAATGTTTCTTTCAACAAAATATATTCATCATAATTATATGTTTTCCAAAACGTTTGTTGTCTAAAATCAGTGGAGTAAAACACTTTAAATATACTACTAATTTTGAAAAAGCTATAGAGTTAAATAGTATATATAGGGAAAATACTTTCTGATATAATGTTTTCATATACCTAGCTATATAGGCCTGAGACTTCCTACCAAGGACTGACTGAGACTCATTAAGATTTTATAAGATTTTAAGCTTTGTATGCTGATTGGGAAAGAGCCAATATGTTGACTATATATTGCTGATGTCAGTCACTTGATGTATAATGATTTAGGATTGTACAGCTAGTTCATGCCTGGTTTCAGATTTTAATGATGAAAGGATTTATATTGTTAATTAATAACACTTCATCATTTTCATGCAGTTACCCTACCCTTTTCTCTTCAGCCCCCAACCTGCTAATAAAGGATGACGGTCCTTAGTTAAGGGTCATTGGGTTCATTTATAGATTTTGTTGAAAGCATAAATGCAAACATGCATGAAAATTATATACACAGAACAGTTTCTTGCCAACTAAATGAACACACTAGCACACAACAATACCATTATCTTATTTATAGTTTTAATTTTTACTGAAAGGCAAGTATATTTTGATTTTTCACTTTGGTAAAATCTAATACAAGAGTGCCTGAGTTTCACAATAACAATTAACAGTTGCCAGGTTGGCATTTAATAATAACAATAAATATATTTGTAAGTAGCATCCTAGATACAGAGAGCCATAATACTGTATACATGCCTAATATATACTAACAATTGTTCCTTTCAGGCTCAAGACTGTAACTATTAGTTTAGCTGCTCAATGAGTCCATAGTTCCACCTTTATCCTGTTCCCTGGTTCCCCCATCCCTCTGTTCCCCCATTCCCCGGTTCCCCTGCTCACTTGTTCACCGGTTACCCCATTCCCTTATTGCCCCATTCCTGCGTTCCCTTATTCCCTCATTCCTGCATTCCCTTATTCCCCCATTCTTGCATTCCCCCATTCCTGCATTCTCTTATTCCCCCATTCCCTTATTCTCCCATTCCCTAATCCCCCCATTCCCTTATTCTCCCATTCCCTTATTCCCCCATTCCCTTATTCCCCCATTCCCTTATTCCCTTATTCCCCCATTCCCTTATTACCCCATTCCCTTATCTCCCCATTCCCTTATTCCCCCATTCCCTTATTCCCCCATTCCCTTATTACCTTACTCCCCCATTCCCTTATTCCCTTACTCCCCCATTCCCTTATTCCCCCATTCCCTCATTCCCCCATTCCCTTATTCCCCCATTCCCTTATTCCCCCATTCCCTAATCCCCCATTCCCTTATTCCCCCATTCCCTAATCCCCCCATTCCCTTATTCCCCCATTCCCGCATTCCCCCATTCCCGCAATCCCCCATTCCCGCATTCCCTTATTCCCCCATTCCCGCATTCCCGCATTCCCGCATTCCCCCATTCCCGCATTCCCGCATTCCCGCATTCCCCATTCCCGCATTCCCCCATTCCCGCATTCCCGCATTCCTCCATTCCCGCATTCCCCCATTCCCGCATTCCCGCATTCCCCCATTCCCGCATTCCCCCATTCCCGCATTCCCCCATTCCCGCATTCCCCCATTCCCCCATTCCCGCATTCCCGCATTCCCCCATTCCCGCATTCCCCCATTCCCGCATTCCCCATTCCCTATTTTAAAGATAGCCATTTATAATTTATTTCTGTGCGGTATCTTCGGAACTGTTCGTAGACATTCGTGTCCTGGTCTACGCAATTTGGGGGATGAAATTTTCAGAAATTAACAACAATGGCGGACGGAAAAGTAAAAAAACGTTATTATCTTGAATGATTGAATCTGAAGTTATTATAAACGCATAGATTAAATTTCGCTTTGTGTGGAGAGAAAATAACAGACCATTATGGCAGCTAACGTGGGTTTTTTAGATATAGTCACCTATAGTAAATGTATTTTTTTCCAAAATTTAAAATAATGACGCAGTGTTTTATACTGTCACAGAGACACAGACCAGAGTTTTAGTTTATAGTAATTTCTCATGTATATATAATATAGAACAGATACTTTGTATAATGCATTAAAGACAATGAAAATGACATGCGGTTCTAGTTAGAGATAATGGCATCATGCAGTATATTTACACAATTTTTTCCTTTCACTGAAAAAGGCTCTTGGTGAAAAGTTTATGACCGCTGTTCATATATATAAAGATGTAAAGAATAGCATTTACCAAATATTATAATCTTGTGATTGTTTAGATTTTAAAGCAAACCAGAGCTGTTGGCTATTTTCCAACCATGAGATCTGTTGTGAGTCATTTAAGATGTCCTTTAATGTCTGGTATAGCTACAGCAAGCAATGTCAACCAATCACCACATTATGTGACTAACCAAGGTAAACTCAGGACAAGTAAGCTTTAGTTTTCATTAGAAGGCATTAGGATGACATATGACAAGTAAATTTACTATATTTCCAACTATATATGCTTACAATAATCTATTGTCATTGCATGTATTTCAGATCTTGGACCCTTCGCTACCAAAGATCCACGGTTTCCCCTACCAGGAAATATGAATTACGATGTTAAGATGCATAGTGAAACATTTCAAACACCTGAAAATCAGCAGAGTTTAGCTTCAGTATTTCTAGATGTTGAAACAAATGAAATGAAAAAACGTCATGTATTTGCACAGTTTATAAATAACACTGAAATTGATGATAAAAAGAAAGCACAAGAAATAAAAAATTGTAATTCAAAAGAAATGTTTGAAAATGCTAAGGTATGTAACATGGCATAGCGCAATATCACATGAACATCACACGTCTATTGGACAGTTGTGAGAATTTTTAGAAAAACTCTTCAGTGGACTGCTTTAGGATGCAGATAGAACACTAGATACACATACTGTAAATTGAAAATCCAACTTAGACTGCTGGTAGCCAGGAGACCTAAGATTTGATTGTTCCTGTTTGAATCCAACAAGTGATTACTTAATTGTGAATTAAGTGATTTTAATTGTGAATTCATCAGTTGAATAAGAGAAAATAGCTTTGGAATCTTTTATTGCCAGTTTATCATTGATAATTCGTATATAATATTCTTACAGGGGAAAGTTGAATGTTCAGTTCAGAAATGTACTGCATCACTTCAGAGGAGCTTCTCAGATCTTTTTCCAGACAGGAATTTCAAGACAGGCGAGATGACGGTGGTCAGTATATGTCAACATACCAAAAATGACATGACCGTTTGGTCACAAGATGTTGATGAAGAAAGAGAAGAACTATTAAAAAACGTAAATAAAACACATTTTATTTCGTCCTGATCAATAAGGGCTGCTTTCCACTGACACTGTCGCGTTTTTTGCACGTACACGCGCGTGAAAGCTTAAAACCTTTTAGTTGTTGTATAATTAATTCTATGCCAGAAAAAAAACACACCAAATCATCAACAGAATCCAACCCTATGCATCTTTTCCATCGTTGATTTTGCTTGGATTGCATAGCGCTTATATTACGCTATCGCAATGATGTCCTTATATCCCAATATTGAAATAGTTTCATGGTTTCCACATTGAAATTCCTGCCTTATTGATTGCAAGTTTCAAATACTAAGGGTTTTCCTTTGGCTCTGATGACAATAATACGAAGAAAAAACAATTCAAGATAGATCATCAAATTGTTTGCAGTTTATAGAATCCGCTTCAGAGATATGTGACTTACTGAAAAGTAAAGGATATTGGGCAGACTTTATTGATCCGTCCTCAGGAAATGCGGTAAGTAATTTTATTGTTGGCTTAATTTATCGCAATTTTTGTGGATTTTGGTCATTCAGGTAAGTGTAAAGATTGCAGCTTGTCTCGTATATCCGTCTCCTGGGTCTACTCATTTTATCCCACGTAAAAACGCTCGAATTTCACAATTCCAATTCCTTTTTCCATTTTTCAGTTCTCCTTTTATTGTGAATGTTTGTTTTGTCTTGATATAGTATTTTGGACCCTACTCAAACTCGACGTTCTTTGAAACAGACGAACGATACAATCAACTTGGATATCGTGTCTTAGATCTTGGATGTTGTAAAGCATTGAGTCATCATGTCTGGGGAACATACATTTATGTTGGAAGCATATTTACCAATGCTCCGGCAGATTCTTTATCCCTTCACACCGTTCTCTCTACAAAAGATTAAATACCAAATCTTAATGTATTTAGAAACAAAATAGTATCTTTCCAATTTCTATATTTAAGTTGTGTCTGATATATCCGCATTGAATTATGCGACTTCTTGTTTAATATTTCTTGAAAACATCTTGCGAGCTTATAAACTGTGGTTATTGTAATGTTATTCATGACATGAAAACCCGCATTTAGACATTATCAATGTCTGAAGGAAAAACTCGCGGATAAACTCATTTTAATTCGTTGGGCAAAGTGTTTCTTAAAGTGATAGTGAACAAACCGTCTTGACCTAGTGGCTCAATTGGAAAGGCATTTGATTCCCACCGTTGTCAAGCTAATTTTTCCGCTCTCCTAAGGTTCAGTGCTGGGTTAGGGCTAACCCAGGGTTAAGTTTTAATCCACTGTTTTGGTCCAAGTGCTTCTGAACCGCTGTTCGTTTTAGAACCTTTACAAAATATGGCTTTTGATGGGCCAGAAAATGTTTATGGAAAAATATATTTAACTTTGTAAAAAAGCGATTTAAAATATTGATGTAAAAATTTGCTTTAACCAAGGGTTACAGCTACCCGGCTTTTAAACAACCGCCCCCCGGTTGTTAGCTCAGAGTACCAAGTTTTGAACTCCCTACCTGCGGTGGGCAATAGCTTTCCAGTTTAGTATTGAGGTCAGTTATCGACGGAAGTGGGTGCGGTATGTAGGCGTGACGTCACACCAAAGAAAACAAACGAAGATCGCTTTATCGAAGTTGCGTACATTTGAGTGCAAGGTTATTCCCTTCATTTTGATAGAAATTTGCTGATAAAATGGCGAGTAAACGAACAAAAAAGGGTACACAGAAGAGAGCAAGACGTGCTACTTCAAATGTGTTCGCCATGTTCGATCAAAACCAAATTCAGGAGTTTAAAGAAGCATTCAACATGATCGATCAAAATCATGATGGCTTCATCGACAAGGACGACTTGCACGATATGTTAGCTTCCCTTGGGAAAGATCCGACAGACGAATACTTGGAAGGCATGATAAAGCTATCTCCTGGTCCTATCAACTTTACAATGTTGTTGACAATGTTCGGGGAACAAATGAACGGCACAGATCCTGAAGAAGTTATAAAAAACGCCTTTGCTGCGTTTGATGAAGATGGTGATGGAAAGATCCCCGTGGAAAGATTTCGTGAAGCAATGATGACAATGGGAGACAGGGTATCTGAAGAAGATGTCGATGAAATTCTGCGTGGTGCTCCAATTGATCAAAAGAGTGGGCTGTTGGATTATATCATGTTCACACAAATATTGAAACATGGCAAGAATGACGATTAAATACACTTTGAACTCGCCTGGGATATATTTAATAATCTTTTATTTTCAAATTTAAACCTAATATTTCGTTGTCAACATCATTTTGTACAGGCCTATATCAATGTTTATGTCTTTACTTAGCATTGATAAGAAAGTGACAAACGACTGGAATTCTTGAAGTTGGTTTAATAATTATTGACAATAATGTCATTCTGAAACAGTCAAACAAAAGCATTGTGGGTATAATTAGGCCATAAATGACAACTATTTCACTCAGGAAATAATCCTAATATCATAAATTGGTCTAATTGTACTTACAGTTTCCTCTAGATAACATGCATCTGTACTAGATATTTGTAATAAATTTTTTATATTTTAAGTTGTTCTGTTCTTTAAATTTTGTTTTGCTGAAAGTTTGAGAAAAGTTGTTATTCTAAGCATTCAGTTCACCTTAAGTACATACACTATAATACATCTGATGAGATAAAATGTCTTTAAGTGATCTAACATGCAGTTTGCGTTGTATTTAGTTGTTGCATAATTATGAAATTCTCCTGATATGTATTTTGGATTATGGTCAAGCAAATTACTTCAAGTGTTGTTTACACTAGATTTTCAAGTGGCACTGATATGAGTGGCTAATATTTGATACCCTGTCATTTCAAAATCAATCTGAATTTTAAAAAGCCTTGTGTGTGGTTAAGCTTTAAAGCTACATGTAAAAGAACTTCTATTCTTGAAACAAAGCTGTGTCTCTTAAGACTGGTTTTTAATCAAGGTAATTAATTGTACAATGCTCTACAATTCATTGTTGGCACTCATGAAGAAGAACAATTGTTGAATAGAGTGTCTCATGGGTAGGGTGTTGAACCTTAAAGTACCAAAAGGCGTTGATCCATATGCTCAATCACAAATGTGTCTAAGGGCTTCTAGCCTTTAGGGATGATCTGAGTTGATTAACTCAGTAAAAGCTGTGTGGGCAATGATAATCCTTAGAGCATTGCCTGCTTTCAAACCCTCTACGGCCGTTCAGGAGCCTTTTTGGTGCCCATAAATTATATATACTTTTCATTTTGTATATTTTTCATTATCCTTGGTTTTAAGGAAAATGGTCTCCTCCCTCTGCGCAGCGCTGACGCCATCAGGGGGAAGAACTATGGCCAATGATGATCCTCATTCCTCGACTAGAATTGGTGCGACTGAATTGGAGGGGTGCATATTTATATGATGAATATGCCTAATGAATTTCATTTCAAAGCTTATCGCCTGAAAGATTCTGGTAGAGCGAATATATGAGTACACATTACACACTGCTTCTCTAGTCACCGTGGCTACGCCCTGCTTAGGGGATGTTTTGCGTTCAGACTGTGGTTCAGGATCCATACGATACGCAATATTTTTCAGAGATATTTTAACTCTTCAAGAAAAAAGACAGCGAAATTATGGCGGTTGGGGTTGTACGATTACGGTTCGTTTGGGATCTCTGTTTCCATATTTAGATGGACATAATGATGTCATACTGTTGAATAGAGCTAGCAGAAAAGTAACTCTGTAACCCCTACGTAAAATGCAAAACTGTTTTAGAAATCGACACAGGAAAAAAGCTAAAACAGCTAGAAAAGAAAATCATGTTTGCCTGTGCTTTACTTGCGTTGCCAGTTTCGAAAAAGATTCAGTCGCAACAATAAACATAATTAAAAATCCATTGCCATCTCTGTTTGCGTTAACTGATCATATTGTCAGCTGAACATTTTGATTCTTGTTAAAAATAATTGAAACTTGAAAGTGCAAATGGTCCAGACGCCATGAACTGAAACAAAGAAGTTACGTGAAAATAACGTGATATAAGAGAGCTATAAGTTACTAAACGACATTTTTGCTCAATTCATCTCTTCCGTATCCGGCGTTTTCAATATTTGCGTTAACAGTTTACTAGCGGTAAAACTGTAACTGCATGATCATAAAATCTGTCATGAAACAATGAGTAGGAAATTAGCAAGTGATTTGGATTGTACGTATAAGTTACTGAACTAAGTAATTAATTGGAGAGTGGCTCATCAAGCAATGGTGTACGTAGGTTGCAGGAACTGAATAAGAATTGAGACAAATTTTGTTAACAAACATTCGCTTGTATACGTATATACCAAGATCGATCATTGCAATATCATAGAGATAATGACTTGTATTGCACTTTCATTTACTATTATTAAGCCTGCAAGCCTTTGTTTTAATGCCAAATAATAATTATTTCATTTCACCAGTGCCCGGAAACTATCTGAATCCTTTGGAATTCAAATATAATGGAATATCACCTCAAACCATGGAAACAGCACTGAACTTATATAAGACCGTTGAAAATACTATTGTTAATTCATTTTAAGGTTGAAATCTCCAGTGGCAGTGTAACAGTACTAGTGGTTTAACTTCATCATGTTGTTTCAGATTTCTTTCTTTCTTATCTCTGTTTGTGCAGGTGCGGATGCACAACTGCTTGAGAGATTCATTAAACTTACTTTTGGTGTCTCAAAAGCAGCGTACTTACCTCTTGAAAGCGGCAGATATCTACAAAATGGTCAAATCATGGAGAACCCTAAATTTTCAGCGACCAATGACAATCCCAAATACGATAAACCAGCTTGCAGTATTGGCAGCTGGACAGGAAAATACTATGAAGTCAAGGAGACCGAGGTTATATATAGGTTGAATAATGTTATGTCCGTATATGCCGAATTTCTTATAGCACAGTGTCAATATAGTTTAATATTTGTGCTTATAAATATTTGTGAACAACTTCTCTGTTCTTGAAACCGGGTTTGCCTCGGAACGTCCCGTTAGAAACATGTCCGAAACAGGTGAACGAAAACGTTTTTGTAAAAATTTGCGTTTCGACATAACACATATTTCTTTGAAAGACTGGCAGAGTAATAAGTTTTGACAGAATCATAGGGAAGCGACACACATTTCTCGAAGATTCCTAATGAAACCTTCATGCAATGTTTTGAGCAATTAGTTGTTTTTTATATATCACAGTTGGGGTGTCATTATAATTGTAGGTCGTGATGTTCAAAAGCATTCACCAGAAGTTGGTAGTTTTTGGATTTCGTGGGACAGACCATGGCGAAGACTGGGGCAAAAACCTTGATAGCAAAATTGTGACAGAAACCATTCCTGGGACAGAGGAATCATTCCCAATACACAAAGGATTCTTAGAACGTTATCACTTTATATCTTCATGGTTTGAAAAAGAATACAGTCAAGTTCCGAAAGATTACAGAATTTTGCTAACAGGTCACAGTCTTGGTGGTGCAGAAACAACCATTGCGGCATTATTTGCAACTAAAAAACTAAATAGAAAACCAGACGGGGTGTATACGTATGGATCTCCAAAGGTTGGCCCAAGCCTGTTCAAACAGTACTATGAGCAAAACGTTGGTTGTGATCGCACCATGAGGATAATTGTAAAATTTGACAGCGCCCCAAGTTTCCCGTTTAATCCCGAGTACACTCGTGTCTGTCCGGATTTTGAAGTCCAGGGAAAATTCTCCGTGAACCCGTTGTACTTTCATAAGTTATATGGTGGTTATGAGGATGGAATAAAGAGAAGATATCGAGACGATATGAACAAAATTAACATTGGTTGTGATTAAAAAATCAATAATAACTGAAGAATTAGTATTTACACGTAGAGTAATGAAATATGTATTTGAAATGAAATGTTCAAATAAAACGTGTGAAATTCTGGGGAAAATATTATGTTTGCTCTTTTTTAGCAAATTTTAATCAGACCTCGCTGAGTTCGCTTGATGAAAGAAAACTAGTTTAACACAGACAACTTTATCCAAAGGGTACGGGCCAAAAATATATTTTCGGGGTTGTCGAAAAAACTGTCCTATGATCGCCATTTTTGAGCAATTGTCAGTGTAGGGGAGAGGGTCACTAAGGGCCAGTGAACTGTAATAAGGGGTCACTACCCCGGTCCACAACGCTGGTGCATGACTAGCCTGCATCTGCTGCATCACGCATGACAATAGCAGACCAACCTGAATATCCAAAATGGCGACATTGAATAAAGTAAGCTTGAATTTTTTGTGCTTTGTGCAACGTTTGCGACCACTGTCTGGGAATAACAAGGCAGTCTTCAGCACATTTATTAAACTACATAATAGCATGCATGATAAAATACAAGAGCAATTTTTAGAAGAGAAATGTATTCTCATAAATGAAGAAGATAAAGTGATTGGAGAAGAAACAAAAAGAGAATGTCACCTGAACAGTAATATAAAGAAAGGGATGCTTCATCGGGCATTTAGTGTCTTCTTATTTAATGACAATAATGAATTATTACTCCAACAAAGGTCTGACGCAAAGATAACATTTCCTGGTCGTTTTACAAACACTTGTTGTAGCCATCCATTGAGCCTTCCACATGAATTAGAAGATGAAGATTTTCTTGGAGTAAGAAGAGCAGCTCAACGTAAACTCAATCATGAACTTGGTATTGAAGCTAGTCAGGTAGAAAAATAAAATAATATGAGGAAATATAGAATGAATCAACAGGTATTACTTTGTCTGACACAAGATAAATTAAATGGGATAAGTCAATCTTTTATTCAATTAGTTCCCTTTGTTGTTTATTAACCTCAATACTTATTATATTGTTTGAATTGTATTTTTTTCTTAAGGTTCCTCTTGAAGACATCAATATGATTACAAAAATTCATTACAAAGCACCTTCTGATGAAAAGTGGGGAGAGCATGAGATTGACTATGTCCTATTTATCCAGAAAGATGTTGATATTCAAATGAATCCCAATGAAGTAAAAAGTTTTTGTTTTGTGAATCAAAAGAAAATGAAAGATATTTTACAAGATGCTGAAGATGAAAAGATAATTATTACTCCTTGGTTTCACTTATTGTGCAAGAAATTTTTGTTCAAATGGTGGGATAATTTGAATAATTTGGAAAAGATCAAGGATGTACACACTATCCATAAAATGATTGAAGATTGAAATTAAAATATTTGACTGCAGCAGATATTTCAGCCTATTTACAAACTATGTCAACTACAACATTCCAAAATAATAATTATATAGATTGCTTTTGTTATTTGATTTTTTGGTGTGATTCCTAAATTTCTCAAAATTCTGCTGATAGCATGCGTGATGTGAAGTGAAATGAATGTGTCACATGTGCATTTTTCATGACAGATTTCTGGAAAAACTGTATAAGTGATGTTTCCTGACTGGTTTACGAGATAATTCTTGAAATCACAGTCAGATTAGTGTACTATTGGTAAAGAGCGCTGGCTTTTTGTACAGAAATTTCTGACAGGAAATCCAGTGAGGCAGTGACCCTTGAACCAGGAAGTTTGCGGTTCATTTCTGTTGAATCTACCAGAAGTACGTCTCGTCGTTTAACTTATTTCCATCGAAGAAATGATTGATTTATTCTGTGATTTATTGTAACGGTCGATACAAGATAACAGGTAAGAAAACTTAAAGGCATATTAAATGACATATCAGAAATATTATAAAGTGATCTAAATCTGATGGATAATTGATCTAAGCGACCGTGTCGTCCAGGTTGCGAAGCTGTCAGATATCGGCCTGGTGGAAATATACAACATTTCCTGATGCATAATTAAACTTAAATATACACGTTTCCTGAAGTTTTAAGTTTAAATCCAGTGCTTTATCGAGATTCAAATCAAATTTGCTTGCAAATAAAAGGACTAATGTTCATGACGTTCTGTATATTATACACACATGAAATCATAGAAGCATTGAATGCATATGAATAATTATAAATAGAAGCATTTAAAAGATGTTCACTCGCTTTAAATTAAGTCGACTAGTCCCTAGCCAAATCATATTGCTGTTAATTCATACATACGGTGATAATTTGATTGGTTTTATAGGTAGAAATTAAGTTAAATAGGCATATCGGTATCAATCTACAGTGTTATAATATAAATGTTTAAATGTTTTGTGTAAGCCATTGATTTAGCATAACTTTAGGCAATGAAAGATAGAAAACTACCAGAAAACTCTACTCCAGGTAAGGTATCTAGAGAATCTATAGAGCCTAGATGCATTATTGCACTTCAGAATTTACTAAAGAGAATATCATATTAAAACATTTAGAGTGACTAAGGCCTAGTTCATACATTGCATTTTGGTTGAATGCAATTCAAACAATGGATAATGAGGCAGAATGAGGTTTACCATCTCATTATCTATTGTTTGAATTGCATTCAGCGCGACCAAAACGCAACGTATGAACTAGGTCTAATGCAGGTTTGCAGTGAAATATTGATTGAGTTTAACTACTCTTTGCTATGTTTGTATTATCCAGATTGAACTAAGTGAGGCAGCTAGCCAATACAACACTTGATGTCCATAATGGCTCAAAACAATTACAATGAGATACCTGCTGAAATTATCAATGCAATCTTTGAAATGTCAAAAGGCTCAAGCATGCTTTTGATCGGGAAACTGGTATGTTATTGTTTGTTTGATATGAGGCCAGTGATATGAGACTATAAGAAGAGTACAGTATATGAACCAGTGGTAATATAGTATGCCAACTAAGTATTATGATGACTAGTACCAGTATTGTGTGATCATACATATAAGTAACTGAGGAATAGTATCAACAGCAGTTGTAGTATGGCAACCAAAAGTGGTATGTGTAGTAACCTGTTTCACAGTGATTATTAGTTATATTGTGACAGTGGCATGTATAGTGAAAACATGGATAATAAAATCACAACATGGATAATAAAAATAAGTCTTTTAACTATCCATAGTGACAAGTATTGGTATATGAAATGAGAAAAAAAAATTTTTTTTTTCCTTAGAATCGACCATGTTTCAGAACGTTTGTTCTTTCAAAAGGTACGAACATTAAGATTAAAACAATACTTAAGAATTTTAATGAAGTTACATACATTTAACCAAGGTTAACATATTAGGAGCCATGCAGGAGCAGCGTGGACGCTGTCCTACCTATAGCTGACACAAGCAGGGTCTTGCTAAGAGAGTCAGCTAGTCAGCTAGTACATTGCAGCTGGGGTTACAAGATCTTAGTCATTAGCAATTGCATTGCCAACCTTGCACAGCTATTATACACAACAATCACAGTGTTATATTGACATTGCATGTTGCCACTAAAGAAATCTAATACATGACCAGCTGACTTGAAATATCTTAATTTTCAGATCTGGTTTATCTTCATTGGCAGGCTCCAAGAGAAAAATCAAGTGGTGATTATTATATCTTATAATAATTTATTCCACAATTATTCTTTTATTATCTTCTGACGTTTATGCAATTCCTAAATGATTAGAAATTGTCGAAAAAAACTGAAAAAATATGACTGCATTTAATATTTTGCACTGTTTGGAAATGTATATGTACTATAAAACAATTATATAATTTATGTAAGATAATGATTGAAAATTTAAAATTGTATGTATTGTGTTGATAATATTCGTTATGATAATATTTGTTATATGTACTAAATTAATTTTAGATTATAATATATTTCAGTTCTTATATCACAAATCACACAAGTTCTTGATGGAAAAACGACAACCTTTTTTAAAACTAGTGAAATTCCTGAAGATTTCAAGGTTAGTATTTTTTAGGGGGGATGATTGGTATTTTGCGTGGATTAATTTTGACTGATGTGCGCAATTTTTCAAAGCGAATTTTAAAAATGAAACTAAAAGAATTTTTTTCGGCAACGCCTTAATTAACAGCGGCTATTGGGGTTGATCGAGGATTTTTTTAGAATTTCCTTTTTTTGTTTCGGTTTGTGTCGAGAAGAGTATCATCAGTCTGGCTCGCATTTTCTTTTTGACGCGGAGAATGTTGTGATCTCAAAGAAAACCCGGCCTGACAAAAAGCAATACTTGCAGCGTGACTGACTTGCCACTTGGTTTACTTGGTTGTGTATTTAATTAAGGAGTCTGTATGTCAAGCCAAGCGTTGCATAAAGTTACCCACATTCACTCTGATAGTTGTAAATACCACCAAATCCCGTTCTCATCAGTTCATTTCTTCTCAGGTCTTATCAATATCCGTGTTGTATTCAACGGATCAAGGAGAAGAAAGTCTTAATTTTATATGTGAAGGCAAGAAAGATTATGACACATGGCTCACTGGTTTGAAAGTAAGTAGCTAACATGCACGTACGCTGTTTGTTAGACCCCTCGTCAGAAATTTCAAATCTTGTAAAGAAGAATTCAATGCCGGTCCTCAAACGGCTTTTAGTGAACCTCAACAGTTAGATTAAGATTACGAACTTGATGCAAACAGTAATCCGATTTAGATGAGGACTATAATCTATATGAATCGCCCTTCTTTATATAAGTGTAGAGAACTAGCTTGTACAATGCAAGTGAACAATGCTGTAGTTTATTATACAATTTGGTAATCATTATAATATAGGCCTTAGCGAACGGTATCGAAGATAAAGAACTTCTGCAAGAACTAATCACTGGTGACGAGGATAACGACACATCTGTTCATGGAATCGTTTCCAAGTTGAATGGAAACTCCAGCATGGTAATTATTGCTATAGCTTCCTGTTTACAAGGGGAGAGTTATCCCGGCTAGGCGAGGTAAAAAGTGCATCACATCAAAGGTTTAACCTGATTAGTCTTTCATTATATGCAGTTTTCACCTCGCCTAACCGGGATAGCAAGAATAGCGAAAAAGGAATAGCAAAAAAATAGTTTTGAGGAGCGGAGTGCTGGTAATAATAATAAAGATAAAGCCTCGACCAATATTTTCTCGACAAGTTTTATTTGCCCATGCAGCAAAATATTGACAAGCTTCTTACAAAAGTCTTATTTTAAACAGCAAAATATTAGACTACACTTTTAGGAATACTTTAAAGCCAGATTGTATGTTCTTTCTTGTAGCCCAGAAACCGTACAACCGGCAATGGAACTGGTGGACATTCAACAACGTCTGTTCGTTATAACGGTTTGTTTCTTAATTGTATCAAGCATCTCAGTAGGAAGTCAAAAGCCTCTGCGGATAAACTATAAAGGAGTTCGCTTCTCCAAAATGTCTTGGTTCACCATAAGCTTTTTGACCAAAATAAAAAAGTCCTTTTTGGGTTGGGGGAGATGGTATAGGATTCATGCAGGATATGATGAATTAACGAGAGGTGTAAATAAATCTCTGATGTTTGAAATTTTGATGCTAAATGCTAAATTTGTTTTTTAGCGGAGTTGTGTGATTTGTATACATGGGGTGATGGCACAAGAAGCAAACTGGGACATGGGGAAGAAATAGAGGAACATAGACCAAGGATGGTGAATGCTTTATCGAGATTAAATATGAAACTAGTATCTTGTGGTGCCAACCATATGCTCTGTGTTACTGGTAAGAACTAGTGAAACGGATACAATGTGTGGCAAAAAAGCTGCAAATAATACAATTGCTTTTAGAATTATTCAAGCCTGTTCAGTTTTATTATTTGCTCGGTAAAAAATCTAGGAGATCGTTCTCATCATGATAATAATTATTGACATCCATGTTACGAGGTTACGCGTCTAAATCTTCCGTTAGATTCTGGCGAGACACTTTCTTGGGGGTCTGGATCTAAAGGTCAACTTGGTCAAGGTCATTTGCGTGATAGATTCACACCATTACGGGTAGAGGCATTACAACAGCAGAATGTTGTACAGATATCATGTAATCAGTATCATTCTGCTGCTGTTACTGGTATGTATTACTTTTAAATCCGAATCAAGTTTTTAGGCCTAAATATTCCACATCTCCTTTCTTTATGGTGGTAGTGTGGTCAGCAAGACAAGAGTTATGCAAACTGGCTTCTCGCCATCATCCACCTTCATTAATCTCTTATTCATATTAGTGCTCGTCATTGGTACACATTCTCCTTTCCCTCTGCTCTGTCGCACAGTTTAGTAATAATGTATTCTTCGCTCTTCCGAATGCTGATATATTCCCTGAATTAAACATGTAAACACGTTTAGTTGCACATTGAATATAGAAAATTGCGTCATGTGATGACAACTGCGGTCAGACACGCTTGCATGTCTAAAGCAAGCACACCACTAAATGCGCTGCTATTTATCTCTGATCTTTTTTTAATGTAGACGAAGGAAAATTATATACCTGGGGTTATGGCAGTATCAAGCTTGGATATGAGACAGGAAATGAAAAACAATTAACTCCAAAAGTTGTTCAAAGCCTTGGATCACATAGAGTGGTTCACGCGTCCTGTGGAAAAGATTTTACAATGGGTAGGCTGCCTCGCGCATTCTTTCATTAGGGAGCTTTAGATTTGACTACGGCTCCCGCTACAGTCACATTGACGTGATATTCGTGATACTTCGTACTGACGCCATATATAGACTCGTAGCCGTCACGATAATTACGTCACGATTACGTTTTTTGCCCGGAAGCCTCGACCTCATTATTAGACGAAGAAATTGATCAGGATGACGTAGTTATCGAAAGAATGTATTCTATCCCCCACGGGGAAAATAATTATTTTTCATTTTATTATTTTACAATATACTGCATGGGCTAGCTGCATGTTTGCTGCGTGTGATCCCATTCTTAGTAACATCGCTTGTTCTTAGTGTTAATGAGGATAAGTATGCGAGAATTGCCTAATACTGCATGGTCTAGCTGCATGTTTGCTGCGTGTGATCAGTGTTGCCAACCTTGGGATTTTATCCCAAGATCTTGGGATTTTTTGAGGCTGTTGGGATTTTCTTGGGATTTTTATTTTTTTAATAAGACCTTGGGATTTTTCTTGGGATTTTTTAGAATAAAGAAAAGATAATGTTATAATAATGATAGTTGTAATACTGATTAATCTGCTTGCTCAGTATAACTGATATTCACTAAATATTTTAATATACCATACAGAGTATACAGCAGTTAAGCGCTGAGATCAGTGAGAAGGTTTCTTCCTATCGTATTTATGATACTTTTAGGGTAGTGCCAGGCTTCGGTTAGCGCATGGCTGAACACTTCGCCTGATGAGGGGACCTGAGAACTAATGAAAAAAAATCTTGGGATTTTTTGGGGGGAAAATAGGGAATCTTGGGATTTTTTGGGAGCTATATTGGGATTTTTAGGAAAACTGACTTGGCAACACTGCGTGTGATCCCATTCTTAGTAACATCGCTTGTTCTTAGTGTTAATGAGGATAAGTATGCGAGAATTGCCTAATACTTGGAGAGAATAGTTTTTAAACTTGTGTGGGATAAACTCGGTTCAAAGAGATTGTGAGAAATCGTCTTTTATTGCACGTTGTTGTCTTCTAAACAGCTTGCACGAGTGATGGACAGTTATTTGCATTTGGCAACAATAAATTTTATCAACTTGGTCTTGGTGATAGTTTACCTCGTCGCGAGCCCACTTTGGTTGAATTTGAGAATATCAATGATGAAAGTATGGTAAAAGTGGAGTGTGGAGATTACCACACCGCTGTCATGTCTGGTGAGTGTCCAGTTGGTCCAGTTTCTTACTCCCAAGACTTGAGACTTGACCTACTCCTTAAAGGTCCGTTCACACCTGCAATGTTTTCAGAAAGTATTTACACTGTTTAGACTGGGGTAACGTTTGGATGTGGGGAGCAAACGAATACGGTCAGCTTGGTACAGGAGATGATTTTGCGATGTTCAGCAAACCTTGTAAGCTCCAGATTTCAGAGGACAACAGGTGATCTATTTCAACAATTAGGAAAAATAATTAATTTTCATCGATTCATTATCGATTCATTCACAGGATTTTTGCAAACACACAGTGCCTTGTATCTACCGCAGTTGATTTATGGATGGTTGTCTTCAATGAATTCATTATTATTTTTAGTTCAATTACTCTTATTACTAATATCAGTTGTGGCAGTCGCCATTCAGCTCTCGTCACATGTAAGTTTTTCTTTCACATTATTTTATTTCTTTCATTCTTATAAACTTCCTCCCGCTAACATTGTTTTTAACAATGCAATTCAAGTTGATGGTTTGTTGTACTGTTTTGGAGACAACACTTTTAACCAGCTGGGAAAGAAAAACACAACGGATGGTCCAGCGAAATGTAATAAGCCAGAAAGAATAAAACTTCCACTTGGAGTAAGAATCAAGCGAGTGTCTTGTGGAGCATATCACTCTGCTGCCGTGTCAGGTAAAACCACGTTATCCAGCCCGCATAGCAACTCTTTCCTTCCCTGAAAAGTCGTCTTATCCTACACCAATTGCATATTCTTCCATTGAAAAGTAAATGTTTTTTTTCGTAGAAGAAGGCGAGATATTCACTTGGGGCAATGGCTCTGATGGTAAACTTGGACATGGCGATCTATCACCGAGGTAAAGAAAATGTTCGTAGACAAAATCCCATAAAAAGAGCTACTATATGATATATGTTCTAGACGATCGCAGGACCGAATCTATATTGGGCTAAAGCATTATAAAGCTTTGCGTTTTTATGTCCATTGAGTAAAAAGAAGTGATATCTTTACGGTGTTTACGACTTCAGAGTAACTATTAGTCTCTCAATTTCATCGAATTTTTCTTTGAATCAAAAACGCAGGTTTCAACCAACGCAAATATTGGAATGTTTTGAAGGAAAGCGCGTGACGTCAGTTTCGTGTGGTTTCGCCCACAGTGCGTGTACAGCGGCAATACGCTCTGAAAGAAGTTTGGTTAAAAAATGTATGGCTTGTTTGAAGAAGTTCTCGATCATTCAGGTTAGAGGCTTTAAGTGAAGATGTGGTAGTGTATTATTATGGTGTGTCAATACTGGACTTTCTCAAGGAAATTTGGTAAATCATCCGTGCACGGATGGTGGAAATTAAAGACGCCCTAGGTTGTCACCAATGAAACCACGTGACTGAACGTTTATTCGCAAAACACTACATGTTTATCTTGAGTTACATGTGTGATATAAAAGCAAAAGTCACACTTACACAAAACAGGGGCATGTGAAAATTCTAGGAAAACTGATGTATTTTGGATAACGTATTTGAGGGAGCATCTTCCCCAAATGCAGGCGACGCTCGCCACTGCGTCCAGAACGTCTGTGGAAGGTCGCTATTTTTCGTATTTTTAATAATCATTGATGGTTTTTTTGGTTTTCTTCCATTCAGAACCGTTGCCGTTGTCATCGTTGTAATGGGACATTTTGTTCATCATGTGCGCCCAGAAGACCTGTTCGTTTGTGTGATAAATGCTTTAAGATAATGGCAGACCAAAACCCTTAACAAATTAGACGTGTTTCATAGGGAATATTGAAACATATATATTGAAATTTGAAAAAAATATTTTAAAGTTCATGTAATCAACTCCATGATTTGGAATTGTCTCTAATGTGACCAGACAGTTGAATAAACCTATAATTGCCATTTCAAGCAGACTGATTGATGTAACATTGCATATATGACCAAATGTATACTATATATACATACACTGGTTCCAGAAATGTTTGACCAAGTAAATTTATTATTCAAAGCAGGCAAAAACATGCAGAAAAAATTTTAACTGGGGGGGAGGTGTTGTTGAACTTGAAATTAAATTATTATGAACATAATTTAATAATTTATATTCTATTGTTAAATTAAACAAAACATTAAAGTAAACAAATTGAATCGCTTTTGATCAGATGTTATAAATTAAAATAGTGAACATTGTTAACGTAAAATAACATTTTTTAATAATGGTTCTCGGGTGTGAATTCTAAAAAATCATGGAATTTATTCTTTCAGTATTTATCTTAAAAATTGACTCATTACAATTTCATAGTGGGCTAATGCTGTGATACATCATCACTGCAAGAGCTCAGTGTGTAGACTTGACTGAATACATTGTATTAATGTTTATTGGCAGACCTTAGGCATAGACAAAAATAAACTCTGGTAACAGGATAGTGGGACTAATGATTGAAATGAAGAATCTGTTGTGATATTTCACAAATGAATCTGGTATTTTGTTCCAGTCTCTTGATTTAGTCTGTTCATGTTTGGGTAAAATATTTGCCCACTGTTCTTCACCATGTTCCATAATCTCCATTGTACTGTGTCACTTCAATAGCTACATCATGAAGTAGAAACATCTTAAGAATGCACACTTCTTGGTAGATCATAATATTTATAAAAACTTCTTTTCCTTCCCAGATTGTTTCTGTTTATGCCGTGGATTTTCCTTGCAAATGATACGTAGAACACCTCTTCTCTTTACAAAACGACAACCACTACACCGCCGCCTTATCGATGTTCTCACTTTATAAGTTCTGAAAGCCATCAAAGATAATGCAAAACCTCTCTCGTACACCCTTGCTAGCAAACTGCGGCCATACATAAAGTTGAACATGTTTTTCTAGGAAATAACTTCGCAACAGTCAGAAAAAAATTATTGAGAAACAGTTGAGAATTATTTCGGTAATCGTCGGAAAACGTCGGAAAACATTCCACTCGACGCAATGTACTTCACATGGAGGTCATAAAAACAATCTTGGAATAGTTTGTTTGTAATTTTCCACTGAATATAATATATGTACTTCTGAAAATTAGTGTCGCTAAATGAAAAGTTGGAAAAGAAAAGATTTAATAAAGAGTAATTATTTAAATTTTCTCTTTGATTGAGTTGACCTTTAAAAAGTTGTAAACATAGTAACCCAGTGGTAACCATAGATTATTTAGCGTAAACAAATCTGAAAAAGCCTAAAGGTCATATCTAAACTGCACAGCAATATGCCTCAATCTACGCCAAAATATCAGCTAGCTCGTTGTGTGAAGTATGGTCCACCTGAACGATCTGATGCTGAACTAAGAAAACTAGAGAAATCGTTCGTCCTGGACTGTGTTTTTGTGGGCACGCTTTCTGATGATTCTGGACGTGCTAATCCGAAAATGGCAACGGCAATCCCACCGTACAATGGCCAGAAAGACAAGTTTGCTAGAAGATATTTTGAATCTCCTACCATACAAAAAATACTAAAAAAAACTGGTCAGGTAAATGTCCTACTCAAACAGGAGTAATATTCTTTAGAAAGTTTAATACACCCCTGCACCATGGCCTCCTTAAAATCTGAATGTTTATTTTAGTGGTACAATGTGAGTTATGTAACTAACTAGGTGGTGAAAACAACATTACAAATTGTTGGGATAATTTAAACTTTTACAACTCCATGACCTTTTTAAATATTTTTTAATTTGGACATGAGAAGGGGGGTTAACCGTTATAAATGAGACCCCCCCCCCCACTGTAGAGATAAAGTAGAAAACCAATCCCCAAATCAAATGGCTGTGATGCTATGCCTACCTGGGGGCCAGATCCTCCTGAAAAACATGTGCACTGCATACTGTCCAGCAAAAACCTCCCTAAAATAATACATGGTAAATTTACACTTGTTCTCTAAATTTACCTTACCTGTCGCCCCATCATCACAAGCATTTTACTGTAACTAATACAGGATATGAATCAAGGAGATTCTCTGTGTGGAAAACAAATGGATAGATTTTACATAACTGGAAGCATGGGAACCAACATCCGCTTAAGGAATCAGAATGGGGCAGGTAATGCAGAATAATGAGAGTTCATAAGAATCATCCCAATGTGGGCTATAATGCTACATCACATGCTGCAAAGCAGATTTTCTCAAATGCAAATTTTGCAGCTTTTGATGCATACAAAGCTTAATGCATGCTGCTGCTGATAGTAGCTTGATTGAACTTCAATCTGATGCTTTACCAAATATTTCCAAAAAAATATTTACAAGGAAACTCACAAGAAATCATAAGAGGACACAGTATGTTTATGGAAAATCCAAAACCAATCGTTGGTTATCATGGTCTATATGGATTTCGCAGAAATACCCCTTGGCTTCGTCAAAAACCTTCTGTATTTATAGGTATGTGTGTGAAGTTTTGCCTCAGATTTGTTAGTTTTCAAAGACCACAGTTCAGTGGGTAGTAGCTATGTTTCAATCAGAACCATGATTCTTCTACCTTTGTTCTTGGTTTGAAGCAGAAATCCAGCTAATTTTTTGGAGGGTTGGGTTGCAAGCTTGTAAAAACCTAAAGCTAATATTCCATTTTGACTGTTTTAGTAGCAGATATATCCTTATATGAAACTTGCTTTTTTTAGGTAAAGTTGACAATCGTTCTGTGGTCCCTTGAGATTTGATGTAAACGTCTCTCTTGATGTCAAATTCCTTTTTGAACTAAAGTAGTAAAATGGTTGACCACAGATCACAGAAAATTGAAATTCCTAATTAGGAATTACTAACAGGAACAATCTAAGATGTTCTGTAGGACAAAACATACTACAAGACTTATAAAATATAGAACTATAAGACTAAATATAAAACTTCGCAGTAGATCGAATGTTATCTATCAATGTTTTATTCCGTTGCAATTTCGGAATGATTATCTCCATGCGTGTATATAGGGTTGATTTACTTCTTCTAACATTTTGAAAGCATTCATTGCGTCTTAAATTTAGGAGCAGACAAACGGACTCTGCCGAGTGGAATGATAATTATATACACACTGGTCTTAATTGCCCAATTCAGTACGATTTTCTATTCTTTCTTCTTTAAATTTGACAAAAAGATTCGCTCTGAAACTCAGAAATGGCTTTCGGAAACTTTTTACTATACCAAGAAAAAATATACATATACTGTATTAGACTAAAGATATTTATACTGTTCACATTGCACTTAGGTACAAAACACATTTAATATAGACAATAACGTTTAACTTTTTATGGTAATTTTTATGTACATATTTCTAATGCCCAAGGAAAAAAAGATTAAAAAAAGATAAGGTCCTGTTGTATCGAGTGTTTTCTTACAACGGTTTATTCATTCGCAATATTTCAAAAACTCTTCTGAGATAACTGTAACCTAACTGTCAGTTTTGGCGTCAAATGACCCGTGGCCGCAAAATCTGCTTATTTAAAACGTTGTCAATAGATTTCCTGGAAAAGGATGTTTTAAAATATATGCGAGAGGGCGGACATATTGCCATGTTCTTGAGTCTTTTCCAAATATCTATCTTCTTCTATCAAGGAATTCAATAAAGTGTTCATATCATTTACTACCATGTTGGACGGACTATTTTGTAAAACAGATTCTTCTACAACTTCATTCGTGTTTAGATTACTTATACCATTTAGCATCGACTCATACGAGCCTTCATTGCCTGGTCCATTCATAGCTCGACCATTGTTCGCCGGGACCTGCCCATTCATAACTCGTTCATTGGAATACGCTTGACCAGGAATACAGTTGTTTGGTTCTTGCTGGTCTCTTGCCTGGAGTAATTGCTGGTTAATATGTTGTTCATATTGCCATAAACCTTTTTGTTGCTGGGCCCTAGGCCCTTGAGGTTGAGTGGGAGGGTGGGGTGGGTAAAGGTAATCCTGGTTGCCAGGTGTCTCCATTGAGTATGGGTAATGTGATAGCTTTTGTCCTCTATCTAGAGGTTGAGGACGGGGTGGGTACCTTTGGTTGTTGATCATATTTGGTTGTCTGTATGTAATATCAGGCATGGGTGGAGGGTTTGGTCTCCTTTGCGGATAATGTTGCGGGTGGAATTCATTAGAGTAATAATGAGTTGCGGGCTCACTGCTTCGTCTCGGTCCTATGTTGTTGCGTAGAGGTAAATATCGGTTTGAACTATCGGCTTCACATATTATACTATCGCTCATTCTTCTATTAGGCGCTGGATCATTGGGGTTCTGAATGGGTACTTTATGAAAAACAGGGCTTCGAATCACAGCTAGGTTATGATGGCTGCCGTATCCACTGCTAGACCGTCTTTGATCAGCATGGAAGGTGTCTGGTGGTATAGGTGATGGTCTGACCACGTCATCGAAATATTCGTGGCGTCTAGGATTATTGCTCCATTGTTTCAGTTTTGGTAGTTGTTGTTGCATCTGATGGGCATCACTTGCTTGTTTGTTGGGTGGATACATGCTTTCTAGTGTCTCTTCAACTAGTGGTGGAACTGCACCGTGTGGTGGTCTAGTAAGCGTACTCATCTCGCTTGAACGTCGACTACTGATGTATGAAGACACGCCACTCTCGCTCGAACGTCGGCTACTGTTATCAACTTGGAGATTTTCCCTCAAGTCGTTGGGATATCGACCAACATGGCTCATTCTCTGGGTGACATCTTCAATCCACTTACCAACTTCATTCTGTTTATTGATAGTTGGAAGAGAGAATTGGTTAGGCACGACTGGAGTTTCAACAAGGACTTCCCCTCCCACCTCTTGTGGAGGGCCTGAAATATCTTGAAACGGATAAGGAACCACCGCCTGGGGTGATTTAGGGGAAACACTCTTCTTATTTTGATTGTTGTTTGGCCTACTTTGGGGAATCGTAGTGTTTTCTTCATGTTCGTCCCATACAATATTTGCTGAATGTGGGCTGTCTATACAGCTAGACGATGAGGTTAAATCTCCAGTGAAGCTCTGTGGGGAAAAGTCACCACGTGGCAGATTTGATATATTCTTCCCTTGTCCGCTCTCTTTCTGATCTCTTCCGCCAGGACTGGATGGATCTCCATTTTGGTTGCTGTTGTTATTCGAGGTATGATTTTGTTTTCCCTTTGAATTATTCGCAGTGGGTTTTGATGACGTATTGCTTTTCGTAGCATCATTGCCGGGTTTACCTTTACCTTCGTCGACTTTCGGCTGAAAACGAGAAAGTACGACTTGAGTACGAAAACTTTAGGCTTGTTTACCACGACGATTGTACATTTACTGCCTTCTAGCATAGGAAACGAAATCTCGACTTGTAACCTCGGCAGAAAAGAACGTTTAAAACTGACCTTTTTCGCCCCAGCGAAATGTTCTGGGTGGCACGTCTTCTTATGTTTTCTGAGAGAGCTTGGATCTGTGTATCGCTTGGTGCAACCCGCAACTGTACATACGTATGGTTTCTGAAAAAACAACATTCAATAAAATTAAATTGAAACGTTCTCCACTAGCATTCGCTTTTTGCATTAGGTTGACTGTATTCGCAATTTGTTTTCTTTAGAAATGGATCATTCACACGAGACGTTTTTCAGTACGGACGAATTCTATATGGGCTCTCTGCTGGAGGCTTTTAATGGCTAAATATTTATCAAAGCCTAGCTAGAGTGTCACATGTGTAGGCCATGCGAAATACAACGAGCCAAACAGCTGAATTCAGAAAATCACGTGATCCCTCGCACTACATAGAGATAGTTATATGGTTAAAGGCTTACCACGGAGGAATGAGTTCTGTTTTGATGCTTAGCACGATCAGAGGCGTTGGTAAAGGCCTTACTACAGTTTTCAAATTCACACACATACGGTCTTTCGCCAGTATGAGATCTTTCATGTGTTTTTAGGTTCTCCAATCTGGAATAAGCTTTATTGCAGCCTTTGTACTGGAATAGAATAAGAAGGTTTGTCAATATATGATCTGATCTGCACAAGAGTCATCCAAAAAGACCTCCAATAGAATATTATACAGTAAAAAACCAATGTAATACATATGTCAGGACAATTAATTATCAAATTAAAAGATATTCCGTCACTTCTTGGAAAGGAAAGAGTGAAGTAATGAATGACACCTAAATGTTACTTACTGTACATTTATTTGGCTTCTCTCCGGTATGTCTTCTCATGTGAACAACCAACATATACTGGGCCTTGAATGGCTTTTGTTCTCGCTGACAATCTACCCAATGACATGTAAAATCTCGTCTTTCTTTCTTGATGTGATCAGTGTTCACATGTTTTACTAGTTCATCTTGTGTTTGAAACAGAATATTACAATCCTTCCATAAGCATAAGAATTCATTATTATTTTCATCTTTTCCTGCTGTTTCATTATTCTCCTCATTCTCAGCGTCTGACTCGCGCTATAAACAAAATTTATTTGTGTTACAAACGATGTCTAAGGTTACGTTCAGACAAACAATGTTCTTACTCGACTTTAAGTTCAAAGAACAGTGACATTGATAAGTACTATCGCTAGAGGCAGTTTCCGTTCTTGGGCACAGTGCCCAATTTCATTTGGCGTCCAGTCGGAATACAATCTTTTAGACTGCGCCCTGTTCCTGTGTGTTTAATGATATCGTCAGGTCAAATTGTAACCTTGGTAAGAACTATGAAAAACTTGCACTGCGTGATAAAGATGATGAAATGAAAGCTCTTAGAAAGTCTGGTTAAGTTTCCAGCACTGGAACTATGTTTATAAATCGCATATGGTACTGCGGCAATGCACTTATAACCGCTTCTTTATTAATTGATTGTTTTTTTCAGCCCTCACAGGAAAAAGGAGAAAATGTAGTTCGAGCACCGGAGTTGCAGAAACACGCAACAAAACCTGAATTAAACGCATGTTATTCAGAAATATAAAAACAAGGATTGTGATCCAACATTTTTCACCATTTTTAATTATTATGCGTTGAAATCTGATTTTGTTGCAAGTTGGTGGAATTTTGCTTTATCTAGCTTATAGGAATCGTTTATTACAAGCTCGTGGTTTCTGTACAACATATTCTTCAATGACATTGAACTAACCGATATGAATAACATATAATCTCTAATAACCTAGTTTCAGAACCGTAATAAAATTAGTGTTACAGACATATAGACCTAATTACTCATTCTTCAGATGAATCCTTATCATTGCAACAATAATCGAGTTATCGAGTAAGATAACTCCAGAGATAATTTGGAGCCAATTCAAATTGCACAAATTCAAGTGTTAAATTACTCGTAACAAAATTCAACTATCATTGAACTGAAACCAATAAAGTGCATATATTGAAACAATAGCTACGTTGATATAGAATTGACAAAGCTCGAGGAATATAAAGATGAATCTCGTCTAGTATTGCTCATTGCTCATCTAGATTCTACAACAATGTTTTTTAAACGACTGAAAGGCAACTACTGATTGAGCAAAATTTCGGAGCATATAGCCTATGTTAAAGGCGCGCCGTGTGACTAAGGAGGACAGAATTATTCTTTTCATTGGCCTTTTTTCAATTTTTCTAATTCTACATAAAAAAAACCTGCAGTCTTTCAGTCGCCATCTTGGAATGGCACGTAATTTCATTTGTGAGTATATTTGTCAGTGAGGAGATCTGTCGGCTCTTGATATCTGACCTCGATCAAAAATTTAAATATTTAGTAAATGAAAGGAATGTTTGCTAATTTCCTATGCTAGTAGGCATTCAATTTGATTTCTCTGTTCCGTGCTGAAATAATATAAGAATGGCTTAAGTAATGCCAGAAAATGCTTTTAAACGAATTATTAATCAGAAATTTCATCAAAATGTTTAAATAAGCACAGTCTTAAGCGTTTTCGATGATTTTTGGGGCAGTACCCCGCTAGCTGAAAGAATGAATTTGCGTTCACGCATTTATCTTTATTTTGAAACATCAAATTTCAAGATAACGACAATTCAGACAAAATTTGTTTTCTAACCCAAACAACTTGTATTTTTTGAATGCGCAATTTCTGTCAACACCTTACTCTACATATAAGTGCAAAACAATTTGGGCAAAGCATTATACCCATAGTCAGGCATTCTATGTTTGTTAATTTTCAACACTCAGAATAAGGAAAGAAAACTGATCAATTCACTTCACTCAGATTTGAAAAATATAGACGCTCTAAAAAGATCAACCATAACGAGGCCTCAAATGTGGGATATTCTCGTAAATTAAATTCCCCACACAGTCCATACATTTCATGATGACACAGATGGCGTGTGTTGAAGAGAGCAAGGCGTTCTGTGCTGCCGAGCTCTTTCTGTGGTATAGCTGTATTATTTACCCCTATAGATAAACTATGAAACGATATAGCATTACATTTATCAAATGATTTATTGTTTTTGATAAGCAACTGCTTACGTCAAAGTTAAAATATCTGAGGTAGAGCATAGTTTTAAGGATTTAAGATAAAAAGGTTATTAAGATTTAATCTTCTATACTATACGCTATATTTCCTGTACTTTTTGCCATTGCCATAGTTGCATCCGTACATCTATACAACCTTGTCAAATCCGATAATATACCACACATGCAGGGGATTTTCTCAAACCACTAATACTTCGGGATACCACCATGTATGCAGGCTGCAAAATTCAGGTTTCCTTGTCTATTTCCCAACCATGAAATTTAGAAAAAAAGTTGTTTTTCCTCCTTAGGAGAACACTTGAAGACAAATCCAGTGCAGAAACCTTTTTACTATTGGCCAGTGATATTAATGCAATTAGCTCTTTTTGTGATTTCCACACAATAAAAATATCATTATACTCTTCTAAAAAGCCGCTATAATGCCTGCATACTAGTGATTAGTGAAGAAGTAATTCAACCTTTATAACCTATGTACATCAGTAGCGTCTAATTCGTCTCATTCCATAAGCAAAACCTCCTCGCAACCAAAGGAAACTTTCAGTCATGACAAAAACATTTAAAGGCAGTAGTGTTCGGATAACTTGAGCGATGTTGGGCATTTAAATAGAGGCAAGAAAAATAAACGTTTAACAAGATCCCTACTTCATTGTCATTTGATGAAAATAATTGTTCGTCTCTCACAGAAAAGATGGACACCATCTGTTGGCTGTTGCTAGATAGTGGCAAGTTGACCACTTATACTACAGTAAGCTACTATTCAGAATATACAGATCAATGTGTATGTAACTGATTTGATAAGTGAATAATGATATGACAAAACAATAATAAATGAATTGGTCGGCTCTCTGGTAGTAAAGCAAATAAAAAATACGACGGACAAATAATTAACGCACCTTATCCGTTTCCGCTGGTGAACTGACAGCAGGCAATTTGTTTTCTTCACCATCCACCATCATGCTTTCCTCTTCTCTCTTTATTTGCCTTTCCGTCGATATTTCTTTCTTAATCGTTTGCGCCGTTTCCTCAGAGCTCGGCTTTGCATGGTTGAATTGTGGCTTTGTACTTTTACCAGTCGACGTGGACTGCCAGCAACTAATTAATGGTGACCGCATTGAGGAGGAACGGGGTGGTTTAGGTGAAGGGCTTATACCATTTGCGCTAAGATGTCCATATGAACCGGCAGACGAAAGCCTTGGTGCATTGATATAGGCAATTAACGAGTCTGGGGATGTACGAATTAAGCTGTTAATATCGATTGAATCGATAGAGAGTGGTGAAGATGACATCGCCCGTTTCCGCGCTAAACGCGCTGATTGTCTAGGACTTGGGAAGGTTGAAGGATGCATAAAATTGTCTAAATTACTCGATCGCAACGAAGTAGCTGTTGAGGGAGGGATACTATTATTGTCTTTGTTAGATAGGGAAGCTAAAAATTGCGCCGGGGTTGATGGTGTATTTGTCGTTCGATAACTCGTTGGCCATTCAGGTTTTGGTCGTAGTAGTTCAGCACTTTTTATGTGATTTGGGTTCATAAATAAAGGCGATGTTCGACAAACTGGGCGCATAATGTTAGGATGACAATTGTATGGACTGGGCGGCATAGGAATTGATGAGTTCATATGATGTTCATAACAATAGTGAGCTTCTCTACACATGGAATTCCCACAAGCGTATCTATTTTCATAATATGGTGGCGTCTCAGGGAAACGAAAGTATCCTTGTTGCGCTGGTTTTTTAAAACGTCCGTCATGCGCATAATGTGTTTGCTCTCCATGATGACTGTGAAACATTTCTTCTGCTTTATATTTGTGGTCAGTCGAGGAATCCGCAATAGTGCTTGGTTCTTCATCAACACGTTCTAAACTTCCTGTGTGAGATTTTTGTAGGGCTGGAGAACGTGGAAACAACCGCTGTCGTTGTTCCATTCCCACATCAGTTGTCGACGATACGCGAGAGGTATCCACAATTTGTCGATATCCTTGTCTTTTGTCTGACATTGTTTAACTTTAAATAAAGTCCCTATTCGTCTTTTTGGTGAGATATTACAACTTTGAGATGAAGTAAAGTCATTCGTAATATACCCTGAACTGTTTATTTTCTCTGCGCTGTTACTATCTTTGCCAAAACCAATTCCTGTCAAATACGACGCAAACGATGATTACCAATAAGTACGGATAAACTAATCAAGCAGGCTATTTGTAGTAATACTTTATTATAAAACGTTTCTACTCGTTGATTATAAATCAAACATTACGTTTGCTGCGTTTTCCTTTCGGAGTGAAAATATTTGTTTTGTGCGCTTCAACAAATCATTAAAATAGTTTAGATAGATGAGATCGTGAAAATCAACTCGACATAATATATAGCGCACTGTGCCATGCTGGAAAGATTTCATATGGTGCGCAACATGGTGTATTATAATATTAACATAAATCACGCGCAGGCATATCTAGCATCGTACCCTTACCTAATATGATTCGTTGATGGTAGAAATCCAGAAAGACATCGAAAAGAGCAAGGGATGGTTTATGCCGGTAATAGTAACTCCACTAGGAGAGACAAATTATGAACAAGAATTTGTCTGATTGTCTCAAGCTGTGCGTGTACTCAAAGTGTGTATTATGATACTTCAGTGAGGGAACAGTACTGGCATTTGATTGGTTAACAACAAATAGGTTCAAGGTGCTTGCATGGCGTGTCATTCGTAACGACAAATGTCGTGCAGAAGCCTTCATATGAGACATATCAAGTCACTCAGTTCATCTCCGGTATTATTTTTTTAAAACTTCCGACAATGTGAAGCACCGTGAGTATGCTTCTGTGATGAAATAATTCTAAATTTGCCGACCATCAAAAATAACTTCTTTACGAATTCCATTTACCCCTTTCCACTTAGGTTTTCTTTTCAAAATTGTGTACTTCCCCAACTTTTGTGTCTGGGGTCTATACATGAAATATAAATTATTTTCTTACCTGCGTTATTGGAATTTGGAAGCGAGACAAAAACCGCAGAACTGTTAGCTGGCAAAGTTCGCATAAACTACACGCTCACTATACGAGACACTAACTGTTTCTTGTTATACGCGAATTGATATAAATCCGGCGTTAAAAAATTTGTTTTGTGTGGTTGACTACTGATATATCTTTGTATTTGTATAATTGTATCTTAGCAGTTCTAAACAGGCTTAACCACATGGCGATAAGAATTAAATTCCTCGTGAAATCTGTTTTGAATATTTAGCTATATTGAAGAATAATTGTTTTTGACTCATGTGCATTTGTATATACCTACTTCGGTAATTCAGTTTATCGTAAAGTACGGCGAGCTACCGTAGAAATTCAAATACTGACAAATTATTTCTAGCCCGTTCGTTGCCAGTAAAAGCCCAGTATCTAAAATAACCTCCATAGACTAGTAGTTGAATTTTGTACTAAAACCAGTGGAAATAATATCAATGACTTATTGGACTATTCTCCAATATTACAACTGGCCGCTACTATTAAATCTCTGAATATTTTGAGGCACTATGCACAACCTATTTTTGGCACTGTGATATTTATGGAGAATTTTTGTACCCTGTGTCGTGAATGAATGTATGCCCAGTCGGTGTTTTCCGAATCGCCTGCCTTGAAACCGTTTTTTTGAGTGATATAATTACAATATGTGAACTCACAGGTCAGGTAACATTATGCAATCGTATGTAGAAACAATAGGAGATCAGAATCAGTCAACATAAAATTATGTTTCAAGAAGCAAACGATGTGGAATCAAGTGAATTCTCCCAGATAAATATCGATTTTGACATATAATATATCGGATTTTGTTAAATTGTATTTAGTTTGAAATGGGTTCCTTTTAGATAGCAGTTAGTTCTGTCTCTTCATTTTTTACTGGTGCTATTTTTAAAGAGGCTTAAACTTTTTTCTGCCAAACTTACTGAAACTAATCCAGTTTTAATCAGTAGATCATGACTGTTGTTTCGCTCGCTAAAAGCCCCGTTTACACTACACCCAATTCACTGGCACGGTACGACCTAAACTGGGTACCATGCCTACTTTTATTAGTGTTCAGGCTACCAAAACAAAGGCCGGGCATGGATGAAATTGGTACGGGTACACATTTTAGCTGTGCCGTGCCAATAAATCGAGTGTGTGTGATAGTGTAAACGGGGCTATATTATATATAAGCCTGGTTTACACTACACTCAATTTATTGGCACGGCACGGGTACCGTACCCGTACCAATTTCATCTGTGCTCGGCCTTTGTATCGGTAGCCTGAACACTAATAAAACAGTGCACGGGTACCCATTTGTGCCGTTCCGATAAATTGAGTGTAGTGTAAACAGGGCTATAGTTACTGCATGCAAATTAAACGAATTCAGACCAAAAGCGGACTTTCTTGTCAACTTTGCCTTGATGGTAAAAGCTACATGCGGTGATATGTTTAGTTGAAATACATGAAGTATATAGTCATACACTTTTAGTTATATAATCTTGTCTAAATTGAGTACGAAGTTTAGCATATCTTCTGATTATCACAGCTCAGTATGTTTTGAGTGTACCGAGCTAAGAACTAGATGTGTAATTTATCTGAACATCTTTTAAACACTCATTTTAAGATTAATCATTTCCATACATGTCTGTATGCATGTTGATCAGTTGATGGTCACTGCGGCAAGTAGTATTTTTCTTGCGTAAATATTCATTTGAAAGCCTTGACCTTTAACTTGGCCTCCAAGTGAACACCATAAACCTTCGACGGGGCTGGGTTTATCAATTCTTTCTATGCTAAGGCTATATAATATACATGTTTTTTAAATCACAATGACAAACCAGGTACTACAACTACAAACTCAAGCAAAATTCTAAATTTTAAGTTCCAGTGGCTACGTTACAGCGGGAGCCTGCTTGCAGGAGGCGACCAACAACCGGAAATCTTAGTTAAATATGCTTAGCTCACGCCCCACGTCACTGTAAAAATAGTTAAATCTTGTTAGAAAATTACATTCCAAACTGGCTTAATTAACTCTTGAGTCAGGCTTAAGGCGTCCTTCGGAGCATTCGATGAAAAATCAATTGCAATAGTGCTTGGGATTGCACGCGTATTCTCAATTGATTAGCAACAGTAATAATTGCGTACAGCATTGATATGATCTTTGTATAGATTAGTAGGGTATAAGCCACACCCTAATCAAACTGATCAATGTTTCACACACAATGCATTCAGCGACATTTTAACTCTTTGCCCAACAACTATAATTTGTTGAGGTTAACAAACTCTGCACACACTCTGCAGGGTGTTTAAAAAATCTGCAATATCCGTCATTGTTACAATCTTGAGTCCTCCGTTAACCCTGTTTATAAAAAATGTCATCTGGTCAAACTTTACACTCGTTCAAGAAGGGGATCTAAAGATTAGTGCCCCCTAATCTCACCTGGAATATGCACAATCCGGTAATTGTGACTGTTAATACTTCCAGGTTTAAACATCCTGTTCAGTATGAAACATTGTGTTTGAGAAAATATGTTTACATCTAGTACTGACCGGTATGAGAGGCAAAGCGGGAGTATTTTCGTACATTAAAGATTTAAATACGCAAATTGCAGTTTAAAAAGCGTTTTATACAACCAGTCCCTTCTCTGATCAACCTGGGCTCAGTGACTTTCTCTAATTCTCTTGTCACCAAGTGCCAACTGTCTGTCTGGTCAGCAGTCTATCACCATAATTTGTTGAAGAAGAAGTTGAAGTCTTGAAGAACGTTGGAGAAACGCTTCGTAATAGAAGAAGAAGAGGTAGAAACTAGAAAACGCTACTTCTTTTGAAAGTATGTTACCATACAGACGATACAGTACTAAACAATACTCAACAGGAGTAAATTGCGCATTTCTCCACAGCTTTGTCTGTTAACCGTGATTTGTCATTTGTGTGGTAGTGTATTTTGTCAGACAGAGGGAGAGTCGAATATGAAGGCCTCGGAGGTCATTGACTGGTAAGAATTCAAATTATAAAGTGGAGGTGTTTATACACAGTAAACAAACGTAAAAGTTTACCATATGGCAAATAGAATGATATACAAATATAAATTCTGGAATAGTCCCCAACCTCTCTTATAAACAAGTTTGTAACACAGGGTGAGGTTACTGAGGTACACAATTTAATACACATGAATGACAATTTCCTCTGCAGTGCAAGTTTAATATGAAAATTATTGACTATTAGCAGTCAAAACTAGGTAAAGATATTGATTTTATAACTTGCTATAGGAAAAGGCTTGATGCTGAAGCAAAGTTGTCTAACTGGACGCTTACAGAAGCGGCATTTAAGAGTCATTCATTGCAAAAATATTTTAAACATGATGACTTGAAAAAGGAGAAAAATGACATCAAACAAGGTGAGAATTTCAAGATGGTGAATTCCTATAATAAATAAGATCATACCTGACTTACTTATAATCCCTGGTCATAATTTTATAAAAAAAAACTATTGCACGAAGTGTAATAATAATTAGGTTACTTATATAAACTGAAACACATTGAACGAATGGATAATCAATTAGTTTTTTGACATTTTGTAGATAAAGATAGTGTCTCCTGTGACTTTGCAGTACCAGAACCTCACATTTCATATCCCAAAATATCAGATTTGTCCATTGAGGAACACAAATATTTTCTTGATGTCTACAAAGAATATATTACTGGGAAAGAAATTAGCTCCGAGAATCTCAATAAACTACAGGTACTACATGTGTGCAGGATATCTTCCATTGAACATATTCATTTCATTTTCCTCAGGTATATGTAATTCTCAGATTTATTTATTTGCGAAACTTTTCAATGTGGTGTTATTATTTTGTTCAGAATCTTATGTGGAGGTTATCATCAGAACAAGAAGATTTCCAGGTGTTTCTTCAACAACAATCCTTGTCAATGAAAGATGACTATAACTTCCTTCATCCACAAGTTAAAAAGAAAATTGAGGTGTTGTTCAAACCCTGAGGTTGAACCAGATATTGTACGTCTTAAAGGTTAACACTAAATATTTTGTGTCTGTTTTTTTCTAAGAATCTACTTGAAGCTCAAAGATGCCTGGTTCAGCAAGATTTACCTGTGAGTATTCTTCAAATAATCACCATCACTGGATATCCTGGACAATAACAAGACTAAGTGATCCGTAGTGTACAAATGTTTTATGTGTATAATAAAACAAATCTAATTTATTGTTTATTTTGTTATTTTTTAGCGGTTATACACCCTCTTTCAAACAGTTGGACTGTCTTCTGGTGCAGTTTTTCCAAATGATCCAATTCTTTCTTATAAACAAACATTGAAGCAGTCATCAGTGAGTATTCACCTTTTTGTCCTGGTTGCCTCCCAGTTGCTTCCCTCTCTTGGTTTCCGTCCCTCTCCAGGCTCTCCTAGTTCCCCCTCTCCGTTGTTGCCTCCTCCCAGTTGCCACCCTCTCCTGGTTGCCCCCCTCTCCTGGTTGCCCCCCTCTCCTGGTTGCCTCCCTCTCCCAGTTGCTTCCCTCTCCTAGTTTCTCCCACTCTTGGTTTCCCCCCTCTCAGAGTTGCCACGCTTTTCCAGTTGCTTTCCTGGTCAAAAATCCCCCCCCTGCTATCAGTTCAATCTAAAGATGAGTAAAACAACCTTTTTGTTTTTTCTCAAGGGACAAAGTTTGTTAACTTTACCGAATATCGAAACAAAATATCAGTTATCTCATGAAACCAAGGAGACTGATGCTACGATTCAATGTCAGGTTTGTATTCTAAACTAAAGGTACCTCTTTTGTACAAAAAGATGTTCTTTAAGAAAGTCTTTTCAATCGAACAATTGCTGATTCTTAACGCCGATAGGCTCGTAAATCAACTGAAAAAACTGAACAACACGAAGTATCCCATTGTCTACCAAAATCCTAATTTTACCAATATGTTATCACAAATAACTTTATGTTTAATAGATCTACGAAGATTCAACAGCATGCGCCTTCGCCACCGACAACGGCGCTCATTTTGTGTTGACTGATAAAGCATTGCGAACTTTGATTGACAATCATCCACCAGATTACGAGAACGACTGGGAACTACCAATTACTGTTATTGATCAGTCACAAGGTACCTAATATATTGTTGATATTATACCATAAGCTTGAGCTGTATATTAGCTGAAACATAAGTTGATATACTGTGTATAGTTCAGCCAATCAGATATCGTAACAACTCGTATACATCGAGTAGTGACAAGTGTTTGACAATGATTTAACCATGCAGCACCCAATTGAGGGATTTTAGTAGGAATTTCAACCACTGTTTCGAATGGAGATCACTCTCAAACATTTAAATGCTTTTGCTGGCCAGGGCTGAGCGAATGAAACGAAATTTCACATATTCACTAGCAAGAACGTAGCCAACACATACAATGAACTAAATCCAGGCTCTGATTACCGTCTCTATAGATTAAATCCCTGTATACTTCATAACTTATTACATTATCACTATCTTTCCAGGCTCCAAAATGACGACTTCCGAATGCCTAAAGTCAATTATGATCGACGACCCTTTGCCCTCGAAATCTATGAATCCAAGAGAAGCAAATATCGTGTACTACCACAGCGAGGTGTGTAGTATTTTAAAGAAAGTCATGGACAACCACAGTGCTTCATCTACCACTGACAAGTCTAAGAAGCCAGTCGATATAGAGATGCAGAAGACGGCGGATATGGCCTGTGATTCAGTTATCTGTGAAAATCATTTGGAACTTAATGTCGAAAGTCTTAAAAACTCCAGGGGAAATGTAGTGTCAGAATGTAGTGTCGGTGATAACGAAAAACAAACGAGCTTTGCTGAAAACATTGTTGGTCAGAGCAAGGGTTGTACAGTGTGCCAATTCACTTACAGTTTATGGATATTTGGTAATTTAAACCTTTTAATCCGCACAGTTGATTGTGGTTTGATGTATCAAGCAAATAAATCTGGCAAAGGTTCTTTACACCCAGTCAATGTATTTGTGAAACCTGAATATCAGCTGTCGTACGGATGTGAAAAGATAACAACGAGTGAAGCTTCAAAGTGGTGGATTAATACTTACATCAATCCAGATTCCCTCTTGATTTGTGCCAGGATTAATCCTATAACAGCGGAGTTGTTAAAAATGGATGTCCTAAATCAATCAAACATTTTAACTCTTTCTTCCTTTGATCCCGCTAAACCAATGAAAATGATTCATGGCATTCTAACGCGATTGGAGAAAATATTGAGACCTGGAAAATATATTTTATCTCATGCGGCTAAAGATATACACATTTGTGTGTATGAAGTTATCGATGATGGAAATGATGGAAAGGCAAAGACGGCAAACTACGATCTTCATAACGCTCACTCAAAACACACGTTGACTGAGTATGAGAAATTTGTACCATGGGTACCTCTTGATCCTAACATATTCCTAGATTGGCACATTGCAAATCACCGTATACCTCTAACATTCCCACCTGTATCTAACCAGGAATTAAATAAAATACAGACGAGAAATCGAGGTAAAAAGAAGGGAAAAAAAGGTAAAAATACTAAGCTTAGCAGAGGCAAAGGAAATCTAACAAAACCAAGAATGAAACCATCAAGAACAAGAACATCTAACAAAAAATCCGATGAAGCCAAAAAGAGTGAGAATCAAGTCGAAAAGGAAGATGATATGGGCATCGCACAGCGTCTTAGGAGCAGATCTAAACCCTTGACTTACGATGATATTGACTTTGATTTTTAAATTCTTTATTTCTCTCAAATTACATTCTCCTTCGAAATTCCCTTTCTCTGAAGGATGGCAAGCTCTAGTTACGACATTACGGTTGACATTACGTCATTTGGTGAATATTACGTCACCAGTTTAGAGGACGAGATTTTGGGGCCTGGAACTAGATTAGATAATTTGCTTGAAAAATCAATGGTCACATTACGAAGTATTAAATTTTAAATTTTTTTGAAATAAATATATAAGTTTATGAATTTTGGATGGAAAAGACTATGGAATAACTAAGTTGTTAACATTTTTATCCTTTTTTCCCATTTCCTGGAGAAATAGCTCTCGTAAGCTATGTTCTCAATGAACGGTTTTAATTCTCAGGTGAGAGAGTCAGACACATGTTTTTATTGTGTTTGAACTTTGTTTATAATGAAAGTCCTCTGTAACAAATTCTTATGATCAGATATAGAATTTTAGCTTGCTCAACAGTCCATAATACTGATGTCCTAACTTATTTATAACATTGCAAAGGCTCGTTTATTCATGGTTTTAATAGGGCAGTCCAAAACTAAAACCAACTAATGCTCATCTTATTTCCAACGTACAGTGACTTCTCCTTATTCTACATCTAGGTACTTGGAAACCTGAGTGAATTACCAAGTCACTTGTACCAGCTAAAGTCATCAGTGTGGGCTGGTGTTTTAACATATTCAAAATATTTCAAGAAGGAGAAAGCAATCCAGAAAAGACTAGGTTCAAAACAGGTACAACATCTACTGCATACGTATCATACATATCATTGTATGTTATGCTCCTGTTGTAACACACTTGATTATCTTTGCAATAAAAATTCTGACTTGACCACAGTATTAAAAACAAGCTGATAAATACTGTGGTCAGGTCAGTATAGGGAAAAACCAACCATGGTAGCAAGATATTGGACAAAAAATGCCTAAAAAATAGCTAAATAAATTTTATAAAGATCACACATACTGTGTTTCAAAGTTTCCAACATTGAAAAGGCCTGTAGAGAATATACCCATGCAATAGATGTTGCTTAATGTTATAGGTCTCAAATCAGTTGTTGGTGACAGCAATACTTAAAGATCTCCCAGATGGCTGGCAGAAATTATGCTCTCCTCTTGCTCTACCTCTTCTGCGATCAACACTTGACCATGATCTACCCTCATCGTGGACTGTTTCCCATACATCTGGACAGTCTTTTTATGAAAATAAACATGGTATTACATAATGTTGCTGAATTACGTGCTAAAACAACTTGCTAAAAATGTTCACATACAAGAACTTATTAATATATATATTTTTAATTTAACAAATGTTATCCTGAATTTAGGTTTCCCACGGTTTCAACTCCTGAGGTCAAGTTCCACACTAAAACATACCATGCTACCACCACTCTTATCATGGTCAGATCACAAACCAACAGGTAAATTCACTGTTTGTGGTAAATATTTAAAGCTGAATGTCACATTCTAGCACTATAGATGCTAGGTGTGTGTATTATTAATTGTGATGTGTGATAGCTCACATATGAAATATTCAGTATATATCTTAGAGAACCACATACTAGCCTACATTATGTGTTTTTTTATTTTCTCTCTGGACAGCGATGAGTGTTCGTTCAATGTTCACGTACACAGCAGGTCAAATACATGAACTCGAAGTTAGAGCCAATGATAACCCAAATGATGCAGATGCACAAGCAGAGTATTTAAAGGTAAGAGAGCAAACATTTATTAAAATATTTTGTCCAACCTCCTAAGAACAAAAGCAGTGTTCATCGTTGACAGTTTAGTACAAGGATTTGTTAATTTTTAAGATTCAAACGCATTATTCTGTTTTTTAAGGCCATTGTCAGCGAAGATCCCCATTATGTCATTCGTAGATACAGGAGTGGCAGATATAAAAACAATGAAGCTTGTTATCGTGAATATTATAAGGTATATGCATAGCATTTGTTGAAAGATGGTGGCTATCAACACAATGCTGGTGAAACAAATTATTTTATGCAATAACTGTGAAATCACAACTAGTGTAATGTAAAAACATGAACAACTAAGTAAAAAAATACACTAAATCTTACCAATATAATGAATAGCACTCAGGTATTTCACTTGAAGTATTGGGATCAAATTTGATGTTTCAATATTTATTATATTCATTAACCATTTTTTTATTTGTTTGAAGGCTTTGATATTGACTGATAAAATCAACAGTGAAGAAATGGATGAGGTAATTTACCAGGAAATGTTCATGTAGTCACAATCCAGTTTACAAAATAACCATTGCTGAACTATACATTGAAACTCCTTGTATTAGCAATGTGCATATATTGTAATAAACACAGCTGTTAGAGTAAAGAAATAAGTTATTCATGTTTATGTCTTCATGTCTTCCTTCAGGCTATGGGAAAGCCATTTCACTCATCACATCCAAATTCTCAAGAAGAGACATCAAATGGTTTAGGAAGTGAAGGAAATCCTGTTGTTGTTTCTGTTAACAATGATAAACGTAAGTTGTGTTGATCATGGCTCAGATCTGGACTGAAAATTCTTCAATCCCAGAATTCTACATCACACATTTTGCCAATTTTTGCAGGTTCATTTTTCAAAGAGCAACTTTGGAATACTTTAAGATTCCTTATTGGTCTTTTCCTTATCGTCTCTGTGCTTGAGGCACAACTTCAAATGAGAAGTATGTTCATTATTCACTGATATGTGTATTGTAAGTTAATCCTGACCTAGTTCATTCTGACCTAGTTCATCCTTTGTTAATTTCCCCCTGCAGACACCCGCTAGCTTGCACCGGCGACAGTCTCACCTACCTTTTTATGTTTATATGTATGTGCTTGTCTCCCCATTTAACGTCATGTACAAAATATTCACGGATCAAGTTTCTTTTTTAAAGTGACGTCAAATCAAAAGGAAGTACAACCTGATAGCTCTGAGAAGAAAGTGAAATTTTCAGACGTGCAGGGGGTGAGTTCCTTTTCACGTAAAAATACCGGTTTCACCGCGAGCAGCTAGTTGAGGAAATTAATCCTAAGTAGTGAAACATGCAGTTTATAGGATAGCATGAGATCATTATACATTCTGTTGTTTACTTATACTAACAAAGCTACAGTAACTATAACAAAATACTGCAACACTACTAATACAGGTGGAAGAGGCAAAATTAGAGTTGAGAGAAGTTGTGGAATTTTTGAGATCTCCAGAAAAGTTCACTAAACTTGGCGGAAAACTACCTTCAGGTACGACTGCTGTTGTTGAAGCTTGCCATGTTATCGGAAATGCGCGTTCGGTCAGAGACTGGGCCTTGTAGGGTGTCAACGGTTTTGTCAGAAAATCATTATTACTCCGTGTTTTCATTCAGGTATATTGCTGGTTGGGGCACCAGGTACTGGTAAAACATTGCTTGCAAAAGCTGTAGCCGGCGAAGCTGGAGTGCCATTTTTCTTTTGTTCCGGTGCGGAGTTTGATGAGATGTTTGTTGGTGTGGGTGCAGCTAGAGTTAGAAACCTGTTCGGTGAGTACGCTGTAGCATGTAGGCTAAGACTATGCTATAGAAGCACTCTCATAGAAGCACTCTCACACTAGCCATGAGTAGAGCAATTTTGAAGTCCAAACGTAAGTACAGTTAACATTATTTATCCAACACACACAGCCGCAGCGAAGGAACTTGCACCTTGTATTATATTTATTGATGAACTCGATGCAATTGGAGGAACGAGAAGTGTTGGTGATCACCAACCTTATTCAAGGATGACATTAAATCAACTGCTCGTTGAATTGGATGGGTAAGACGTTTCATTCAAAGATAAAAAAAATGAGACCATGCACGGTTAACTTAAAATTGTTTTATATCTCTGGTGGAAATAGCTTTCGTAAATTTCCTAATAAAATCCGTTAAATCATTTAGATTCGATAAGACTGAAGGTATCGTCGTTATTGGTGCCACGAATTTCCCAGAAATTCTCGATAAGTAAGTCGATCATTTTATAATAAAAATGTACATGTTATGAAACGCTTTTTTTCATGTTTTTAAACAATCTTGCACAAATTTTGGAATGTTTTTAGGGCATTAGTGCGACCTGGTCGTTTTGACAGTCGCGTGACAGTTCCCATGCCTGATGTTAGAGCACGCAAGAGTATTCTTGAGTTACATCTGGGAAAAGTACAATTGTCAGATGGTAAGATCTCGCTGCTTAAGTTACACTGACCGAAATATATTACTGAACGCATGTTGCCAAAGGAAACTCTTAGTTTTTACTGTTCTTTCACTTGGTGAGAGCTCATTAAAAAACCACCTATACCCGCGGTCTTTCACACTGCAAAGGATACACAACTGGAATTCTTTCGTTTAGATGTTAGTCTTGAAACTTTGTCCAGAGGGACACCTGGTTTTTCGGGTGAGTGTATTCAAGTTATATTGTTGTGTCTTTGCAAAATGTGCATGTTAGGGCTATAATTTTTATAAACGTTCTATATTCGTAGGTGCTGACCTCGCCAATCTCGTGAATCAAGCTGCCTTGAAGGCTGCCAGTGATGGCCATGTTAGTGTTACCAATGAACATTTGGATTATGCCAGAGATAAAATTATCATGGGTAAGCTAGTGCATGTCCATGTTTATATATAAATACTACAAGTGGTATGTACATTCTCCGCTCTATTTAACAATTAGTCGCCGAAGGCGAGGCGACTAATTGTTTTAGTATAATTTCAATATTGAAAAAGTTTTATTTATAAATACAACTGATTTATGTTCTCAATTTCTGCTTCCGAAATTTTTCCAAAACGATTTTGAGTATTTTCAGCCATGTTTTTATGGGGAAAAGCAATAGTTACTGCTCAGACTGCTCTGAGCAGTAACTATTGCCTCATAGTTACTGCTGAGGGAGCCAATCAGAATGCTCAAAGGTCATTTTTCAATACTGAAATTATACTAAAATCTTATAATACATGAACATTATATTATTTGTTTCGACAATTTCCAGCTTTGAATTATAGTTGTTCTCTGTTGTAGGACCTGAAAGAAAGAGTGCGTACATTGAAGAAAAGAATCGTGAAGTGGTTGCTTATCACGAGGGAGGACACGCCCTCGTCGCTTATTATACTTCAGGTTTTTATCATCATATAAATACATATGAAGCAGTCCTTTATCTTTATTATAGTAAAAATATGTGTACTTTGTTTGACTCATTTATTTCAATGTTGAATTTTCATAGAAGCCTTACCTCTACATAAAGCAACCATAGTTCCACGTGGAGATGCTTTAGGAATGGTAAGTTATTTATTTAATACTTCACTTTGTAACCATACTTCTAGTTGGAGATAGAGAATGTGAGATGCGTTAAATCCACCACCCTGCAGTCCCTACTGACATGATATGGGTTTATTTCAACAATATAAAAATAAAGATTGGACGTTTGGTTCGATATATCTACCGATTTGTGAATATGTTATAGTTACTTTTATTTGTTTCAGGTTGCCCAACTTCCAGAGAAAGATGAACTATCGTGGACGAAAAAACAATTATTAGCTAAACTTGACGTGTGTATGGGTGGTCGTGTAGCTGAAGAACTTACATTTGGTCGTGATAATATAACAAGTGGTTAGTTTTAACAAAGATTATCCTTGCAGTGACGTTTCCTGTTCTCTGCATGAACACAATTTCTCAGCAATCTAAGTTACTGAATCACTCGTATTGTAGGAGCGTCAAGTGATTTCTCTCAAGCTACCAAGATTGCCAGGGCTATGGTCACAAAATATGCCATGAGTGAAAAGGTAAACTTGATTAGTTAACAACACAATTACAATATAATAGTTAAGATATACAAAAGTTTGTAATTGTGGAGCTTCAAACGGAAGTCGCAGACACAGACACAAGCAAGATCCCCAATGCAATCATCTTTTTATGACTTCCAATATTCTCGTCCATCGTCATTCATTGACGGAAATATTGTCGTTTCTGGTCTTTCCTTGGAGAATATTCTATAGGGCAACTGTAATTATTCTTATGCAACACTTTATCATGTATATTTCTGTACTCTAGGTTGGACCATTCGTTATTCATGATGACGAAAAATTAAGTCCTGAATTACAGAATGCAATTGAAAATGAGGTGAAACACCTAATTAAGGTAAGTCTTTGAAATGTTTTTTGTATTAACTTTTTTGAAGTACAGTTTCGCATAGGTGCTTTCATATTGTACTGAGTTCAGACTCATCGCTTTCTATTGTCCGAGACAGTCATAAATATCATTCCCAAATCCCACTCCTTCATACAATCTTTACTTTCTCCGGTTTCCAGGAATCATATGAACGTGCAACGAATATTCTTCAAAATCATTCAACAGAACACAAAAGACTTGCGAAAGCCTTGCTACAGTATGAAACTTTAAACGCTGAAGAAGTGGCAGCAGTTATTCAAGGAAAATCCATCGAATAAGCCCAATCTTTTTTAAACCTCATGCACCATGCATATATGCGGTTGAAGATAAACACAATGAAACTTCTTACTTTATTCGGAATAATATTTTTGATCTTGTGTATTCGCTGCACTTTCCAAGAAGGTTTCTATGAAATTCTATGAAGTTAATCAACGTGCATTGCTTTTGCTGAAGAAAGTACAACTTTATAATAAACAAAAATACTTTCAGGGACAAAAGATATATATAATTATTTACTTAATTGGGTCCATATGTTCAATGATCTGGACATTTTTCAAACAATCATCTATCAAAATGGAACTATAGGTTCCGTTTCGAAATCCTCAGGCTCAGGGCGATGAACTCGCATGGAAAATGCTTGGCTATTTATAATTCTGCAGATTTAGCTAGCATCTTTCTGTATCGATGGTCGATTTCTTACCAGAAAACCAATTACTGTCTATAGTGTAGTTTTATTTGACGTTGCCAGTGGCAGATGTTGGTTAAGACGTTATAACTTATGTGTATCTTTGCAAGACAAACACTGAAAAACAGGCGCACATATGAACACTGCTTTTTGATAATATTGAAAATATATTATGTTTCCCAATATATGATCATCTAATAAGACTAATATAGATATTTAGTTAACAGTTCAAGATCTTACAAATCATCCGAAGAATACGGCCATAAGCATTTCTGTATTTTTTATGTCTTATTCCATAAATGAAAGGATTAATGATGGAATTTACAGCGATGAATTCAGAGAAAATGATATGCACCTTTAACGGAATACAATTGCAACCCAACTTTTCCAAACAAACTGCTATAGAATATGGAATAAAACAGCCTAAGAGAACTCCTATTATTATCACAAATGTTTTAAGTGGTTTCAACTCTTTCGTAATTCTTTGCCATGATGTGTTTTGGTCATGTTGCTCGTTCACAAAACGTCCTCCTACCGATTCTTGAGCCGTATTTGTGGAAGTATGCGCTGGTGTTTGTCGGGTAATGGAGCAAGCAGCTATCCTCCGTCTTTGCCGTCGAGCAATTTTAAGTATTTTAATGTTGAAGAAAATGATCAAAGTTAGTGGGGTATATACGTACACGATGAATGAGAATAAGATGAACTCATTTGATGCACGGCAAACGCCTGGAACCTCGCCTGGACCGATGTACATTAATGGTAAGGGAAGAAATGAGAATGACCATATCCATATGATGAATACCAGGGCATAGACCCTTTTCCCAACCACGAGTATTGGATATTTCAGAGGCCATGTTATAAACAGGTATCTATCAAAACTAAGTGCTAAAAGAGTAAGGATTGACAGGAAAACCGACACACTTCCGCTTGAATAAATGAACTTGCAAAAAAACTCTTCGTTGCTCTCAACACCAGTAACGATTTGAAGCAACTCGACAATCCAAATGGGGTAAATTGTTAGGCAGACCAACAAATCTGTTACACTTAGATTTACAATAAGCCAAGTGGTTGGTGACTTCTCTTTGTTCATAAAAACATTGTAAATTATAACTGCAGTGTTACCCAAAACTCCAAGCACAATGCTGATACATTTGAATATCACTAAACCAAGCATAAATTGAAAAGAAACCTGCTCTGATTTTGTTTGGTTTGTAATGTTCCTCTGTTCCATCGTTATCTCAACGACCAGTTTTGTCATTTAACTAAACGGAAGCAGAGGCTTTTGCTATTGCAGACTGTTTGAGTTGACGTCAGCCGTCAGGCTTTCAAATATTTCAAAATTAAATGTCATATTTGACCCCCCAATATATTTACTATTAATAAAAATTGCTGCATTGTTTGTTGAGCCAGCTTTTTCAATCTTTTATGTGTACAATGAACATTTATTGACCTTATTTTTTCATTTTTTCTGACCCTGCAATCATGTTTTTGTATATATTAATAATGAATCATGAATTAATCACTGACGTGGGTACCCGGGCATCTTCTTAATTAACCTGTCATTGTTGTTTGCTAATTTGTAGGTTTCATTATTGGGGATATATTAAAAACGGGTTTGAGTGGGGGTCAACCTCAAATGTCTCGACATTAATGTCATGCAAGTTTAAACAAAATGACACAATTCAATTTCATATATTTACTAGCAAGAACAAGCCAACACGTACAATGAACAATCAATTCACTAAAATTACTGTGTCTCGATTTCGAGTTGACCCGGCCCATTTCTAAGAATCTTGAACGTCACGTGAGAGATCTCATCGGCTCATACAATTTTTAAACGACGGAAATCCAGAACACTGATTTAGAGCGAAACGTTTCCAAGAAATATGACGCTTTTTAAACAGACACCACTGAATTGGCAAATGAAGAAAAGCTGTTCAGGTTTTTTTTTAAATGAATGAATTTATACAAGTAATAAATTTAATATTTTTAGTCGCTCTTCTTTTTAGTCACTTCCTTAGTTATTACTTAACGAAACTGGATTGCACGAGGAAGAAGATATGGCAAAACGAATAAATACTTTGATAGAGCGAGTAATGTTGTTCTGGGGATTGTGTGAAAATGTGAACTCTGTCTTATCGTATCCTAGATCAAAACGATTACGAAATGTCACTTGACGTCGTACTTTTTCCGGAGGATTTATTTCTGCTTCGATTACCCAGACGAAGCTCAAGCAACTCACAACGTCAATGTTCAGAACATAAAGACAAACACTCCACAAATTTGGTTTTACTGTGAGGGATAACATCATTTCAAAACCGCACCACCAAAAATGATCCGAATAGAGCACTTCAGAAGAATTTTGGTGGATATCTTCAGGTTGGTGAAACAGCCAAGTGAACGAAGGTTCATCGTTATCCGGCTCATAAGTAATCCGTCTTGTTATCTTATCATTCAGCAAGGTTCTTTTGATCGATGACGAACTATGATAACGAAAACCTCTCACAAGTAATTGGTGAAATCCTTCCATCTTTCTTGCAAGATAATGATCATGTACGACCTCTTGTAGAAATTCGATTGTCATCAACTCTGATCTTATAAGAAAGAGAAGTGAAGGACCATTATAATCATTAACTTCGCACCAGGACATCAACGCAACAAAAACAGTGTTTTCAGACAAAACTGAAAGTTCATCACACGAAAGTAAACTTTTTATAGAAACTTCTGAAAGGTTCTTAAATTCGTCTGTTAACCAGAATTTATCAAGAGGTTTGAATGTGTGAACGAGGAATTTTTGAAGGTTCCTAGTCAAATCATCAGTTGCCACAATCTCATTCACTGTTAATAAAATTGATTCACAAAGGCGTAAAGACATATCCACTGACATTAGAACATATTTACACTTTCTGAAGATCAAGCTAACGTCGTATTTATTTGCAAGAATAAGTACTTGAAGGACATCATAAGGATCTAGTTCATCAAGTATGGATGGTTGGTACATTGCATTAATCAACGTATAATGTGACACTAACTCTTCAGCGGCTACATTTAAAACGATTTCTTTCGATAAAGACTCCTTCATACCAGAGGAATAGAACAACGCCCTGAAATACGAACTTTGCACTGCCAGCCATGAGCTATGGATAAATAATCGTTGTTCTTGTAAGGAATTCGTTTCAATTGTAAGAATACATTCGTTCATCTCTCTTTGTGTCGTCTTTATTTCTGGTTTTGCAACATTTCTTGGCAGTTTCATATTCTGATGTTCTTCAAGGGCAGCAAGACCATCTTCCGTTTCTTTCACTTCAAAATAGCAGCTATTTCTAAGTATTGCAGTCAGACTCTCTTCCACTCTCAATATAAGGATACGGTCATGAAGTTCGCTGTTATTGAAATCAGATCCAAAAATACTAGAATATTGTAGCAAATCTTCTTGTTTAAATTCTTTCCCACTCGACTTCTGGAGATCACTAGCATTGTGAATGACGTTTGTCATATTTTGCTTGATATAGTAAAGCAAACGACACAAACTCGAAGCGGCACTTTGGGGACTAAATGAAGCGGTTTAAATTTTAAAACTGACTTTCTGTGCTGGAAGTATTAATTCTGAACTATAGTTTCTGAAATATAGTTTCCATAATAATAATCGTATTGATGTTTCTTGCTATGGCAACATGCGAATTGTGGTTTGGTGTTGCGGTTATAGTATAACATGCCGGCATCAGTCCGATTTACATTTAAAACCGATATCCGGTCACATACTTATAACTGGTACTTATTTTTAGAAAAGTAAAAAATATTAATAGACAAAGACCCGAGTTTAAAACGACAAAATCGATTTGCAGCACTTCCACGACCACGGTGATAATTCAGTGAAAACGAAAGGACAAAAAAAATACAAAAGCTGTTATTTTTTATATAATTTTCTCAAGCTCAGCCAATTTCATTGCTATATTTCATTCGCTGTGCCATCGTTCAATGTGAAATCGTTTAGTTTTACCCGACCAAGTTTTTCTAGTATTTTTTTTTATTTAACCGTACAATAAAAGTATAAAATCTTCATTTTCAATCTTTTATTTTAATTGTGTATTGTATACCTCGGAAACCACGATAATATGTGGAAGAAGATAATATACGTAGGTATAGAAAAGCCTGGCTTGCGAGGTTAGCTTGTTTCCACACAATATAATTCGTCGTTATTTGTTGTAGTTCGATTCGTTCGCATAAACGAATTACAACGTATTTTGAAATGTGAATTACAACCGTGACGAAGCATGTTATATGAAAACCAGCCTATATATAATATAGGGCGCCTCAAAATACTAATAGCCGATGCATGGTTCGACTTTGCGACGTTACCCAACAATTCTAGACTATTTAAGAAAATGCTGATTTTAATTGGTACAGCATGCAGACCACTAACAAAAGATTTTATTGATTTTATTGTAATAGGACTAAAAAGAAGAAATTATCATATAACACCTTTACCTATAACAATGGTAAGCCGGTTTTTCCACTAGCCATATTTTTTGCGCGAAGCGAATTTATTCTTTTGTATTTGAGCAATTTGTTCCGGCGGGTGGTTTCAATTGAAAGCTCTGACACAAAAGAGAAATATCACTATTGGAAAACCGGCTTTAGGCTGATTTATTTACTCATCTACCAACCCTGTTTGAGGCATCATTCTAACACTGGTCTTCACAGCATCAAGACATGTCGCTTTTAATGCTCAAAATTTCGTCTGAAATTGTTATCAACGATAACGCCTTTCCACAGAAGTCAGAAGAGACTGAGTTTAGTATCTCTGTCGCCCTGTCGTCGGTGTAAGAACAGGTAATACGCCTTTTCTTTGCCGATAATCTGCTTGCTTTGATATCTCAATATTTGTGCGAATATTTCTGCCACGTGGTCAACATTTACCTCGTGTGTAACTCCTCAAGATCCAGGTGTATTCCGGCTTCGTTTTCGATTCGAAATTGTTCTTATAACACTAACGTTGCTTTTTATTCATTTCAGACAGGATTCTGACGACTTAAAGACTAAAGTTAAGTTTGATGATGCCCGAAATTCGTGAACACTTTAGATTGATGACCGATGAATTGTGGCCGTGAAATGACTCAAGATAACTCGCTTTTGAAGAGAAAGCATGTCTAAGCTTTTTCTCAGAGCTTACTGGTGAAATAAAAAAGGTAATATACGCACTAAAATCTATGCGAATTACAGAAGTTCTGCTTGTCCTATAACCGCTAATCGTCGCTTCAATTTCAAGCAAATTATTTCTTCGAATTAAATTCTAAAGACTTCGCAGAAAACTAACATTGCTTTTGATTCTTTCCAGGTAGAGTTTTTGAGCTGGAGTCAAACTAAAAGAAATGCTGTGGCCTGTGGGCAAGAAATTCACCATTGATATAACGGCTGAAATTTGCCCGAGATGACTCGCGTTTCAAGAGGCAGCAAGTCCAAAGCTGCTCGTCTACAAACGTTGCTAAAATGAACAGGTACGTGTCCATTTTGTGTCTTTTTGATTCACATGTTTGCATGAGGATAGGACGGAGGTTCAAACGCTTGATCCGGCAGTCCACGTGTTCGTCATTCTATGCTATTTTAGCCCTGAAGCTGCCTACAACTACGACGCGAGATTTCTAATATTTTAAGCTTGCTTTTATTGAATAACGTGCTGATATCACCGTCTATAACAAGCATAATCTTTGTTTCATTTCAGGTATTGAGATTGAGCGAGTCAAACTATCAAAGCCATTTGAAACGACGATCAACCTGTTCAAATTAAAATGTAAGTATCAAAGCAAAGCGAACAATATAGGGAGCTTAAGATTTAGGACGGAACGACGACGGCTGAAAATGAAATGGGCTGAACTTTTTATAGTAACAAATGAACATTAGGTTCAAATGTGCAATGATTTTTTTCAGTTCAGTGGTTTTCAGAGAAAAATATTTGCCGGTATTCACTGCCGTGTTTCTATAAAAAAGGTTGTTTTGTTAACTGCATGGCTCTAGCGAATTTTTAAGAAAAAAGCGTCGTCTATGTGCCTTGAACCCAAAAACACGCATAATGAAATTTCCAAATGCTGTCTCTATAAGGGCAGTTGGCTCTTCCACTAGCTGGCTGTACGCTTCAGCTTAAGAAATACACAGTTAATTTTTGGCTGTGGAGAATGTTTTTGTTCATGTTGTTTCTATTAGGAAGACTACCTGCTTCGGCTATACGCCTATATAAGTTTCAAAAATGTCATGAATGCCCAGAAATTCTGTTTTTAAGAAAATCGCTAATACGACGCCAACACGACACAATACGATACGACGTCGATGAGCAGCGAAAGTTGACGATGTCCTGACATCGTTAAAGGTTAGAGTAGCCTGGTGGTCAAAAAATGTGCATGCTAGGGTTAGGATGTGATCTCGCATGAAAAATTGTTTACGACCAATTTCTTCTGCAAAGCAGAAGTTCATTGTTCGTCTGAAAAGGGTTGCGATGTTTTTACCGTAAAGCTATTCAGTTAAATAGGTTCTGGCCACCAGGAACATAGCTAATGCATGATGCATGTGGAAATAATTTGCATGTGAGTAAATAAATTTTAAAATTTGGTTATAGGATCCGGCTATGCGATTTAGGGCTGCTCGCTGCGCTTAGGGCTACGCGCTAAGGTTTAGGTTGATAATTTAAACATGAATTTTCATATACGAAATGGCTTAAAACTGAGCCAGACACACGAACATTAATCACAGCCTCAAATGGCAAACATAATCCCATAGGTTCTTATCTTGCTCCGCATTTCTAGGAACGCTATTAGTTGATTTGCAGCTACGAATGTAGATTGTGATAATTAAGAGAACCACTCCTTTGTACAATAAATACGCATATACAATTATAGCCTCAAATGGCAAACATAATCCCATAGGTTCTTACCTTGTTCCATCTCTCGGAACGCTATTCTTGGGTGATTTACGGCTACGAATGTAAATTGTACTATTATAAGCGAAACATTATTTTGTACAGTACACGCATACAAATTATAGCCTCAAATGGCAAACATAATCCCATGCATAGGTTCTTTCTTGTTTCCATCTCTCTCTCTCTCTTTCTCTTTCGGCTCTTGTCCTGTTGAAATAGACTTATCCGGCCACATGCGGCTTTCGGAAATGTAGATTGTAAAAATTATGAATTGTAAATATATCATTATTTAACATGTCTTACCATATTTTGTAATTGATAAATACTGTAATACGAATGTATATATATAGTTGATATTACTATACCTAGTTGGTTACATATAATAATTTGACACACATGAACAAACAGTAATGCAAAACTATGCAAACAACAGCCTCTAATGGCAGACATAATCCAATAGGCTTCTAGGTTCTCCCTCTTGCCTCTTGTTTATCAACAAGACTAGTTATTCCAGAAATATTTTAAAGCACATACTGTCTTCCTATATAAATCTGAAATACATAAAAAAATATCAGGTTAATGCACACTTACTAACAAAATTTATACACATGAAAAATAAAACATGCCTTAATGAATGTGAATTTATACTTGAAAAGGGGAGGGAGCGTCATCCTTACTTTAGTTAAAACAGATTACGAGACAACATGGGCAGTGGCATTGTAACTTTATTATTTTTCCGAGGTCTCTGTGAGATTTCCAATCATTTAGCATCGTCGAGCAGTGCTTATGAAAAGAAAGGCGCCACTTTTTGTCTGTACTGTTTGACCTTGCTAATTGGTTCGAAGTGTTAGCAGGTATCTTGGGATATCTAATAACGTTGCAGTGTTATTTTCATTGCTGTTACTATACGGGAAGCTTGCTTTGGCTATATGCCTTGGCTCTAAAAGTGTTTAATCAGTTTTCGAGACAAAAAAATTCTACTCACTGCTGTTTCTTTAAAGGGCAGCTTGCTTTGGCTCTATCTATAATTCTTAGTTTGGTTGTATGTTTCACCTCTAAAAATTACGAAATTTTTTGAGACGAAATAAAAAAGATTTGTACTCAATACTGCCTTTATCTTTGGCAGCCTTCTTGGCTATATGCCTAGACTCCAAAAACGTAGTCAATTTTCTCAATCAAGATGTTTTTTCAAAACCTTTTTCTATAAGAGCAGTCAGCAGTGTGCTCTGGCTTTATGCCCTAGCTCAAAAAATATGCAGTCAATTTTTCAAGGAAAATGTTTCCTTTATGCTGTTTCCATATACGGGCAGCTTGCTTCAGCTATACGCCGAAGTTTTCAAAATGTTCATGAAACATCTTAAACCTAATAAATCCTTGAAATGATAAAGCTGCAATGTTTAAAAACTCAAAACTGTTAAGACGGAACACTGCCTATGATTCGTCAGAAGAATAGTTTTTGTTTTTCGACGAGGGCTTTGAAATATCCTGAATCAAATTGCTTTGAATTGAACTAAGTTCTATACTCTGCCATATAGTAAGTAGGTTCTCAAACTGGATTGGGTTATATAAAACTTTGTGAGAATAAAATATACACGATCACTTACATACAGCTATACATGCACATAGATAGATATTATACTTTCACTGGTCAATAGTTGTCATGAGCATTAAGAAACATAATACAACATAGTGCAAAATACTTTCACACTTTCAATAAAACACGACAAAGGTAAAATGCACATCTTACACCTTCTTCATATGTAAATATTTTGCATCCGAATTAATATATTTGTACATATAACTGATATATATGTAGAAGTAAAATAAAAGTAGAGAAATTATCCGTCTCCATGTCTCTTGATTTCAATAGCTAAATATACACACACGCTTTGTAACACATGACAATGCTTTAATTAAATATAAAAAAAACTTGTGTTCTTGTGTACTTTGTATTCAATTCGGCTTTCGGCGGTGAGGGTTTTCCTCCAGGAACTCTGGTTTCCCTCGTAATAAAAACAGTGTCCCGTGTGTTCGGAACCGCGTTTATGGTTGGTTTTCCATTCAAAATTTAACTTCTCCCCAGATTGATTTCCTATATAAAAGAAATAAAATGTCGTGTTTTATAACCCATATCACTTGGTAAGTCCCATTTCACGTTGATCTATATTCGATACAAAGTTATACGAATGTTTCGCAACCCAACCGGCATTTTATTTTGTGGGTTAAACGCTCTAAGACTTCAAGTCTTCAAAGTGAACTTAAATTGATGGAATCTGACTGTACACACGGTTACTGGGTTCAATTCCCGGTACACTGCATGTCTAGATTTACTTCGAGGAAGTTTCCTCCGGTCTTCTCCGGGCAAAAAGCCAAGATTTATAATATACATTATTAGCCAATTTAATCTAATTTCACTTGACAAGCTAAAGTGAAGATTTCGTTCAATTTCAAGCTGCAAGAAAAGTAGAATTTTGGAGACCGCAGAATTTCGGCGCAATACAGTTCAACGACAAAAGTGGTCGCGTCAGGTATTGTTAGCTGATGAGCATTTCCTGATAAAGAAAGACGTGTGATGTTTAATGTTATGTTGTGATGAACACATCTAATAAATATGCAATTTTTGAAATTCCTGGCCGATGAGACAAACATTTGACCATTTAAACCAGCGTGGTTATCCATATCAAAATATTTGACATCATAACGAAAGAATGGTTATATTGTTTATTGTTTGTATATGAGCACGAAATATGCTGGAAACTTTACATAGGACCAGAATTGAGAATGCTGAGATTCTTTATAAAGGATTTTGAGCGTCAGGCAACTTAGCAAAACAACACTGAGACATTTTGTGGCATATAAATTGGGCAGGAAACGCTCGAAAAAAAGGTCTAGAGGCTCTAATTAACCTAAGTTTTTCCTAGAGGAACAGGAGGACCTCTAAGCTGTGAGCCAGCTCTGCATGTTGTTCAATGAGTTTAGACCTGATGATCTAGGGACCACCATTAGTTATACCGAGACAGTAAGGGCACTCGAAACCCGACAGAGCATGCAAAAACTATAGGTTTTTCTATAGAGGGACAGGTGGACCTCTAGATAACAGGGAACATGCAGGCGGACCCCTGTTCAGGTCAGTCAGCTCGAAATTCAGTCCTAGTTGGACTGGTGACCATGCAACTATCGGTGTAGGGTACTCAACTATTTTCTGACAAAACCAACCTATCGAGTCTCTAAGTCAGGTCATCTGACTGTACAAATGCACTTCACGTGGTGAGGTGTTGTCCAGAAGGACAGCACTTCCAGCCATTGTTTAATCACTGCAATTCATTACAAGTTACAAGAAGAGTATCGATAGACTATCTAGAGATAACATATGATTGAACATGACGTATCAGTATATTTACATGCGGATGCCAACTATAACTTCATTTCAATGTTTTAGCTCATAGTAAATGCAGTGATAAAAAATGAAGGACACTTTACGTCTATTGCAACGCTATTGGAAAATGCTATTAATACACTAAACGCTATTGGAAAATGATGTAGGTGAAATTAAGTACTAAGAAACGCTGTGCAGTCGCAGTGAACGAGTGATAATCCCACAATATCTACATTGAGCAATGTCATATATTCTTAGTGGACGACTCTTGGAGTCATACCCATTAGTCCATTATACCAGCACCCCGTATCTTGTTGGGTTTCGAGGGAAGATCTTTCTTGGGTGATCTCGTTTTGCCAGAATTGAACCTCAGGCTGTGTGCTGTAGGATTTTGTCTCGTCGCATTAGTTTAGCTGGAGCTAGAATACTGGGAGGGATTTTTTCACTAGGACCTTTAAAAAAAGATTTAGGTAAAATGAAAACACCGTCCATTATCCAAAGTGACAATACTCTATATCAGTATATGGGTGACGACAATGGTTCGAATCCGGCATGGGAGAAATGCTTTATTCTGCCCAAAAGAGAAGATTTAGGTAATGATCAGGATTTCGGTTCGAATCCTGCCATGGGAAAATGTTTTCATCGTGACCCCAAAGAAAATATTTAGGTAAGCAGATTGAACTGAAAACATCGCAGTGAATCTCAGGATCAGCTGTTGGTCTGTTGGTGAAGATAATGGTCTCGCAACTTTTAAGTCGGTTGGTTCGAAAGTGGGAAGAATGATTTTCATTCTGACATTGAAGAAGGATTTAGGTAAAATAAATAAATGTATAGCCTTTGGCGTCAATGTATCGCTAGTAAATTCAGTAAATTTAGTGAGCGAAAAAGTACACTTAATATTTATGAAACATACTCAAACGCTATTGGAAAACGACAAAGAGCCATATTCAGTATAAAAACACTGCGCAGTCGCGCTTGATATTCCCGCAATGATCAGATTAAGAAAATAGTCCACCATGGTCCAGTCCACCGGAAAATGGTCGTATTTGCCATTTTCCGGCCAAATCGACCATAGTCGAATTCGTCATTTTCCGGCCAATTCGACCATGGTCGAATTCGTCATTTTCCGGCCAATTCTACCATGGTCGAATTCGTCATTTTCCGGCCAATTTTCCGGATATTTAGATCTGGCTTCTGATTGGTTGATTTTTATAGCCAGATCAGTGAGCTGGATAGCTGATCTCAATACCACCTGTATGCTGTATTCTTGCGTGGAGGTGGAGACTGGCACCAAAAACGATAATCGTTCTTTTCATTTTCAAGATGTCTAAGAGAGGTTCGTCGTTGTTTGTGTTACAATCCTTTTACATCTTTAACTTTTTATTGCCTCTGTCTCAAACCTTATGACGGGAAAATATAGTTCACCTTTTTTCGAAACTCTAGAAAATGTTACGGCAGTAAATAATATTTTTCTTACTCCTTGTTTTTGATGTAATCGACACAATGTATATTTGTGGTACAAAGAAGGTGACGAATGTCTGTGTGCTTTTGAAATTAGGAATTTTGTAAAAAATACTCCACAAACTGAAATACGGATATGCCACAGTAATATAGATAAATGTATATGCAAGAATGCAAGCTTGTATATGCCACAATGTATAAAGCTATTAAATAAACTATGATCCTGTATCTAATTCTGTGCTGTTGTATTTAAGTTCTTGCTGCAAAACAACCCAATTTTAAAACTTTTACATCTAGTCTAAGGTACAAAGTTAAGCCTTGATGTTTAAACATGACATCTGTATTAAAATAAATACTGGCTCTATAAAGAACATCTGCTATATAAAGAAGGGAAACTGATTTTGTTATTTATATTAAACTTAGTTGTTAGTTGTTTGTTATACTTTGGTTTACAAACTTTTAGGACGTGGTGGAGCCGCTGGGGGTAAATTTCGACTTTCTCTTGGTCTACCCGTTGGTGCTGTTGTGAACTGTGCAGACAACACTGGGGCCAAGAATCTTTACATCATTGCCGTAAAAGGTATTAAAGGTCGTCTAAACAGATTACCTGCGGCAGGTGCTGGAGATTTAGTGTTGGCAACAGTAAAAAAAGGAAAACCTGAGTTACGAAAAAAAGGTACGGTATTTCCTGTAATTTTTCGGTGAATTATGGAAGAGGCAAAATGGGTACCTCAAGTATTGTTTTAGGTTGTTGTTTACTTTGAAATCTTTATTTTTAGTTATGCCTGCAGTGATTATTCGGCAACGTAAGGCAATCAGAAGAAAAAATGGGGTCTTCATATATTTTGAAGATAATGCAGGGGTAATTGTGAACGTAAAGGGTGAAATGAAAGGTAAGCATGCAGCATTGATGCATAGTGTACAATTATACTGTATATATAAGTATTTTCGTGAAATATTGTTTTATGCTATATGTGGTGTTTTTGTATCTGTTTTACCTTTGTTATTATCACAATGGCAAGTTACATGGTGTATACTCAATGTACAAAGGGGTGGGTGTGATTACAAATTGTATTGCCAGTTTGACACAGTTTGGTTACAAAGTAGCTTGCTCTCTTAGACTTGCAGGCTAAACATGTGTACATGTTCTTGTGATTTCTTAGCTGATTAATTCAGTTAATATATCCTATTTTTCTCAAAGAATTGCCTATCCTTATTTGAACTATTGTGTTTTTGTAGGTTCTGCAATAACTGGTCCTGTGGCAAAAGAATGTGCAGATTTATGGCCCAGAATAGCATCCAATGCTGGTAGCATTCACTGAATTGTATTTAGTTTGCTATCATCAAATAAAGCATTTGTATAAAGCATTGTTGTTGACTCTAATAATTTGAGTGTACCAAGGTGCCAGAATTAACAAAAGTCAAAACTAAACATAAATTTGTTTAAACCTCCAAACAGGCAATTGTAAGGGCATAAGAACTGCAAAAATATTTAAAAATCATCTAGTATACAGTATAGTTGTTTTAGAATATACTACGTGTATATGGCACTCCAATAATCTCCAGCCCAGGAGCCTAGCAATATGGGCCTGGAATTTGTGTTATCTTCAATTCAACAACTTTCCAGGTTTTTTCAAGGACTGTTGGAATCTTGAAAAGAAAGTTTGTTTCGGAAGTCAAAGACAAAGGTAATAGAATATTATTTGAGGTTTGTGCCTGAAAATCCAGATTTTTTTGTGTGCAATTTGAATCCCCCCAAGTTTCGTATACTTTCACTAGATTTTATTCAATTTATATTTTTTCCATTTCCTGTCATATGTATATATATAATAATAAATATTATAATAAATAGAAAATTCAATGAGCCTAATTTTGTATATACAAGTAAACTCGACCTCGCAAACACAGTCCTCTTTCTCAGTCAATAATCATTACATATCCCATATTTACTTATTTCTAAAATTTCCTGGCAACTTGCAACACACACGCACACCACACAAGGAAACATTTCAAATTGCCAGGAAAACTATTCATAGTCTATATGGAGTTTCTCAAGATGAAAAGGTTCAATACACCTTCGTCGCGTTCATAAGAATCCTTTCAAACATGGGACCAGAGTTGAACTCTCCATTACCTCAATATGGTTTACTTAACCCCGTTCACTCTTCATTTAGCAAGCTTAATTATGTCTCATTTTTTGTTAGCCTCGAACCGTTGGATGTTGTTAAAGATGTTTCATGGAATGATTCATAGAATAATTGAAGGTTCTGAGGCGTTCCGTTGATTCACGAATTCTGGAATTTCGGGTGGTAATACCAAGTTGATCATACGATCATTCAGTTTCAGTGTGATATATCGAGCTCAAGCTGCCATGATGACGTTCACTATTCACTAATTTGGGTAAGAATAAAAAACCCAATACAGACTACGTCTTTTCCAAAGTGTCTACATTTTTTGCTGAAACTGGACTAAAAAAGAACCATTTTTCTAGTCTTATTGCAGATGCTTCAACATTATCCTCAGAATTTTCATCTGATGGTGGTGGTGTTACAAAGAGTTTCGCTTCCATAGCTGTAGATCCTTCTCGTTTTAAAGGAGTTGAAAATGTGGTATTACATAAATTACTATCACAGCTACCACTGTCACTATCATTAGAACTTAAAGTAATTTCACCAAACGAATCTTGCGTTCCATCAGGGGTGAAATCGCGGTCAAGTTCAGGTGAACTGGCTTCTAAATTCAGTGACTTTACAGCACATTCTAGTTCCGTTGTCACTTCAGTTGTAATACGACGTTCAGTAGTCCTGGGAGAGTCAACCTCGTACCTTGGATCCCCCAGGTTTTTCTTTAAGTCAACCAAACAAGCTCCATCTGGATTTTCAGCTCCAACCCCTTGACCTCGAGGTTCAAGTAAGTTCATTTGGCTGCTCCGTCGTTCGTGAATTGAATCGCTTATTGCTTCAAGATTTCTTAATGCTGCATGGTATTCCTTCTTTACCAGTATTATATCATTCTCTAGTTTAAATACTTTACGTTTGTGTGCCTAAAGTAAAGAGAGAAAAGCTTTAAAACTCAACTTTATCAGAGACGAAACACCAAAACATTAGATACGTTACCTCAAGTACTTTGTTGTATTTCTCTTTTAATTCAAAATATGCCCTGTTAGCAATAAAATGATTCAGTTAAATTCATTTTTGATCAGTGGTGGTTTAGGAAAATTAAGGTAGAAATATAAGATTATTAGGATACATGCAACTTCAGTTCTCTAGCTGGAATCAAACCAATGCCTCTGGGAAGGTAGTGTAATACCAAATCATGACATAAATCATATACCTTGTCTTGTGTATAACAGACTTTAAACTTTTTTGAAGGCGAGTTTTCTTCTCTTGCATTTCATTGAAAGCCTGAGACACTTCAAGATGGATTCTTTCAGCTGCAATTTTTTCCTGATTAGCACCCATAACCTAAGTTAGAAGTTCAAAAAATAAAATGAAGAAGTTTAAAAAAGCATGCTTTGATTATCTGAAAAAACAACCATTGTCCATGGTCATTTCATTTGATTGACATTCACTCAGAAATACTTTGTGGTAAACAGCTAAAGAGATATCCATCATGACCAAAGACAATCCGAATGTAGAAACAAAAATATATTGCAAACTGGAAACATATATTCTTATTAAATCACCTTTATAGTTGCATGATTTAGCATTTCTTGACATGCAGAATCTAAAAACCTTTCATCTTGGTTCAATTTTTCCTCTGCTTTCTTCACCATGTCTCTAGCTGCATTATAATTATCACACGCTCTTTCATAACGAGCTGCTGCTTGTTCACTTTCATTGTGCACCTGTGATCAAATACGACTATTTAATATTTTTAAACTACAAAAGCAAAAATAAGATATTTAAGAAAAAGCCTCACATGTTCAGTTTGATTCAATGTCTCATAATAAGGTCTGGCCTGGTCCACTTTCTTTCCAAGTTTATCATATAAGGACTTAAGATGAGATGCTGATTCAGCCAATGTGAGACGAAACATTTCCTGAGCATCCTGTAATTGTAGTCATGTAAATGTAGCACGGTCAGTTGTTTTAAACAATAACTAGGCACTTTGGTGTACAAACGTAAGTGTAACATATTTTCTCAGGTTAATGGGGTTGGTATTCATTATTAAAGGTAATCAATATTATCCCAATCATCCATAGTTAAAAAGAAAACTGAACGTCCAAGTGTTAACAGCTATTCTTTGTAACTAGGATGCTTACAGTAAGTGGCTATTATTATCCTTTCCTAACTGAATAAACTCTATCGTCCATAAAAAACGGTAGTAAGTTAGTAACGTACATTAAACACCTACAGACTAATCACGTATACGGTATACAATTTCGAGGAAAATTACATTATGTAATTTAACCATTAGCTTACTTCGTGATCTTTTTCAAGGAGATTGATTTGATGTGAAGCATTATTTAATCTTTCCAATTCGTCCTAAAGTTCAACACGAAGCGATCAGGTTTCAAATTTCAATAATTTTTCTAGTTTATGTGTAATGTTATAATATAATACAACATAACAGCGTACGTCATCATGAAAAAATCGTTTACCTTAATTCTTGGGTCTACCTCTTCATCGCAGATTTCTTCCTCCATCGTAAAATATGAAATTCTAATGTTTTGTCATGGAAATTGCTAGCTTATTCGATACAAATATATTAGTTACTTTTCTTTTTCCCATACAAACAACAACATTCGAAGGATGCTTAATTATTTACGGTAATATCTGTATTTACAATAAATTTATAATATTTAACATAAATTAACGTTTATGCGAAAACAGTGAGTGGTAAAGACAAAGGAGCGGCCTGCCACTGGGAGTCGCAGCAAATCAGGTTAATCCTTTGATCTGATGCGTTTTTTACCTCGCCTAGCCGGGATAACACGCTCTAGGTGCCAGAATATAGTGCGACACCTCACACTATATTCTGCAAGCTTGGTCTGCACCGCTAAATATTGCAACGAATTTATTATCAGAAGGAGCTGTGATGCTTATTAAAAGCATTGGCCAAATGGAATAAGATATTTCCTCTAGCCCTTTTTCACTCCACTTCACACCGACATTTCATTATAAATCACTTGCAACGGGCAATGGAGATAGGCAAAACATATTGCCCCGAGAAAGCAAGTTGTTTCAAACGTCGTAATTCTCGTGCATTTAAAACAATAGTTAATCAATTAAGATGCCTCATTATCTCTTGTTTTTAATGCCTTCGGCACACGAGAAGCACGACGTTTGAATCAGGCCATATAAGGTGCATGTATATTGGAATGTTCTTTGCAGGAATAAAAGGTGGTTGAATTCTCTAGAAACTCAGACTGGTACTCTCGAAGAAGGAAAGATCATTGGAAGAAATTAAGGAAAAATCTGGAAGAATCTTGCTCAGGTATATGGCATATACATATGGAGAAATGGAGTTCACTGGTCCATCCCACTCAGTGGTCCATCCAGTGAACTCCATCCCGTTTAGCAACAACCATTTTGCATTTTGTTGTGTGGACGTGAGGAGAACGTGAGGAGTGGGAACGAGAGATAGATTCAAAATTCGGCGCCATCTTCTAATTCTTCTTGAATTTTGTGTTGTAAATATTATAATAATATTTATAAATATGGAGCAAATTCTGGAGCAAGAGCGACAAGAAGAGTTGGACTTACTAAAGTCTAAGCTTTTCCAAATCCAGCAGAAGTTTCTAAACGAATGGACGGGTGAAACACTAAAGAATCTCACAGAAATGAGAAAAGAAGAAGTGACACATAACGTCCACCGCGGACAAGGTATAAATTGAAATTATACTATTTACATAATTTTGCAGCAAGACATTTGAGTTTAACTCAAATATATTTGTGGTTTTATTTTTACATCATATAGAGAAAATAAAGGAAATTGAAAACAAAATTGCACAAAATCATGCCAAATTAGATCAGCAAGCTAAAGGTATTTTTTTTATATTTTTATTATTATATCAATTCTGACAGTATAACTTTCACATTTACATACATCACTGTTAGTGTTAACCCACAAGTGGCATATGGCTTGAACTAAGGCTAGTTAGGAGGATCAGCTTCTTTCACAACTCCTTACAGTTGCATATTGTTAATATTGAAACCATCAATTAAGTTATGTTTGATCTGCAGACCAGTATATTATATATTTTTTATTTGTTTATTCCCCTATGTTCAGTTTTATTACATTATTTCATTGCATTTTAACGTGTCCTATTTTGCCCCACAGATAAACCACTGTGTCAAAGAGCCCTCAAAATTCTGTGAATATACCCCTGACTAATATAGGCATATGATATTTCCTTTATTAGATAATAATGAGCAAAAAAATATGATATCTTCTATTGGAAAAGACCTTGAGATGTTCAATCTTCAAGCTGATCAAATTTCAAAGAAGAATGTATTGAGAGAAAAACAACTTGATGATGCAAAGAAACAAAACATTCAAGAAGAGCAAGGTATTGGGAATCCATTGAGACAAATTACATCCTGTACTTAGAATACACCACTGATTACAACACAATGTTTAACAGCTTCTTTTAGTTGGGTTTTGTTTTAATTTTTACAATCCTAGTTGATACTATTAATCATTCATAATATATCCTCTATAGGAATCAATCTGGCTTAAGAATTTTCCTCGAGAAAATTGTCTGCATTGTTGTGTTTATCTTTTAGTTATTAAAAAGGCAAAAGAAAAAACAATGTTAAAGATGAACCAATACACCAAAGGCATATCATTTTTTCAGGATTATTTGGGATTTACATTTGAAAAAGTTGACAGTAAGTTTTTTCAAATAATTGCATGCGCACAGCTATTAACACAAACTATTCCTTTTTTAACCATCTATCTATTCAGTAATTATTTTAAAATACAAATGTGGTTTATATACAATAATTCAATAATAACAATTGCAGATATGGTTGTAAGAAACTTATTCTTTAATAAATTTTTAGAGGATCACTTGAAATTTATGTTCAAGTACATTGATCCAAATGACCCAGAAGGTTGTTTTACATTTACTGTCCAGGTGGATGAAAATACTGGAATATATAACAGTAAGTACATTGTTCCAAATCTAAAGACAGCTAGTATAGTCTCAAGTGCATATAATCTTTTTTATAAGCTAAACTGCAGCTAACATTTCACACGTACTCTGCTTGCATTTATAAAAGTTTTATAATTGTGAAGACACTGTTTTTTTCTTTCTAGTTAAAGATTGTTCTCCTGTGATAAATCAACTTGCAGATCTCACAGAAAATCTTAACAAGACTAATGATTTTACACAATTCGTCATTAGTGTTCGTCAAGCCTTCAAAGAGCTTGTCTGCAAAGTGTAGTTCGTGCAATATCTTGTTCTCCTTCAGGCTTCACTCCCGCAATATATAGTGAAATAATGATCCAGGTATATCCCACTGAAAAAAAATAGTTACTTGTACAGTTTTTATATGTACGGATTTAGTGACTACGTCGACTTGAAACTGACGACAAAGAAGACAACATGTATGATAATATATATATTTATATCACGTTTTTCGGACTGTGTTCCCCCAGGAATATTAAATAACGGCGCCGATTTTGTCCCATCTTGCGTAGGAACTGAACTAATATATTTTTTATTATTCTATTCCATCTTTATTTCCTCACGTGTTGAAATGAACCGGCCATGAACAACATAAGAGAAAGCCAGGTAGCCCAGCCTTGTCGTGCTATCACTGATTTATAGCTTTAAACAACTTTCCCGGCCTCCCCCTTGGCAAAACAACGAAAAATATTTTAAAGCACATCATCGACTCAGTAAGAAAACCAACAACACCTGCATGATTGTGATTGTTGCTTTATTTTTACTCTACTTTAACAATTAAATAAATAAGAACAATAAGTTATCGAAGATTGGAAATCATTGAGGCGAACAAGGTTTTTCTGATATTCACTTCTTAATTATACGGTTGCTTTTTTGACGACCGCAATCGTCAAGAGCCCTACGAAACACTTCTTAAGTTGTACACACAATTTAACTATATGCACTGACGTAATTTCTCTAAGGAGTTGAATGAAGGTTCAATCAGTATCACTCTACGGGCAGGCATTATGCAAAAAATACAGTAAATTTGACATTATCAAACTACAATAAGTGTATAATAATAAAAGAACCAGGAAATCGAAAAACCTGTTAAAGATAAGTTTGTTCTCGCTGCAGACATTGTATTTCAATATCTTGTGCGGGTGCCCCACTGTTCCCAGCCACTTCGCTGGCATCCGGGCCATAATAAGGCAAAAATGGGATAAACTTGGTAAATTTCCATTTATTAGTTATCCCAAATGGTAGATCATAGACGTGAATAGAAGCTACATTTCCTTTTCCCTCCTGCATCATTTGACTGCGCCATTTTATTATACCTAAAATAAAAATGATTTTAAAACATCAGCATTCTTTTTTGGCAATGCAATCAATCAAGATTATTGAAATGAACGTCAAGTCAGGGTGTGTGCAGAATGATTGAACGAGTTGTGTATAAAAAGGATATGATCCTCATCTAGGGAGATCATGAGGTTTTCTGGTGAATATGAATTACAATAATGTAAAGTTCTGATAACAACTGACCTCGATCTTTATCTGATCCTGGGAGGATGTTGTCCAAGATGAAGGCAACTAAACCACCAACCACCATGCTTGTTTTTAACAAAACTGCGAAAATCTGGTCCAATTCTTTAACATCTAAAAAACAATTTACTGCATTTTAGTTGCGCTAATTACCTTTAAAAACCCTTTTACAGTAAAGTAAGATCATATTTTTGTTGGAAAGCAACATTTGAGATGCCTTCTGTGCCTCTCACAATGAAGATAGAGAGAGGCATTAGTGCGTGTCTGTCGTACTTCTTCTCCAGTGTTTCTCAACTTCTAAATTGCATATACTCACTAGTATCGATAGTATCCGGGTGTTGGGTGAGGTATTTAGGAATAACCAAACCAGTGATTATTGCAAAACCAACAATAAAAAGATTGCGGACTGAATTAAGGTTAACGTGCTGTAGACTTGACATTCCAACTGCAGTTATCATTCCGAACAGAACAACGAATACTCCACCAATCACAGGTTGAGGAATCGTGGAAAATAATGCGCCAAATTTACCAAATAACGCTAAAAGTATCATACACAGTGCACCAATCTGAACCACACGACGACTACCAACCTAAAATAGGATGAGTGAATGGAATTCTCCAACTTGGAATTGAGTATAATTTCTATTGCGAATCAGAGAACACGTTCGTATGCACGTGTCAGGGGGCTACTCACCCTGGTGATTCCAATCACTCCTATATTTTCACTAAATGAAGTTGTTGCAGTTCCTGTTCCAAAGGCACCAGCGAGGAAACACGCGATACCTTCGACCCCAATCCCTCGATTGATTGCATGCGATGGTGGTGGTGGTGCACCAGACATTCTTGCGCAAGCGTAGTAGTCGCCGATAGATTCGATTACTCCAGCTAAAACTCCAGCAAACATGCCAAACACACTAGCAAGACTTACTGTCGGTGTCCCCCACTGACCTAAGAAGAAATATAAGTTTGATCAAGGCAATAATTTAACCATTTCCTGAGAACGTCTTAGTCAACGTGTGTAGCGGATGACTTCACTGAGAAAACTTGGAATCTCATTACCTGGATAAGGCACTCTAAACCATGGTGAATCTTCCAATACGCCTGACTTCGTATCAGTTCTTGCACTGGAGTTATGATCCAATGCTCCAGATGCAGTTAAAATGGCACAAAATATCCACGTTGTAACAATAGCTATAATGACCTGTTTAGAATAATCTGTTTAGTTTAGATCTCTCAGATGTATTCAAGTCAATTCCTCATATAAATTCCTTCCTATAAACCCAATAGAAATTTCAATTCTAACATTCAGGAAATTATATATATAGTTTAAATATTTAAATAACTATTAAATGCTCACAACTGTTTTAGAAAACAAAAATACTGCGATAATCGCAATACACGTAATTTTGCAATTTACAATTCACTGGGGGCTGTTTCTAGAAAGGTAGAAGCTCTAGAAGTGGAGAAGGAAATTGTACAAAATGTGAAAAAGAATCAACCTACCGGGAACAGGCGAAAAATGGGTGATCTTTTCACATGGAAGCCTTTTTCCATCGTGTAAAATGGGAATGGAACTTGAACATCAGTTAAAATCTGAGAACATATTATGATTAAACCAATAGTCCTATACAGAGAGATAATATAGGTTTTATTTTCACTGGTGGATTACAACATATAAAAACCATACGTAATTTACAAGTAAACTTGGAACTGACTCAAGCTATATATTGGAAACTTACATGAATGCGATTCCCCAATGACTCCCTACAAAAATACACATTCAAAATAACCTATTATAAGAAAAAACCTTGTCCCTACATCCAGTATTATTTTAAACTTGCGTATGCTATTTTAAATGGACGTTCGGTGAAAAGAAAAATTGAACTAGTTTATCGTTTTGAATGCCATCATTTTCACCTGCATTTACAAGACACACGTCAATCAATGATAAACCAACAAGAGCAATTGTAGGAGCGATAGTTATTGGACCAATAAAACGCAAGAAAAAACCAACAATGCCGCTGAAACCAATGACAACTTGAATTATAGAAGATACCATAATGGCTCCCTGAATCTAAATCATTTAAAAAATCGTTATTATTCCTATGAATCCAAGAAAGATATCTCTTTAGTCGCGTAACGTTTTATTAGAGAAAAGAGAAACTTTTTTCCTTGCGGGAAAATCCGATAGTGTTTCTCGTGGCAATTAATATTTGCCTCTGGTTATTGTCAAATACTTCACGTGCTAATGTGTGCGTCATTGGTTATTAAAGGATTACCAAATGGTTTTCCGTGCAAGATTGCGTGATCCATGCACCGCGAGGGATGTTGCGAGACTTTTGGAAAGCGTAAAAAAACCACGAGCTGCAGGCGAGTGTTTTTACGCTGTCCGAAAGTCGAGCAATATCCAGAGTGCATGGACGAAAAAAGAATTAGGCACTTGCTTGACGTGTTTCACTGTAGTTGTTATATAATGTCAAGTACCTCACGAGTTTATGTTTGCGTCATTGGTTATTGTAAAGTACCTCACCAATTAATTTTTGCCTTACGAATTAATGTTTGCGTCATTGTTTATTGTCAAATACCTCACGAATTCGTATTTTCCATATGCCATCAAATGTTGAATTTGTTGGATCTGTAAATTGGATAATTTATTTAAGGTGGGATTAAGATTGCACAATAAAGGTAAGCCGTGCATTTTGAAGCATTATTTCGCATACCAGTTTTCATTTCTTCCGGACATTTAAATTCGTCCAAGCTTAAGATTGCAAATGTTGGCACAAGATACGAGAATGTACTGCCTTGGACAATTGGTAATCTGAATTGTAAATACACACGTATGACACGACTGTATATAACAATATGCATGCATGCATGGTAACGATATTTACTATTCAATGCCAAGAATCACTTGCCTATTTCCAAGACATGTCTGCAAAAGTGTTGCTATACCACTCACGAGGAAAATAGTACTGATGAGTTTGCCAGTATCCACGGGGTCATTCACACACAATACAGGCGACAATATGATTGGTAGAGATACTGTAGCACCAAACATCGTCAAATAATGCTACGGAATAGTAATAGCCCTTTGCTTGGTAAATAAGATTGTTAATGTAGTTCCTACTAAAAATACATAACATTCGTCTATATTCTTATATACCCAGTGTTATTAGTATATGGTAAAAAATCAACACAAGGTTCTTGCAAATTATGAAGGAGGCGGGAATAGAAGAATTAATGATGTTCAAAACGCTTTTATAAAACGCTTGTGTAAAATTTAATAAAGTGCTAATGTTTTCATTTAGTTCTGAATAATAAAACGGAATTTTACACGGCTGCATTCTCAATAAGTATTTGCTGTTGGGAACATGCAACAGTGCGTGGTGTTTGATCCAACTGTTATTTGATTATCTGTATGTGCAAAAAATGACGATGAAAGCGTCTGGTAGCAGATATAAAATGGAAAAATCGTAATTCTGAAGTAGCAATCAGAAGTTTTGAGAAGGAAGGACTGGAAGATTGAAGACTGTTTTAGGTCAATATCCTGAAATATCCCTAATGTTCACAACATGCTCACAATATTCTGCGCTGAAATATCCCTAATTCTCACACTATGCACAAAATATTCTACGATGCTTCATCTACAGCAGTACAGCTTACCTGTAACCCTAACAGAATAGCCATATGCCATGGCGGATTTTCGTCAATAAGATAATTCAATTCAGTGTCTTCATTGTTTTCATTACCGTCCTTTAAACAAGTTTTAATACAATGGATATCTTTTGGTAACACGTTAGTTAGTGTCGGGCATTCTTCTTTTGAAGAAACGAAGGGAAGCTTAGCCTAGAATTACTGGCATTTTTGAATTTTAAAATATACTTATACAAATTTAATCAAGTAAGGCCATCATTAATCTCATTCCGAGGTCATGCCTCTCAGTGGGCCATGAGATGAGAATTTGCCCTATGGGAAAACTATGGCGGGAAAATTTGGCGGGAATCACGTGTATCACATATGATAGAAAGCATGTTTCATTGTCTCCCGTGGTTCTACATACAGGACAAATATCAACAATATTTTATTTATTTATTTTAAAGATATTCAATCTACTGCTGTAAAGTATTTTCTAGATCTCGTGATATATCTTTACAGCTTAGTCAAATAAGTTTGACTACTTGACAATAGGTTGCCTTTCGACAACAATGTGTACGCTAAACAATAATGGGAGTATCGCGGGCTTCTATGTTGAAATAAGTTGAACAGATCGATTATTTTATCGGGAATATATTATTTGTACATTCCTACAAGCCTTCCGATGTTCAAGTAACTCTTAACAAGCTCATATTGTACGACTGTTCATGTCGGCCATAATCTAGTGCTATTAAACTACGCCGGTATCCATAAGGAACTATACAAATTGTATAAGGCACTACAAATATATAGGATACCTGTGCCTCTGTTAAAATTGTCTGTGATTTTATTCAATTTACCTGTGCTTCGACTCGTTCCGTTTCCATTATTGTGTTTCCCTTTCAGACCACAACGTGTATGCCCTTTGGTCGACAGAAACTTAACGCTAATGCTCTGATGTATGTTTGCTAAATGTCATTTCCGTTGTAATATCATAACATGAATATTTATCACTTTCACGTAACAGCCGTGAAGAGTTAAAAAAATGGACTTAGTGCAAATTAGCTATTCGCCATTTGAACCAGTTTTAGTACCAACAGGATTAACTCGTTTATGAACTAAACCTTCAAAGTAATAAAACATTACCCGCTGTCACACAGTTTTAAATCATTGTCATACACTGATATAGTTTTAAATCATTTAATACTGTATGACAGTGGGATTTAAATCATGGTTTACTTTGTATCCTCACATGCAAATATCTCGGAATTTTACTGAACATGCCGGGCCAAAATTTCCGAATGGAACTAATTAAAGTACGAATGTTTTCCGACAAAAACTGTTTATTAAAATAATTTACTCAATCCGAGTAAGATCGAGTGATATGCGAGTAATGCAGAACGGAAGGATGCAAGCATGAGGGAGGCGACGCACCTGGATATTTGACACTGAAATTGAGGTTTTATTTGCTGCGGATATTTATTCATATTTTTTTATGACCTTTTTTGTGTGAAACCTTGCAGCTGCCATCAAGAGGTTGTTTCCGCATGGTATACGTTTCACCATTGCATGTTGCCTCTCGTTCAGACTTGTTGTGATAATTGCATTTCCCGAGGCAAGGACTGAACTGTCCATGAAAAGAAAATGTCCATGTGAAAAAAATATGGGCCCCCAAATTCCTCTAAAAGGCCTATACTATACTCTATAGTAACTGTCGCACTTCTACTAGATCAGCGTGTTATTCCAATATGGTCATTGACACCGATTTTTAACTTCATTTATTCAAGGTGACGTGCTATCAGGCTTAAATCTCAACGAGTTCAATTTTGAACCTAAACCACCATTTCTTACCGCAGTAAATCTAGCGTTTTGAGCCTGTTGCTAATAATTCAACAAGAAAAACACAGATTGTTTAATAACATAATATTACTTATACATAAACCTAAAGAATATACTACAGCGTAAGTATAACATGAAATATTCACTAATTTAAGAACATCTTTAACAGAACAGTGAAAAATAGATCACTCGAGATCATTCACTTTTCCATCCTTTCGGAACAACTATAACAGGACGATTCGCTCCGCGTACAACAAAATCACTAACGCTACCAAACAGTGTTCGAGATATTTTTCCTAAACCACGACTACCAATAATAATAAAGTCTGCTTTGTGTTTAGCTGCTTCATCACAGATCATCTCCCCAGGTCGTCCAGGGACTGTCACGGGTGTGTAATGGACAAGATCCTATCGGTTTAAACAAGAAAAGTTATTTCTAAACACTACTATAGACTGCAGATGTGCATTCTTTTTTTCTATAAATCAATAACATGTCTTCAGTGTTTTAAAACTAAGCAGGCATGCTTGTGATTGGGGCTTGACTTCACTGGACCTGAAGAAAAACAGGCCAGTAACTGTCATTTGTGTCTCACATGAATCCACCTTATTTTTCAATCTGAATTTTCAACATAGCTTTATAGGCTTTATACTCCGCGGAATTTGCTTCTATTTATATTTGTTTAAAACATTGCTTTATATGAATTTCCTTTTTCGTCAAATTGCCCAAACTGAAGTGAAGATCCTGCAGATCAATTCATATAAGGACTAGTCTAAGGTCTACACCTCAGTCTACAGAGAACAGCCTTATTTATTTGGAGGCCATTTTTGTAGCCGTGTTTGACAAGCAAAAATATTTTTCAATACCTAAAAACTAGTAAAAATTCACTGACACGAATATTTTGTCAATTTTGGCTGTTTCGCAAATGGTCAAATGTATGGCGCGAAGTTAGCAAAGCTTCTTAGAAAAGCAATTTTTTGGGATACGATTCGTCAGCAAAAACGAATCAAGGTATTTCAACACTGTTCTACTATAACGATGCTTTATACGAAGCTTCTGTTATTAATATGCACTAATTTGGTTTCATAGGGAAACAGAGTTAAGACTTGCCTTATATGCGGCACATTTATCCATGAATCTTTTCATTACTTTTTGCGCTTCCATTTCGACCTCACTTATCCTTGTTTTCCACGAAAGAAAATCTGACTCGGGTTCCACTGTGAGAAAAATGTAAAGGATTAAAAGGAAATACGTCAAAGGAACTACTTGAAACGCTGTACAGCGTTCCTCCTCCTGACAGGATTGCGCTGGTTGAAGTCGTTTGAAAGTTCAACATTGAGTGATCGTTCGTCGTCAAGGGCGTCACCCTAGTTTTAAAACATCTCTGCTGAGCATGCGTGATCCAGGTTTATTCACATCCCGTTGTCTCTTACCATGATATCTTCCACTTTGTAAATTTGGTATTTCGAACACATTGAGTAGAAAAACTTTCGTTTCTGGCGTATGGAGGTGAGTTACATACCCTGAAAACAAAATAAAAATCTTAACAGACTTAACATAGTTTGAAAAATGAGTTGGTCGGGAACATTATTTTATTATGCAACATAATTTTTAGACCACAACTGCCAAAACTTATATTTTCTGACTCCTTCATGTTGAGAATATTTTTGCCCCCAAAAAATCTATGTTCGCTGATTGGACAGTTGTACTGTTACACAATGAGCTTCATTGGTTAAGGAATAAGGCTTCCATTAGACCATTACAGCATATGGAAACAATGCAGCACAGTTTCTTAGTAATTTATCAACTTAAATATACATTAGGGTGAGGTCTAGCTTGTTAAACAGACCGAGCCTGTAGGTCGAGGTATATATTATATACAAAAGACCAAGTTCCATAGGCATGAAGCATTAGGAAAATTTAGATGTGAAGCATTTAGCAGAGAGAGTGGTTGAGCTGAAGAAAGTTTAGCAGAAAGAGAGGTTGAGCTCAGGAAAATTTAGCAGTTGTGGTTTCTTTTCAGTATTTAAAAAGATTTAAATCTTAAATTTTAATGCAGTCTGAAAGCTGCTATTATGTAAAGGCCAAAGGCCAAACACATCAAATCTTGGAAACAGGTGTTTTTACAAATTAAATATGCAATTCATGTTATAACAATTTCTAGCAGCATTTTGCCTGAGAATCGTTCAACTTCAACGATTTTCATCTCAATTCACAAATTTTATGTACATTTCTGTCATCATCTTAGGTGTATGACAATTTAAGAAAGTAAAGCAAAAAATAAAAAATGATATATAAGTGTACTGAGAATACAAAATATGATTCATTCAAAACACAAGAATTTAATCTAGACTATTTCCAAGTCATCTTCAGGATCTAATCATATTTGGTATTAAACATATTTTATTGCATTCACACAAGATGCCTTGCTTAATATTCCACTTTTTTTTTACTCTGCAGTTTTTATCCTGTTTAAGTGATATTTTAGTAATAGTAAAAACAATCCTCCCTGACAAAAATATTCATATCAATATGAGCTATGTAGCGTATACACCTAGCTATATTTCTTGATAATAAAATGGTTTTAATTTTCCTTGTGTGGTCGTGATATCAGACATGCTGTTTACAAGGACTACTTACACTGAAATGCATTTTCACTGTTGTGGCTGCCGTCCACAGCAACCAGAACTACACGACCTCTATCTTTATTTTCTGTTTCTGCCATTATTTGATAGGCCAAGCCCAAGCATATGATAAAATTTAGATTAGGTATTTTTGTGCTCTCCGACGATTTCACTTTGAGCGTGTCTACCTGATGACTGATAGCGTTTGACAGAACTTTCAACACAGAGATAAAAGAATTTCCATATACATATATATGGGATTTAATACTTCACTCTCATTAGGGCGATAGTCAATTTTCTGTAAATTGCATAAAACAAAGAAATTATTAATATTTGCATTTATATTCCAGTGATTAATATCAACATGTTCGAACCATTGAACTGTATATTTCGAACTTGGAATTAATATAGTACTTTTGTATGAACCCTCCCCCTGTATGATTTTGTTTTAAATTTTCATGGTTACCAAATATTTTAGACCAATTATTTTGATATGATTTACCCGAGACATGAGATAAATCGTTTTGCTGTCTTCAATATTTATGGGCGGTTTTGAAATATTTTGAATCCAAAACTAGAATACACAGCGAAATAAGACGCAGATGGCAAAGAATCCTGGGGGGTGAATGCATTTCTTTTGGGACAGCTGTATTGTAAAGGAGGTGGTACTGGCCCTATATTTTATTTAGAAAGGCATGTCTACGTTTACTGTTTTAATTCCTGTCGACGGCAGTGGAAACAGCGAGAAGGCATTTGATTGTAAGTATTCTAGCGTATTTATCAATATTTATAATCTGTGTACTGTGGAGTGAGATTTTTTGACTAACAACCAGATGTTACTTATTTCCACCGGTGGACTCAATACATTTTAATACCGACTATATCAGCTTGTTCTCTCGCTCAACCGCTCGAAAAATCGTTAAAAAGGCGTTAAAAAAAAGTCACCGGGTTCTCACATTCGCGCTTTGCAACTTTGTTTGAATACTACAATCATGTTGCAAATTATCTTTGAATTTGTTGTAAAGCCTGTCTTGTACTGTTGTACACATTATTGACATTATTGAAATATTGTATTTTATAACATTGTTCTTTGCGAAATATACTAATTTGTACATGCACAGATGCACTACAGCCGACAAATTTTGTAAAATTGTCAGCAATAAAAAAAATTATTTTCTGATCTTATCTTTCTGTTTAAAAGGAGTAATCAATTCATGTAAATGTCACTGCAGAGTGCAGCTGGCCGAACAAAATACAGAATTATATATTATTATATTTGATTAGGATTTTTTTGTCCTACGTTGGTTGACACATTCAGAGTTATGACTGAACTGTGTATAATAAAAATACATACAAACCAGCTTGTTGTCTGTCCTCTTTGCTTGTAGACTCAAACAATCCGTTAAAAATATTTTGCAATTTCTGATTTTAGGGTATGTAAAATACTGTCATAAGCCAGATAATTTTGTGATCACCTATCATTCCCATGAAGCGCCTTCTCTTTCAGCATTTTCACTGAAAGGTATGTGCTTTTAAGTTCTTAATCCTAAAAGCATAAATACAACACACTCTTACTAGTATTCAGATCAGTGGAAATGAAAAGAGAATGTCAGAGTTGCATGATGGCAAGTATAGCAACTTAGTATTCACCACTTGGGAAACTTGGAATAAGAATATTCTAATTGTATTCTTGCAAAAAAATTGTCTTGTGCATGCAGCTGCCTTCAGGTAATCTACATGTAACCACACCCTTCTGTTAGAATGTAGGAGTATGCAACCAACCCTGTCTACATTTAAAATTGATGTCATGATTTCCTTGTCTTTACAAAATATTATTACAATGATTTTTAAGAATCGTAGAAAAGAGGAATCTCTTAATAATTACTTACCAAATCATTTTCAGATTTCATGCATGTCCCAGCTGATGAATGGCAAAGTAAAATGGAGGCCAGCGTTAAAGAAGTTAAGAAGTTGGAAGATAATTACATAGTTAAATGTCAAAGTCTAGGTGTATGTATCAACTACCATTTTTTATTTTATTTGTAACAAATACGAAATCTACAGTTACACTAAATGCAATGGCCCCCGCTGCCCCCCCTGTCTAGTGCCACCCCTGATTGGCATATAGTGGTATTGGTTCTACACCGTCATGCTACTAATCCAATTGAAACTATTATAACTTTGTAGATCAAACACAAAGCTGTCTCGGAGAATCATAGTAAGCCAGGAGAAGCAATTTGCAAATATGCGAAGGAACAACATGTTGACCTGATCTTGATGGGAACACGTGGTCTTGGTACCATACGACGTACAATACTTGGCAGTGTTAGTGACTATGTTCTCCACCATTCTGACTGTCCTGTCTCAGTCATTCCTTCGTAAACAATCGAAAAAACTTTATTACTGCAGTTTAATTTTCATTAATGTATATTTACCCATGCTATTTTCATGTTTAATTATGTCGCAAATGCAATATGTCCGTGCAGAAACTATTGAAAATATAAATCATGTTCCTTAAATAATTTTGGTATTTGGAGTTGTACTGCTAGCAATAGGCAGAAGCCTTGAGAGAGGAAAGGAAGTGGGCTAGAAAAGTTAAAAAAACCGAACGAACGGATGATTTCCTCGGGCCCGCCTATGCGTGATTTGGTCGTTTTTTCCTCGCACTGTTAGATCAACGAAGAACCTGGAAAGTAAAATATCAAAGAAGAAGCAAGCCATAGAAAATGATGGAGAGGCGATATTAAAGGAATACGGTTTTTCCACTTTTTCGCACAAGTAACCAGGGCTGGCGCAACTAAGCATCATTGACAACGGCCACCATCGTAGAATTGTAGAAAATAATTGTATTACAAATTACAAAAAATTGCTACATACCCAGTGTTGTATTCTGAGAAACGCTGGGAATAATGTTGCCATATTTGAATATTGTAATTGTTATGTTAATTATGAATGTTACTATGCGAGAACTGGCATCTTCTCAGTTTTTACACAATGAAATGTTTATATAGCGCGCAACAACTTCTCCCGAATCATGTTTCTTTAGTGATTGCATGGGGACTTGTGCATTTTACAGTCCCTTTAGCTGTAAATTTGATATCGAAATGATATGAAATTTTCAAGCTAAGTATGAGGCAAACCGCAAACCTCGCAATCCATGACCATGAGCATCTTTTGAAACTTGAAAGACTGTAACCCCGTTCTTTCTTTTTGCTGGGAGGGAGTGGGGGGGGGGGTGCGTTGTAGCATAGTTTAAGATTTAACTTCTCATAATCCTTACGCAATATCTTAGTTTAGGATCTTACAATTATGATTTGATTTCTGCAAAGTATCGCTATTCATAACAAAGTTTGTAAACGGTAAACCCTAGGCACATATAATAACAAGTAATTCTCTATTTATTTATTTATTTTGAAACCTGACAGCATGACATCACAAGTGACCATTCGTGCGAAATATCACGTTTTGTTGGGATTGAAATAATTGAATTTTTTACTGATTAGTGATTAGTACCACCTGGGAACCTGCAGAAGATATACGTTTTCAGCTGAGAGTTTTATCATTTTACACAGCTCAAACAAGGATTATTTAGGTGTCTAAAATGGCTGAAACAACGAACGACGAAGCAAGAAATATATTGATTGCTGTAGACGGCAGTAAGCATTCGGAACGTGCTTTCAAATGTAAGAAATTTCGACATGCACATTTGCACATACTGTATATAAGATTTCGTTTAATGATAAATATCGTATAATTTAGCACACAGCCTTCTAGAAGATGCGTATTTAAAACCAAATTTCTGATCATAGCTGTATCTGCCACTTTAGTAAATCTATTTCGCCACGGTTATTCATGTTAAAAGGTTTAATAGTTTTTGAATAACTTTTCATTAAAATCCAACTCTTCTCTTGAGGTGGCAGTTGGTCCACCGTCCACTGCATTTAGTGATAAATTGGAGTAAGAGTTTGCTTTTTGTTAATAAAAAGGATGGTACTCAACTGGTTTGAAAGAAAAATTGAATGAATTAGCAAAGATTGCATGGAAAGATCACCCTATCATGCTGCCACGGAACTGCACAAATCTTCTCCGCCAAAAGTCCACCATAAGACAGAATAATTTGTTAATTTTATAGTTTATCTCAGTGACATTTGTAAGAGTGGGGATCATGTGATAGTATTCCATGCACAAGAAATGCCGACTTTACCTGCAGCTCCTTATCCATGTAAGTTAGTAAAAGTATTGCAATCAGTATTTCATGCAGGTAGACTATCCATAAAGACTGTTTCTATTTTAAACATGTACAATAGTAATAACACTAAAAGAATGTAATCAATTTTCCTCATGATTCTTCTGACACTTTTGTCTATTTTTTCTTGCCATTACTTCCTCTTTCTAAAGCAAGTATTAATTGAAAAATGCACTTTTCTGAAGATGGGTATGCCTATTATGAAGAATGGCAGGATGTTATGAAGAAAGCTGATGAAGATGCTAAAGTTTTACTCCGACATTATGGAGATACGTTGAAACAAAGAAACGATGTATGTTTTCTAAATTTCTAATCAGCTACATAAAATATGATGTGCAATTCATTGGATCAGCCTTTTTTAATGTGACTACATGATAGTTGTATCAGGACCTAGAAAAGAAAATACTACTGGTATTGATGTTATATATTTTTACTTGCACAAGTCCATGGCCATAAAAAAGCCAGTTCATATAAATTGTTTTAATCACTTTATGATCGCACACTAAACCTGGACCAGTAAATAACTATACCATTTTGTCTTTCAGGTCAAATTTAAACTGGTAAAAGAAGGTGGCAAACCAGGAGAGTTGATTGTAAAGAATGGTGAAGAAGAAAATGCAAAGATAGTTGTCTTAGGATCACGGGGTCAGGGTGCTGTACGTCGCACATTTCTTGGAAGTGTTAGTGACTATGTAGTTCATCATAGTCATTCTGCTGTGTGTGTTGTACCACCAGAAAAACACTAACTTTCACAATAGTAATTTAATCATTCAATATTGATTCATTGTCGCATTAAGGTGTGAGCCATATTTTTTTCATTAAAAAATTGTAGCACTGTCAGGCTATTTGAAATAAAGCAATCAAACCCAGAATATTCTCAACTATCCAACATGCTTACTTACATAAAGATAGATATAGAGACCATATGGTAACTTTGTAATGCTTCAGAAAGATAAAAAAACCTTTTTGATTTGTTAGATTAATACAGCTTAATTTAGCTACTGTCAGAAATACAAAAAAGAATGACATTTTGAAGTGTTTTTGTACACCACATACAAACCAGTTAGCTTTGAACAACTGGTCCCTGCACTTTAACCATTTGATCTAGGGTCTTGTTGCTGAGAGTATTCACATGGTGACTATGTGACATATATCATGACATGTGATGTCAGACTGTCAATGGCAGTACAGTTTAGAAACCCCTAAACATGATGCTAGGTGTTACTTCAAGTCATCAGAAATCTTAACAACTGACCAATCATATTGACTGAAATTGAGACAAGTCTTGAAAAAAATAAGATGGTTTAGAATAATCTTATTTTGTTAGAAATAACAATCACACAAGTTATCAAAATTTTCTTTATTTTAATTATGATTATTTTTGGAGTCTAAATGAATTACATGATATTGCAAATGTCTTTCAAGTCATCAGCATGCAGAATTGTCATTTGTCTTTATGCACAATTATAACAGGAACATGGGCATGATGCAGGACAAAATCACTGGTACTTCCTAACACAGTTCTTCTTAGTGTACCATGACCACGACTTGCAATCACAATTGAAGTGACATTCTCTGTTTCAGAACACTTGACAATTGCTGGCCCAACATGGCCACCATGAATTAAGATTCTTGTTGAAATCTAGCATTAAAAACATACCAACTTTAAAATCTACAAATCCTCTTGCCTTATTGAAAAACCAAAAGTGCAGTTAAAGATCGAATAGGGTAGAAAAAATTTCTTTTGTATATGAATATCAAATTACTTGTTCTGCTTCACATTTTGCCTTGTATTTATCCTCAAGGGCCTTTAGTTTTCCTTCATGTTCATCAACAAGTTTCTTCCATTCAACACTTTCTAAAGAATCTAGAAATAAAAACTAAATTCTATTTACTGTTCATTTGTCAAGATTAAAACTGATTTAGTGTTTTTTTGAAATTTTCAGTACAGCTATAACCTCCTCAAATTAATCCTCTCCAGATTCTGAGGCTAAACATACTATGTTTTATTTTCATCAAAGTGAAGGACCTCTGTTAATATTTTCTTGTGGTATTACTTACGTGGAAATGAAGGTGGATGAAATTCATGACAATGAAAGATAATTATCTTATCTCCTTTATGATGCATATTCTCCACATACCCTTGATAGAAGACAAAATTGGTTTCTTTTAATAAGAGAATACAAATAACTTGATAATTATATATTAGGGAATATGGGCGGTGGAAGCAGGTTGTGCAAGTTGAGTTAAAATAGAGCCTGGTTGTGCATGCTTTAAATTGAATACTTTAGGAGGGAATAGGGATAATTTATAGACTAAGAGGAGGTGGGTTTAGTCTGAACAAGTTTGTGGTGTAAATTTACCTTAGCACATTTATATGACAATATCAAACCTTTGGCGTTTTTCATATACATGTATGTTCACATGCTAGTTTCGTTGCTCTGGAGCTAGTTTACTACTGGATGGATGGTTGGATGGATGGTTGGATGGATGAGGAATACCTTTTTTTGAGCTCTGCATTGTTCATGTAATAAAATAGCACTTACAATGGAATGCTCGTTCGCACAGTTCACTTGCATCGACGGGAATCAGAACGACTCTTTGTCTTTCTGGTGTTTCTGTTGCCATTCTTGCTTTAATAGATGATGATGAGGAATTTAGAAGTTGAACGTAACTTTGAAATTAAAAAACGCACAAAACATTTGCTACGTTCTGGTTCACGGAAAAGTCGAAAACCGGGGGGGGAGTTTGAGGTCTTACCGAACGAGTTAGAATGGTGAAGAGTGGACATGCATTTCAGCACGCACAGCGCTACAGGGTGCGCATTCATTTCAGCACGCTTGCACACCAACCAGCTGGATTTGAGTTTGACGGAGCCGACGTTGTGTGAAACTAATGAATGTTTAAACATATGTGACTTTCAGCGCCGTTCCAAAGTCACTAGGTTGAACTAGGTTGTATAAATGTGGATGAATGTATATAGATGATATGTGGGCTTTATCTAGCCTTGCTTTATCGTGCATTTTGCTCTTTAACTAATTAAAAAGTGTTGATAATTTTCTTGAAATTTTGCATGGTGGCATCAAATAATAAGTAAATTAGCTTGTAAACTGGACTAGAGAGAATGTACAACTTTGCCCCAGAGTTCACTGCTTTGCCCTGGTTCAGACCCCTTTCACGAGCTTCATTGTTAGGATATTATACTTAGCAGAAACGTGGCTAACGTCAGTTTTGTTCACAAGAGACACGATAAGATCCCATGCATTAAATTGAATATTAATTGACCAAGGTTTACACAACGGTCAGAATAATTAATCAGCCAATGTTATAGGCTTGTGTGATAGGTACCTAGAGTTATTATGCGAGCATAAAACATTCATTTATCAAATATGGCGTCCTGTAGCGAACGTTCCTTACTTGTTCTCGTTGCTGTTGATGGCAGTGAATTCAGTGATCGTGCTTTGCTATGCAAGTATTTTTTATGAAACTACTTCAATGTTTACTCTACACAAGCAATTCACGTGCATTTCACGTGCACTGCCTGTGAATCTTAACGTCTCCATCTCTGCGTTGTGGTTAACTAAGACGTTTTGTGTCAAGTGATTGCATACTATTAATGAAATTTATTTTAGTTTATTTAAAGCGAGTCCATAAAGAAGAATACAGAGTTGGGTTGATTCACTCCTACGAAAAGCCAGATCTGGTTATCCGTGCGCCAGGTAAAATAGTCGAATGTGAATTTGTAAAGTTAGCAATAAAATGTTAATTTATACAGGGTGAGGGTAACTATGTATGTCTGGGGTAACTATGTATGTCTGGGGTAACTATGTATTTGATCTTTGTGTACTAATTGCCCGGACAGATGTTTCCGCAAGATTGCAAATTTTCCATAAAAAAAAACCTTTTACAAAAAAAAATTGGCCTGGGTAACCAAGACAAGACAAAATGTCGCCCATTGTGACCATAATGACGAACAATTTCTGATTATTAGATCAGTATCAATATATATCAGTAGATATCACAATATATTATATTAAACAGACTTTTTTTTCATCAAGAAACCGGCATGCTTGGCAACTTTTAGAGATTAATGTCTTTCATAACTTAAATCAGTCCTGCTTGTTATGGGCAGGCCCTTATCAGGCTCACGATATTCTACTGATTCGACTTTAATAAAACAGACCCAGGACTGAAGGTGTACCTGCTTTCACAGGTTGAATAAATGAACTAGATTCACGATTCCATGTTATCATAACTACATCGTGGCATTTTCCGATTACTGACATTAGCAGCGTATGCATTATTACGCGTGGTTAAATCATTAGTACGTGTTTTTAGTGGACATAGTAAAATTGAATGTTGAGGAGATTGAAAAGACGTTTAGAAGTTCTTGGGACAAAGCAGATAAGATCATGGAAAGGTACAAGAAAATTTGTCAGGAATATGGGGTAAGTCGTATCAGATCCGATCGTGCATGATCGTACTTCACTTGCCTTGGGTGTTAATGCCTGGTAAAGGACACTAATATCCTATATTGTATCTTACACATGCCCTTTGTCGTAAAATAAAAAAATACCTGTTAACGGAAGCATTGCTGGCATGTAGTTATGCCGTTCTAGGTTGGCAAAGTCCACGAGTTTCTTGAACACGGAAAGAAACCAGGCGAAGCAATCTGTGCTGTGGCGGAAAGAGAAAATCCGTTCCTGATTGTTGTAGGCACGCGTGGACAGTCTGTCATGCGTCGTACAGTCCTTGGTAGCGTCTCAGACTACGTTGTAAAACATTCCGTTAAAGTAGCAACTCTTGTTGTACCATAGAATCATTCAGTGTGTACGTTGTCCGGCAGGCAACAACTGAATTGTATGGTTACTATGTTGTGTATGGCCAGCTTGGATAAATACTTGTAAAGGTTTAAATGAAAATGAGTGAAATGAATTAAACGACTCAAAGGGTGGACCGTTGAAAATTCGTCTGTTTTACATTTTCTGGCATTTTGATAGTGCATTATTCAAGTTGAAAGCTCGGTACAAAATAGTACTGATCTGTTGGATTTAAGCCGGATCGACATCTTTCGTCCTAAATGGGTTTCCGGGCCGACTTTCGTGCGGTTCTATACAGGTCTAGATCTTCGAACCTCACATCCCTTTATTGGGACAGACATCAGAGATGTTTCGCTTTACCAGGTTTGATTTCGGATTCGCTTTGCGCCACTGAAGCATGTGGCATTTTTGAGAAAGTAAAAAATTAAGTAATTACGTAATAGACGTACGTAATTAGAACCCGCATCCATCCATTACCATTTGCCACAGTTCAAGATATTGTTCCCAGAATTGCTTGATGATAAGTCTGTGGTAATAGCTCATAAATAATTTGTTTCTTAGGGCGGTTTGGCGTTTCTCACACGCACGTACACGCATGCACGTAAAAGGCCTCATATATGTCATATTTGAAAAAGCTGGGCAAATAAATTGAAAGAACTTAGTTTTCTGCAATAGTTCTCAATTGTAGTAGGCATTTTTTGACACATTTGACAGTGGAAGCATCCCTTACTGAAGTAAGGAATGGGTTAAGAAACCCGAACCGAATTATGTAAGACGAACTGAGCCTTAGGAAACCAGTTCCTATCGAATAATACAACTCTTATCCCCTGGCAGAGATTTCACCAGCTTCTCTTCTAGTAGTAGAGGCAGTAATCTCACCACTGGGATTGGGACTTGGGAGAACGTTGCCGCTTGCTTGTTACTTGCTTGTGGGCGTTCAGTGTTTGCAAATCAAATTCTACTGATCGCAGAGCAAGTAAGTTCCGAACAGTGTACCAGATTGTGGCGGATCCATTGGCCTGACCGGTTATCACAGTTTTCAGAGTGAACCCCCCCCCGGGCTGGTTGGGGAGGAATCCAAAATGGCGATGGCGATTTAATCATAGAGATTTAAACAAGTGAATTGAAACAATATTTCACAATGAGAAATGACAACGATATGTCGGTAAGGTCTGGTCATGAATTCGTAGCAATGAAAGTAGTTAAATTCATGAAAATTTGGAAATTAATACAATTTGTTAGATTGTTGCTGTATTTTACTGTGTTATCCAGTCAGCTGCTGTTTCTGACATTACACAAAACTGATGATTTGATATGTCAGCAAGCTAAGATATCAAATTTACTTACAAAATTAATAAATTGACTGAACTTTGCGAGTTTGGGTGGTTGTTTACTGGATACACAGAGTACAGTGCAGGGGTGGACTGGCCATTTTAAGGGGGCTGGTCAATTTAGGGTCTACTGGAAATCATCTCCTAAGCCTGACTAACCAGGCTGTCTTTGATGGTACAGTGTACTGTACCAGTAGATGTTCCTTGCCTGTATAGTCAAGCACTTATTGATTTGCCTTGTTAATTTCCACTGAGATTAGCATAATCTGTAGTTTGTTTACTATGTTTGTTTATTTTACACTGCATACATAGCGTGTACAGGTTTTTTCTTTCGAATTTATTTATTTTCCCATGTTTCAAAAATGCTCAATAAATTGCACATTTCAATTTTTCAGATATGGATAATTGGTTGGGTTGGTTTGATCACCATCCTAACCATTGGAACGTTTGGTTTATGGTGGTCATTTCTTATTGTTTTAAATTGTATTTTTTGTCTTGCTGGGTAAGATTTATTTTGTGTGTGTGTGTCTATTTATTGAAATAAAAGAAATAAGAGTCAGGGATAGATTTATGAAAAAAAATTTTGTGTGATTATAGGCGGACATAAATGTTTATTATTATATGACTAGTGTTTGTTTTTGTAAATCCTCCAATTTGATTGGCTGCTGACGAGGCGGGATTTTCCCATATTGCCCACGGGCAGTACGCTCAATTTTTATTGCCCTCGGGAAAAACAACAGCAATTCGAAATGAATTATTATTAGTGTTTATGGTTTTCCCAAATTAAGTCATATAATAAATAACTTACTGACTTCGATTGTTCGGTCTGTACGGTAAAATATCAAACCGAGGTCGTGCCGTATTGACCGAGCGATAGCGAGTCAGTCACTCTCAGTCAGTAAGTTCTTAATATTGTCACTGATCAATGATTGGTTAATTTAGATTTGATTCGTTTGCATCCCCAATGGTTGCTGTAGTATTATTGAATATGAATGTTGGACCATCAGGACCATCCTTTATGGCATTCATAATATTGCTTGACAATTCTTATTTGAACAAATATTTAGATTTGGTGCTGTATTATGGTATGTTGGGTCAAGAACAGCAAAGCGATTCTTAGCACGTTCTTTGAAAGGAAATCTTGGCTTACCAAAAACTGGTCTGCCTTCTCTCATAAAGAAAGTTGAACAGGAACAGTTTCGAAGTTATAAAATGGACAAACGATTAACTGGTGCCAGTATTATCGATGAACCATTGCAAGAGGTAGATTGTGTTTCCATCTGTAAAGAATTCATTATAATGGTCTCAAGCTATATTTCAGTCTATGTTTTAGGTTATTGAATATTTCTTCCGTGACTATATACGATATTGGTATGATGAAGTCAGTCAACATGAAGAATTCCCGTATGATTTAAGACAAACTTTACAGAAAGTATTGATTGCTTTGTTTAGCAGGTTTGTTTGAATTTTTTTCAACCAGCTAGTCCATGAAACAAAATACGTAGTTGACTTTGAAAATGATCATGCAAAACACAAACTTAACCTTCTATGAGAATGACATAACTTATACATAGTTTATAAGGTTAAGGTTCATATGTATTCACGTCGAAAATAGACGTAGTTACGTCGTAAATATGTCATCGTGATGGAAATTCTGGGTGCCTTTTTAATTTTGCCCATAGACCATTGTGCAAGCTGAAGTGAACACATTTTGCAATTAAATTTAAAAAACCTATCCATAGTTTGGCCTCTAATATATTTGTATAAAAATGAAAACGCTGCAGGTCAAAAGATGTGGAGTGGATGCCATTTCTGACCGTAAGACTTGTTGATGATTTTGCGGCTCATCTCAAGCTCTTTAAATTGGCTGTAGAGCATTGTGATAAACAGAAAGAGGAGGGTAAATGAATATATTTTTGTTTCTTTTTGCGTTTGTAAGTTATTTGAAGGACCTATTTCTCATCTATTCATAAATGTCTGTTACAATCGTGTCCGGGTATGCTAATTAAATCTAATGCGTGTGACATCGTCTACATGCAGAAGAAATAAGATTATAAACAGTAATTCGCATTTTACTATTACACTGCAACATCAAATGTTACGGTCTTTATAACAGATCGAACTTTTAGTCACAGATTCTGTGCAACATCACCTTTTTTACGTTTTTTTAGAGAATCAAATGGAATCTGTGTTTTTCCAAAAAGAACATGAGATGCTTCAAGCTATGTGTCGTGGTGATATATGTTTGAATCAAGAAGAAGAAAAAGGTGAGGTTATTTCAACTGCAATCTCGTCCACAATCTACAACTTTGACCGCGAAAGGGGTGATGGGTTAATTGTCACGTATTATGCCCTTTTTCAGTCAGAAATCGTTCCCCCGTTTCCCACGTGCTATATAGAAGCGCTGCTCTTAGACTTACACCTAATCAATACTTGATCACAATAATACGTGAATAAAAATAAAATCACTTCGTAAATTGCAGAATTGAGAACTCAGGTCTGTTCTCATATTCCAGAGTTTGATGTGGAATTCTTCACTAAAAAGCCTGCATGATTCAATACAACATTGAAATATTTTTAGAATATCTGAGGACCGTCAGCGATATTTTGCTTTACATTCTGTTGCCCCCTGAAGATTTTCACAACAAACCATTTCGGTTCCTTCTCAGGGTAAGTAGACTTGTTGGACGAATTTTTTTATAGCTATATGTATACGAATTAGCAGTAATGTTAATATTGCTTTGTATTTTATTTTTTGATATATCAGGAAGTAATTGCTTGCAATGTTTTACTTCCAACAGTGGAAATGGTTTGCGATCCTGATTATATCAACCAGACTATCGTTATCTGGGTAAGTATACACAATTTACATAAAGAAAGGAAACACGAAATCTTGATCAAAAATAACCCTGAAGCATCTTGAAACGATGTGGCATCATACAAATGAACATAATCTCGCACATGCGTGGTGTATTAGTTCTTACTTATCAATAAATATTAAAGTTTGTTTTTTTAGTGCCAAGAGAATTCCTTTAATGTCGAAGCATTTCTTTCAATCATAAGGTATTTTCATTTGCTTTAACACATGTATGCACTGAAATGTATTTATGATATAACGGTTTGAGATTTTTTTTACCATAGATCAAGTGATAGTGTCAGTGATGTTGAGGAAATCAAGGCTCGTGTTCGTGATGAGATAACAAAACTTAGGTCTCATGATTCTGAGTCCACAGGTATGATGGACTAACAGAATACTTCATGTATACTCACTCGTTGTAAAACAATGAAAATCTTGATCATTTTCATACTTTATAAAACAAGTAGTAAGATATGTACTGTTGACATCTGTGTTTGTTAGGTGACGCAATCATGACTATCCGTCAACAATTAAGTAGTATGTTGTTTGTAATGAAGATTTGTGAAGCTCGAATTAAAAGCTTAAAAACTGGAGATGACGATACTTCGGTACTTCATCAGGTATTTTTCACAATATCTCAACGCAAACATCTTTCACACGAGAGTTCTACTATATATTTACAGCGAGAAATTAAGTGTTACGCTATTGCTGTCTATAACGTCCATGGAAAAATGCCTCACTAGGTTTGTACCATCACTAGCGATTATTTTATTTTATTTTGTGACAGGAGGGTCCTGATATGCCAAATCGTTTTTTGCCAGTGAATCAAAACTTGCCAGTCTTGCCGTTGCAAGACATATTGGATAATAACACGGCCTTGTCTTATTTCATTGGTATGTTCATCTTCAATCATTCATGATTCACTTCGTCTCTCTCTGTTATGCATGTTGCTTATCAAACGTTATTTTCCAGAATTCATCGGTTGGGTGGGAGGACAAGAGATCCTGTTTTTCTGGTTAGCAATCGAAGTAAGTATTTTTTGAAGCATTTTTGGATGGAAATTTTGAATTTTGATGAAAAACCAATGAGAACCAGTCATCGTCATGCACGTGACAACTGACTGTTCACCGAGGGTTTGAAGGAAGTTATTTTAGTATATCTTTATGGATTTATTCATATCCATTTCAGAGTTTCCGTGTGACTGCAGAACAGCAATTATCAATTCATGCTGAGAAAGAACTGCGCGACCAAGCAGCCGGGCACAGGGATACTTTGGTAATACTCACTAAGTTATTATATAATCCTCCTCTGGCCTATGATACAATACTGAAGTGGTCGTTACTATTCTAATATATATGTACCATGCACAATTCAGTTGCAATGACGTTCACACAAGGAACTAAGACGTTAAACGTGCAGAATCACAACAAATTACCCTGAACTCTTAGCCTGTTTTGTTTAGAGATTTTCTGATGTGGAGTCTGTCCGTGAAGCAGCATTGAGTATTTATGATCAATATCTCTCACCAACGGTAAGTCAAGCATTTCTCATTCAGAGTAGAACATTAAAAGCAAGTTCTGTTATGTCGAAAATGCTAAGATGTTAAGATGAAATCACTTCTAACATGAACTCGAGGATACCATCGCGTTTATTTCGTTCATCCAGGCAACTCCCCAAGTTGAGCTTGATGAAAAGTTGGTAAAACAAACGTTATCGAAGATAAAGAACCAACCACCATCTGCAGATTTCTTTGACGCACTTCAAAAGCAGGTTTGTGTTCACCATTGTAAACACTAAAAAGAGTGGTCATTTTGAGATGATTGTAACTTGCTTTCTTTCTAGTCGTTTAACAAGTTAGAACAACAGAATATTTATGGTTCGTTTCTTAAAAGTCAGATCTACATGAAGTAAGTGATATGCTTAATCTAGACCGTCACTGTACTCATTGCCCGCCCCACTGGACAGTCGAGCCAACAGTTGTTAATTCACTCCCAGAATGCCACTCGCAGTGTCCAGGCGCCTCGATAGTTAAAATCATACCCAGGCCTCGCGGTGTTTTGGTATTCAGCTTGGTTATTTTGCAAACACTTTATATAGATAAAATTTATTGGAAGGTAGGAGTAAATGAAAAATCTAAAGAGAAAGAAATAAAATCTTAAAAGTTGCGAGTCAAACAACATGCACCAATCCATATTCAAAGATATTTCTCATCTTTTTTCTTATTAAGGTGTCTCATCGATTTGGGATTTTTTAAAGAAAAGTCAGGTAGAGTTCGTTCTATCCTGCAGCGCAGATTTTTCATGTTAGTGTGCTCGATACATTTTTAGCGCAGCTGAAAAAATACGTTCAATTAACCGTCAACTTTCCAATTTAGATGAAACTGAATCTTTATCAGGAACACCTAGTGAAGGTAGTAGCGATAAGCTCCAACGAGTTCAAATGTAAATGGTGAAGTTACTTACTGCGATTCATTTTCTGTACTTGTCAAGGTTCAGATGAAACACACAGCCGACCAAGAACAGATGTAAGAAAATATTGTTTTAGGAACACTGTATTCATTCTATTTCTAGTTGTATTTTATTTCTAGTAATGAATTAATTAAATTCTGCCACTGTACGAAATAGTTGAAGAAGTATCCCAAGGCTTAACATATATTTTCTTCTGCTAGAGTTGTTCGAGTATTGACAGTTTAAATTCATTATGGACGCGAGATGAAGAAATAAGAGTCACAGCGAACATTTCACGAACAGGTTCGAACAATATCTGTTCTGTAGCCGAAAGGAAAAAGCATTGTCGTCTAATCATACGACAGGCCTTTAAAATATTTCTAATAATACACTAATAATCTTTGTTTCCAGGAAACTGCATGTCACGCTAAAAAGGATATTAACTGTAATTCATATGTCCTCAAATGAATGTGCAGATTATCTGCAGTCATCACGGTGGTCCTTCAAAATATTTTATACAATATCTATACATATATGCTCTTCCAGGCCTATGTCGTAATGATGGTAAATCATATGGTATCTACGAAATTTCTGTATACCGAGCTAGCTCTGAGGGCACGGTTACCTGGACCATTGCAAGACGATTCAGTGATTTTGATGACCTTCATCTCAAGCTCAAGGAAAAGGTTGGATTAATTTTCATAACCATTCAAATTAGTCAGTATGGTTTAATAGTCCCTAGGAGACCTGCATGTAGGTTACCCGACATATAAATGCATTTTTGCGTAATAATCACAAATAATGACAACGATTGTTAAATGTTTTCTGAATTAGTTCGGCTCCAATTCCTTGGGTGATCTTCACTTACCAAAGAAGAATCCTTTCCGAAATACAGATAGAAGCTTTTTGGAGAAACGCAAACAAGATTTAGATTGTTATTTACAGGTAGATATTTCATTGTTGTATATCTGGTTCCAAAACTGCATTAAAAAACATGATGCTAGTCATTGTGAGGTAGGCTGACACCCGTTGTAAGTTGATCCCGTGGTTTCGTCTGCTGTCCTCATCCGAGTGTTCAATGCCAAAATTAGCTCCGTCGAGGTCTTGCTTATTATATTTTAAATACACAAAAGAACTCTGTGGTACACAAAGTGTCTATGATTCCTTGATTGGTTGTACAAATGATGTGTATTATCGCGAGATAAGCTTGCTATTCTTGTCTAAAATCATGCACTAAAATGTGCAGCAGAAGAGTCGTCGCCATGACTAAGTATGAGAACATTTGTATATCTTCCAGAAACTCTTGTCTCCTGAATTACTGGATGCAAATCCTGGAATGTTTGAGATTGTATCAAATTTCCTAGAAATTGGAAAGTATGTTCAGGAAAAGGGGCAATTTGCTAGAAAGGTAAGGAGAGATTAGATTACTTATTTACATCTTTACCTCTAATATACAATTAATTCACAATTTAAAATCGAGGGTAAAAGGAGCTTTGGAATGATTTTTGTGTGTTGAACTATTATGGACAGGTTGCTCCTATTCGTTCCTCTGTTCATAATATGTCACATGCGATAAAGAATGTTCCCGAGGGGATCACTGGTGGATTACACCGAGTTTCTGGTGGCCTTCATAGAGTTTTAGCAAAGGTAAGAATTACGGGGGGAGGTTTCATAGGTATCAGGAGAGATCTAGTTAGATTAACCCCTCCTGGTCAATTTGGTAATTTTTAAAATTGGATGGGGCTGTTCGTGTGCAGGATGCAAAAAAAAATACCAGGTCCTGTCGCACTGACAGCGAAGCTTCACCGGTTCGAAATTTTAATGAATCAGATCAAACGATACACGCGTGTTGTCTGTTTGTTGCTTTGCAGAACAAAACAGGAAGTTTTAATCAGAAATCTGGTGCAGTCGATGAATACAGTAAAATATCAGCAAATATTGATAATGACGTAAGTTTAGTATATAAGACGTAAGTTTGTTTCTTTAAAATGTTTTTGTAGAACTAAATATGACTCGTATGATACCAGTGGATTACCTTTTTCTATACTAAATGCATGTGTACTTCACGGTTGTTAGGATGATGACAATATTCCGTTACGAATTCTGCTCCTGTTAATGGATGAGGTTTTTGATTTGAAACACAGGTAATATATACCATATTTCAACCTCTGAGGCTATATGTTACCATACTCTAACCTCACTATAAGGCATCGTTTATTTTGCTCGGGTACTTCAGACTAAAATGTCTTGTTATATAACGCCTTGTATATGTTTTGTACGCAGTATTTTATTGGACGTTATACTTTAGAAATGCAATCATTAACCAATGAAAAATTCCCCTTTACGGCTGGTTTCTAGTTTAAAATCCAGTGTAAAATGGAAATAGACCATTCTTGGTATTGTTTTTCCAACTATACTCATTCGTAACCCGTCCTATGTTATATGTTATTATTTTCTAGACTGCTGAATAATTAAATCTTGAAAATTTTGTAGAAATTTGTGGCTAAGACGGAGAATTATTATAATGTTAAAGCAGATCATAAAAACGACATTTGGAGATCGGATTAACCGGTATGTTAATAATTGTACGTGGAAATCGCTTAATTACGATCTGACCCTATTTTTTTCGTTGTTAAGTCGTAATTAACTTAGTAATATACGACTCTGATTAGGCAATAGCTCCCCCCCCCCCGATTTGTACGAATCCCCTGCATATGGTAAAGGAAAGTGTTTTTCATCTAAGTTTCATAGTATAGTTTTCAACAAAACGCTTTTTCATTTATGCAGAAAGATCGTCGACTCTGTCGAATGGATGACGTCGTTTGAACAGTTGGCAGAATATGTTCGTCTGTTCAGGTAGTCATAACAATTGTACGCGTCAAACATGTTGTCATAAGATTGGCACAAATGGTTCAGATAAAGCTTTTGAACGAAGGTCTCAGGGTTTCCATGCACTTCACAGGATTTGGTGAAGAGAGTTTTATATTTTTAGAGATGCATATTGGCCTGATGGTATCCTTGCTGAAGAATATCCTGAAAGATCTGAATCTGTGAAGCTTCGTACACGAGTAACAGCTAAAACTATGATGCTTGGCAGCCTTCCAGGTTTGAAACAGCTTTATTTATTGTTCTCTGTTTATGATTCTTGAGTGTTTTTAATCTTGTGTCCCCCAACCACTGAAATATTCCTTTCTGTACAAGCAGCATATTTAATAAGTATATTCACAAGTGTGATATCAATCATTTAGATGATTTAAAGAGATTCCTTGGTAGCGAAGTCAGTAAAGATGGAGTATTCAGGTTCGTTATAAATCATGAAAATAGATCTGCAGGGAGGGAGAGAAACCTCCATTGGGTAAACCGGTTTCACTTCAATATTTTTTCTTCAATTTTTAGAGTTTTCAACACATTCCAATACCCTGAATTAAACAAAAGACTGCTATACGTAATTTCTGAAGGGTTTCTAGAACAGTTATTTCCGGAAAAGAATTTTCCAGAAATATTTCGTAAACTCCATACAAAAGAACATAAATCTGTGAGGACCACATCTGACCCATGATGGACTATTTTACGATTGACGAGTTTTAGATGCAGTTTTTAAAGCCGTGTTGTCCATAGGCGTACGGGTGCAACTTCGTTTGGGGGGGCAAAAAAAAATCGCCCGAATTTTTGAATTACACAATGTGCCCGAATTATAACTTTTACCAGATTTGTAACAATAGATTTGGCAAAGCGGCGGATGGACTTTTAAGAAAGTATAACAAAAATAGCGAAATAGAATACAAATATGTTATATATATTACAAAATTTGGTTTTAAAAATTTTAGCTATGTAATTTAGCTTTCAGTTTGCCCGAAGTTTCGGCTGAACTTTGCCCGAATTTCTTGATTCTCGAAATTTTTGGGGGGGCAACTGCCCCCCCTGCCCCCCTGTCTCGTACGCCTATGGTGTTGTCAACCCGAAAGTTATCATCGTGAGGGAAGAGGGCGTTGAGAAATATGCCATTGTTAGAGGGAATAGCAACTAATTCGGTAGAGAAACTTTGCAAATCATAAACCGAACCTAACCCTAAGGATTAAATCCGTGAATTCTGGAATCTTGACCTGGAATTATCTGAATGAGATCACAATCTCGTTTCCCGAGCCTGTATTAACCATAAACCAAACTCGTATTCAGAAGTCAGGGTCGTTGGTAGAAGCTTAATTTTTGTGTATACTGGTAGATTTGTCTTATAACTGACTGGTTTCTTTTGTACACTATTGTTACTACGGTATATAAACCTGCATCTATGAATATACACCCCCCCCGAATTACATCAAAATACATTCATAGAAATAGCCATTAATACATTAAATGAAATAATTTATTCTCAAAAATCAAATTGATCGAACTTTGGTTACTTTGCACAATATCTATCCTGAAATTTAGGGAAATATCAGAAAGTCTATATGGAAATTTTAATTTCAAAATGGAAACTGATCTGTTTCAATATCCATAGATTTCCATAGATTATATTGATTGTACCTGTTGATCCAGCATATCCACTGATTCATCATTCATATCACATTCAGTGATAACATTCCAGAGATTGTCCCAGAGTATTAAAACAGTATTAAATTGATATGCCGGACTTTTGCCGGTAATCCTTTAGTTCAGGTAAATACGTTTCATTTGTTTTTAAAAATATTAGACATTGTGCCCAGCAAATTGTGCGTGCTCAGAGGGATTCTATATTAAATACGTTTATAAATCATTTTGAAAGTTTTCCTAATTCCTACGAAGTGCCAGACACTATCTGCCAGTATCTGGTTGGAAAACTAAAAGTTCATAAAGTGCATAATTCATGTACCATTTAGAGACTTGTACCCGAGAAATACTATGTCTGTGATCTTTGAATTCAGTTTCATTCGGAATTAAAGTTTACTGAGATACGTTTTAAGTGAATATAATTTTAAGTTTTAACAATAGCAGACATACAAAAAATACAAGGTATAGTAGTTTTTTATTGAATATACCTTTCTGTATTTCATTAACTCTCTGTTAATTCACTTCAAATTAATTCTGAATGAAATATAAGTTTTTGCTTGTTAATGAAATGTGTCATTTTTCCATATAATTGAAGGTGATCATAATTGACAATGGTACTGGATAAAATACAAGAGCAACTTTTAGAAGAGAAATGTATTCTCATAAATGAAGAAGATAAAGTGATTGGAGAAGCAACAAAAAGAGAATGTCACCTGAACAGTAATATAAAGAAAGGAATGCTTCATAGGGCATTTAGTGTCTTCTTATTTAACAACGATAATGAATTATTACTTCAACAAAGGTCTGATGCAAAGATAACATTTCCTGGTCGTTTTACAAACACTTGTTGTAGCCATCCATTGAGCCTTCCTCATGAATTAGAAGATAAAGATTTTCTTGGAGTAAGAAGAGCAGCTCAACGTAAACTCAATCATGAACTTGGTATTGAAGCTAGTCAGGTAGAACTGGAAACAAATTCAGCCTTATTTCTAGTTTGAAAATCAACGCATAGATTTATATATTGTCTCTTAGTGCTGTAACATCTATTCTATAAACCATATAGGGTAATATATAGAATAATCATTATTTTCTGGCAATGATATATCTTATTTGCTATTTATATACCTTGTTTGATTTGTATTTTCTTCTTAAGGTTCCTCTTGAAGACATCAATGTGATTACAAAAATTCATTACAAAGCACCTTCTGATGAAAAGTGGGGAGAGCATGAGATTGACTATGTCCTGTTTATCCAGAAAGATGTGGATATTCAAATGAATCCCAATGAAGTAAAAAGTTTTTGTTTTGTGAATCAAAAGAAAATGAAAGATATTTTGCAAGATGCTGAAGATAAGAAGATAATTATTACTCCTTGGTTTGACTTATTGTGCAAGACATTTTTGTTCAAATGGTGGAATAATTTGAATAATCTAGAAAAGATGAAGGATATAAACACTATCCATAAAATGATTGAAGATTGATGCACTGAATCATTGGAAGTGGTTTTTGATAAAATAGCTAATATAAAATTGAATCTTTCGTAATTATTGTTAACAAATTAATATGTTTTTGAAGATAATTTCATATATACAGGCACGATATTTATTATAAACCTATCTTATTATTTGTTTCTAAAATTCGTCAGATATGCGATAGTATACTCGTACAAGACATGTTATGGTAGAGAAGAATATGAAGCCAACGCAGCGTCTTAAACAAAAAACGATCTGGACAGTTAACGTACAATTAAATTGCGATATAATTTGGTAGAGCGAAAATACATCTTACTCTTCATTATATTATATTGCGATATAGTTTCGTAGAGCGAAAACCAACTTAAATAAATTTTTCCTTGAAGCTGATCATCCTTGCCTCTTTGGCATGAATGATGCACAGTTTAATAATCTGAAGTAACTAAGATAGGATACTTTGGAAGTGCTGAAGTGGGGCTTAACTGACCCTAAGAACTGACTGATTCTGCTGCGATGTATCACTATATTAGCTCTTCAAACCATATTTATAAACTGAAAGTATCTTTGTCGAGCTTAAAAAACATTTATGCCCGCGAATATCAACTTTATTGTTATGTAATATTTACTTATCGCGCTGTTAACTCGTCGGGCTACCCGTAACCCGTCCTAGGAAGAAATGGGAATTGAGTGGATTGGAGTGCTTATACTACCTTGTCCTTGGTGCACAGGTCTATATAATTAAAAGACTAGACTATATAATTAAAAGTGCTTCTGTCTCTGCGAGTGACTCTAGGTCTAGGAAGCTGTCTATAATTTATCAAATGTTTGATGTTATTCCATGGCCATGGGAACATTCGTATGTTGTACATAAGAGGTATGTGCATACAGCTTGTTCTCAGTAAATACTCATCACAACGATATTACCTGTGAATTCCTAACCTTCGCTACCGTAGCTGTTTCACCCGGCATCTGTACGCCAATATATAAACATACAACAGACGATAACTGAAGTTGATATGTTATGTGTAACTGCATGTGTAAGTTGAATTTCGTTTGAGAGTCACGCAATCTACTAACACAATGAAACTAGCTGTTTATTTTTTTTCTACTCCAAGTCTTCTTAGCTTTCGCTGTGAAGGCAAACAAAGTTTATCCCTTGAGCAGAATCATCAAGATTTCTCTTGCAGTTTCTAAAGCTGCTTACCTTCCGATTTCACCAAAACGTTATCTTCAAGGTGGAGCCATCATCGAAAACCCCACAACCATTATACCCCGCCGCATTTTCGGACTTCCGATCTTGCACCCTAAAAATGATTTCACCCGCGACCGTGTAGCTTGTAGTATCCACGGCTGGAAGGCAAAACATCACGAGGTCAAAGAAACTGAAGTATTTTTGTTCACGCATACCGATCAGAAGCTTGCTGTATTTGGATTTCGAGGAACTGAAGCATTGAATCTTCACGACTGGAAGTGGAACTTTAATATGGTACCAACCAAAACATACATCAATAAGACCGTGTTTGTGACTCACAAAGGATTCCGAAATCGTTATCTAAATATTGCACCATGGTTTGAAACTGAGTATCTCAAGATTCCACAGGATTATACAATCATCATTACAGGTCACAGTTTAGGAGGTGCCGAGGCTACCATTGCTGCAGTGTTTGCTGCTGGGAAATTGAAAAGGCGTCCTAATGCTGTTATAACATATGGCTCTCCATTGGTTGGTGGCCAGAGTTTTAAATCTTTCTACGAAACTGTGGTTGGTTGTAACCAAACTCTCAGAATTGTGGCCAAAGGTGATCTGTTCGCTGCTGTTCCAAAAATCTTTGGTTATACCCACGTCTGTCCTGAGCTGAAAATTGATGGGAAAACGGGATTGAGTTTTATTAATGCCCATGATTTGTACACCGGCTATGATAGAGGACTTGCACGCTTGTACAACCGTAATGACATTGGTTTTGGTTGTAATAAGTTTCTTTAAGTTGAACTATCATTGAATAAGTAGTTATATCTGTATATATTTATGTATACGAAGATAATAAAATAGTGTTGGTCATTGTATGACAATAAAATACATCTTGTTTTGAGTTATCAGAAGTCGTCGTTACGTCATATTTTAGATAACCGCTGTTTATAGACACAATCATACAGTCAATGCAAAAACCTATTTCTCACTGCAGTGTACACTCTCAGCTTGCTCTCTCAAGCAGCAATATGGGTAAAAATACTTTTCATGCTGATTTGTGAAATAGAATTAATGAACACTCGTATGCTTTCAAAGCACACACTTCACTGATGCTGGCCTGCTGTACTGGGCCGTAAGATCCTTTACTTATTATCATGTCAGTCCAAATCCGGGGATGGAGTGTCGTATTGAATGAGCTTATATGTTGCCAACGCAACTGGAGTGACGAGATTCTGCAATAGCAGGGTGAATTAACTAACAGGACTAGTCGTACGTATATGACTCGAGAACTTTGCATTTTCAATGCCTTTATACCAACAACTCAGGTTGAGAGAACATGCCGTGTTACGCTCAATTACGTCCGTATTGATTCTTATCAGCTCCTGTTGAAAGAATAAAGGCTGTTCTAAAACTCATGTCATCATCATTACGACATTAGTTTTTTATTCATTTCTACAGATTTTAAAGTGCATGGACATTAGTATCGAGCCAATAGTGTCCAATTATTAGGGAAGTAGTGTACATGCGGTAGTATTGTTTCGAACTCTTTTAGACGAGGTACGTCATAAGATACTGAATTTCTGTTTTAAACCATTGCATAATGGCTAGCTACATAATTCAAGAGCTAGTCGATATTATCTATATGATTAATACTTTAATTAACAAGAGAAATGCCATCTAATACGAAAACAATGACCTTGAATTTTCTCGAAACCGCTTCTCATGTTTGCTCAGCTGATTTCGACTATTTAATAATAATAGCAAACGTTCTAAAATATAGTTCACCAAAAATAAATTAACCTAGGGGCAGGTTGTCACTTGAGGGAAGCCGCTCTGACAAAGGATGCTAAAACAATGAATTTTCTGAAATTACAATTACATGCAACCCAGTCTTGCACAAGTTCCACAAATAACTAATACAATTAAAGTTTAATCTTAAAACTGACAAATATTGATGTCTCATTGTAGGATTAAAAAGTATTTTGAAAGAATCTAGTGTTGTTTTCACAATGAAAACGCTCCTATCACTACTGATAATGTTGTTTTGTCTTCATCGTCATGCATTGATTCATTCCTCGTGCTTCGTATCTTAGTGTCCAGAAATAAATATTTTGGATCAATCATCTATCATATTGCAAGAAGGACACAAGAAAAAACTAAGACGTCTGAAATAATTTTGAATCGTGCAATATACATTTCAGCCAGGTGTGAATCTTTTTATCAGGCAATCTAATTAGATTTGACAAATGATTCTACTTTTAGATAACAAATTTTAAACTCGTCTAAATACATATAATTACATAAATGAACGTCTTTAAATACAGCTGAAGTCACAAAAGACGTCTTGGTTATAAAATCAATTGTAATGATGCCGTGTTAAACACAACATAATGAGCGCGATGTTCAGGATTTTGGTACTGACGATTTTTATTGATGCTATTGCATCAAACAGCGTTTATCCTCCTACAAAGGTCATTCAGCTCTCCTTAGGTGTCTCCAAAGCTGCCTACCTACCACTGCCCACAAGAAGATTCATTAAAAATGGTGCCATCATTGAAAACATATCAACAATGATGCCAAGACGACCTTTTCCTCTGATCTATCTACCTCCAAAATATGATCCTGCTCAGGATAAAGAAGCTTGCAGTATTACAGGATGGAAAGCAGAGGTAGAAGAACTTCAGGATAACACGTAAATGAAATAATAGCCGAGTGTACAGCGTCAGCACGATACTGCGTATGATTGCAATTTAACGCACAATGCAGCAAAATACATAGTGGACATAGTGGCCCTTGTGAAATCGAAAAAAGCTTTAATGCGTGTATGATATAATAAAGGGCCCGCAATTGATTAGCACTGCATTAGCTTCTGTTTCATCCAACTCTATTTTGATAACCGTTTTCATAATTAAATTACGCACAGGCCTACGAAAACAGAGAGACAGAAGTCCTCAAGTTTACCCACGACGAACAAAAAATTGTTGTGTTTGGTTTTCGCGGTACAGAACCATTCAGTGTTACTGACTGGTTGGGAAACTTTAATCTTCAACCAGGAGCTTTTGAGATAAACGGCACACCGGTCAGTATACACAAAGGATTTGTGAAACGCTATGGTTATATTTCGTCTTGGTTTGAAAATGAATACATGAAGGTAACCACATCCACCATGATACCGATATTATTGAAAATGACGTGCTTTATTTTTTTGCAATGATCAAAAGAAGATTTTCTTCCTGGTCTTTTTGCTCTATACTCTCTATAGTTATTATTTTTACAGCTGAATGCAATCAAACGCATTTAAAACAATAGGAAACCGGCTGAAATTTTAACACAAGTTTGAACATCAATCATACTATAACTGCTGATATGCTTGTGACTTGTTACTGTAACTTACTCTAAGTATGCATTTAATGATTTCATCTTTTAAATGTATTAATGCATGAACATTTCTTTCAAAGGTACCGGCTGATTACAGTATCGTACTAACAGGTCATAGCCTGGGCGGTGCTGAAGCAACTGTTGCAGCAGCTTTTGTCGCTGAGAGATTAAACCGTCGTCCAGATGCCGTTGTCACATTTGGTTCACCTTATCCAGGTTTGCTGAGTTTTAAAAAGTATTATAATAAAGCTGTTGGTTGTGATCGAACAGTTCGAATGACGGCAAAATGTGATCCATTTACCAAAGTTCCGATGACTGTTCGTGGATATTTACATGTCTGTGACGGTGTTGAAGTGAATGGAAGAACCGGTATTAGTTTCATCAGAGCTCATATTTTGTATGAAGGATATGAGAGAGGTATTAAGAGGAAATACACCAACATCAAGGAAGTCAGTTTTGGTTGTGATTAAATTCTATGTTAAAACTTCTCTTTACATGAAAATGTAGCAAAAGGAAGTTCAATTGTAATAATATGTTGTTGTCTTAGTCATAAGTGATAAACACTTAGCTGAATTTTATGCATGGGATCGTATGGTTTTCAATAAAAACATCTTCATGCATATAGTGAAGTTTGAATGTTTCGTCATCATCTCTCACTTTCATTTCGATGTCGCAATTTTTAGTGCTGCAATTCAGAATACATTATAATAGAAGCTTTCTCCAATATCGAATGCTTCATTTTCACTTGGAAACTCAGATATAATGGATTTTTTATCGGATTCATACTCCAGAGCTTCTGTCTCAATCTCTCTCCAAATAGCGCAATTCTCATCGCGGAAATTTTGACCAATTTCTAAATTATCCATTACTTTGAACTTTACAAATTTCCCTGTGGTATTTTCAAATTTTGGCCATTTTGGAAGTACATTTCTTTGACCAGCTGTGGGATTCCTAAAGTTAAAAACACAAATGTTAGATACACGATTCGCAACTATATTACATTTTGCATTATATTTTGCGATTGTTGTAATGAATTACTACTATGCCTACCACAAATATAGCCTATACTTACCCATACTTGGCAAAGTTTGACCAGTAGCTCATCATTCGTAAAGATAATTTCCGTTCTTTATCGTTAAACACACGTGGCTCCTCTATTGGTGCGCCAAGCACATACTACATAATAATAAATAAAATTCCTAAAATTATCACGATCATCACAGTACACCAAATAAACGAACAGTTTGACTAAACTAACAACAGAACAATCCTTCGTTGCCATCCTACATACCTGCAAATCAGTTCCATGAACCACGCCCATCCACTTTGGCCAGTTTTCTCTGCGTGAACGATGTTTCATTCGGTACATAAAAACGTCATTAACGTCCGTTCCTGACAAGGCTTTAGCCATATCCAGCATTGGACAATACATGTGTCTATCTTCCAATAAGATCTGGTAAAGGTCACGATTAAATGTCGGTGTTGTTTTATTATGTGCAAATTTAAAGTAAAATTCTTTTATCTTGCTGCGTGCAGCATCAGAAAGCTCATAAAATACTTGATCGATAAGAGAACGAAGTTGTTTTGTCTTTAACTTGAATGGCCGCTTGTATCTGAGAAAATTTAGGAGGTACACCATCCAACGACTACCTTCATTTTTATTCGTTCCAAGAAGAACATTAACTTTTTTCTTAGGGAGGTTTTTTATTAAATATCGAGGATTATCTCCAATTAATATGTGATCAATAACAGGGACCCAAGTAAAGTGACCGAACTGAACGGACGCCAGATCTTGCTGTGCTCGGACGATCACCTCAGCTGGAATTTGGGAAAGACAGTTTCGTAAATTACCATCGTCTTCGCATTTCAGCTTTTTCAAAAATTTCTTCAGTCGTTGACTGGCCTGAGCCTTGCTCATACTCGCCCAGTAAGCAATGGGAGATCCACTTTGTAAAATTGCTCTGTGAAAAAGATTTTCACCTGATTGCGCTAACAGATGAAATCCAACACTCGCTGCTCCGGAACTTTCACCAAATATTGTTATAGAATTAGGATTTCCACCGAAAACTTGGATGTTCTTTTTTACCCAAAATAACGCCATTCTTTGATCATATAAACCCATGTTACCTGAAAAAGGAAAAATCTTGTTTACTATTGGACTTTGCCATCTTTCCACGTCCCTATATATTCAGAGGTTTTTGCACGGTAGATAAGAAAGCCTGAACACATCTTATTTATATTTTTAAATGGAATGCAAATAGAATTTTTTGCCCTGGCTGAAATCTTAAAAATCTCTTCTAATATACAGATACTATAAAATGCTAAAAATCCGGTTTATCACCTGCAGTTTATATATGAATTAGTGTGAACAGTACCTTATTAATATTACTACTTACCAACCTTCTATTCTGTTGTCTCCAGTTGCAAGAAATCCCAGTGCTCCTAATCTGTAGTTGAATGTGACCACAATCACGTCTCCATGCGAGGCTAATGTCTTGCCATTATGTATTGGAAGAGAACTACTGCCTTTAATAAAACTGTCTCCATGAATCCATACCTTAATTGCAAAGCAAGCATGCAGGATAACAGTTTGTTAGTGTTTGATGCAAAAAAAGGTCATAGGGTATGCAAGTCTTCAAAAAAAATAAACCCAAGTCCAACAACGCAATACACTACCATAACTGAGGAATTCGTTCGTCTTGGATATGGTGTCCAGATGTTCAAAGTTAAACAATTTTCTTTAAATTCATTTTCTGGGTTCCAAATATCGATTGCACGTCTGCCACTCCGAGGAAGACGGGGCTGCATGCATGACGGCTGAAACATACTAGCATCCAAAACTCCTAGAAAAAAGTATGAAGGTTATCTCTTTTTTTATTCTTGCATCCAAGATACTTCCTTGGTACGAAAGCAGGGGACTTCACTTGCAAGGACCAACCTGACCATTGCCCGGTGTATGGCTGTGGTTTTTGAAACCTTAAGTGACCAATTGGCGGCGTAGCATAAGGTATGCCAAGGTATTGATGAGAATAGCGACCATCTTTACTGATCACTGTTTGACCTTGGATTATTCCATGAACTGTTTGGACAATTGGAAGATATTTGTGTCCAGGGATTCCACCTAGCGCGAACGAATATTGTGTTATAATACGCGGTAGCAATAAAGCTAGACTGACAATCTATAATAGCATTATCTATATATGATTTAGAAAAAAACGTACCTTTGTTAACAGAAGCTTCCACTATACAGAATACGGTATGAAGTGCGAAAATTAAATATCCCATTGCTTAGACCTTCGTTATACTTCTACCATTATTGACCTTTTTTAATTCTGACCTACGTAACGAAACATAGAAATCTAAATGGTGAATACGTGACTTAGGATCAGGCAACTCTGCACGTGTATGGGGAAGTAACCGCGATAACCATTGTTATAATTAAGATGTAATAACCTAACGCGTGCACTTGGGATGCTTAGGTTTTTGGAGGTGTAGTATATCATCATCCAGTGCTAACTGATCGAACCAGAGAGGGAAGGAATGTAAGGCTTTGTTTATGTACATTGAAGTATATTCTTAAGAAAAAAATGATATATGTGACGGATAAAACTAAACAGTTATTCTTTATTATTCGTATAGTATAATATGTAGTTCACAGTATTTTCATATACCGAGGAAAGAATTGCAGGTGGCTAAACTCTCACCTTTCAGGTCTTCTTTAACGCTTTCATGATCTCATGATACATCAAATTTGCCTCAGTATTTTGCTGTCAACATCATACTTTAAGCATGTTACTAAATGGTTTCACTCCAAATATGGCCCACAAGATAGATTTTTATTCATGTATATTTCGCAATGACAGGCTATATTCAGTTTAGTAATTGTGATATCATTCTCATGATGTCATATGGAAAGATTAAATACAGGCTTGGTTTCGGCTTGCCATGTGCCAGGGACAATGGCTGATAATCGGTTAGAATTCCTCATCATTTCAATCCGTTTACAAATAAGAAAAACGTTGTTTAAAACAGGTCTAGCAGGGAAAGTTCGTTTTTTTGAAATAAATTCTATGCAATTGTTTCAGGTCCTAGGTCACTCTGATACCCTCATGAAAGTAGCTAGTTTCTCAGGAAAACAGTCCGTAGAAGCAGGGAAGACTATTTTATAGATTCGATTGTTCGTGGCCCGCTTTAGACTAAAAGGTGGGCACAGATCGAAACTAGATGCGACAATGGGGCGGGGGGCATATTCATGCATACATGCGTTTTGCCCGACGGATTTCTTATGTACGTGTGTTCTTTGAAAAAAAATCGTCGGGCAGAACAGTATATATTAATATGCACATCCCCATCCAATTATCACGCTAGTTTCGGCACTGGTGGACTGTTAACGTTAAAAATATCGATTAAGTTGAATTTTTTGGAGGCAAACAACTAGGTTAGGTCGTAAGATTTAGGTGCAGTCAACCGTTGTGAATTGAAAGTAAACTATTTTAAACAACCTGCTCCTACACAAATCCTATTAATTATGGCTGAGTAATTCCTGGCCGTATTTAACAATGAAGTTACAATTTTCTTCGTGTGTATAAATGATTATGTTTTTTCTGAAACTGCATGATTGTCGGTTTATCGTTCGGCCTAAAAATTGTTTGCCATGCCGGTGAAAATTGGGGCTGCCGTGGATAACATATACCATGCACATGCAGAGATAATTTTCCTTCAACGTTACTTCAGACGTAGAAGATCCGTCAACTTTATACTCAACTCATGTTGTAGTTTGTATGTGTTTTTGGCCATTTGAGGTAGTATATATAGGTTTATTTGAAAGCAAAAGCACAACAGAAATGCAAATGAGACTGCATGTTGCACTGTGTTTATAAACCTTTGGACTTTAATCAGAGAAGGTTTATAATGGCAGTATATAAATAAATTTTCAGTGAAACATTAAAATATCTAACCAGACAGATTTCTATGTTGTAAAACTGACATAGTTACGTAATCTCGACGTACTTTTATCAATACAAATCCTATATTAAGTTACCTCTTCAATGAATATTATCGAAGTGGCAACTTAATAAGATTTGTATTGATAAAAGTAGTTTCATAACACTCTCTACAATACATGTTTCTATGCATATTGGCTATTTTAAATCCTTGTCTGTCAAGCCATTTAACTATTCCATAATATCGACGAACACCAAGTGGTGTGTGATCCACAACATGAAACTCAACATCAAGTTGTTTCACATATTTTCGTAATGTTCCATCTGACAACATTTGGGGTAAACATTTCCATTCATCCCATTCAATATCAATCTTTAAAACATCTATCTTTCTCTGCAATTGAGAATGTTTACTGTTATAACCGTAAATGTATTGCACCGCATAGCTATATAAAACTTAGTGTTAGTGCTATTCTAACTGATCTAGCTGTATTGCGCGTTTCAGAATTTATATGTATGTACAAGTACACACGTAAGAGATTTACCTTCTCGTGACGAAGCTCGGTGATTATAGATTTCAACGTCCTAGTTCTCCATCCAGCTCTGCCCGATTCTCCCGGAGTTCCTTCTGAATCAACATCTGCTAAGCCGACTTTAAAGAACTGTATAAACGGCGAACGAAGATGGCTTTCTTTCTTCATTGTTGGATCAAATGCATAAACTCGGCAACCAAAGTTTGCTATGCTATCATCAAATGTCCACTCATCGTTTATCCTACAGAAATAAAGCTTTATTGAGTTTATTCTGAGTCAACTGACATACAATTTAGAATTTTAATATTGCAAACTATACTTACTATAGTGACGTTGCATTATAAAAAAATCAAACTACAAAAATATACAGACAAAAAAATACAATTACCTACCCTATAGAGTAAACAATGCATGATCCAGGGGTGAGAGAAACTTCTGAATCAAGACAAAGATACCACGATCCGTCAGGGTCAAATTCAGGAGGATTTTTATTCAGCATATATACTCCTCCAAAATGTCGAATATTTTCACAAATAACCCCTTGACTTGACATAAATAAATCATAGCGACGCATCTCTTCGACTAAAGAACCAGTCCCTGCCATGAGTGGTTCTTTGTAAGAGAATATATCATGTAATGCTTCTCGTTGTAACTGTTTTGAAACATTTTTCTTGCTCGAACTTTTGTCTGAAATTGATCGTACGTTTGTTTCCACACGAACTATATATGAATATAATAATAAGTTAGACTGTTTTTTCGTCAAATGTGGACTGTTTTTAAAAGTATGTAGCTAAAAGTTTACATCACTACTTGCCGTCATCATCTTTTCCTCCGTTTCCTCTAATTTCACTCCACTACAATTGAGACACAAGAGTTTCAGAGAATTCGACAAGTTTTTGACCAAGGTGGGAAGGAGTTAAATGTTAGATCTTAAATCTATATGAAACTAAAAATTATAGGCAATAATTATGTCTGTAAATAGTTGACCAACCATTTTCTCGTACGTCCATATAAATAAAATGGAGAGGGATAAGAAGGGAATTAGGCAACAAACAAGGTTAGATATATTTCTTGGCACCATATCTAAATAAATATGATCAAAATTATTAAAGATTTTGACAGGTTTAATTGCATTTCCAGATCTACAGACTGCCGGATTACTATTTTTAATTCCTATCATCAATGTATATTCCACTTTTCTTTTTTTCTTATTTCTACATGCTTAGTACTCAGACCCTTCACCTTATTAGTGTGCCAATTCGCACCTTCGAGGAAACAGTGAAAGACGACGGGTATGTCTTTTTCTTGATGATCTTTCGAGGTGGCAATGCACCTATAATACAGTTTTTATAGCTTTAAAATACTTTTTCTTTACGTGAAGCATGTTAGAGCGAAAAACCAATTAAGTGAGATCAAAGTAGCAAATTATTGATATCAATTGAGACCGTATTCCTGACAATTCCTGCAAAGATCGTTTTAATTCTCGCAAATCTTCAAAAATTAAAATTCCTCAACTAGTCCCCTCTCTAAAACGTCAATGTGGTCGGGCTTTCAATGTCACCTTGGTGTTAAACACTCTTGTACAAACAAGTCTCATTGACAGATCATTGACAGATCACAGTTCAAGCAATCATTTGATAAAAATTTCAATAATTGTTCAGTTTTTTACATCATGCATGCACGCTATATCCATTTGAATGCCCCATTCTTGCATATACATTGATCATGCAGGAGCGAAACTCCGAAAATGCGATCAATTCGCCTTGGAATCCCAGCATGAAAAACTCTAGCTGTGATTCCAATATGTCAAAAGATTTATAATTAACATACGTCACCTTGAAAGTAGTTTGTATCAATGCAGTTGGGTCAGTTTTATCAACGGTTACGTTGTCTATTCTTGTTTTCACTTCAATGTCATGTATATTTGAGCAAGCAGATGAAAACAACGACAATATTATACAGGATCGATTCACTGAAATACGTTGAGAAATACGACTACCTCCTCTTGAACAATTGTTATATAACAAATAAAGGCTCTTTACAAAATACATTGTGACTATAATATCAGCAACAATAACACCTGTAAACTACGAGTCATAACAATTAAATATGTTACTGAAAAGAACGTTTTTAGCCACCCGTCTAAATAATGTATTTGATGTTGTATTGATGTAAAGACGGTGTCAACGCAAATTTTAACATCAATTTTTCAAACGTCGAGCGCTAAACTCGCTTTTAACAACTGGCCTCAGGTCACCAGACTCTACTGATTTAGTTTCATATAGGCAAAGCACGATCTTCACTGATAACTTTGTCCCAATAATGACATGTTTCAAATATTTAGGACTTCTGTAACATATTTAGTTGAGTTTTTTTGAACTTGTATCTGTTAAAATTTGCTTTCATTGACTTCTTTGAATGGAAATTTCACACACGTCACCGCATCGCGACCGCGCTGTGAGATTTCGTGCGAGATAACATCATCCGAGCCAGGAATGTTCAAAAATGCGCTTTATCTATCCGAAGTAATACAATGGACCCCGAGTGTTAGGAGCAAGCTAGTGTGAACCAGGTCTAATATGACGCCGACCTCGGAGAGTTTCATTGGTCAGCGATAAGTCAGCGGAAAATCGACTTACCGTGTATGGAAACGTGGCCAGGATTTTCTTATTACAGCAATTACGGCATTTCGTGTTTTATTGATCAAGTAATACGCCGATGAACCACATTTAACTGCAAATGAGCTCACATGCAGAGATTGATGAATTTTTAACAAATGTTGTTTTTGATGGCTTTTTTGCCGTTTATTATTTCTTTATGCCAACATTGATTATCACAATATCTACAACAGCTATGATTTAACTATGCTCAGTAATCAATACACGTATAAATCAGTCCGTTGCGAGTCTGTTGCGATCTGCAATGTTTCTAACATGGGGATTGGTACGGCTTTGCCTGCAACTTTCCGCTGTTCAATTTCTCCAAGGCCATTTCAAAAATGTATACAAGGTCGCTAATTTTGCGAATTCGAAAAACGTGTTTTTCTGGTGCAGAAGATGCTATTCCAGCCATTTCCTGTATAGCAAGAGTATCAAGGTCACCGACGGCCACAACAGAGATTTGCACACCCAAATTCTTCTTCAGCTTTTCAGCGTTGGGTATAGTCAGATGTCGATCTACGTTAGACCGCCCGTCTGTCAGGAGGAGAACCTTTAATTTTGAAAATCTTCGGCTTCCTATTTCAAAAAAGAAACACGAAATATTAGCAACGACTGTATTAGTTCATGCTCTAATATATTAATTCATGATAGTCTATAAAATACACTTAATTTCATTTTATGAGGGCCGAGATTTTTTGATTGTAGCAACCACATTTTACAATTCTGGTGGCTTTGCGTGTACGTGAAGCGTGTCGTTTCTCTCTTCATGTTTTATTGTTTTGAGATATGGGGCAGGAGTTTATTTCCTAGCTCAACTGCGTGACGACGCCCACTCTACCACTTAAATCTACCACTGAATCAAAGGCTGTATGGTCAGGAATGAAAATCCAGTTTAGATAATCATTTCGTAGAAAGAGCAGAACATGCATTGCAGGTGTTCATTCAGACCATGGAGTGTTCTTGCTGCATATATGCATGCATGTAAAATAGACTTTAAAAATTCAAATGCATGGTTAACTAACCAGTTAAGAATAGGTTTTCTGCTTTGGCTAATCCTGCTTGTGTATTTGTACTCCCGTCAGGATACGGGATTAAGCGAATTTTCTGACGAGCTTCTGCAGAAGGAAGGAATTGGAAGTCTACTCTTGCTTGGGTAGAAAATGTGACTGCAGCGTGTCGGCAGTTGTATGTATTGCCATCCTTTGGTTTCTCACACATTTCAATCGCTTGAGCGAACGCCTTCAGACCTTCATAAAATTCACATTTAGGGACTGATCCTGAACCATCCATGATAAAAACAATATCTTCGAGGACTAAAGATCTTTTAGTCACTTTACTTGCTGGATGAAAGTCGAAGAAATTTTCTAACATCAATTGTGCAGTCTTCTTTGGAGATGGAATAATTTGAAGCTCTAAAAGTAAAATTTAAATGCTTGAGTATAATTAAGGGCCACATGCAGCGAATCTTACCACGGGCGAAGAGGCTGAGCAATATGAAAATATATAAAACCATTTACAAAAAAATCGATTACTTACTCCGATAAATCGGAGCATTTGGATCTGATGGTAATTTCGTTGGTCGCGGTGTTGTGAGCCTCCAAAATGTTTCTTCACTGTTTTTTGGCAAAACAGAAAAGAACATCACAAGCGATAAGAGAACGACTGAATTCATGGTTTATTACTTTCAGCACTTGTTCGCAAGTTCAAAATGAAAAATTTTGACCGTTGTTGAAGCGTTTTATGAGTCGAGTCACGTCCGAATTAAGTTGGCGGAAGTCTAGTATTTATGGTAATATTATTTAGAATTCTTAAATATTCTGTCTCATCCGTTTAAGTTCTATATTTATCAAACCGAATAAACAGCTTTTATAAATCAATTTTGGCACACTTTCATTATACCATTCTTATGCTGCTCTAATTTCGTCTGTGGTACGGTACATGCATGAAAATGTTGATGGTGATCTCTCATCCTCTGGAATTACGAGAATTTAAGAACATGCAGATAAAAGTATATATATATATATATATATATATATATATATATATATATATATATATATATATATATTAATATATATATATATATATATATATATACTCAAGTGACATGCATGCAGTACGGTCATTTGTTAATATTGTGGGCAATGGGCATGCATAGTTAACTTATATGTACATGAAACATTCTGAGAAAACAAATATCCATGAGAATTTACTTTGTTTATATAAATTTACTGAATGAACGTGTAAAGTAAATATTCTTATGACCCTTAGGAATCACAAAATTACTTTTCCTGTCATGTGATGAGGGGATTTCCTCCGAAACAATAGTATGTCGTATAAAGTACAAGTGTCACGACTCAAGAACATAAGTTCTAGGCGGATACTAGTTTATGTCAATCATTTCTTTCTTATATTAAGTTAAGCACTTGAAGCCTTACGTCACTAAAAGCTTAATTCGATAAAATTATTATAGTAAAGTAGTTTATAAGTTTGAGATACGGTTCATGCACAAATATAGTCAGGCCTACATTTCAAACTGTATTTCTTTCACTTGAATTCGGCATTAAAGAAACATGGACCTTCGACATACGTTCATATTATTCTTATTATATATACAAGATTCAGTTTCTACTGTAAAAATGATAAAAATCAACTAGCTATTTCGAGACTAAATGAAATAATCTATTTCATGCATATTTTATTTCTTTCATTTTCTTCAATGGCTTCTGGCTTCATGTTTACTGTACGCAGACCTTTGACTATTTTAGAACCTGAGTTTATAATGTATTTTCAAACAAGGCCGGTGCTCGGGGGTCAGAACTAATTTTATCTTACGAATATTTGTCTCACTTAGCTTTAAACGATCACGGAGACAACATAAAGATCTTTAAACTGTTTAAAACCACAGCCATCCTGACCACGAGATAATATTATAAAAGTGTTGACCTGCACGCATTTTCACGTCGTCTTTGACGTTCACGCCTTCATGCTAAATCTCCCCGGCTATTGTGGTTAATAAGGATAACGTGTGCGCAATGTTTCGAGACTATAATGTAATGATGGACAGATTCATAATGAAATCATTAGCAAATTAATTAAGTTTCGAACTATTAATTTCATTTCTTGTGATTAATATTTTTATCTGTTTATAAAAAGAAGTTACAGAATTCAACAAGTGTATGATGTCTATCCTTTTGCTATTATTTTCCGTATTTTTATTAAATTATTCCGTGGCATTGCAGCCTGAATACAGGCATTTACTCAGATTACTTATAGTCTTTGACAAGGCATTTGATTGGGTTTATTTATTGGTATTTAGTGAGATAATACTGATGCGTCAGCTAATCAACCCCAGTCCTCTTAGTGTAAAAAGAGCTCCATATATTACAGATTATCATAAATACCGTGCGTATGTGCTGTGTCATTCGTAAATTTGGTAATTGATATATCTTTCATAGTTTATCTTTGGATAAAATGTCGCATTTTCCAGTTCGGTAGAAAAAATTGGCCGGGGTGAAACAAGCACGTCCGCAGGGCATTTATAACTTTTCGTACATATGCTATCATTAAGGATTAACTTGTGAAATTTTTGTTGTATTCGACGGTAGGATTTTCCATTCGATATCTGTTAAAACAATAATAAGGCAACACTAGGATCGTACGATTAAGATTGTGTCTGATCATATAAGATTATCTTAAATCCTTTATATATATTTGTCCAAAAATCATCCTGGTTTAGTTACTGCAGTTAACTTAATAAAAAGTATAAAAAACCGCTATCGCTGAGTGATTTCAACAATGAATAGCAAGAATTAGCAAAACAGATCAGCATAAACGTAGAATGACGGAGTGCCGAAAGCAAGAATGAAGCACCTGCTTTTAGTTAGAATTTAGTGACGCCATCTTGTCTACCATCAGAAATGAATGTAGATAATGAGTAAAAAGCACGTGAGGCATGCCGGGATAAAAATTGCAATGAAGATAAAAGACGATGATACCACAGAGTGATATAAATGCTTTCTAATCAGCATCACGAGCTAGTGAAATAATGAATCAATTCGACAATTACTGTCATGACATATTTATAGCGCCCAATCAAGCATTTGTGTTGATGCAGTAATCTTTTTAGTACAAGTAACTATACAAATACGGCATTTCGGATGAGTTCGTTTATTTTCATATCTCATTCACTCATTGTTTGATAATTTACTGTGATATTGTAATGTTTTTTGATGAAAGTCTATCAGCAGATTGAAAGTCAATCACCAATTGACATATTTTCAGCGACTCTGTTATAAAATGCATCTCTTATTATTTACTGGTTATGCAAGATAGTGCGATCCAAACAAATTAAAATACAGGTTAAAAAAGATATTGCCTCAAAACTAATCTAAAAAATATGACACGAAGAGAATTTGATAACTGGCATTGTAAGTTAATACTCTATAATTTGGTGCACCGAGGTTATTCCAAACTAAGCTAAACTGAGACTTAGAAAGTATATTTTACTGTTCTACTGATAGATATAGCCATATAGGTAAGTCAGTGAGCCACTATATCACTTTGTTCTCATTATGCTGAAGACATCCATGAACACATCACTGACATCAGCGATAACCACGATTAAAATTGGAGTTTGCATGTAGTCGTCATTGCTGTGGGTTGTGTCAAGATAAGACTATTCTAGTTATAAGTAAAAGAATTAAAACTAATTTTTTATTCTTGTGATTAGGTATTATTATACAATATAGGCTTATAGTAATAGTAGCTATACAAACTTAGTTTTAGTTTAGTGCATTCTTGTTCAAAATAGATTTAAAACAGCCGACTGTTTCGGCAGACATTAAAAGTTATACAACGAGATAAACGTTTTATTAAAGGTCAGTTTTCAATATTATAATGTGTAATGAGTTTCTCAGTATCATTGATCTTTTATAAAGATGTGATTATCAAGAGCCGAGCATATTGACGCAAGTCAGGTGAGTACTTATCACCAAGGTCAGAACAGCTGCGAAAATAATGGGGAACTTTCATATCTCTGACATAAAAAATATCAGTCAGTCATACAAGTCAAATTTCTGCTTCCAAGTTCACCTATTTTTGTTCACAACAAGGAACTAAATATCAAATGCAACTCTTTACAATCAGCTGAAATTCAACGGGCGCTTATTGCTAACATCAATCCTTTTTTGCAGTTATTTTTTGGTGTATGCTCAGAAGAGTGGGCCAGCAATGCATTTTTCTTTTGATAAATGTTATGATAGCAAAAGTAATACACGTTAATTTTCCAATGAATATTCTTCCGTTTGCAATTACCGTGAGAGGATTCTTATGATGTTACTGAATATTATAGGTAAGCACATTAGTATATTTTCAAAACAAGTCATAATTGCATATTAACAAGCCGTTTACAGATGTTTAAAGAAAATACAGTGTTTATTTAGGCACGTTTATATACAAATGTTGATATAAACGTAATGTAATGGAATCAAATGTAATGGTATAATTACAGAAACCGCTGTAAACTTGGACTCGAAGTAAGCTGCTATAGTATCAAATAAGTTATAGTTATAAATGCAACGTCAATTTGTTTCTATTATTGCCAGTATTTATGAGAATATTAGGCCAAATATATATAAAGATATCATGATATAGGTGTCATGCCCAAGATGATTTTTATCACGATTTAAATCTCTTTTTGGCCTTTAACTGGCGATGGTAATTATATAACAAGTCATAACTTCGGGGTCGGTGCGCGAGCAGTGATATGTATAGTTTGTCAACACCATGTTAACTGGTGGTTTGCTCGTTTGTCATTTTATTATAAAACTCGTTTGAAAATATAATAGTTAAACGATTCTAATTCAGAGATGGCAAAAAGCACACAGTATACCGACTTTATTGGACTAGAATCTGCCGGTGCATTAAGCGAAGCGGTGACAACAACATTCTGTCAGTGTCCTGCATCATTGCAATGGACTATAACAAGTCATAAAGCAGTTAAAGCACCCGCAGAGACAGCTTGGTCATTGGCACCGTTTTGTTATACACCAAACAATCAGCCATGTTTATGTCTCAGATATAGAAATATGGAGGAGTGTGGTGCTGGCAAGATTAAAACAACTCCAGCAACTCTTGATTCTATGAAGCCCTCCAAACGGCGCGGGGAAGCAAGTTTATCAATCAGTAAAAATTTGAAGTTTGGAATCGAGAGAATCTTGAACCAAAGTTGCAGTTCAGGTCGGTACACTCATATTGCAGTATATAGGATAATTGATAGAATTTTAAACACTATGATGCCTGATGGGTCATGAGTATGGTTTTCATAACTAAAAATGTTATCCTGATAAACATGATTATTGAAGATGAATACCAATGATGTTATGATGATTTTACTATCGGGCCATCGGCAAAACCAAAATATATTTGTATCGTAAATCTTTCGGACATTTGTTTTATTCAGTTCGTTCGGACTCTAACCTCATATCACAGGCATATAGCAGGCAGGCAGGCATGAAAAGCGTTACCAAGATCCTTGGATTATTAAAATGCACCCCATCTTAAAATCATACAGTCATATAACTATTGTCAACATAGAATTATCTACAATTTCAAATTTTAATTCGACGACGAAAAATGAAGGCCGAGGAAAACTGATACACAACACAGAACTATATACAGTCAGAAATTTAGTATAACTCACTCTAAGTCATAGACTGAGTGTATAAAAACTGTAAAATTGTAAAGCCTGTTTTGTTTTTCAGACTTAAAGGATGACAGGAAGGAACAAAAAACCAAAAATGTGGATAAATCGACAACTTCGTCAAAAAGTAGACGAAAAAATGGCACTCGCTCGGTATTTTCTCATGTTCAACGAAACATTTTGGAGTTGCACTATCAACAACGAGAATACGTGACAAAGGGGGAGCGCTATCATATCGCTATGGCAACAGGAATCAGCGAAGAACAGGTCAAAATTTGGTTCCAAAACAGAAGAACAAAGAAGAAGAAAATGGAAAGAAACAAAATGGCGACAACAGAGACAGGGGGGAACAGATTAGAAATAGAACATTGTGGTATAAATTATTAAAGATATCATCGATTTTTCTTACTTATAGATACATTAATATGTATTTTATTATATATCGTAAACTTCCGTATACAAACCCTGGTCTTATATAGGTTCGTAAGGGTTTTTTTGATGGGCTTATACAAGCATTGGCGTACGGGCGCAAAAAAATCGCCCGAATTTTTGAATTATACAATGTGCCCGAATTATAACTTTTACCGCAAAGCGGCGGATGTGGCCGAATTTTTGGCTGAACTTTGCCCGAATTTCTCGAAATTTTTGGGGGGCACTCACGCCTATGTATACACGGGGGGATTATATAGGGGGGGGGCTTATACACGGACAATATTGTGTTAGTGATTGTTTTTAATAAAAATTGTAAAATTTGTAAGTGAACAAATTCAAATTATGAATATATAACTAGAAGAAACTATGTCATTATGTTAGTAATTCAAACCTTTTGTAAGCTACCTGTATTCTAAATCTTTTATATATACTGATAATTACAGCTGCTTGGAATCGTATTTGCATATTTTTTTGCTAAAGAATATGGGCTTATATTTGCCCTAGGGCTCATAATATATTCGGCACAGTGTGTGCGTTAGTGAATGTGGTATTCGCAGGGGTGCTATACACGAAGAAACGAAACTAACCGTGCTCAATAAAAACTATCAGGATAATAAAACTTTTACACCGAGCGACTCTGCAAATTTCTTTTTTGGTTTCGCAACGCACTGCTAAATAACAAAAATAAATTCACAGTGTTCATAGTTTAAATTGCTTTATTAACGGTCTCATTAAGCAAGTAGAATGTTACATATTCACTGGCACTTAGATTGGTTTTCGTTTACCATTTCCGCATTTCCGGCTGAAATTTATCAATTTCATGCAACATCATTTATGCAGGTCTTGTTAATGACTATCTCAGGAAATCAGTTGTTATTCTGCTGTTCAGGGAAATTGACCCTCGCTATAAACAACCAGTGAAATAACTCATCGTTAAAACTTCAATGCCCTGACATTGGGCTGAACACAAATATGTTTAAAACCGTCTACATGCAAAAAATTTGATTCCATTGTGTTTACCCATGTCGCAACCATATGTTCACGCTTTCTGTTCTCATATTAAGACATTGAAATTGTAACAATAGTTACCAGCCAGCATGTGTGTTCAATGGTTGTCGTTTTCTCTAGGACATTATATATTTTGATCAACTACTGCTGAACCTGAAAAGTTGTAGTTATTGTGAATTCTACCAGTACTAGCATTGCTGCAGGATATGATAACATCTCAATCTGATTGTGGTGTGTCAATTTGAGCCCTCTGGCACATGTCCCTTGTACCTAATTAGCTAAAAATTTCTCCAGGATGATTGTTTTTACAGCAAATAAACACCAAAATATTAGCATAGCAGGGCTAAATTGTCAGTCTGGTTGCCCCACAACTAAATACATGCATGGGATAATTAACCCGGGACAGTCCAACGGCAAAAAGGTGCCTCGGAAGAATCTTTAATAAAGTTGGGGCGAAGGAAGCAAAGCTAATTGTTCCTCTAAGATTTAGATCTAAGACTCTGTCAGCCTGTTTGCAACGATATATTCAAATTTTGAAAATTTTTCGCTCGGCTTCAACCATCATAGCACTTCCTGTGTCGGCCTATGCCACAGTAGAATTACCAAATGAAATTGGTTGATATACCAAACGGAACCAGGACGCCCTAGCTCTGCCATTCACCCATGGAGATGCCCTACAAATTCCAAGGATTACTACCGAACAAGTTTCAAGTGCAATTGCAGGTCTGACGTACCAAGCTCAGAAAAAAAACCCTGACGTACCAGGACAGAAGTGCCCCCGAACCCCCCGACAATTTCCCCAGCATGTGCGACAATTTCTCTAAATGTTCTACTAATTTGATGAGAAAAATGATCTATTTCGGTGCCATAAATACCGTCCTGATTATACAAATGTTTTTTATATGCCGCGCTACACATTTTCGTTTAACGGATCCTAATTGGATTATTGGAATAATAATAATATAAAATCAGCCATGATCACGACCCGTCTATATATAATATATTATCTTTTTTTCATCATCCTATAGTTATTTATCTTTCCTGTCCTGAATTAATCAATAAGGGTGATTTTTCTTCATTATTCTCACTACAGCAGCATATTGCAGTCCGATTTTTCCTTTTTCTAACACAACAGAATATAATCATTGTCATCAACATAAGCACAGATCCTAGACATATCATGGCGATTTCAACATCATGAAAAATTTCCATTGGAAGAATAATATCGTTGCGAAATAGAGCTGCTGTGTCGGAGTCTAACGACATTTCTACTTCAAACCACATAACTGGCACGTAAGCTGAAGGCGTTGATCCAGTTTGACTTATATCTCTTTCAGCTTCGATTAAAACATTCACTTGTAATCTTATTGCATTAGTCATTATGGCGCCCAAAATTGGTTCAACATCAAATGAAAATTGGTGTTTCTCCTTATTTGGTTTCAGGCCAACAACAGCATCTACCAATCTCGGATCTCCGAGGTAAAAGTGTGGTAAGGATATAAACACCGGTGCTGAGGATCCGCTACCTTGACACTTGCGGCTATCTAGCAAACCGGTTGGGAGCAAGCCATAGTCATAGAATGCGGCATTATCTGGATCAACTGTACCGTTAAGAAGAACCTCTTGCGGAATTACGAACCGGTAGACATCAATATCCTGATCTTTTAACTCTTGATCATACGTTAGATACACTGAACGACATAGTTGAATAAGAATTAAATAAATTCTGTCATTCTTTTTCACATCAGGAGCGAATTGTCTTCCATCAGTACCATTCAACATGTTGGCATATTTTGTTTTATACATATCAAAATTATTTTTACCCTTCCAGCTTTTCCATTTCTGTATATCTTCAATGTTCTTCACTCCAGTATAAACAACTGTGCGTCCTTGGAGTGTATTATTTTGTAGAAGAAATATTTTGGAAGTTACATTTGGAAAAAAATTGTTTAATGCAGGTAAAGCTGCAACAGTTTCATTCCTAAGTTTATTTATTTCCACCAAAAGTGGATCTTCATAACCCCATATTAAGTCATTAACCTTACGAGTCATAAATAATGTTTCTTTATATCGCCTCAAGATTCCACCAACTAATCTTTTCCAATGGAAGAAGTCGGGATATTTTTTTAACATTTCAACGACAACCATTAGTGGCATATTTACTGTCGTTATTTTATCATTGTATAAGTCACATGACTCGCACGAAGATGCACTATCGTATATAAACCATGATTTCTCGTCATACGATACTGTTCCATCTTTATCCTGCCATGTTATATTAAATTTTTTCTGGTATGACAATAAAGTATATGGTCCTTTTTCTTCCAAAACTGGCTTAGCTCCATCTTTTACTACTTCGTCCGGATTCACTACGTTAAAGAAATAATATTTATTGGGCACTGGCATGGTTGGCTCGGCCCATGGCTTGTATGTTGGTGAGCCAGGTCTCAGAACCAAGTTCTCATCGATTTTATCTTTAAAAATTTGGTCAATAACAGACCTTAGGACAACACCGGAGATTAGTAAAAACAAACCAAAAATAAAAAGGCATAGATTTGACCCAAGTCGTAGGCAGCAACACGGTTTCTTTTGTACAGAGCGACCATCTCCTTCCATGGTCAGTCTAGAAATGTCAGGTAAACCTTTATAAACTTGCATATAAACGAGGAGTCAACACAAAGCAATTGAAATAGTAAAGCAATAAAAATTTACGTGAATGGACAAGTTGTGTATATGTTTATGCAGGGTTTCTCAAAAAAAACCAAAACTATTGAAATCACTCATTGTTATAATTTGAATGCCGTGTTCACGATTTTAGCCCGTGGGGATTTAATGCAACTCAGTAAAATGCTAAATGTTTTGTGTTGCTAGAGAAAGGGGACATGTCGAAGGTCATGTTGATTAAGATGCACTTTTAAATATTGTTAAATATCCATATTTCTAAATTGTAAATATTGTTAGTAAATATCATTTTCGCGTACGAGCAAATTTTACTGCATCATATGCATGCATGCATAAAATGATTATGGCAAACATTTACACACCTGTGGGTCCCAACAGAGTGCTTAGGCATTCAAACTCTAACAATTACATTGTTATGCGTGATTTCAAAGGTTTTCGTTTTTTTTGAGACACCCTGTAGTTATAAAAAAAAGTTTATTCTATAACATGAACTTTGACCGAGTTTAATCACGGCACAACTGCAAGACAAAACAAGTCCAAAATATCGCCTAAAAGACAGAAACTATATGTTCTTAGAGCTTTTACATATAGCCATAGGTCATATTTTCCACACCCTGTTCTTGATTCAAACTACTGCAGAATTAAATAACATACTGACATAGACACGGAATGTTATTAATCTCATTGATTACGCCATTTTTCACTATTTTAATACGCGTTCCGGCAAGTACATGTTCAAACATTTTCTTTGTTTCCTGGGTTACGTATCGACAGCGTATCATTTAATTAACATTTACATTATTCATCAGTTTCGGCAAATATTAAAAGTTCGAAGCCTGAAACGGGCCGTACTTATTCTTTGTTACCTGTTAGGTAACGAGTTACGTTTTTGTTTCCGCTTATTTGCATTTGATTTGGCACATGGCTAGTAAATAGTAGAAGCACTGAAGCAGATATTGTAAAATAGTAATTAGTTCAGCATTTTCACGAGTAGGTTTAATTGAGTTGTATTATTCGGCATTTCTAGCGTTGTTGTCTAAACTCTAAACCACAATAAATTCCAACGAGTTTGCAATGCAATCTTTTGAATTGAATCTTTTGAAACCTTGGGCATGGCTTCGCTTGCATGCGTCTGCTAGCAAAACAGGGGGTTCCAAATTTGGTATTTTAACTAGCTTGATATTACGTATAATTCTCTCGTAAAGTTAGAGAGTCGAAATATGATTGGAATATGTTTATGTTCTCTAAATTTACTTTCAAATTTTACTTCAGACTCTCTTGCTTTATTCTCGAATCTCGACCCTCGATTTGTCAGAGCGCTTATAAGTGGGCATAATAAGATTAAATTTCACACCTTGTCACGACCTATTGGCACAGTAGAGCAAATGTAAAATAACAAACATGATATGTAGTTTATGCATAAGAATTTACATATTATATGTAAAATTTGAGGTGGAAGCATGGTGGAAGAATAACTTTATGCGGCAGTATCGAGTCATTTTGTTGCACGTCGCATAATACTGTTGACTGAATCATTGTTGTTGTACATCGTTAGTGTTTAAAGTCGAGCATTTATATCATGCACGTCGTAGTCTTAAGCCCTTCTACACGATGCGATTAGTCGTATACGATTCTTATCCTGACGTATGAAAAAGATTTATGATGCCACTCTTTCTGTTGATCAGTTTATAACGAAGTTTAAAATGTGACATCTTTACACTAAATTACACACATTTGCTCGAATACATACGCCAGTATACGAATCGTATGCGACTAATCGCATCTTGTAGATAGACCTTAATGGCTTTCTTTTTGTTTAAAGCGCATGCTAGAGACTAGATTAGAAACCTTTATGATCGCTTGTTTCCTATTGAAATTCGTCATGTTACGTCGGAAAACTCGGAATTACAATATAGTCTATATATAACTCCTTGTAAATCCGTAATATCCGTTGTAAATCTTATTAAATGTATGCCCCAGTGGCGTATGCATAAGTCTTACGTAGGGTTCAAACGTTAGTATATATGTTAATGTTACTGAAAACAAATCATGATCATACCTAATTGTAGAGGTTGCCGTTTAGTATTTTACATATTATTTCCAATCCATGGAATTGTCAGATAAATTCTGTACACGTCGCACGTCTGAGCATAGTAACCATTGTATTATGACTTTATGACGTCATGGTCTCACAAATCAGAAAAATCAAGACATCCGGAATGTTTTAATATTTTTTTTTAATTAATATTTAATACCATATCCTGAATGAAATATTTCATAGTGTGGTATATTCGACCCCAAGATCGGAGATGCAATATACCACATCCCTCCTTCGCTAGTTTTTAACTGTTTTTCACCTGCAGGGTAGATGCCTCATTAGGCAATCCACCCTGCGGAGAACAAACTCAAAGTCTCTATTACATTATGTTGCCATATTGCCAGTAGAGTAAACTTCTGAGTAGGCGTCATGTATGATGTATTGTATGTGTAAATATTGTGGATATGTGACCTTAAAATTTCAACATTTTTCAATTTGCAAAGTGGAAGCATTTGACCAAAATTTACTACCAAGTACCACCAGTGACCACCACCAAGCCACGATCTGGTCATTGTGATCTGGTCAACCACCATCAGAGTTCACTACAGTTTTCGACGGTATACGTTTGTAAACGTAATATTATTATTGTTTTTGTATTATTAACCTAATTTAAATGTTCAAATGGCAAAAGATTTGAAATCAATCGAGGAAATACACGATACGATAAAACGAAGGGTATTTGCAGACGACATGGTGCCTCACTTGATTGGCCTGGATAATCAAATCAAGTATGAATGTACGATTGGAATAATTATAAAATACCCCACAAACGAAACTACCCATTTAAGTAATGAACCTACAGTACTGTACACTTTATCAAAATCGAAATATATATATTTATATAAGCACGGATAATAAAATACAGAATGCTTGAGGGAAACTGCCCCAAAAATAAAGATGTTGTTGGATTTGAAAAGGTTATGTCAGTTGTTAATTAATCATGCGAGGCATTTATAATTGTGCTCAATGCTGTAGTTACCATCACACCAGGAATTACCAGGCTAGCCTATGTATGTTAGTTGTATGCAACCCTTTGCATACCTGCTAGGTTTCTGCCCAGCTAGACAAAGCATTTCTTTTATGTATTTAGAGAATTACAAGAATTAGTTTTGAAGTGCAGTGATTATGGTGAAAGTAATTCTGCATTACTGGTTGGCCCCAGAGGAAATGGAAAGTCAACAGTAAGAGTATTTATATATTTCAAACCTAATTAATGAATGTATAAAATGTCTAGAATTTCATTTCAATGTTAGCTCCAAACTGTGACATATTAACATGTTTGCCTTAATAGATTTTGAAGATGCTACACATTTGTTTTAATTCCATAAGACATACACAAGTCATTATCCAAACATTTCAAAAAAAAAGAGAACCCAGACATGAAACATGAGCAAAGAAAGTCCAGACTTTCTTTTTTGCAAGTTGTCATTAATTATAGCTATCTGTTTCACGTCCATGCCCTTAGGCAGTAAGCTATGTCTTGAAAACTCTCCAAGAAAAAAGGAAATTAGAAAATTTACTGCAAGTGAAGCTGAATGGTATGTAATACACAGATTAGAGAGGAAGGTTTAAATGGATACCAAGAAATTTTTTAAGCAGTTTGAGGACATTTTGCTTTGCAACTATATAAGCTGTCTTGCATGGTGCTAAGAGCAAACTTCACCTGAAGATACATTTTTTGCATGCATGCAACCATTCCAATACTAGCTGCAGAGAAAAGTCTTAATTAAAATGCATATAGCTTGTGTCATATTTAGGTGTACATATGTTTTGCCATTTTTTAACTTTGTGCTTTGATTTTTTTTCTGTGCAAGGTCTTGTTCAAACAGATGATAAATTAGCTTTGAAAGAAATCACCTGTCAACTTCAGCTTGAGAATTCTGTGGGAGATAAAATCTTTGTAAGAAGTATTGTTAGCTTTTGGTTTATTTTCGTTTTGTTTTCTTTAACAAATCATGAGATTTATAGTTAGCATTGTTTCTGATTTTGTTCAGGGATCCTTTGCAGAAAATTTAATTTTTCTACTAGAAGCTTTAAGAACTGGTAAGACCATGATCATCATTGTTTGAAACATGTTTCATTGCTTCTACAAAAGCATGTAAGTGTTTGAACATGTAAGTAACATTTTTTGTGTATAACCTAACTAAATAACTTGCTGCTTGTGTCATTTTTTAGGAAACAAGGATTGCCGTCCAATCCTTTTCATACTCGATGAGTTTGATTTGTTTATTTTCCATAAAAATCAAACGCTACTGTACAATTTGTTTGATATATCTCAGTCAGCACAGAATCCTGTTCTTGTTATTGGTCTTACATGTCGCTTAGTAAGTTTATATTTTACGTTAATTTCATAGATGATTTCCAGTTGAAATACAATCTGTCCTGACCAGGAACTTCACACTTTTGAATAATTCCTGCATGAGCTATTTAAAATACTAATAGAAAATAGCATACATCCAAATCACGGAAGATCATTCTAACTACTCTGTACCATGCAGTATCATTTGTTGTCTATGACTATGTAGTAAAGACAAGATTTTGCTTCCTACGGATGTATTCTATGTGATGAGGGTTACTTGATTTTTTGAGTGTAAATAATACTCATTCATACTCCATACATGTAGAATGTAGATCCTCGGATGTTGGATGTATTTTAATCAATTATTATTTTAAGAAACTTCCTTCGATGAAGAGGAATTTCTTGAGGGTGGATGGTCTTATTCTAGAGTGAGATGTCTACACTGCGAAAAATTCTTGTGGCTTTGCGTGGTGTTCAATTTCACTTACAATAATAGTAACATTGTTTAAAATATAGGATATTGTCGAACATCTTGAGAAAAGAGTGAAATCAAGATTTTCTCATCGGCAAATTCATTTTTTCAATGATTTTGTGTTTGGGGATTACATTGATATTTTTAGGTATATAAATTATATCTCTTTACTTTGGATGACTAACGCATGACTAAATTGTGAATATTGATATCGAAAATTATCGTACTTCAGGTTAAGATAATATTAATAACATTAATCATTAATTCTAGACATTCTTTTTGTTAAATCGTTCGTTTTGTTAAATTTTGTTCGGTTTGTTTCTTATGCTGAGTCTGAGACTACTAGGTTTTAGAATAGTTGAGTACTTAGTTTCTTGTTTTCTTTTCGAGATCAATTGTTGCTGTTCCACCCAAATTCTCCAACAAAACTACTGCACGAATCTGGAATAAAAATGTGGAGGTATGTAATAAGGATATTGTCTTCGGGTTGCTAAGAGCTGACTTTTGCGATTGATCTGGATTTTGGAGCAATGGGTGTCATTTTCATCCTACAGTAAATATATAGACTGTACGTAAACGCCCCGTTATATCCTAAACATATACCGGGTGTCCCAGAAAAAAGTACTCCGGTTTGATTATTAATAGCTTCTAAACTAGCTAAGCTATTAAACTGACATAACTTTCACTAGATAGAGGGAAGACTAACTTAGATTTTGATATATTACAGTTGTATTTTACTTTAAAATTTACGGAGATATCAATGTTCAAAATTGGTAGCATACTTCTGGATGTGTCTAAATTATATTGATTAACATTTGATACGGCGTTTTTTGCATAATTTAGACACCTCCAGAAATATGCTACCAATTTTGAACATTGATATCTCCGTAAATTTTAAAGTAAAATACAACTGTAATATATCAAAATCTAAGTTAGTCTTCCCTCTATCTAGTGAAAGTTATTTCAGTTTAATAGCTTAGCTAGTTTAGAAGCTATTATGAATCAAACCGGAGTACTTTTTTCTGGGACACCCAGTATATCTTAATGTTATACTTTTTGTTTTAGGCTTTATGTGAAGACAGTAATTTCCGTGATATCTTGTATGAAAACTATTGTTACAACAAAAGTATTCGAGGCTTGCATGCCCTAATGGTATGTTGTTGGTTTTGAATACTGAGTATTGAGCAAAAATATCAAGCTCTGATGATCCTACTATTATGATTATGATTTTGAACAGAAAACTATAAAAGTTTGGACGAGCTTTATAGTTCTATATCTTAAATATTATATTAGTTATTTATTTACATTATCACCGCATATTGTAACCTAACTCAGTCTTAATTAGTACACGTGTTTTTTACTGACTATTTTATTGTACTATAGACAATGCCTGTCTCGTTGCTTTCTCGGAATTATCCTTTTCTTGTAACTGGAGATTTTGCAGAAGCAAAGAACGATTTAATAATTGATCACAAGTCTGTAGTATTACACGGTATGAGCTATTAATTCAGTAGATTGTTACGACTGTGAAATTCCTGAATTCTTTGACTAATTTGACTGTTACCTTTATATAGGGTTATCCGTTCTTGAACTTTGCCTGCTTATCGCGATGAAATACCTCGTTGAAACTTTTGATGATGGTGCCTTTAATTTTCAGATGGTCTTTAATGGTAAAAAGATTTGTTTTTATTTTTCGTTGTAATTAAGGTGGCATAAGGGTATAAAAGTATTTTTAGCAGCAAACTGACTATTCTACAATTTTTTTCAGAGTATCAGAAATTTGTAAGGACAAGAGGTCATTCCTTGCAATCATTTGACAAAACAGTTGTATTGAAGGTAATTAAGCATTTTTTGTTGTATTTATTCAGTGCAGGAACAGACATTGTCGTCGCTCGCTAAATTGTCTTCAGTTCTGTTTGTCCCAAAAGCAACGAAAGCTGATTTGGTATATGATGAAAACTATGAATGGCGTTATATAAAGCTGTACTTTATGTCTTCTTTGTATCCACCATTCACCTGTCCATTTAATTATCTAAAATGTTTTTAGGCATTTGAACATTTACTGGCGTTAGAACTCGTAAAAAGCGTCGACGGTGTTGCCGCAAACACTCCCAAGGAATATCGACCGTTGAGCTTGTTAGTTGAACCTTATCAAATAACTGATGTTGTACGAAGCTATCCCGAGTGTCCAACTGAATTGACACAATGGGCTACAAGTGCTGTGAGATAACCAATCATAACGAGTGGGCTAGAAAAACGCAGGAGGCGATTATATACGAAGCTCGTTTGGCTGAAACGATGGATAGGTTTTAAAAAAAGTTTTTCGACATGATTACAATATTGTTTACAACAACTACTCATAAATCGTATCATTAAGCTCACTCGTTCACAAGTGTTATTTTTTATTTTGTCTGACCACAACCGATTCAACCGACAATATAAGGCCAGATTCAGTCATTCAGATTGCAAGCACATTTTTTTTGGTAAATTCTTTAAATGAACGAGTCCAGAGGTGATGAACCAGTCCAGGGGTAATGAGTAAGAAGGTGACCAAAGCGACCTAACTCGATCCAGTATGTTGAGACTATGTAGCTATATGTCAATATGTAGTATATGGAAATTGGAAATGGTAGTATGAAATATTACAGTAGTGACATTTAATCTGACGCTTATTTATAATTACATAAAGTAATCGATATGCTGATACTGTAGGCTCAATATTTTTTTATAATCCAATCACTGTTTGCTCAAGTGATTTGGCGGGAAAATTAACCAATAGATGGGCGTATTTTTCCAAAAGTCGCGGGAAAGCATATTTCTGACGGGGAGAGGGGTAATGGTAAATACACAGCCGGTTGGTTTCTCTCTGTGGGAGTTGGAGTTCAATGGCAGGATATAAATTTGCGTAAGTTTAGGAATGTAGGAGACCAACATTCGCAATTTTGCAAGGATGGACATTAGTGACTATGAAAGAATTGAAAAAGTTGGCGAAGGAACGTATGGGGTGGTGTATAAAGCAAGGAATAAGGAAAACAATGAAATGGTTGCCTTGAAGAAGATTAGACTTGACACGTTCGTATAATTTTTACAGTTCAAATAGATATTTCTATGCGCATTTCTTTCTTTCCTGCTTTAGAGAAGAGATTCCTGCTTTAATATTGGGGTTCAAAACAATTTTTATATAACGTTTGTACACTGTACAGTGCACATTTTCAAGGCACAATTAACATGGGATTATCGTATGTGTTTTCTGTCAGCTGTTGTTGTTGTTGTGTTATTGATCATGACTTTGGCTAGTTTTCAACAGGGTCCTATTTTTTTGTAGAGAGCTAAGGCACATGAAGTCAAACTTGGAATAATATACCAGATAAGCTCCCTATACCTAGTGCATTTAGTATTATACTTCAAACAAGAATATGCCATTTCATTGGGAGTATTTTCACATTTATATGGTGTCGCAAACTCACTAATGTTATATGAAATGCCACCAATGTCTACATTGACTGCCCACAATTGTTGAAAAGGAATAACCACTAAAGGAGCCCATGTTATATCACATTGCTTTTGTACATGTCTTTGGGTGAAGATGTTACAAAGTTTTCCGTTGTGATTTAAATGGCTGCAAATCAGGAGGGGGAGGGGCAAGCTTCTGATTTATTCCTTGAACAAAAAAGTTATTGGGTAAAATTTTGCATGAGGAGTGGAATGGCATCAGGATTATGTCCTGGTCTCCACTCTCAAACAGGGGCTGTGGTCTCTGATTTAGGGTTACAGAGAACTCTGGCATTGTATTCAGCCTTGTTGGTTAGTGTTACGAATGCCACCCATACAGAGTACTGTTTAGCCTTTTGGGCGTATTTTTGGAAATTTCTTCTCCCTGGAAAGTAGGCAAACACAGCCAAAAATGGACTATGTGAATATTTTTAAAGAAATCCCCAGAAATATGTTTTTAGGAAAGGTTTTGACACTTGGATGCTTAAAATTAGGATTTAAACTAGCCTTGATATACCACCACTTTTTACTGATATGCAACTATAGCCGACAACCAGATTCATAGCAAGATGCTACAAGTATTGTAACATAATGCCATATGTTCTACCTGGGTTTTTGTTATAGGCAGGTAGCTGAGGATCGAACCCAGTCAGTCATTTGCTCACTAGTTCATGTTATTAAAACATCCATTGATACCATCTTATATTCTACAGGGAATCAGAAGGTGTACCAAGTACAGCAATACGAGAAATATCTTTATTAAAAGAAATGAACCATGCGAATATTGTCAGGTAGCTAACAATAATCATGTTTTTCTAAAGCACAAGACATCTCAAAGCAAATTATGGATGACATGAAGAAACTAGTTGTTGTCACATTAGCATAGTTTATCACCTCAATTCAATTTTGTAAATACTAATTTCTAGATTGCTGGATGTGATTCACAGTGACAAAAAGCTTTTTCTCGTATTTGAATATTTGAATCAAGATCTTAAGAAATACATGGATACTGCACCACCTTCAGGAATATCCTTTCCGCTTGTTAAGGTACTAAAGTTTACAAAAGAATACACGTAATCCAAACAAACCCACTCAAATAAGCTATATATTATATGGCAAAAGTCATCCTTAATTGTGTTTTATTCAGACTGCAAGTTGTGTTTGTAAAGACATTCAAAATGCAAAGAAACGGTTTGACTTCCACATCAAAGCCATATGCTATACATATTTGTCTTTTAGAGTTACGTATATCAAGTTTTATGTGGAATTGCGTACTGCCATTCGCACAGAGTCCTTCATCGAGACCTCAAACCTCAGAACTTGCTAATCAGTCATGATGGTGCTATTAAACTGGCAGACTTTGGTTTAGCACGTGCATTTGGTGTGCCTGTAAGAACATACACACATGAAGTAGTAACGTTGTGGTATCGTGCCCCTGAGATTCTCTTGGGATGTAGATATTACTCTACCCCAGTTGACATTTGGAGCATCGGCTGCATTTTCTCTGAGTTGGTAAGTTACTATTTTTTGGCAATTTATAAAAGTCTTCGTTTATCCTCGCACAAACTTTGAAATGGTTGGCGTTAGTGATGGCGCGTTTGTACGACTATCGTTTGTACGACGTTAGGAAGTGATCATGAGCCATCTGTTCAAGTAATTGAGTAACCACGCTCTGTGTTATTCGACTTTAAATAATTTTTTCTGTCCTATTTGATAAGAAATTGTTTGTGAGCCAACGATTTCAGTTATAAGCATAACTTTAATTTATTGACATGACGATGTTCTGTTTATAGATCACACGACGTGCATTATTTCCTGGTGATTCGGAAATTGACCAATTGTTCAGAGTATTCAGGTACATTTAGTTACTATTATTTCATTTAGAACGCATTCAGGAAATTTCATTTGTTCTAATTATATGATAATCGCATTTCTCAGAACACTCGGTACCCCTGATGAAGAGAACTGGCCAGGTGTATCAGATTTTACCAACTACAAGTCGACATTTCCAAAATGGAAGGCGCAAGATTTGAATAAAGTATTTCCAACACTCTCCTATGATGCAATTGATCTGCTTAAGGTATTATTAGTTTATAATACCCATCCTGTCTTTTCATGATCACTTCACTTGAAAACGCGAAGGCATAGAAATGAGCCCCTAAGCGACTGGAATATTTGTTTCGTATTTTAGAAAATGCTCACGTATGAACCAAGTTCAAGAATATCTGCTAAAACAGCGATGGCACATCCTCTTTTCAACGATGTGGTTATCCACACTCCATCATAAACAATTATAAATCATTGTGTACAAATAAAGTAAATTATTTTGAAAATACAGGGTGCATGAAGGAGACCTACAGTATACACCCTTTCGATAAATACGAGTCTTGCTCTGAAAAATCGTGAGCCAATCACCTTACGTTTATGACTAAAGTGAGACTTTAAGGCCAAAAACGTGTTCGTGATGTAATTATTGTGAGGGTGTGTTTTAACAAAAAATGTCAGTTTCTAAAGATCTCCCTTTTTTATACCCTGTATAACATTTTAAGGACGTTAATTCCTTATTGTAAATTGCGGCCTTTTTACCAATTTAAATAACTTAATGAATTATACACATAATGAATAAATTATAATTTAAAGTGTGAAAACAGCAAATGTTTGAAAATTATTTTACATGTTTCACATTTTGTTCTAGTACTAAATATAAGCATTTTGCACTATAAGAAGAGCTGGAATATTCGTATGAAATACAGAATTTCAGTCAAAGTGGTCATCGGCATGAATCTTTCGTTAAAGAGTGGAGTCACTGGAGTGTAGTATTTACAAATCTCATTACAGTGCTTTTGACAGAGAACGAGATAGTCCAAATATATTTCAGTCGAACTTCCATATTCTTCCTTTTCTAAACGCTGGAATTGGTAAAATTTACAAGTGAACTTGGCAGGCTTTCAAAATTGAAGTTCACTTATTGACACCTCCAGCCGAACGTTTCCCCAGGAATTTTAGTTTTTCATTTGCGGAAATGACTTGTGGAGTGAAACCTCTTCTTTCTAAGTGAGTGCGAATCGTCTTGTTTAATAGATTTTCTCTCAAACTATGAGATTTCTGATTCGGCACCATTTTTGAAGAACAAAAAGCGGTTCAACTAGAAAGGTCTTTATTGACTGACTGCCCAGAAGAGACACAGCGGGCCGATTTAAAACCACTGACCTTATCAATCGTTTGTTTGTATAGTCGTTTCTTGGAAGTATTTGAAGTGCAGATAACGTCAACGGAATTTCGGAAAGCCTTTGGTCTTGTAATAAAAAGTACACATAAATTATAGAATTTCCGCTGTTAAAACAGCTGTTTCCGTAGAAACTTCAATTAATCATTTGGGACATAACGGCCATTCGACGTGCATGTTTTTCTTTTCCACTGACTATGCAAAATGTTTGGCTTTAGGGTTCGTGACACACATCTTTACTAATTACCATGTTGCTTCTGACATGCGTGCAAACATTACGGACAGTATAGGCGGAGTGTTGGAGTATGAGGATTAGTGTAAAAAAATCTTACATTGTTAACACTATTTTTTTCTTGTTCAATTTACTGCCTTTTATTTGGTATTGCAGAATACTGGGTGCTCCGCTTCACTGACTTTAGAGTTGCGTCGTGAAAATTTACCTCCTAATGCCTGGTTCTCATACGTCATTGACGGTCGGCGATGACTATTGTCGGTGATCACTGGAGAATAAACTGCTATGTTAAAGTGCTTTATTATTTTGTATAAATTTTCTTCGTCACCGACCACAAACAATACATCGCCGACTGTCGACGACATATGAGAATCAGGCCTAACGCACATGTGAGATATCAATTGACGCAGTCTCCAGAACCTAGCTGCTTTGGCAAAGTTGCGCAGGCAAGTAATCGTAACAGAGAAGAAACGTAAAGAAACCTGCTAATTGCTAAGCTGTCTCGATCTGGAAAGTGGACACCTCTGATGACTTTGATGAATACGACGTGTTTTGTCTTTGTTTCTCACGTTGTTCAATTGTCATTCATTAACAAAAACAAGTTTCCTCGTAAATAATGTAATCGTGTCCGGTTCCACGATATGAAGATTTTTTACCATAATTTAGCTTGACTTTCTGCAATCTTATTAGGTTTTTCGGTCTGGTTACAGAGTAATCGTTTAAAAATTTTGCTACAAAATTTTCATTACGCGTCACTCCCAAGAAAATTACGTATTCCCCAGCAAAATGGAGAGTCATAAATCTTCCACATCTAGCCTACTTCAAATTGCTGTCCAAGCACATAAATCACAACACGGATCACAATTACCCTATGATTTCCTATGGGTAATTTTAGACCCCCTGGCTCCTCTGAACTCCTATCAGACCACAGACCCCCACAGGTCATCAGACTCTGTGTCTTTTATCTGTTTGTTTCAACGAGTTGCGCACTAAACTACATCCGGGGTTTGGAATTCTTCTCGCATAAAATTTTACTTTATTGAGACAATCGGGCGCTTGTAAAAAACGTTTACTATATTGTAGAGAAATTCATCCTAAAATATCAAACAAAGAACGCAGTGTACAGTGGAATGATGTGGAACATTTATATAATATTTGAAAGTTGTGTATTTGCTCTATTTGTTTTTAAAGGTAAGTCATACACGGATTAAATCTCAGTGTAAACTTGAAGGCACTTGCATATATCAGCATATGTATTTTTTCCTTCGGCATTAATATGTTTATGAAAACGTACACTACTGGTGGTATACCGCTATATACTGTGTGTGTTTGACGATTTTATTTCAAAAATTTAATATTCTAGCACATATTAGCAAAAGTTACAAGACATGACTTGTTGACAAAAGCATGCAGCGTCTCGAAACATTGGAACAGTCAAATATTTGTACGTTTACAGACTGCGTACTATTTTTCAGGGAACCTCGTTTTTCTACTTATTATTTATCTTCAAACGCAACTTCTCATCAAAATATAAAACGCTTGTTTGAATTTTGCCTTTCTCAACTCTCATTTTATATAATACTGCTATTACAGTCATTTTACATGATTGCAGAAAGTATTTTAATTGCCCATTTCATACATTGTAGTTGAAGTTGGCGCAGTGATATGTGTCTATAAAACCCATGAGATGAATTACACATCAACTACTGAGTGCAGTTATGGCTGTCTGGCTGCCTGGTTCAATCGAAGTGGGGCTCCACATGTTCAACAACAAGGATGTTGGGATACCATTGCCCATACCCACCATTCCAGAAATTATAAATGTGAAGGTATATCTCAGGTAAAAGGGAAAAAACCGCCATATCCTGTTGTTTGTTTCTGTCGAAAAAGTTATTGCAACAGAAATGTCACATGGGTGGGAACTGACGAAGGTAAGTCATCATAACTGATAAACAACTGAACAAATTGAAAATATTTGAAAATAATATTCTCAGCCAAGTGTGTAAGCAAATTCTCTGATTAGAAAACAATCTAAACAATCCAAGGAATCTTTTAGCAATTAAAGTGCAATTGTTTTAATATAGTAATCCATAATTACTAATAATATAGCAATCCATAATTACTGAGGCAATATTGCAAAGCTATATAAATTTGTACAAACCTGTGTTGTAATAGCATGAAAGGGAAAAAGGATTAATTGTAGAAATGTATTTTTAGGAATATGTGTACATAGTTGTACTATGGATGTCAGGCTGGCCTTTATTGGAATAATCCAGTGCTCAGCAGCTGATGTTTCATATCTTACCATTTTTGATACATTATATATGTACTCTATTCTATTTCTACAAGCAAATCATCCCAGGTTTAAACTAACCAATCTAATTACAACTCTCGGATCTCATGAATTAATAGTTTGTAAAATATTGAGCAATGTACTGTATGTGCAATATTCATGTGCAATGGATAATCAAAACACTATATTTCCAATAATGAATTATTGTTCAGGAATATCTTTCTCCTGATGTCTTTTTCCGCCTGATATCTTCTTTGTTATGTTATATTAAAAGTTTTAAAATTTGTTATTCACTATTACTTTATTTACAGCTCTGTTAATATTTAATTTGATTATTTTTTTATCCAATGATTCTGCTGAAAACAATGTGTTCCATGTTCTATATTTCAAAATCCACATAACCATTTTGATCATTTACATTTTATAGACCCAAATGCAGTTTATCCAAAAGTTCCCAGTGACATGCCACAACCCAAACAAAACAATGATCACATCATATTTGTTGTTGTGGCTATAGTTGGCACCGTAATGGTGTTGATTGTCCTTTTTTTGGTGTACATGAAAAAACGTGCTCATTTCAAACCAGAGCTAGAAAATGTCAGCAAAGCCAGTGAGGTGGAGACATTGATTCCTTCAGAGTTATTGCCTCCAATAGATTTAAAAGATGTTTTATCTCAGGGACAGTTCTGTATTGTAAGGAAAGGTAGAATGGGACACAAAGATGTTGCTGTGAAGATTTTCCCTATTTCTCAGTGCTCAAAGCCAACTCCATCAGCATTGACAGAAGAAGATATTTACATAGTATGCAAGCTAAGTCATGAAAATATACTCAAGTTTATTGGCAAACATATTCATGAAGAAGGTAGCCAACAACAACTTTGGCTGGTCACAGAGTACATTGAACAAGGCTCGTTATCAGATTTTTTGAAACGAAACACAATCAGCTGGGAAAACCTCTTTCATATGGCACAAGGCATGGCCCTAGGTATGGCATATCTTCATGCTGAAATACCTAGAGTCAAACCTTCCATTGCACATCGTGACATCAAGAGTAAGAATATTCTTGTTAAGAATAACCTAACATGCTGTATATCAGATTTTGGTCTCTCATTGAAGTTTAATGATGACACATGTGGTGACACCCATGGGCAGGTAAAACTTCAATAATCAGGATTTAGTTGCTATTACTTTTACTTGCTCTTATTCAATATCTGAGTTATTTTATTAATCTTTATGCTGACACATTTCCTGTATGACTCAGGTTGGTACACGACGTTATATGGCACCTGAGGTGTTAGAAGGCGCAATCAATTTCTCAAGGGAGGCATTTCTTCGTATTGATATGTATGCATTTGCTTTGTGTCTTTGGGAGTTGCTCACCAGGTGCACCGCTGTGCAGGAAGGTTTGTTCAATTGTTTTAGAACTTGTATTTACCAAAAGAGCTGTAATTAATAAATCTCCTGTTAGAAAAGATAGGGAAAAACTGTGTTAGGCCAACACCCTCACATTACTACTTGCAAAGGATTTCATGGGTTCAAAATGTTTCATACTTTTCTGGTTAAATAGCAAAAATACATTAACCGCTCTTCACAGTGACAATAATTTATTATTATAGAGAGAATTTTAGCCATAGAATATTCAAAATCTTGCTATAAATTATGGTTTTGCATTTCTGTTTGTAACCCAGAACCTGTTGGCGATTACAAAATGCCTTTCGAAGAAGAAGTTGGAATCCATCCCAGCTTAGAGGAGTTGCAAGACTATGTCGTGAATAAAAAGACACGTCCAACATTTCCAGCAGAATGGAAAAACAAGGATCAGGTGACTATTTGAGAAATTTAACAGAAAATCCTTTGTGCGCATGCTACCCATTATTCTCTTCTCTTTGAAAGGCGATTGATGGAGTGATTGTGACGATTGAGGAATGTTGGGATCATGATGCTGACGCACGTCTTACAGCTGACTGTGTTGCTGAAAGAGTAAAACAACTCTGTGTGACTGGCAAACGACAGACAAACTCACCTTTGGCTGTTTCTTTTAAATCTATCGAGCAGGAGAATGTTCTTTTGGCATAGAGAGCTCATGTGAGTGTCCTATCTCTGTTATGGATTGTCAGTAATTGAACCCGTTTAATACCGTTCGGTTGTGTTTTGACAGTAAACCTAATATAGCGAGCATTATACTAACGTCGGCATTTAATAACTTTTTTATAGGATATATTCTCCAACTGTGAAGTTTATCTTTCCTTTCCTTTGAACTGCATTGTATGAAGATGAGGTCCCTATAATACCGTGTCAGGAAATAAAGCCAACTTAAAAGTTTGTCTAGTCAATCTGCAGTGTTTGGTGTTGTGTGTACTGAAAGTGCACGTTTACATTATTTTTACAATTGTTGTAAAGCATTCAACTGCGCAAATGTGCACAAAGTTTTATTCTATTGAGAACTATGATTTTAGGACACGTTCACACGCGGATCTGGCGAATTTTGGCACCGTCCTCGAAGTCGTCCAAGGTCTTGTGCTCACACGAGGAAACCAGGAGTTTACACACACAGTAGTGACAGTACCCAGTTTGTCCGATCCCGTGTGAACGTAGCCTAAGATCTTTCCAAAAATATAAATGTGAATATATACATGTATTTCATTTTGCATTTCAGTTAAATTAAAAGCAAGAACAATAACTGAACTTAAGAAACTGTTCTTAGAACGTTTAGTTAATATTATAATACAATATTTGGGTTGGATTTTATACATAAAAACAGAACTTTGTTAAATCTCGTAAGTTCGTTTGTAAATAAAATATATATAAATATATGACAACGTATATAATGCACTAATTGTTTCATACTCATTCTTCATGCAACTTTTATGCATTCCTTGTTGCAAGGTGACAAAAAATGCACGTTCTTGGGAATTAGAAATTATTATGGTGGTTATTCGATATGGAAAAGATGCTCTGAAACTCGTGATTTTTACAGCTCTCTAAAGGGCTGTGCACGAAAAAAAATATTTTAGTCTCTGTCTCTTGTAGCAATCCGTTATCCGTATTTATCTGAAATGAAAATGTTTCTTTATTGAGGAGAGGGCATTCCTGACATTATCTCTACGTATGCTTCTTGCGGTCTGAGTGTTCGTAAACGCCATGCTAAAGGTTGCTGTCAATGTATTTTAACAAAATCACTGGCATTATCTAGACTCGGTTTTAGAGACTAGCCTACGTCGTAGCTGAATTTAAGAACTTTGAAAAGAGAAATAGTATCTTAGATTTCTGTGGATAGGTTTTAAGTTTCTCTACGACTGCGGGGTCTCTCCTAATTACTAACAAAGAATGTGTTGAAATCATGGTTGAAATTCGAGATCGTACCTACCAGTCCTGTTTTCCGTGCTATTAGCGTGTCTACCATCTCTCATCTATGCTGAACTCGCCACTGGCCTCTGTTGGCTTTATTAATATAGTTAAGTTTCATTTGCGGTTCTATCATGGCATTAACAGTTGATGAAGTGTTGGAACAGATTGGAGGTTATGAAAAATATCAAATCCTGCTGTTATTTATGTTTGGTTATGTTGCCATTACATTGGATAGTTTTCCAACCATGATAGTGACATTTATAACAGCGGAACCAGATTGGGTTTGTGTACAAGGAAATAACAGCATGTGTAACTTCACTGAAGCTATCTCGCTCACCAGCGATCATTATATGGCAAGATGTGATATGCCCAGAGATAACTGGACTTATGTTTCTGATTTTACATCGACGGTTACGGAGGTATTAGAATTGTTTGTGCAAGCAAGCGACAAAATTCACATCACACTAAGACAGTTTTCGCGATATGTATTTGAGTTGTTTTGCCACTTTACTATTTAGCATCAATAGCATGCGTCAAAAGATACTTTCGAAACTAATGGTGTATCATGTCATGTAAATGTTTTATTAGCGGCGTACGTTAGTAAGCGTTTATATCTTTATGACCTTGTCCATCCTCGTCCACAGGGATTCCCGGCCAACACAGTTTCTGCTCCGCCCGCGCGGGACGCAGTAGTAGATAACTCGAAACTGAAAATGACTGGCACTAGGTTGGAGGCTGGTGCGGATATAGATCATCAGTAATATTGGGGAGCGGGTGTAAGGTGGACACAGAACAACTGCTTATGATACCAACTTATGATAACAAATAACAACTGTTAGACCAGACAAGGCTGATACAGTGCGGAGGGGTCTTGGGTCGAGGGTGACACACCAATTTACAATGAAACAAAGCCACACGGCACACCCAAGTTAACGGCAGCTTCGAGTCTATCAATCTATATTTATTTCATTTTAGTTTGACCTTGTTTGCGAAAAATCGTATCTACAGTCAGTTGCCCAATCATGCTACTGGGCAGGAGTTATGGTTGGTCTAATTATTGGTGGTTATTTATCAGATAGATTTGGAAGAAAAAAAGTGTTTTACATTGGAGTTGTCGGCATTGTTGTAGCAACCTGGGCGATGGTCTTTCCAAAGTATTTTGCTGTTTTTATAGCGGGAAGGCTGTTTAATGGCCTGGGATCAGGTAAAAAACATCAATTTATTTATTTTAATTTTCTTTTAAACTAAAGCTGAACAAAACGAGATTGGTTAAGGCTGAGATTGTCCTCACGTCTTCTTTATTTGCTGTTTAGGATTGATGAATGCGACATATTACGTGATTGTTGCAGAGTATACTTCAAAGAGACACCGTGCTAGATTATGCATTTCTTTATTTTATTTCTGGATTATTGCCCTGCTCTTATTGGCTCTTCTGGCATATCTTATATGTGACTGGAGAACTTTATTACTCTGTTCTGCAGTTTTGGGGACTCCTGGTTTAGCTCTCTGGTGGTAAGTGAAGAAAATGGTTATACGTCATCATGATTATAGCCATACACAATAAATGAACAAATAAATAAATAAATTACTAAATAATAATTATAATTAAGAGCTGATTTCCTCATGGAGTTTCTCCAAGTTTTTCCTCAGTTTCTCCACACTCCACGCACGATTTCCTAAAAGTGGCATTCTCCGATTTCTACGATTAATTCGTGGGAAAAATATCTCACAATTAACAAATCCTTATAACTTACTTCCCGAAGGTTCACACCTGAATCAGTGCGATGGTTATTGCTTCAAGGCCAGGAAGATATGGCCAGAAAAGAACTTGCTAAAGCAGCAAGGATTAACAAGAGAGATATGCCAAAAGATGAACTGATGAAGCCTGAAACAACGGAGACACACGGAAATCTCTTTCATCTATTTCAAAATGCCAAGTTGGCAAAATCCACTTTAATTAATTGGGATATTTGGTGAGAATTTTCACATTTAAGAAGGTTCTAGAAAAATATGATAATGATTACTGGCAGTACTATTATTACATGACAGTACCATTATTTGCAGTACCATTCATACTGCAGAGCAGTACCATTACTGCATGACGGTACTATTACTGCAGGGCAGTACCATTTATACTGCAGGGCAGGGCACTGGCACTGGTAGTACCATTTATACTGTATTAAAACTGCATTTATATACGAAAGCAAGCCCGAGAACTAAACGCACACGAGAGAAACTGTTTGTTAGGGTCATGGTTTAGTTTAACGCCTCTCCTGTGGTTCATGCAGTAGACATAATGATCTTATGCTGCAGGTTTACTGTGGCGCTTGTGTATTATGGTGTTTCTTATGGCTCGGTCGATCTTGGCTGGGATAGATATCTCACGTTTGCTTTAACCAGCCTTGTCGAGTTTCCAGCTGTTTATCTGTCGGTATATCTGGCTGAGAGGTGAGGCTTTATTGCATGTTTTCTAATTAACCAAACAGCAAAGACTGATTCGCTGATAATGCAATGGAAATTTAGTAGTGCTGGTGCATGTACATCAACTCAACTAATGTCGAATATTCGACACTATGAATAAACATGATGGGCGTAAACTATTATATCGGTCCGTCAGATGATCGAGTGTTATTCTAGCTCAGGCAACTTGTTAAGAGGCAACTTGTCAATTCTCTTGTTCATTAGACTGGGTCGAAAGAAGAGCACCATTTTAGGATTGGCAGTGTCTTGTGTTGCTTCCATTATAGCGATATCAATGCCGGAGGATAGATCTAAAATGGGTACAACTCAAGTTTCTTGTTCATACTATAGCAGTCGCCTTTGTATCTACAGTGCATGAATGTTGCATGTGTAGAACTTTTCTATTAATGGGTGCCATGCTTCAAATCTCAGTGTCAGGCCTATACGAATCCAAAATTAGTAAATTACCATTAGTTGCGACAAATTGATTTATAACATAATTGGAATTGTTTGTAAAAACATTTTCCAGGTTTTATTGCTGGCCGTATAGCTATGGCGGCCTTGGCAAGACTCTTTATCAATGTGTCTTTCGCCTGTATTTATCTCTGGATTGTCGAGATATATCCAACCTTTTTACGGTAAGTATTTCACACCAAGTTCTACACCATTACGCCCCAATCTAGCTCTACCTCTTTGGTATTTATAGGAGAAGTCTGTACTGAGATTAGACTGATCATGATAGAAGAAATATTTCTTAGGCGTGGGGGCGTCGCACAGTTGTTACTGCCAGTGAAAATAGCCATAAGGAGAATCGTCCTTCCTAATATTTTCCAGCTCGTACGTCTAGTAACAGAAATGAATCACCTTTGAAAGTTAAATTACCATTCTTGTAGATCAATGGCACTAAGCACGGCTTCAGCATCAGGAAGACTGGGATCGTTTACTGCAAGTTACGTCATTTGGTTGGTAAGAAAAATGAACCATTTCAGGAATTTTTTGCCAACCAAACAATATGCCAAATACAAATTCTTTTATCTCGTACGTCCAAACATTGTGACTCGTCAAAATATTTTTTCACAGGAATAGTTTAATTTTTTCATTATCGTTTCAGATTCGCATTCATCCATTACTACCGTTTGGAATCATGGGATTAATGTGCCTAAAGTCTGCTTTTCTTGCATTTCTTCTTCCTGAGACGCAGGGACAGGATACACTGGAGACTATTAGGGACACGATGCAGAATATTAACAGCCGAGAGAATAACAGCCGAGAGAATGTTAAACAGAATGATAATGCACTGAGGTCTGAGACTAAGTTTTAAATATTATTGAATATTATTATCCTTTCAATAATATGTTATTGGTTGTTCTTCAGCAACACATACTTATAAATCATTTTTAATCACAATGAGTTTTCACAATCATGTAGCCAAGAAAATTTCTTGCACCAAAGCCAAAGGTAATAATAGCTTGTATTTGTAAAACAATTTGAGTTTTTCAGTCTCGCACGGTCCTTTGTAAAACGTGACAGGTAAAAAGTGGAACCTCAATCTTTCCTGCTCTGTTACCGAACTATTTGACGTCATGCCTCATGGACATTGTTGGGTGGAACTGGAAGGGTAACGCTACATTTGGATAAAGCCGTCGGCTTAGGCACAGCACAAATGTAGGTTTTTAGCCCTTCATTCACAGATCATGGCAACTGACCTATACCGAACTATGGTATACCTCAGATGTCCCGGCATTTTAATATTAATTTGATTTGCAGAGCCAGCAGAGGTGTGTCTTACATACCTAGTTTATAGAAATTGGTACCACAGCATATTAGTGGAACACAAGAAACTCCATCTCTGTATGCAATATGTTACTGTGATTGTATACAAAAATCCAAAAACATACCTAAATCCACCGTATATATTTCTTTACGATATAATCGCTACGGCAGGTATAGGTACCTACAGCATGTTTAATGGCCAATCAGATCGCGTTTCCCTGTGACGTAACTTTATTTGAGAGTTTTCAACAAAAATAACTTGATGAATAAAGTGAATATGTATGTGGCCAAGGTGATAGGTTGGTCTTTTACTAGTATTTGAAGTATTCGACAAGTGGACACGTATGTTATATTGGGATGGTTCAAAATGTAGATGAATGAAATATGTAGAGCTGGTGTATAATGTTTCAGTTACATGTACTTGCTGCACATTGCACATTGCTAAATTTGTTGCCTTTTCTGGTCGGTTTATTCCAGAAGGTTTGTAATTGTATACAAATAAATATTGCAATTATTGATTGAAATCAAACATGCATTATATATAAGTTGCGTGAAATCTTCCGTCTTGTAATAAAATCTTCAAAAATTTCCTTGAACGAAGTATTTGGACAGTCTAGAAGATTATTTACAGTACACTGAGTACAGGAAGAACATTTTCACACACATTTAATTATTATGATCGTGGATACAAAATGCTTAGCTGTTTCTGTAATGCTGTAACATGGATATGAAGCTGGGTATAATATTATTATTTCCAGGTGGCAGGATCAAATGATGACGATGATTGCTTTCCTGATAAGTAAGCACTAAACCATACACATTGACAGTAACTATCTATTTATGCTGTATTATGCATAGATTTAACCTTGCTGATACCTGGGTAGACTAAGAAACATATATACTATATAGTAAGCTTGATTTGCACAATAATCAAAGTGGCTTCTTTGTTGCCATGTACTAAGAGAAAATGAATGGAAGTAGTCAGTAGCCGACACACTGGGTGCTTTTCTGCTTACCTTCAAAAGGGCTTTAAAAACTGACAAAAATACATTACATTGTATGCAAAAAAACTTGATATGATAGTAATAAAGTTATTTTTTGGGTATAGGTGTACAATAAATGAATTTTGCTGTGATGGTGAATGCTGTTCAAACTTTACAAAGAACTGGTTTGCATGGTATAAAACATACTTTTTACAGAGACGTTTTGTTTCTTTTGTGAATCATCATGTAATGTATTATTAGACCTCAACCACAATTGTTTTTTGTTTACCTGGAATATATAATCATTTTTGTAGGTCAGTCCTGGTAGTCATCATTTTTACAATTATTATCACTTGTTTATGTGTTCCTCGCATGACAAATTGGACACACAACACTCAGCCCGTTTATTATCATCTTATATCACCTGGAACATACAGATTATATGATACAACATCTTATCAACAACAGCCAACTATCCCACAAAACAATTCACTTGATGTTGGAAAGGAACACTTATCATATCAACCTTACAGGTAATTAACTAAATTCATCGCTAAACACCTTTGTACCTACATAAATTATGATAAAATTATATTTACATATGTGTGTCCATTCCCAAGTTTCACAACCTACATTTCTCCTCGGTTTGTTCGTAATATTGTTAAATTTTTTGGTGACCTGAGTTCAACTGCCTGGGTACAAATTTCAACTTTAATTGCACATGCCCCTCCCCAACTTTCAAAATGATAAAGAAAGAAAGTCCTTTTTATGGGGTTTCTTTTGTAAATTTTAGGCCCCCAAATTTGTCATCCATGCCTCAGGTTTTTGCTTTTGTTTATTTTTCATTTTTTGATAATTTCAATAATCTCTGCACAGATATGAAAGACTTGTTCAACAAACTTCACCAAATTTTAATTATCCCGAGCCATCAGCACCACCAAAGAGTCCCTGAAATTATAGTCACATGTGACAAGGGATATCATGCATATTAAACTATGCTTTAGTTCTGGTCTACAGTGTTGAAATAAGACCAGAAATTCAAGAATCAAGTATGAATTTTTTTATCAAATTCAGTTTAGTGCTGTTAAAATGGATTGGGATTCATACTGTATGAGATATACTGTATGAGACATATATTGTATTCTCAATAGAGAATGATAATTTATTTAGGATTGTAAATAAAATGTGCTTAGGATAGTCTAGAACTGTGGTTTGTAGAAAAGTTTTGAGAAATCATATAGTTTCTCTGTTCAAACCAATAACAGACGTAGTCGAAAAAGAATAATATTTGCTAATATTTGTTCAGATAGTCCTATACACTACACTTGTGAGGCTCCTCGTCTAAAACATTAGACGTTCAACAATTCGTTTTAAACCATCATGTTACCGAGAAACTAAACCAAAGATGGTTAATTTTCTCATGCAAGAAAAAAATGATGAATATTGAATTTTTACTTAGTCCAACAGGATAGTAAAAAACTTTTAGCGTTATAACGTCTTAAAGGCCGCTGAGAGGTTGATGGTGTTTGCTTGAGGCTAAGAAGTAACAACGTATGATTTACTACAGGAGTACAGCTAATTATTACCAGACAGCGCAAACTTTTTATGCAACTTGGCTTTCTCCAAAACGAGTGCCAAGCATTTAAAAATTTAATTCACTTATGCAATTCCCATGCATATGGCTTATTTATTTTGAACTTCAAATTCACACCACGTCGACCTACTGCGTCGTAAGATAAGGTCTGAGATAAGGTCATAATTATGTGGAGTAAACCATAGATAGTATATGGTGCCCGCATTGACTGGGCTGCCTAATGAATAAACCCAATTCATTGTGGTTATTAATTGTAGGAGCGGTGTATGATTTATTTAAAATACTTTATATTATTATATAATATATGCGACTCTACGCAGATTAATGCATGTGATCTATTAGAGTGTTCAACTTTGAACCTTCCTCCGGGTGGTACCCGCGTAACGCAGCTTTTTTGCAACTCTGTTATATACGACTCTACGCAGATTAATAATAACTTTATGTTGTCTGTACATCATTATCAAAGGAATTCTAAATTCTCCCACTACTTTTCATTTCTTTCAATATTTCATTTTTTATAAAAACGGATGATCCTTGATTTGGAAGGATATCAGGAACTTTTTTCTTCAAATACACTAACATGTGTTTAGTTAGCACAAAAGCATGACAGTCATCCTTATATTCTATGTCACACAGTTGAACTGCATCGTCATAACTTTCAACATGGAAGCCACAAACACCGCGTATTTCTGAATTTTCACAATCGAAATTTCCCTGTGTTTTTGCTATCGTTGCGTCCGGAATCAAAAGAAATTTTTCTTGTAGTTTTCCTCTCTGTCTGTTCACAGTATTTTTGTAAGAAGACAATGCCATTTCGTAATTCAAAACAAGGATTCTGTCCCTTGGGTTTTCATCAATCGTTAGCATATCAATATTTGTTGCTTCATTGTTTGATTTTTTCAATGAAATAAAGCCATTTTGACTACAAACGGATATTATCACATACAAACAAATAATAGAAATAGTCCATAACAAAATGCGAGGAAGCATCCCGTCACTTTTATCAAAACACGGTCTTCACTTTGAGATGGAAACTCTGCCAATCCTGAAATGCGTTACCGATGCATTTTGCGCCATCCTTATTCAGTATTATTCCGACAAAACTTCAGATTTTTAATGTTATGCTTTGCAACATTCGAAGCATAACAAAAACGGGGTATGAACGCTGTTCTATTGACAAAAACAAACCAATGTTACTGCTAGAAACAGAAATTTGCATATGTATACATATTTTCTTCAATGTGGTTTGTATCTATTACTTGTTTTTTCTTAGGTGTTGCAGTATGCATTTTAAAATATTTTCATTTTATTTGCTGGCCATTAAGATTCATTAATTGGCGCATCATGTTATTTTTATTCACTGATCGTTCTAACTCTTTTTAATATCCACAGACACCTGGACTAAAAACCTCATACATGCATGTTTAGTGTAGGATGCTCTGAAGTTCGGAACTGTTCGAATCGAGAAGACTGTTGTGATCAGATGATTCTCTTCAGATAAGTGGAAAAAAGGGAGACGATGTTTCCTATAATTTTCTTCCACTTAACTCGCATTTCATTTATTCTTCTCAGTTTGTTTGGCTGTCACCACAGCAGGTAGTGTTAAATAAAATATTGTCAAATGAATATTAATATGTATGACGTGTGCAATTGAAAGATGGCCATCATTGTGTTAGGATGCAAAAAGCTATCAAATCTATTTCACATTAAATGCGCGCTTAGCTGACTATAGTTCATGACAGGATCAACACTATGATCTTGAATTCGATTTTTTTAAACAATTAGGTATTAATTAATGTCTCAATTAATGTCTCAATTTAAAGATACTCAATTTTATTGAGGTTCTGGCTTCTGATTGGCTATTTTCTTGCTAAGCTCAGCCACTGATTGGCTAAAAATAGAAAGAACGTGTCAAAAACGTCGATTTACATGTACTATCCGGTAGGGGCAAAAACCGTATCGGGGCTTGGTGTGATAACTAACGTTTCAAGATGGCGGCTGAGGTAGAGGAAGAAGCAAAATTAATTTCAGTTTCGAACTTTGAATTTGATGCATTTTCGCAACTTTTTCAGCTAAAACAGATTGAAAAATTATGCGACATCTCCCTGAAAGTTGGCGATAATTCAGTAAAAGCTCATCGAGTAGTATTAGCAGCGACAACTCCTTATTTCAATGCAATGTTTACGGGAGATATGTTAGAGAGTCGACAAGAAGAGGTCACTTTATACGGAGTCGAATTTAAAGCGCTTGAATTACTTATTAATTACTGTTATAGCGGTACGATAGAGATTACTACAAAAAACGTTCAAAGTCTTCTAGTAACAGCCAGTTTACTACAACTTTGGAAAGTTAAGGATGCCTGTGTCGATTTTTTTCAGGAAAGACTCCATCCGAATAATTGTCTTGGAATTCTCAATTTTGCGGAGGCATTCAGCTGTGTGACATTATCACAAGCGGCTGATGCGTACACTGTTCAAAATTTTAAACATGTTAATTCTGATGAATTTTTTGCGCTCTCATATGAAGAGATGTCTAAACTTTTGACTCGTGAAGACTTAAACATTCGTTCGGAAGAGCAGGTGTTTGAAGCCGTTATGAAATGGATCAAAAAAGACGAAGAAGACCGTAAAGTATTTTTGCCAAATTTGCTGAAGAATGTTCGTCTCGCTCTGCTCTCACCGCAGTATCTTTGTGATAAAGTATGCAATGATGATCTCATTCGAAACAGTCTGACGTGTCGAGACCTTATTGATGAGGTCAAGAATTATTTTCTCTTACCTGAACGAAGATTGAACTATACTGGTATATTCGCTAAACCAAGGAAATGTAGCGAGGCAGCAGGAGAGATTTATGCTATTGGTGGACTCACTCAATGTGGTGAAGCTCTTAGTACGGTTGAGAAGTTTGACCTACTTAATTTGAGTTGGCAGTCGTGTACTTCAATGTTAACTCTACGGACTAGAGTAGGTGTTGCAGTTCTTGGCAGCAAGTTGTATGCACTGGGTGGGTATGACGGAAACGATCGACTAAGTACAGTTGAATTCTTTGACCTCGAGGAAAATACATGGTGCAAAACATCATCAATGAATACCCGCAGAAGTGCCCTTGGTGCATCCACGTTGAATGGCAACATATTTGTATCTGGGGGCTATGATGGTCATATATCCCTACATACTGTTGAGTTTTATAATCCTGAGACAAAGCAATGGCGATTTACATCTCCAATGACTACCTTGCGCAGTGCAGCTGGGATGGTGTCTTTGGGCGGCAAACTTTATGTGGCTGGTGGTCACAATGGTTTGCAGATATTCAGTTCAGTGGAGTGTTTTGACCCACAGTTGAACACATGGACATCAATGCCTGGAATGCAGTCAAGACGATGTCGTGTTGGTGTGGTTGAAATGGATGGTTGTCTCTACGCCTGTGGTGGTTATGATGGTAATTCCTTCCTTAATTCACTGGAGCGTTATTGTCCAAAGGAAGGTACATGGTCTTTGCTGGCATCCATGAGTTCCAGAAGAAGCAGAGTTGCCCTAGCAACACTTGGTGGTCATCTTTATGCTATTGGTGGTTATGATGGTATGTCTAACCTCAGTACCATGGAGAGATATGATCCAGTAGCTGACCAATGGATGCCAGCACCATCCATGATCTTGCATCAAGGTGGTGTTGGTGTTGGAGTTTTACCTCGTGTCTGATGAAGATATCTCAGAATGATGATGTTCAATCTTAGACTTTTGATTGGATATTAAAGTTTTTATGCTCTGACATAAGTCAAACCTGTTTTTAACATACTGTACATATTTGGCCAGGTTGGGTTTGTGGACCTGAGGCAATATGCTTAAATGTTCAAAGATAATATTTAGCTAAATTATTAGCATCAAACCTTCAAACTGTAAAAGGTTGTTAAATGCCTTTTAATGTTTCAATTGTAGACAATGCAAAATAACAAGTTAACGCACAATGCACTATTATGTAATTGGTGTGCCTAGCTTACAGACTTACAGTACATGGCATTTTACAATACATTTTTTCTTCACTATTACAGATATTTTCGTACATTTTTAGCTAATGGGACGATTCTGGTCTTGAAGCTGATCTTTGATATCTGATATATAGTAGCTACAAATTATATTTTTCCACTATGTTCATGAAGTCGATTCAACTTTACTGACTTATAATTGAATTGCTACTATTGAATTGTTACTCTCCAATCTCAGACCATTAATTTTCAATTATCTCATGACTCATGTATTCTAACGAACCCAAAGGTTGAGCGAATATGATGTGGGGGCATTGGACACAAAATTATCAATATTGCCATAATCATGATGTGTGTCACCCACACCAAACTTTGCTGCACCTTCCTCTGTTATTCCAACACCATGATCTGCTCTGTCACAATCATTTCCTCCACCACCAATCATCATCACCGCACCATCACCACTATCCCAATCACACCAAAACCCAATGTAGTTACTACTCTGAATGTTGCCGTTACAACTGTGCTTCTCAAAACCTGCCGTAGTTTGGTACTGACCGCCGTAAATAACTGGACAATTTCCACGACACTGATCACTTGCCCAGACAGCACCATTACGAAAGTTTCCATAACTTGTGATTTTAGACCTGAATGTCCCACCTTGAAGACAATTGGAAGTGGTCTGTAGTAGAGCTGTGTGACTGGAGTCATCACTTCGTGTTATCTTGAATTCGTTGGCTTTTACTTTCCAGAATGCTTCAGAAATCATGTCATTATTTTCAGCTGGGTTTAAGAATTTTCCAAAATATTGATTTCTATCATACCAAAATTTCCCATTTAATATCCAATTCTTCGAATCATTGTTGGAAAAGCGAGCGATTAGTGTCCATCCATCATTTAACAGGTCACAGTATGCCTGAAATAAGAACATCTTATAGCTCAGTCATACCATAGTTCATACAATGAAAGAATGAAACTAAGCTGCATTAAGATCGTTCACACTTCACACGATGCCAGAAATATTCCATTTTCGGTTTTTTATTCTTTAAATTTAGTTTATTATTACTTTCCATCATTCCGGCTCAGTTTATCAAAATTGCAGTCATAGGTTTTGTGGTAAAACTTTTACTGCACGAATGTTGCACAGTACAGAGAGAGGCAGAGTTTTAAACGGTTAAAATTGTAAACTGAGGTTTTAAAGGGTCTTAAAATCGAGTGCAATTATACACACTTCAAATTCAAGCAAGGAGCAGTTGCTGGAAAATAAATCAACTATCGGTCTTCCGGCAGGAATCGAACCTACGTTTTTGCGATGCCAGTGCAATGCTCTTGCCGGTGAGCTACAGAGGTAGCTGACAAGAGCAAGCGTGGTTAATGCGGAGAATATGTGAGTTTGAGTTCATATTAGAAATTTCGTTCTGTTTTTTACTTTGCTTACATCGAGTGGACTTGTCTCTGTACTTCACAAATTAATTTTATCTTATACTAATATCTTACCTGAAAGGTTTTCAATCTATAGTATCCGTTTTGTAACTGAGGATCCTTTTTGCGCAAGTCATTACATGAACTAGTATTGTCTATATAAAGTAATTATGATAATACTGTAACGACAAAGTTCAGAACGCTAACGCTAAGCTATAATACTTCAGTGCAGTTCAATTGTTAAAATCAGCAGGTATCGATAAAAAAACGTTTTAGGCCCGTATATTAGGCGTCGAACTTTTCATGTGCCAAATCGAATGCAAATGAACTTAAACAAAGACTTTAGCTCATTAACATTAGGTTCGGCACATAAAAAGTTCGACGTCTAAAACAGGTCTTAGAAAATTAACATTGTCATTGTTATGTGTCTGTTAAAAATTCACAATGACATTCATAAAACATAAAATTATTTCAAGAACTTGACTGACATATATTTCACTTACAAAGATATTCTGAACTTGTAGCATCACTTGCTTTCTCGTTCTCAATTTCATTTTCTTTTTCCAACTAGGAAAAATTATACGTGAATTATCCATAATTTTGTAGTTACATATATACATGCACACATTTCCAGGGTCAAGTCAGTTTATATCTTGAATTTGTCTTTCTTAATCAGTAATATTTCTGCACTAACGTAAAAGCTCAAAAACTAATTGTGTGATAAAAATGGTGAAAAAACGGAAACTTGATATCAATAACATCTTCCAAACATCATGCTTAATACAACGCAACAGCATTTACACGAAATATTATTCTTGCGGTAAACAATAAATTTGCCCATGTTTTACTTACAGTTTTTCCAAGATCTTGATAAAATGTCCACTCTCCTATTTTGTGATATTCTGAGCCACTTTTTACAGTTTTGTATTTGCTGATTTGACAATTTTCTGCATATTTTTTAGCGTTAAGTCTGTAGTTGTAACCAACACAATCCGTTGCTTGGAGACACTTTAAGGAACACTCAACTTGGGAATAGACAGCATGTCTGGCAATAATGTGTTCAGGTGGCAACGATTCTCCTCCTGTTGTTTAAAAAATGTTTGTCATGCAAACGTATGCTCTATTCTTACACAATATATATGTATAATTTGAATGACTTAGGCCAGTTTCAGACGTCGAACTTTTTATGTGCGAAATCGAATGCAAATGATATTAAACACAGCCTTTAGTTCATTTACATTCAACAAACCAAGAATGTCATATCGGCACTCAGCACTGAGTCCGCGCTGTACGGAAGTACACTACAGTTGGGCCGGCTATACTATAATAGTGTATGCATGATGCATACGATGAGTTCTATTTCACTCGGTTTTAGCCTTAAGGTTGCTTTCCATGCATTTTGCGCGATTTTTATACGCGCGTACATGTAGGGAAAATTTTAAATGCTTTTAATTTTTTATTGATTTAACATCAAAGGTCAACGAATGCATACTAAAATATGGAGAAAACGAAGTTCTTTCGATTTATTCACTTAGTTTTTTCAAAGGTAACATGTATAAGGATTTCGACTTACGAGCGTGTAAGTAGTGCCTATGAAAAACGCGTAAGTGGAAAACAGCCGGCTTCAACCTTTAGGGCTGCTTCAGTTCCATTGTCGCGTCTTTTGCACGTACGCACATTAAAGCTTCAAGTTAAATTCTATGCCAGAATTTAACACCAAATCGTCAACAGAATTTAACCCTATGCATGCATGCATCTATTCAATCGTTGATTTCATAAGTATTATTTAAATGATCAGTTTAAACCTTTGAGTGCGTATATATATGTTGATGAACGTACAAATTGAAAAAACGCGACAGTACGCGGATAGCAGCCCAAAGGGAAACGCGTTTTTCATACGCACGTACACTAAATCCTTATATATATATATAATATTTGAAAACGATACAAAGTTAAATGATACAAAGTTGGAAACATTTGAAATTTTCTGCACGTAAAAGAACGCGTAAGCGGAAAGCCGCCCTGCAACATCTTTAACATGCATGCATGGTCTTAGTCTTATTTTCCGTCAAAAGTTAAACACATGCAGTCTAACCCAGTTCAATTAATCTTGAGCGTATATGTTCTGGACCATTCGTTTTTCAACTTTCTCAATTCTAATATTTTGCATTAAAACAGGAAACATATAATACTTGCCATAATAGCCGTTTACTTTGACGAAAGTAGTTTGCCTTCTCAAAGATGTTTGGGGTTGATCTGGCTTTGCAATAACGGTTAAAATTTTCAGCAGAAATATGGAAAGGGAAACCAGTATAGCCATCTTAATGTTTACAGCAACAGAAGTCTAGCTTATTTAAATTGAACTATCGCAAAATGTAAACAAAAATATGTCTCAGGCAGATGGAACTTACGTAGCTACCTGCAATTAAGGAATGCGCATGCAATGGTGTCGATGTGCGTGTGTCTTTACAAACGACTTTTGTCATACGTCACACGTACAGCAAATAATAAACATGTTTTATAATTTTCGCCTTGCATGCCAAAATCTTTTCGTGTGCGGGAAACGACAAGACTCAAGAGGAATAATGGTTTCATATTCTTATATTCGTCTTATGCCGGCCTGACTGATTTTTTTAAGACGCGATTGTTTTTCCGGTATGGGACCGACATGAAAAGATTTCGCTCGTTTTTAACTTGTTATTTTTAACTATTAAAAATTATTTACTAAAAATTATTTAAAAATACGTAGCTCGTATTACTTTTTCCATTCGAATTCTGCTCGCACGAAAAAAGGAAAGAAGTTCTAGCAATTGCTAGAACTTTTACTCATTATAAATAATAATGAAAAAAAAATAATTAGCCTTTCTCACGATGACGTTTTGGGGTACTTTCAATTTTTTCAAACGGCTTTTAAAAGTTATAACAACATGAAAAGCAATTTTTTTAGAATCAACAGACCATTGAATTGGAGGAATAATTCCAGCCTAAAATTAAAGACTGTGGCCGTTATGAGGTCTCACGCTTGCGGTTTTGAGAAAACTGAGTACCCCAAAAATGGCGGCATATTCGTCATCGTGAGAAAGGCTAATTGAACTTCTTCTGCATCATTTAATGTCAATTTGTTGGAATACATTTTAGTAGTAAGGAGTGCAAGATTTTGAAATATTACTAGCAGTAAGCAAAATGTAATTTCCATTTAATGGCCGATACTTTCATCAAAAACAATCAAAAGCCTAGTGACAAATAAAAAAATGCTTTTTTCTTCAAAGGGGGTCGTGACTTTATTGAATAGAAGAATTAAAGCCAGCTAAGCGACTAAAGTTAGACCGGTCGAGATCATTAGACTTCATATATTTGGCCCGTTCACTGTCTGGTTTTCATAATTCATGATTCACATTAACGCATATATTAAATAAAACAAATGTTTAAAATCATTTATCATTGCGGGTGCCAATACTCCTTTGTTTCTTCTTTAGTTTTGCTTTCTTTCTTTTCTCTTTCATTTTATCAATCTTACTCCTCAGTTTAGTCATCCGTTGTTCTCCCTTCCCGCCACCACCGCAAGTGACTTCAACGTTTATCCGTCTTCCGCACATGGTGCTGTTATGGCGTTGTAGGGCTTTCTAGGATTTATTAAAACAATTCTTTGAAATCAGAAGAGCAAAATAGTTGATTTATACATCGAAAAAATATTACTAAGCCTGCCCTAGGCAGTTAACCTGACAAAAAGCTAGACCAGACCAAATCGGTCTGAGATCTGGTGCGGTGCGTGACCTGAGATCTGGCATTCTGGTGTAATTTAATCGTGACGTAAGATCTGGTGTAATTTAATCGTGGGCCGTGGCGCGATTAAAATATTGTATGTAAAACCTTACGGTTTGAAACTTTTTGTTTTCAAATTCCAAGAAAGCGCAACCTTTTGACTTTCCTGTTGTCTTATTCGTTAAAATTCTTACATCAGTTATGCCTCCTTGAAACATAAAGGAAAATATTGTCAAACAACAAAGAATAGAATTCCACAATAATTTAAGTGGGGACTAAGCAAATATTCTGGGTCGAGGTTGAGAAGCAATCCAGAAGAATTGGAAAATTGTAAAACAAAAGTGTACCGATTTTGAAACGAACGAAAAAACTGTTTTCAATCTTTTATTTCTTAGCTGTACACAATTAATTCAATTTCATTTATAACAAGTCAGTCGGTTTTAACTGAAACTGGTTTCAGTGGCGAAACTACAACAATAATTGGGGGGGGGGGCAATATTCATTTATCCAGTTCTGCCCTACGGATTTCTTTTGTAAGTGATTTCTTTCAATTGCTTACAATAGAAATCCATTCGGCAGAACTGAATGTATTAATACTGACCCCTCGCAATTATCGCTCCCCTGTGTGTTTTTTTTTGTGACAATGCAACTACCATAGCGGCCTATATCCAATATACACGATTCCTATAACACATACCGTCAGAATCGAAATGATTTCTGATGTCACTTTCTGTACACTCAAATGGCAGGTTTCCTGTCAATGAAGAGATGTATTGTGATTGATTTTTCAATTGACATCAATCAGGGATGTCCACTGAGTATTGAGTAGGCTATGTCTATGTCTACTGTCAGGTACATCAGACATCAAGCATGTTCAGATTTAATTGGTTTGTTGTAATTTTTATCATTCATCTTAGTCAGAGAGAATGTTAACATTGAATTTGTAATTCTAAACAAATCTTTACCATGATGAATTTTTTTTGAGACGTTCTCTCATTGTGAATATTTATTTGATACAAGCTTTCAGCTGCCAGAGTGAGACTGCAGCCTTCAACAGGTAGTTAAAAATCTTTACCAATAAATAAAATGAATCTTGAACAAGGATTTGAATTTTTTTCTGCTGATATGTTTTCTTCCTCATTCTCTTGAACTTCTGATTTTTTTCTCTTCTTTATTGATTGTTCTGAAGTAAAAATAATGAATGTAAAGTTCCTCTAATTGAACATTAAAGATTGCTGATGTAAACGTGTTTCTAAACCAACCATTTTCAGATCCATCATTTTGATTTTCTTGCTGTCGTTTCCTATTCCACCACCTACACAAGCAAAAGACGGTCATATCCTCAAATGTTACCCACATTTCAAAATTCAAATACAATAATACATTCAGCTGCCAGGTCCCTTTTTTCAACTACCACCCCGGCCTAGCCATATAAATAATTCCCTTTAGGCTCTGTGATAATAATTTACCAATAATATTATTTATATTACTTGTGACGTCTTTGTTTTCTTTGGCTAACAGCTGACATTTCAACTCTCAGGTCATTCACCTAGATAGTTGTAGTATAGTACAGGTGAAATATTGTCATGTTGTTTCATTAAAACAAATTTAGCATAAACGAACAACTGCCTGTCCAACAATATCAATGCAAACTGAGATAGAGGCCTGCGATAAATTAAAACCACTGATTAAAACCGGATAAAACGTCACGATTTCATACCTTTCATTCACTGGTTTTCATAATTGGCGGCCATATTGGAATTTAACGTGAAAGCCACTGAGCTGTATACTATAGCTAGTGAACTGAACTGGGAACATATCCTCCCGTAGTCCGTTACATTCGTTACATTTGGGTGTCTTTTGGATTGTCTTTGGATTGCTTTAACAGTTTAACTGATCGAGAATCTATTTTTCGAAAACGTCATGCCATTGCCACTATATCTACTTGTATTGGCAAGTATAAAATCAAAATTAGATTTATTCAAATTCAATACCTGGAGCAGTGTGGATTTTTCAAGTCAGATATAAAAAATAATATAAAATAATAATATTTTGTTACACCCAATACAGTTTCACCGATTGTGTGTAATTTGTGACACACTTGCATAAGTGCACAACATTGTTCAACAGCAGGCTCACACCTCTCAGCGGAAGCAAGAGCCGTGGACCGACCGAATCACGATAATAATTCCCTTTCATTTTTCAGTTGTTACATTTCTGTCATTTCACTGTATATATTGATGTTATTTAGTTATTTGCTACTATTATTATGTCTATTTTGATGCAGCTAAGTGCACCGCGCTGTAAAATACCACTGACCGCTAATGCGTAAATCTAGGATTCTTGGTATCATATATTGAGTGGATGGAAATCACTGAAATAAAATCTTGGAGAATTAGGATAGATATGTCATAGAGGCTGAACATAGAACCAAAATTTTTTGGGGGTTGTGGGTTGAATGATTTTCAATAAAACTGCCTGTGACTAGCTCGAACAATTAGCTCGAACAAATTACCAGGGGCCGGTTGTATAAACTATTTAAGTACACGTTGCATAGTTAAACCCTAGTTAACTCAGAAATACACAACTCTGATTGGCCATTTACATCCAGTACCACAGGGTAGAACAACCGCAGTTTCTTGCAAGAACCCTTTCAGTCTTTTCACCATTTTCATGACTTCTATGTACATTTTCCCCTATGTGCGCAGAAAACTGGTCGGTTGTCATATTCTCAACTGACATTCAGAGCATAGCCCTCCCCAGGCGTGATTCTCGCGAGATTTAACCTTGATACTGAATGGTGCTAAGGAAGTGAACTGGGTACATTGGTTACGGCTGTATACTATATACTGACACAAGGTTTTTGTGCGCAAAACTTACAAGCGCTAGCAGAAAGCCTGGTTCATTGCGGTTACATAGTTGGCCATGGTGTGTGCTATGTGATTTTTGATACATTATTATACAAATAGGAAATTTCATTTTTGAAACAAAATCGGACGAAGTAACTTGAAAGTAACTATTTTTTTGATGAAAAAGTGAACTGTACAGCGTCTTTTGTTCGCGTTGTTTCCCATTAGTCACGTGCTTGGATTTAACCAATAAAATGACGCTACTTTTACAGCGGAGAGAATGGACTTCTGGGCCACGAGCTGTTTTGCGCAGCTCAGAACTAAAATATAAATTGCTACAAGGTATGGCGGAGTTTTTTATACGAATTCAACTTGAAACGACATAAACAATTCTTGCAAGAAAGGTGAAACCTCGCCGTTTTTTGCCTTAACTTTGCTATTGGATAAATGAAGAAACACATAAAGACGAAATTATTTCCCAAGGTCTCTGCGAATACGTTATTCATTGCTTCTAAAAACCGTTTACAAATAGTTCGACCGGTTCATTGGAGTCGACTTGCAAGCGATCACATCGAGTGCATTCGTTGCAGTGAATATAATTTGGATTTTTTTTGTTTCTCTCAGATCTATGGATTACTGAGCAACAAGCCAGCGTTAGTGGAAGGCTTGTAAAATCGAATGAAATGTCAGGTTAGTTCAATTCACTCTCGTATTTACTAAAATTTTATTTGAAATATACTGCCAGCATGTCAAGGCATTTTGCAGAACACCATACTTTAACTAAAGTAGATCAATAGCTTTGATTAGAAGTTGTTCAGAATCAAAATCCACCACTGTCGGATTTTTGTTTGTGAACAAGAATGTGTGGAGTATAACATTATCACGTCGATAACGATTTTTATAACTGTGTTCGCGATCTGTAGACCGTGTGTTCTGATCATTGTGTTGATTCCGTTGAACGAATGCATTTACACTGTAAACCGCCTCAAGGTCACCTTTTCAATATTTTTCTAAGTACGGAAATATTTTTCTGTTTAGAAAATTTTCAAGCAGCACAATTCGTCTTTAAAGTACGAGCATTGTTGTTTTCGAGTTCGGCTTGCTTCCATTTAAAGGAAAATGTTGCAAATTCAGTAGTGACTCAAGCTGAGGTCATTTCGTTGTTGTCATGTCAATTGCACGTTTTATTTTTATTAACGGCACCTCACCATTGATTTTATTTTTCCACTCTGCCCTGGATGTGTTGGCGCAATGTTATATAGGTATTTCTCGTTAGAAATGCTCCAAAAAATGCCAGCTTCGTGCCAAATTACAAAAGAAATAACTTTCAAAAATGTATTATGAATAATTAGTGAGTTTTGGAGTAGAAGGCTAATTTTGAAAGTTGCATGCATTCCGTTCGACGATTCCCTATAAATAACTTTGGTTACTGAATATCGCTACACGCGATGTTTAAAAACTTTAACCAATACTTTACCATTTAAGTAATATTTCTCAAAGACATCTGGTCGCTTCTGCGATATTTTATTATTAATGAATGTTCATTTGTTGTTGTATTTGGCCGCCATAGCCAGCGGTACGCCAGGTTACTGCTTGGATTTTATCTTTTAAGAAAGAGATCTTCCCCGATACTCGAATGCTCGAACAATTTTCTTCGTATTTGGCCGCATATTAACTGTTCCCAGGAAGTCTCCGCTCTCAAAACAACATTGTTTACAAATTACAAATAAGAACACGTTGTTTCACGTTGAAATTTTCATTCAGCCATACACAACGTTGCGTCCAGCGTAATTTTTAATAAAATCGGTTCTTCGAATCAAAATGCACGCGTTCATGTTTTCTGTTGTGAAAACAAATCAAATAGCTATTCAAAAATAAGAACTGTTAGATATAATAATATCTGACAGCTGGAAGCTTTATAATACTGTAATGCTTGATATCAGCTCGCCAATTTTATATCTGTTTTTGGTTGTGAAAATATTGAGCCTACTGACAAACAACTTTGTTTTATTTTGTAGCAGAATCCAAAACGTTCGGTGGAAAAACAAGCCCTACACTGGTATGACTGACCTAATGAGATAATATTTTTATGTGCATTACTTACACAGGAAGTAACCCTGGATGTTACTTTGAGGACCCTTACTACAAATAAATATTATGTGCTTTGAATAGCACTTTGCTTTGTATAGAGCATTCAAAATGCTATCCTAAAAGCTTAATTCAGCAATTTTCATTTATTATGCTAATGTTTGACATTCAGGAAAATTAATGCTTCATATTGAAGTGCTATTATTTATTTGTGGTATGTGGTATGAAATAAATTCTGTAGTATTGGGGGGCTAGTTGTTATTCCTGGATTAATGTAGATTTTGAAATAAAAACTTCCCAACTCTTTGTTTCTCTTAAATTTCACCCTACTTAGAGTATTGATTAGGAGAGCTAAATTGAACTATTCCAATTTCGTTTGTTCATCTTTTAGATGCAAGTTTGTTTGGACATGAAGGCAATGCCAGGCAATATAGCTGTACTTTCCGAGAACAAAGACAACTATGCTTCAATTAAAGATGGACTTCGACCAGTGAAAAAAAGCAACAAAACTCGAAATAATCCTGCTAGTCATAGAAAGACCAGGATTAATTCAGCAAGGTCAGTGCTTATAGAAAAAAACTTCTAGAAGTGTTTTGTTCTATTAATTCAAGGGATAAACGACAAATTTTCATCTACTTTTTAGATTATATTTAATATTTAAACTTTGTACCAAAATAATTTTTGAACTACTTGTAATGGCTGTAATAATATAGCTGGTTAATTGCACTTAAATTTTGTCTTAACCCATTCATGTTATATCTTTTTATTAGCAAGCAAGTGTTAATGGTAAAACCAGGACCAGATGTTCCACCACCATATGATATGACAAAAGACTGTATTGTTCCTAACCATTTCCTACCACCAGCAAAAATCTGTGCTGATGATGATGATCAGGATATTTCATCTGATGCGTTTGAAGAACAACATATGTAAGTAAACATATGCTGGGAAAAACCTGAATTCACTACAGTATGAGATGTGCATAAATACTGTAGGCAAAAGACTGCTCATTTTTCTACTCTAGAGTAAATAGATCTATGAGGCTGTAGAAAATAAATACAGCGACTTTTTAAGGTGTATATATTGTACATTAACATAACATTCATTATATGAAATAAAAGATAATTGTGCTAAATCCATGGTATGCAAACCTTCAATTTGAATAATTTTGGACTGAGCTGTTTTCAATCAGTATTTTTTTTTTGCCATTCTTTAAACTAAAAATGTTGTTTTAGGAACAGTAAGGCATGTGCTCTCTGTAATCGAGGATTGGAAACACGAATGATGCAAGGTAGTCTCACAAGATATGATCCAACTGCTGGTTTTAACCCATTCCAACTTTACTATGAGCAGTTACCAAGAGATAAACCACCAGATATGCTTGAAGAACCAACACTAACAGTACGTCGTGGACCTGGACGACCACCATTTAAGGGAAGGAAGAAAAGCACTGTTGTTAATGGTTTCTCTGTTGTAAGCTCCAATCCTAATCTTCCTTTGGATATGATTCTGTTTGGAACTTCACATGAACGAGACATTGATGAACTTTTTGAGGCAACAGGTCATACTTGGTGCCATACATGTTGTGCACTTTGGTCTGAATTTGTTGAACAAGATGAGACAAATGTGAAAAATGTTGCTCAGGCTGTTTTTCATGCAATGACACAGGTTATTCTTCTGCTCCATTTTTAGAATAATCAGTAGTTTTATAGTTTTTTCGAATACTTAAAAAATCTTTCTATATTTCAGAAATGTGAACATTGTAACAACTTTGGTGCTAGTGTGTCATGTAATGACAAAAATTGTACGAAGAAATTTCATTATACCTGTGCTTCAAGTGCTGGCTGCTTCCAGGTAAATTCAACTCATAAACATGTGTTATTATTGTTATTATAGAGAGAAGATTAGGCAATATTGATGTCTGCAAACCGTGTGTATGATAGTGTTATAGACTTATAGTTAGTGTACGTGCACAAAGAAGTGAGTGCTAATCTGTTGGAAGCTTTCCTCAGCATTATTTCAAGTTGCTTTAAAATTATAGGAAGTGAAATCAAAAATGGTGTTGTGTCCTGAACATATTCATAAGGCAGAAGAGCTTGGTAAGCGGGTTTTTTTGGGCCATTTCCAAGGCCAGTTTTCAATTAATGTGATGCCCTCCTGGGATTAAATGTATAGTGCACTAATTACTAATATGCAACTTTCTTTTAGTTGGTGACGATGCAAAGTGTGCAGTTTGTGATGAAGTTGGAGATTTGACAAAACAATTATTTTGTTGCAACTGTTGGAGACATTTTCATGGGAAATGCTTACAACCCGAAGTTGATATCCTGCCATGTGCTCGTATGGCTTGGCATTGTCCAGCGTGTAAAATATGTAGTGACTGTGGGTAAGTACACTTAGAGTATGACATAGAGTTCTGTTTAGGAAATGTCGTTGATAAAATATAAAAGATAATTGTGCTTGTCCATTACTCAAATTGTTTATTCTTACTAAGGTCGTCTGTGGATGATAACAAAATGTTGGTGTGTGATATTTGTGATAAAGGCTACCATTTCTATTGCCTCAAACCTCCAGTTGCTTCTGCACCAAAGGATGGTTGGAAATGTGAGGTAGGAATTATTACTGAAGACATTTTTCTGCATCAATTGATATTAATTGATATTAATGTGAACTCAATTGATATTAATATGTCCCTGACAAATCATGACAAAGGGTCCCGTTTTGTCCATTCCTCACTCCCGTAATTCTTACAAAAGGTCTAAAATTTCCACCTACTACAAAAAGTATACTTTACTGTATGACTTATATGAAGTAAATGCGCCGTAACATTAGTGTTTGAAATGTTAAATAGAACTGCCGACGTTGTTATGACTGTGGTTCAAATACACCTGGTTCTGGTGCGACTTCAAGATGGCATTTCAACTATACAGTTTGTGATAGTTGCTACCAACAACGAAACAAGGGCCTATCATGCCCACAATGTCGACGAGCGTACAGACATTTCTCGGATATACCAATGGTTCAATGTAAAAAGTGTGAAAAATCTGTTCATAAAGAATGTGATGAGGCATTTGCTGATATGGTGCCATACATGTGTACAAACTGTAGGGGGCTTTACAAGCACGAGGTAAGACCGTAAGAATTTACCGCAATGGTCGGTCCTATTTTCATGACTTCATTGCAAATACTGCGCGTTTCAGTGGTTGCTGGGGGGTTTCGAAGAATGTCATAATATAATATTTATTTTTTACTAGCCAACGATTAACAATATTGAGGAAAATCCTGCAGTAATACCATCGAACAACCAACTACCTGGCAGTGAGGATATGCTTTCGTCTATGACAGATTCGAGTCTGTCCTTAGATATGAACATCAACATGAACATAGACTGCGGCGAGTTAGATGATTCCTACGATTTGGGAGAGAAATTGCCATTTGACGAGGAAATGGAAGTCGAATTAAAAGATGACGAGTTTTCAACCACAGCACAATTCTCCAACTCGCTGCAGGCCCCCACGCCGATCATTTCTAAGAAAGCTAATGTCAGTGGTGGCAAACAAGCTGGGAAACGAAAGTTGGCACGAAGGGTTAGTATGGCTTTTCTTTTCATAGATACATGTATTGTTTTGAAAGGTACGTTAGCTGGGGTCCCCTGGGATTTTTAGATATTTCAGTAACTTTCAGTAGCTATATCACTAAGAAATACAAGCTCTAAACCTCCGTAGACCTCGGGCATAAATATTTACGCTCTTTACCCATTCTTACAGCCTAGAGGCACAGGTGGCACAAGCAGGAGACGAGGGAAAACTGGCAAACCAGGAAGTAAATTAAAAAACAAAACTGTTCCTGCACAATCTGTGCAAGACAAAGAGAACCAGGTATGTCTCTGTCTGGTTGCTACTGTCAATGCTATTTTCCTTTCACTGAATACAACGAAACAGACTTTTTTCGTGTTGGTTTACTATATTTAACCGATTAGTTCCAATGGTTATACGTTTGTTGTTTTCGGTTTAGCCTGGTGGAGCGAACAGCCAAGAAGATCCGAATAAGCACATCTTAGGAGAAGGTTTGAAGTCTAGTTTGGTTTTGTTTTCAACAGACGACCGCAGGATGAAAACACAGGTGAATAATTATTATGTTGTTCTGCCTGCATGTTGCCTCACATGTTTTTATATGTTACATCAAACATTTTAAGCTACAAAAACGCCTCCTCGCCCCAAAGTTTAAAAGGAAAACGCGCAGGATGACGAGAGATTTCTCAGACACAATCTGCCAAAGCAGGATCAAACCAAATCATACTACTGAGGCAAAGTTATAGTCTGACAACTACATCTTGACAACTACATCTTGACAACTATATCTTCTCGCGTCCAACCCGCTTTTCAGTTTCCTTTTTTTCCTCTCTTCTTCACCATCTGGCGCCCCAAAAGAAGCCATGGAAACGAGTTAAGAACCTCCGCGTTATAACCACATAAATGATCGTATTTTAGGATATGTGCAGATGTTGTGGTAGTTTTGGTCAAGGAGTTGAAGGTCATTTAATACCATGTTCACAGTGTGGGCAGTGTTATCATCCGTATTGTGTTAACGTCAAGGTACCTCATTATTTCATTCTTAACCCTTTCTCGACCTAACCAATACTTCATATTATATCATTTAAGATAAACTATAAAAGCCCGTTTACGCTTGCAATTTTTTATATGAAATTTGGTGCGATTTATCTCTTGATAGCTACAGGAAATTTCTTTTACATGTCGACAAGTTGTATGAAATTTTTAACTACGCTTTCGGTAGTTAAATCGTAGTTTCAAAATAAACGATTCGGATTGGCTTATTCTGTCGTTAACAGCAGTTAAAAGTCGACAACCTTTATAAAACCGGCACTTGGTTAGATATCAGAAATCATAATATTAACTTCGTTCTGATTTGAAGAAATGTATAAAAATATGTTAAGATCCATATACTGAATGACAGGGACGGCGTTAAATAAGAGCTCCCACAGTCTTTTATTCAATATACCGTGAAATGCTTGCTACGCAGTTACAGGCACCTGTTTAACTCGTGATTGCGAGGATGTAAGCTAAACGAATTCACAAATACGGCTTTTTTGGAATCCATCTGCAGAGGGAACAAACAAACCATTAAATAATTGCTAACGAAAACCGGGTATCGAATTATAAAAAAACCTGAAAGTATGTACTAATTCGGTCTCTATCTCTTCAACATTTTCCCCGACAGGATTAATTTAATCCAGTTCCGTGTTAAACTGGACAGATTTTTTCTTCGAGATGACCGATACGCCAAAATGCCACAACTATGCATCAACTCGTTTATATTCCGTTCATAATTCATGATCAAACTTCTGATGGTTTCCAAGCGATATTTAAGATGTGTTTTTTTTAAAGCATAAAAAAGTAAAACAATTTTAAGCGTTGCGCGTCCACAAAAAGCTTTCATGGATTTCTTGTTGCTGCTGATAGAAGACCAAGAAATTTACGCTTCTGAGAAAGAATCTGTTAAGAAAGAATGTTAACAAAGAATCATTGCCGCAGCTGCGGCAGCCATGTACTGTAAATCGTATTTCAACATTTCCTTGAGGTTGTGAGGGTGGCGGTGGCCTGTGATCTAAGTTTTAAGTTTTTTCCACAAGCTTTAAATTACTATTAATCCCCATAACTTCGTGCCATTCTCTACGTGATTCTGTTATTCATAGAATTTCCGTATACACTCTGACTTCCGAAATATACCCTGAGTATATTTCTTCCTGAATTGTCCATGGAAGTCTGCGGAATCGCGAAGATTACATTTTCGAGTCCGCGTCTTAGTATTCAATGCAGTCCACGTTTACAACATTTATAAATAGTTCTTTTCTTCCGGAAAGCCGTAAAGTGCACATTCTTAAATCAAGACGAACACGATCTGTGGGCAGATATTTATGGTATCCTGCGTGGAGTTTGCTTGTCTACCTGTGCCATATTGGATTTGCGTGTGGTGCAAAAAAGATGACAAACTAAGAGCAACATGTCGAAAGATTCCTTGATGAAATGTGTTTTAGTTTCGCCACAATCAAGCCGAGATTCGAGGAAAAATGCTAAGAGCAATGCGACAAGTTATGAATGTTTTTCCTTCCTGGACGATGTCAAGTGTCCTCGTATTTCATGCCTGGCTGATATCCTGTTCCCACCAAAAAGAAAGCTTCTCCCTGCAGAGTTACTCAAACTAAACAGCCTAGCAACTCTTTTGTGTGTTTTTACTTTGCTTGTGGCGCTGGCATTAAGTGTTGTATGCTATGCAACTTATTCTGGCACAAACAGCTCTGGAATATTTGCGTATGCATTTGACGCCCTACTTCAAGCTATATCCTCGTTGATGTTAATCTGGAGATTTTCAAGCTTCACGAATGTTAGTACGGATGATAAAGAAACAATTGCAACACTTGGAGTGGCATTTGTGAATGCTGTGTCAGCCATTTCAATTATTGTGCCGACCATTTTGTCTGTGACTCGCAAAGAAAAGGAAACCGATATGAAGATTACAGTGATTGTGGCCTCTATAGGAGTGACATTATACTTTGGGTTATTTTATATCAAATTTAAACTTTCTCGCAAGTTGGGTAGCTCGGCTCTTATGACGGATACAATGGATTCCCTGGGTGGGTCATTGATGGGTCTGGGTGTGTTGGTTAGTTCACTCGTCGTTCTGTTTTCCAATAAAGCTTGGTTACTGGATGATATAATAGCTTTGATCATCGCTGGACTTATGTGTCTATATGCTGCAGTAGTTATGATCAACCAAGTAAAAATATGCACTAATAGTAATACACATAAAACTGCAAAATAACTTTAGATGATTTATACCGCTGAACATAATGTTTCTTCTCAGTTCAACAATGCGAGGCCTGGCGCTAGGAGATTTGTTGCATGAAGTCATTGTTCTCAAGCTATAGTAAAGGAATATTATACGACCCGGCGAATATGAAGGGATCGCTGCGAGATTTATTTAACCAGAATATGTAAAGTGCCTAGTGTTTGTGTTGATTTTAATGTTTATTGTGTAAATATTTTCTTTGTGCGTCCTACATTCCTGCTGTAGACGGAGATAAAAAATTTGATAAATTTCTAGAAATAAAATATGATCACGAAAGTGTTGAATCTACGTAAAAACGGCAAAGTTGCTTCAAAACGCACCGTTTTAGGTCCTGAAATTAATAAACCTAGGAAACATCAATTGGGTATTAATGTTTATATTAGGAAGAGGAGTATCGTATAGTTTTTATTTACCATCTATATAAACACATAGTATTGTAAATTGGTTGTCGATCCATGTAAGACTATGAGACCCAGTTGGTTTGCTTAAACAACGCGGACTAAAGCAACATGGGTTTCCTGTTCTACTTGTAGTGACGTCAGTATAACTTCTCTTCTGCAAACGTATGTCTTGAATTGCATGTTTATAATCCTGCATTCAGCCATGCTTTGCTATGTTTATTTACAGACAATCTTACATCGTCTTACATCACCTCTATTATTAATGTCATTCAGTGGTAGCTGTCAGTAGTTGGAACATTCAAGCCTAACTCATTTCTAGGATAATAACATTAACTTTTCTCTGTTTATAAATTTCCGTGGATTGCTTATTATTGATGACGCAAAGACCTCTTATATCAGTGACTCTGTTTCTTAAATGTCTCCGGATAAATATTAAGTTTCAACTTCTATAACTAAACATTTTAATGAAATAACCGGGCTGTTTCATAAAAAATTCATACCTGAATTCCATTTAAATTTGATTTCAGATCAACAAGGTGATAATCACAAAAGGCTGGAGATGTTTGGACTGTACATTTTGTGAAGGTTGTGGCAAAGGAAGTGATGAGGCTAGATTGTTGTTGTGTGATAATTGTGATATTAGTTATCACACATATTGTCTTGATCCACCATTGGATCATGTCCCTCATGGAGGATGGAAATGTAAATGGTACGTTTTAATACAATAATATCGTTTATTACAGTTTCTCGCAGCAGTTAGGCTGAATAGGGCTTTTAACCATAATTTCGACGTCGGCTCAAAAAGTCGACCTTCTCAATGTAACTTCATGGTGAGATTGTTCTCAATGATGACAAAAGTTTCCTGAAAAGAATTGGTTTAATTTGCTTCTAGGTGTGTGGTGTGTACTCTTTGTGCAAGAACAACTCCGGGGAAGTCGTGTAAATGGATGTCAAATTACACCCTGTGTGGACCTTGTTCTAGTCTAACTACCTGTCCAATCTGTAAAACTTTGTATAAAGTGGATGACTTGATGATCCAATGTGTTGAATGTGAAAGGTGAGTAATATCTAAACTTGATGCGTCGATGTTTGAAACAAGCCGGACATTATTAGGTTATGACTGCATGGCTATTTCAACGTGCTTTATGCATAACATGCGTGCATCAATATACCCGACACCGAGCCTTGATCAAGATACACGCATGTAACATGATATGTTTGGATCAACTCAATAGCGTTGTTTTTTGTTTTTTTTCTAATCTGTAGATGGCTTCATGCGTATTGCGATCAATTTACGAAAGAAATAGATGTTGAACGTGCCGCAGATGCTGGATACAAATGTTATTATTGTCGTCCAAAATCGCAAAGTTTTTTTGCTTGCATAGCATCTACTAGTAGTATAACGACAACCTCGCGTTGGGGTCAGTCTACGGTCAATACTCTCGCCTCTATGTCTTCCTATGCTTTTGGCACTTTTGGTGAGTTGTGTTTCTCTCAGGGCTAAGTACGAAGCATTTAACTATTTCACTATCTCATTTATTCTGCGTATAAGATTAGCGGATGTGAATGATCGTTCCTATATAGCTCACCGGCTGACGCTAGATCTGAACATGTTTCTTTATGTTACTTTGGTGATGACTCTAAAAACGAACTTCAGATACAAACAGCATTTTTTGTTTTCATTTAGGACCTTCGTCTCCAATGGCTACCTCCATTCAACATTACCATCCAGGATCAGGGAGAAAACCATTGCACCCAGTTCAAAGATACGGTTCTAAAGGAACAGTTGAGATGAGTCTTGCCAGTCGTATTGCACTCGGAAATACCGGGGAGAATTGTTCACCAGCTGCAGTTTTTTTAACTGAATGTGGCAGGAAGCATATTGATGAAACTAAGAGGCATCATAACAAAGTGATTAAGAAGAAACAAAAACCACGGAATAGAATGAGGAAAACTGATCAACCTGGTGGGAATAATGCAGTCACAAATGCAGAGAGGTCATCGTCACAAACTGGAAGGGGCACAGCTCCTGAGACTAACTCTGGCGGTGAAAATAACACCTGGGTAAGATTCATGTTTTATGTCATGCATGATTCGTGACATTAGGCCTTCTATATCAGCTAGCTAAACACATACGTTTGTGTAGTTTGACTCGAAACAATATCCAAGAATCTTATTTTCTGCATGTTTATTCTTCTTGCATGTCACAGTCTGCCCGTCAACCATTACAAGCAAAGAAGACGGCAAGCAAGAAACGTGATGGGGGTGCTGCAACTAAAGATAATCAATTGCAGAATTTACAGGTACATTTAGAAAGAATTCTTACATGTCATTTTTATAAATTTTATACTTGTTCTTTCTTTTACTTAAAATCTGGGGAAGAGAAGGGAAGAGACCAGAAATGATTTATTCTTATTGAAACAATTGAAAGAGACGATAGAACTCTATAGGTTAAGAGAACAAAGGGAGTGGTCATTCTAAGGCATATATAATCATAATCCATTGTGATTAATCACCGTGATTCAGGATAGTCTTATTATATATTGAAATAAGCGTGCAATTTTAGGTATAAAAGAAAGAACTTTTTATGATCCATCAAGTACCATTTATCCACCCTTTTTTATTTTGTATTAAGCACTTTGTGTTAATACAAAATGATGCAATATCCATCATGGTCGACCTTGCGACCTTATTACTATCTAAGTGCATGTCTAATCTCTTAATTTCAGATGGACTTTTTCGGACGAAGTTTATTAATGTCTACAACATCAAACATTGCTGAAAACATCCCCTACACTCATCCTTCGCCTGCCAAGGATGTCACTGATAATGTCAAAGAAACTGTAAGCCAGCCAATGGACTCAGTCAGGTTTGTATTGACGTTTCATTTATTTAATTCCGTTATTTCGTTGGACCGTAAAAGATCGGCGGCTCAAAAGTGTTCATCATGACGTCCATTATCATGACTTTGCCATGTCATCGTATTTTACGCATGATTTTCATCTGCTCAAAATGATCAAACACAACTGAACTAACAAACCTTTTTGAAAACATCTTAGATGGTCTACACCGCCCGCTCTTGCGCAGAACGTGCCTGCTGCAGTTCACCCACCTGTCACGTGTGCACCAGCAATGCCGGCACCAGACCCTATAGAAACCTTACCTACAGCTCCCGATTTGAATCTTCCTGATCCCGATGTTCTTGTCAATCAACTGGGTATGCTAGTGACAGCGGCAGAAGGCGAAAGCATGAGAAACGAGCAAGATTCTTCAAACCAAGGTGAGAAGTACAGTTCACTCTTTGTGTAAGAGTGCAGTTAAAATGTTGTTAGCATTTTTATGCAACCTGCCACTGCTTGTATAATCGACAGCGGAAAAAAAGATTGCCCGGAAATTGTCGCCATTGTGTTTCTCGTTCCATTGATATATTTCATTGTTGGAAGAAACGAAAAGTTTGGATTGAAAATATGTTTAAGTTATGGTGCTAAAAAGTTTGTTGAAACATTGAAAATAAATTTCTGTCATTTGATTCAGGTGGACGGTTAACTGGTGGCTCTGTTTCCAGCGGTAGCCATGTTACAGAAGAGGTTCATTCTTTAAACCCAGATATTCTTGTTCCCCCTGGTGGAGACCTACCAATGGTTGATAGTAAAGATATCGAAGAATTCTTTACTGGTATAGAAAACGAGTTAAATCAGAGACAACCCGGTTTAGTTTCTGATCCACTGTTGAGTTCTGTTGGTGTTCACGTGCAGTCCAACCCAGTTCCCCAACGTCCTCCCCCACCTCCCTACCCGGCTGCATCACGCGGACCATATCTTCGTGAGATTCATAGTCATGCTTGGGACACAATGCCAGTTGGAGAACCGCCGCCTTACCAGACCACACATCAAGACCATCGTATTCACACTAATATCGATATGGTTCATACTCCCACGAATGGTTCTCGTGTTGAACCCGAGTTTGAACATTTTGATGATGATTTAGGACCACGCCGACCACGTCCCGAGAGCCCCCGAGCTGATAGTCATAAGCAACTTCTAAAATGGCAGGAAGATGAAAAACTGGGAGCCATGGCAACCATTTCGCCAGTTCTTTATGCTAATTTAAACTATCCTAATCTTCGCGAGGAATATCCAGGTATTTTCCTGATTTATTCTTCATTCATTGCAGGGGAAAAACAGTACTTGCTCACGTCGCATTTGCATGAGAATTTTTCGTTTACTCTTAGTTCTGTTTATAGTGTATTTAATATATTTTTACCGGCCACCATTGAATGATTTAAATTTAAAATTTTCTATAGAATGGGTACCAAGATATCGGGCGATGGCAAGACTATGGAGAAAACTAAGAACAGAAGAACGAGAACCTTATCGGGTGAGCAAACTATATAATGCATTCTCATATAAGGAAACCTTCCCAGCGGGAGAGGGGGGTAGTTCATAGTGTTTGTATAGAAAGATGAATGCAACATTTATGATGAAGTTTACTCGTTGCTTTGTCCAACACAAACTTAACTAAACCTAATCAAATGTTTGTCTTCACAGCATAGAGCGAGAGACAACAGAGTTAAGTTGAAAGATCAGATAAAGCGGGTAAGTAAACCGTGACCACTATTAACACCTGTTGAGCCAATATATTCCTCGATATTCCCCTGTGACTGTAATGTCAGTCCTAATCTTCTGTTCCTACTTCTGCTTGCAGAATGGCACTTCAAAACCTGGAGTATCCAGTTCACAGATAACCACAGAGGCACCTGCAGCACCTGTTGTCAATGGACTGCCCATTGAACGTCAGCCGGAACATTCATCCAATGTTAAAAGCGAACGCCCAATATCCTACCCAGGAATGATTGCGCCAAACCCACACAACAATAACACCCAGGTTAATATAATTACCAACACAGAAAAATCTCAAGTGATGCAGGTTGTACCACAGCAACCCAATGCACAATATCCTTTCCCCTCAAAACCTTCCTTCCCACCAACTGAGCCTCTGGCGAGTATAAGTCAACCGATCCAACCAGCAGAACCAACGTTGACGTCACCCCAGGGCGCTCATAATATGGCAAACGAAGTTTCCAAGAAAGACAGAACTCCAAAAAAGAATCGTGGTGATCGAGACAAGGAACGGGAGTTGAAAGATAAGAAGAATCAAATATGGCAAGAAAGGGAGAGAGAATGGAAGTTGCTGCAGCAACAAAGACAACAAGAAAACCGAAAACAACAACTTCAAAACCAAGATATTTACTCTGTACGGAAAGACGTTCGCAGTAAACCAAATAAGACCGCTGACTGGAGAAAACCTGCGTCCGAGGCTGATAACGTAAGTCAAATTACAGTCCAACATGGCAGTCAGGCATCCGCTCATAATGACAGTTCAATTCAACGACAGTTGTCAAATTTCATTTCGTCCACCCAGTCGGGCGGAGTTGAACAGGCACTACAGGATGCTTCGGTCATTGCTGTACCTCATGCAGAGAGAGTTGTTGAAAATTCCCAGTCAAGCTCTTCATTTCCAATAGAAACGGTCGTTGCGACAACCTCAGTAACATCTGTTGAAATCCAAGCATCGCGTTGGAGGCACGAGCCATCGTGTCCTCCAGGGAATTCTTTACCAGAAAAAACATCAAGAATCATGTCAGCCGAAGAGCAGCCTCAGAACTGGTTGTCCCAGCGTGATCAACATCAGCATACACAGCATTCAATGCAGCAACACATTTCAGAATCACAATTACATCATCATGAAGTACGATATGAGCTCCAGCAACCTGGCCAACCGGAACAAACAGGTTTTAATCAACCAACATTAGCTCCTCAAGTGCCGGCTTCTACGCCAAATACTCCTATCTCGTCAAATAACGAGCTTAACAAACCCGTGTCGAGAGAAGCAAGTGCTTACCAATCAGCTACGCAGCATTTAGCGGTGACCCGGCCTGAAATGTCCGCAGTTCATTCAACACAGAGTGAAGCATCTGAATCAAACCGCGACCAAACACCGCGTCAAAAACAACAAGAGGCACTACAGAAGCAGCAACAAATACAACATTTGCAGAAACAACAACAGTTGCAACAACAAGAAGTGTTACAGCGAGAACAACGCAAGCAGTTGGTCCTTGCTCAAAAACAACAGCAAGAATTTATTCAGATGCAGCTAAATCAACATCGTTTTCCCCCACAACAACCGTACCAGCCTCCACAACCACCTCGTCAGGCCAACCAGTTCACAGTTAACACAAAAGAAATGCCCGAGATAGACACCGAAGAAGAACATCAGGAACGTTTGCAGTATTTATATCGACAGCGACAAATGCAGAAACAACTACAAGCTCGACAATACATGGTGCAACAGCAAACACCTACACCACAGAATATGTGGGGAAATAATGCGCAGGTAATGCCAGGCGTACCTCCAGCCATAGCTTCAGATCCAATTCAACAACGACTGTTTCTTGAACAACAACGTACATCTCAGCGTCATGATCTTCAACTTGTTAGCATGGATAAATCAAATCATCCCCAGCATATTTCTAATCCTTTCAACCAACAGCCTTTACCTGCAGCAATCGTAGATCATACTCCAAAGTTTAATTTCCATGAGCTTGCAAAGAATGGTCAAAATGATTCGGAATTTTTAACAGCAACACAAGCAAGTCACTCGCAAGCGAGCATTTCAACATATTCCACCCAAACCCTAGCGACGAGTCATGCTTCCACGACTGCAATCTACTCAGACATTGCTTCTGCAAAGAGTGAGAAACGAAAGACTGGAAGAAAGGATCGTAGGAGTTCTACAATCGATCTTTCGACGCATGCTGGTCATTTCGGAGCTGCTGGTTATCCAAATGCTGCTGTCGAGACTGAAGCTCAACGCGATATTGTTGCTGTAAATCATTCTGGAAACATTGAGAATGAGATCTTACCTGTCAGTCAAGAAACTTGCGTCACTGTGGACGAAGGTAACGCTAGGCGTGTTGATACAGCTGACCCAAGCTTTGCCCCTCCAAATGATGAAGTTAGGGAACACGAAGATCAAGGAAATGGCGACGAATTCAGTGGAAAACCGTTAGTTCTCCCGTATGGCACAGGTAACCCATCTTTACCAGCTAATCCAGCCAACCCACAACCAGTTCTACCACCGCCACAACTTGCCCTCTCACCTCAACAACAACACATGCTATTACAAGCTCAGCAACAGCAGTTACTTTGGCAACAAGCTCATTCCCAGTTACAACATCAATATCAGTTGCTGTATCAACAATTACAACAGTTGCAGATTCAGTTGCAACAGACTCAAGATCCCGCATTGCATCAGCGGGTTTTGCAACAGCAGCAACAACTGAGGTTTTTGCAGACACAAATACTGCAACACTGGCAACAAGGACAACTTGTTGTACAACAAATACATATGCAAGTATTTGGTCTAAACGCGATGTATAACCAAATGGATCCGACGCAGCAGAAACACATGCAATTATACCAGCAGGAACTTGTGCGCCAACAACAACAGTGGGCGCAGCAATATGGTAGCTCCATGGGTTTGACGGATATTTTTGGAAGAAATCCTGGCCTGCCACAGGATATTCGGCCACCAACCAACGAGGTAAGTTGTTACAAATGTAAGAGCTCTAAAACAAAATGTTTTGGTTTCTCACTAGCTTTTCACAAGCAAAGGAATTTGTAAAAAATTTTACTGTTTAAATATGTCGTTGATTTTTCTTTCCGTTTTCGTAGTGAGATTGTACATAGGGCATTTCCACGATACTATTGTCGCTTTGATCACACCATTAACTTCTCTAAACTACTATAATTGTATTTCTAAACTCACTGTAAACATATAGTTCACGTAATTATATTTTTTCGCCACTAGGAGAAGCCAAAACGTAGTCGACGATCTCGAAGTAAAGCGAAGAATCCTCCAAAAGAATCAGTTCCTACATCAAGTGCTCAAAATATTGAGTTGACTCTTAGCGATTCCGGACCTGTTGTTCAAAAAACTCAAGCGACGACCATTACTCAAGGAACGGCAGAAATCACAACAACCGTGGCTACGACTGTTGCACAAAATGTACCTGAAAGTGGAGCGATTACTAAAGATGAAAAGCAAGAGCGACAGAATGAAGTAGAAATACAGCAACAAGGTCTACAACAACATGGTCAAGAACAAACTGTTGAACAACAACAGGTGACTCAGCAATCCGAAAAACAACAACCAACTTCAGGGTATCTGCGAGTCGACCAGCTACAAACTCAAGATTCACAGGGACACTATCAAGGTCAACAACAACAATCTCAGGAATTGCAACAACAACTGGCACAAAACCAATCACAGCCAAATCAAATTCAGCAGCTAATTCAGCAACAACAGCTTCACCAACAGCAACAGCAACGTCGTCAACAACAACACCAGGAACAGACACACCAACAACCTCTGGCTATTCATCAACAACAACTTTCACAACAACAACTTGCGCAACAACAACCAGCGCCTCAGCAACAACATCAGTCCCATCAAAGCCAACAAGAACAACAACAATCACAACACGTTCATTCAGAAAACATTAAACAACTTAATCAACAACCTGTTGCTGACCATATGCAGCTTCAACATCAATTACAACATCCACCGTATGAACTACAGCATCGCTCTCAGCCAACAACACCCCAGCAACCAACTCCTTTTCCACAACAGCAAGAAAATTTGGAACAGCAAGCATATCGCACACATGGTGAGATATCTTCTTCATTCAACAACAGTGATGTCACAAGAGATCATCCTCAAGCTGTGTTAGAAAGACGGCCAACACCAGGTAAATGAAATTAGGTTTTATCATGTCACAAAACTGGACCACAATCACATTACTAGGACAATTTTGTAGGAATTTGTTGTTGTTTTTGTAAACCATTATAGCAGTAGTATTTCGGTATCGTAAACCTGCCTAATTAACTAACAAATGTTTGCTTCGGTTGTTGTTTGATCATTTCTTGTGTAAACTTTACAGATGGTAGATCCAAGATGGAGCGAACGAATAGTGCCGTACATGACGGCTCATGCAGACCTGTTGATAGCTCATGTATCCCGATCATCACCGGTCAATGATGCAACACAGCATAGTTTAGTTGGTAGTTCCTCCACGTCACAATCTAGGACAGGTATCACTTCACCCAAAATAACCAGCGTCCCTAACGATACTGGAGACAAAAATCAGGCTCCGAAAGCGCTTGAAAAACTGGAAATGATGGTTGCCGATATGGATGTTGAAGCAAAAAGAACAGAGGCGGAGACCGCTCGTAGAGCTGAAGAGATGCAAAATGACGATTTCATTTCGGAGACGCTGACTGTGATGAATATATCATCCAGCAATGAAAGTCTACAAACTTTATCTGGGCAGAAAGACATTGTCGCAGCTGGAACCTACGGTGTTAATATTTTATCCAACATTCATGGCTCAAGCAAACCGGAGGAAATGAAGAATGAATTTGCTGGAAATAATCATTTTGTTGAAAAGAAAGTTCCCGAGGAATTGACCCTTAAGAATGGTTCTGATTTAAGTTCCCCCAAAGCTGTAGCCGCTTCATATACATTTATGGCAAACGCTGAGCTAAAAGATATTCAAGATACGACGAAAACGCTTGATAAAAATGATACGAAAGATGATTCACGAAAATCTTTGGAGAGTTCACATGAACAAGAACAACAAAAGCCGGAAATAATGAACAAAGAGCAGGATGACCTCGTCAGAGTAAAACGACAATTTGAAAGTGAGGAGCGTGAAAGAAAAATTTCCGAAAGGAAAAAAATGAAAAGTCTGCATTCTGATCGAAAACATAGCAAGAAAGAAACAACACGTCGATCATCGAAATCTAAGAAAGCGAGACTCACCGATGAAGCTATAGTTCAATCATTAAAAGAGCTTCCTCCTTTGCAATTGTGTGAACCTGAGTTTCTGATGCCTAGCTTAATCATTCAACCAACACTCAATGGTTTATCCCGTGGACAAGCCGCATTTCGAGGTTCATTTGGCCGCTCATACATCGCTGGTGTTGACGATCATTACGCGAATAAAAAGTTTCCTGATGTTAAAGCATGTTTGGGTAATCCTCCAACCCCACCAACCTCTTTACCACCCTCCCCCACCTTTGTTCACAATCTAGCAACGAAAGAACAGCGGGTGTATGACATGTTAGCCGAACGAACGCATAATTCATTCTCGAATTCAATGTTTCCAACACCTCCCTATGGTGACTCTGGAGCAGACGTTAAAAATGGTCTTTCGAAAGGGAAACAAGTTGATCGTATACACCGTCAAAGATATGGCGCGTTCGAAGATCATTCGCAAATTTTGGCTGGAACGGCAGCACAAAACAAGACATATCCTGCATTTGTTATCGATAAAGGTTTGAGTGTTCGTAGTAAAGCTGAAAGTTCTCTTCAGATGGACAATGATGTAAACAAGATATACAGTGATGTTAACGTAACATTAACTATTTCTGCAATCTCAGATAAGACTGTTCATGAAACCGTAAATGCAATAAGTGAACTAATCAATGTTGATACTCCAAAAACATTCACTGTTCAATCACCAGTAAGAATTGCCTCAGCTGTGTACTTGGATAACAACGAGCGGATTAGAAACACGCAGTTTCCTACAGGACCTAACGTGGAGAGAGTTATGTCGACTGCTTTAGACAATTCAGAAATGAAGGAAGATAATTTTGGACCATATTGTCGACATTGTGATCTTGTTATACTTGGTATTGGGGTTGTTAGAAATACTTCGACAGAAGAAAAAAAGGATGATTCAAATGATAGCAGGGCGTTAGATTACAAAAATGTTAATGTCGAAGATGGAATCAATGATGATAGAGATATATTCTGTTCAAGTGCGTGTCTAAAGCAGTATTACTCGTTGGATACATCTGAAACTTGTTCAAGCAAAGGATCTTCTTCATCCGTTACCACTCCTGAGGAGGAATTAAAAACTAAAGCGTTGGCAACATCAAATGAATTTGTGAATGAAAATGATGGGGAAATGAAAGTGAGAGGCGATGAAGTCGCTGAAGGAACGTCATCTTGCTCGCTAGGGAAATCTCACCAAAAATCACAAAATGATGAGGTAGAGGTCAGTTATTTTTTTTATATAGTCAGAAATTCTTTACATCTCGTTTTTTGGATTGTCTGTGTTTGTCTTTTGCTTCATTGTTACTCACTATTCTTCCCCCCCCCGTCGTAGGTTGAGGAAAAACGCTCTAAGAAATCTCAGTGGCGGAGATGGAAGGAAACACCGTCTCCGAAAACAAAACCTAACGAATTATCGGATGATGAAGTTTTCCAGGTAATTTTTGTTCTTTCGTATGGCACTATTATCAACTATTTACACCTTCACTTCATCCGTTTTCTTGCAGCTTTTGGTTAAAAATGGAATGGCAACAGAATCAAAGTCCTCTGAAAAAGACAGAAGGTCTTGTGTTTTATGTTATCAATCTGGTGACGGAGATACCAATGGTAGAGCAAGGTATGTACTTCTGTGACACTTGAACTTTACGTATTTGAAAATGTCTCGACGATATCCACCATCTTCAATAATGTATCTTCGTCCTGTTGAGGGAAGGACTTGATTTATAAAATGATCCTTGTGTAAAATCTATGCGCAAATAGCACCGCAAGATTACTGTTGCCACTTTTTATTTCAGTGATTGCGCGTGACTCGTTTAATGATTTTTTTCCTAGATTACTGAATGTTGATTTGGATGCCTGGGTTCATCTAAACTGTGCGTTATGGTCTCATGAAGTTTATGAAACACAAAACGGCGCGTTAATGAACGTTGAAGACGCCATCAAGAGAGGGGAGAAAACGGTAATTATCCCGGCAATGTTGTTGTTCAAATTAACAACATCAAACGGAAGTAGGTTAGCAAGAGAGGAAAAAAAGGTCTGATAAAAACAACAAGGGAACTATACCGGTAAAATTCGTAGTTCCTAATTTCTCTGGGAGAACTATATTTAAATGATAGAATTTTCAAGGAGGAATAATGTCTTTGTCAGGTTAAATCAGTTGTTAGAAATATTTTGATTCTCCGTCTTATTGCGGTTTCTCCCATCGATAGGAATGTGTTGTTTGTCATGGCAAAGGTGCGACCATCCTTTGCAGCAAAGTTGTTGGAACATGTCTTGTCAACTGTAGCAATAGTTACCATTTCCAATGTGCTCGTGATCATGGTTGTCTCTTCTTTAAAGATAAGGTTTGTCAAATATCAACAACGTATACATTATAAAGAAAAGATTTTCATACTCAGAGTTAGTACCTTAATTGTCATGCTGGATCGAAAGGCTTCATTATATCATACGAGTTTATGTTTCTTTAATTTAGACTGTCCTGTGTCCAAAACATCAAAGTGATTATTTAGAGGAAAATACTTTGCCATCTCATGCTGTATTTAGAAAAGTGTTTGTCAACCGCCAAGAGATTGAACAAATTGCAAAGTAAGGCGCTATTCCTTTCATTGCTTTTTCGAAGCAAGTTCAGATTTAAATAGTCAAATAAACTGGCGATATGAAGACTTTGTAGAAATAAAGTATATTAGTAAGATAGGGAAATATGAAGGCAAGTATGGCGATATATGAATTACCAGAAGTGTGCATGTGTTGACCATGTGAAAGTTGCAAAACACTAGCTAGAACAAGGGAGTAACGATTTCTTCATCATCTAGAATGCTGAATCATAACCAGACGAGCGAGAAACCATATTCATTCAGGATTGGGAATTTAATCTTAAACTCCATTGGTCAACTTTTACCCCATCAAGTGCAAGCATTCCACACTCGCGATTTTGTCTATCCAGTTGGCTTCTCGACGACACGAATTTACTGGAGCATGCGCGTCGTCGGTCGGCGATGTCGTTATCAGTGTCACGTGAAAGATGTAAATGGTGATCCATATTTTGTCGTGAAAGTTGAAGAAGAAGGATACGAAGATGTTTCGTTTGAAGCCAGGACACCCAGAGGTAAATTGACCTAAACTTTACAATTAGCGATCTTCCCGAATTAAAAAATAAATCCAAACAATACATTACTGGTAAATCTTGTCCCTCAAACTTCAAATTTCTCAAATTTTACGTTCTCATTACAAATATTTGATTGTTCATTTAAGTTCTTTTATTTGTACGGAGCAGGAACAATTTCTAATTGTATTTTGTATACGTTTTATAAAACCAGATGCGTGGTTGAAAATACTTGAACCAGTCGAAAGCCAACGGAAAAACACAAATCGTGTGAATCTTTTCCCAGGGTACATCACTGGTGAGGTAAGAGTGTGGAGGACAAAAAGATTATATAATTATTTGATAATATTATTAATTTACTGTTCTAATGATATTCCTCTCTTGTCGTCAGGACTTGTTTGGCCTTTCAGAAACTCTTATTGTGCGGATTGTGGAATCGGTAAGTGATAATCATGTCTTGGACAAATTGTCTATTAAACTGTCAATCATATTAGTTGTTGTTTTGAGAAGCTTTATCCTTTTTCAAATAGATTAACATGCTTGCCCTGTCTATAAATGTATACTTTTTACTCATATTTTTCACGTCTTATTCCCAGATGCCAGGTGTTGATCAAATGCAGGGCTATAACATGAGATATGGTCGATCACCAATTATGGAGCTACCGCTGGCCATCAATCCATCAGGTTGTGCACGCTCAGAACCACATCTAAGAACACATTTCAAAAGGTGATTTGACTAGAAAAATTTGATCACATCAAGTATGTTATGTAATATGTATCATTAAAATGCGTATTTATTAACAGGCCTGCGAGAGCTCGTCGCTCCACTAAGAATGCCTCGTCAGCAACTACCGTTGTTGTTCCACCAGAAGAGTTCAACAACAGTGTTTATTCAAAACAATTTGCACATTCTAAAACCCAGCAATATCGAAAATTGAAGTCCGAGTGGAGGTCGAATGTTGTTCTTGGTAGATCACGTATCCAGGGGCTTGGTTTATTTGCCAATAGAGATCTCGAAGGGGTAAGTTTGATAAGTGTCAAGTAATCTATGTCTGCCTTGCGGTAATTATTAAATATTGTACATCAATATATAACATGACTTCAATATCTTCAATTTAAATATTTTCACTAGAACAACATGGTGATTGAATATATTGGTTCAATCATAAGAAATGAAGTGGCGAACAAAAGAGAAAGAATCTATGAATCTCAGGTAAGCTCCAGTTTTGTTAATGATCTACGTATCCCAGATTGCTCCAGGATGATCAAGCATAACACGTCTTACAAAATTGATCAGTTCGTTCATACCACTTGATGATGATGGCTTTACTTGCGTTCCAACAACTTTATATTTCGCCTTATTTTAGAATCACGGTGTTTACATGTTTCGTATTGATAACGATAGCGTCATTGATGCAACGATTGCCGGTGGACCTGCTCGATACATCAATCATTCTTGCCAGGTAATTTACCCATAGTATACCTGTTTTATTGTTTCATTTAATTCTTTGTTACTCTATTCCACGATCTTCCTGAAATGCTACTGTGTTCAGCTTAGTGTTCGCAACAGCTGCACCTTCAATATCTCTGCTGTAACTCTTAGTTAAATATAGAGCAGGCTTTTTCCTTGTAAATAGTTGTTTTTTCTTGATTTTTAGCCAAACTGTGTTGCTGAAGTTGTAAGGTTCGAACGAGAACAGAAAATTATAATAATATCAAACAGACGTATAGAGAAAGGAGAGGAGGTAAGTGCTCGCGTATAATAAATATAACTTATTACGGATAGATTACTCGCGTTCGCGCTGTCTAACATGGCAAATTCTATCATTAAAAAATTATAAAGCTCTAAATATAATTTTAGACTTTACTCTTTAGTGCCTGTTTAACAATATTTCTTTTATTTTTCAGTTAACGTACGATTATAAATTTGATTTCGAAGATGACCAACACAAGATTCCATGTTTGTGTGGGGCAGTGAACTGTCGGAAATGGATGAATTAATTCTGCCTCGATCTCGTCATTTTAATCACGTGAACATGTCCTGTATTTATTATTTATTTCAAATGGGGAGATATGAATGAACAATTACAGTAAAATGTAAGCGCAGAATTAGAATGTATTGTAGTAGTTTTAAAATGCCCTTATTGTACAGTCTAAATATAGTATTTTTAAACAGTCTTCTGTAATTGTACATTTTACAAAGATAAATTATTTATTCTTCAATGATAGAAGACTCTTTGAATGTAAGATGTTTTGGTTTACTTTTAGAAAACGTATAACACAACCCCGATACGTGTATATACAGTGGATATAGATATCGAATATATAACAGTGCGTAAATAATTAAAACACTATGAAATAACATTTTTGTGATATGAACAGAGGAAATGAATTATTCGTTATTTTGAATTAAAAAGGGAGTTTACTAGAATAATGTTTTGCAGACAGAAAATATGCATCCAGTTCCATCATTGCGTCCACTTGTGTACCAAATCAGTTACATTACCTGTTCACTTTAATTTCGCTTTGTTATGATAACCCCGGCTTCTAGAAACGGGTACCATGTGGCGAGTTCAAAAGTAATAAAGAAAAACGAGAATTCTTTTCAATTTTTACCAGCAAAGCAAAATCACGGAAATTAAGATGAGAAACTCACAACAAACATGTGGCCAAAAGTAAATATTGTGTTAACTTCAATAAGTGGCATTTGAGAAGCTCTTCAAACATTTTTGTGACAAATTATTATATTAGTCAGAAAACAACGCCTATGCTGGTTATGCTTATAGATCACCACTATGGTCAGCACCTCTCGCTCTTTTATTGCGCTATAGACTTATCGTATTTGATTGGTTCATGTTCTTTTAAAGGAAACAATAGTAATCTGAGCCCTGCTATTTATCCCGGTGACATTCAGGAAGAAAAAGAGGGCATTGACATGCATTAAATCTATCCAAATCTCACTAATACAATCGATATTTGAATTCCATGGACTACACAATTTGATCTGTTGTAACAGTTTTACGTCATAAGCTCCCAATTTCATGCAGGGGCAAATTTGAAAAGGAAACCATAAATTCAATGGTCTAATGATTATTCTATTTTTATCATAATATATTGCTTGTCGGTAGTTAAGACTTGAGAGAGCATTAGATGTAGGAAAAAAATTTTCATTACAGACAATGAACGTTGAGAACCGTAAGACGAATTACTTGATATCATTTACACCGTTATTACCGCTAACTTTGGTCGAGTAGGATGCAATTTAAACAATAGATAATGAGATGATAATGAGCATGTGGTTTGGTTCAGGTTCCTTTCTTGTAACAGCAGTTGTTTTTTCTTACCTGCCAAAAATTTTGGCGGGGGGAGGGCGCTTGATTCTTTGTATGCTTATCTCCGCGGTCCATGAAAATTGGATTTTACGACAGAAATGAGAAAATTGACTTGTGTGTTAGGCCTGATACAGCCGGTCGCAGCTGAATAATTAGGCCTAGTCTCCATTAGTGCCATAAAGGAGACAAAGAAAACAAAAGGCTGGTGTTTTAGACTCATTATCATTCATCGAATTCAATAACTACAGCAGTGCATATCTAAAAAAGGCCATCACTCAAACCTCATACAGTTGAACTGCTAATAGTCATGTTGACTAAACTGATAATGCTGCTACTTGCCTGTTCTTACACCTTTTCTCACAAAGATAACCGTGTGTATTTCGATACTCAAGGGTCGGCATAAGCCGCACGATAGCTTTGCTCCAACCGATAAGGGCTCGGAAGCACTTGATCGTCAGCCTCAGGAAATGTTTCCTCAAGCAATATCAACTATGATGACGTTTGATGGATGCCCATGTTATCTCAGTGTCAGTGTGTCAGTGATATTGTACAGTATGTATAAAGAAATTTAATCTAATTTTTGCATGTCATTGTATGCGTGGTTGAGTTAATGAACATTTTTTTCATACGAATTCAGCCTTATTTTGGCATTGAATAATGAATTTTTTAACAGTTTACAGCAAAGTGTGAGTAGAAAACATCTCACAGGCTAGGCCAAATTTTAGTATTTTGTCAAATCAGGTTCTTTGGGTATATTGGTATCTGACCAAAAAGTAATAGGATATGACGTCTCATGACGTACCAAGAGGTAAACCAAAAGCCAGTATTGCACTTGAAAAAACTTTAAATGCACAAAGATATCACTGTCATCGTACTGCAGTCCTCGTGTTAATTTCTATATTTATATCTCAACTGGAATTTAATTGTTGTGCGTGACATTGATCTGGCAACATGAAGCCATGAACGTATTGAACTATTGAGCATTAACAAAGAACGGTACTGTATCCCTGCTGCTGGTGCCATATCATTTGCGTGAGAAAGAGTTCAACCTCAATTTTGCCAGAGAAAAAGAAAGTAAGGGGCTGGCGACAAAAAGGAGTTTTAACCGTATTAGGCAAATTGGAGTGTTGTAAAATGAGCATGCTCCACAACCTCTTTACTCTGAATTAATGCAAATATGGATTAATTAAAAGAGAGGAAATATCGGATCCAAATTGCAGGCTCAAGATAAGGTCAATGAAGGTCATGGAATAGAACCTGGTCCTTTTTGCGGCAGGAGCAATATTTTAGGCTAACTCCACCTTGAGTCTAGATCAATCATAATTTTATTATGTTTTATAAATATACATTCAAACACCAGCTCGTAACCAGACAATAAAGATGACAAAAAATAGGCACATTAAGGGGGAACCTTGGGTACGAGGTTGATTATGGGCTTTCACGTAGACCCTGCAGCTTGACCACTGATCTTTGTAAAAGCCTGTAGTGTGCTTATATTTAGTCATCATTAGCGCATTGTTCCAAGCGCAGCGATTGGTTGTTTGCAAAGCTGTATTGAAAGGTGTCAGTTAACGAGCAGTGGCAACAAAAGGATTTTTTTCATTTTGTTTCAGTTGAGTGTTGAGCTAAAATATGGATTGCAGCACCGTTTATCACTCATCGGTTGCTATGAAAGAAAGAGAAATGCCACGAGGTTGCGCGTCATTTTGGGGGAAATGTCAAGCCCGTTTTCTACTAGGCAGATAAAAAGTAGGAAGTGTTTCTACTTTTTCGCGCTGAACAATCGCGAACAATCACATCACCATATTTCAGATATCGCTTCGCGTCTCGCGAATACATTCGCCTGGTGGAAAACGGACTTAATTAACGTGATTAATACAAGCATTGGTGACAACAACGACTGCCAAAATTTTTTCTACAAGTTGCGCATATGTAAAATTGTAAACGCACCTTTGTATCTGGCAAATTTAGTCAAGTACGCCAACACTGACAGGTGAACAATATCTGAAGATCTAAACGCCCCAGCTGCATGACTTCAAGATAAATTCGTTATTTTGCCTAAGGCGTTTTCACTCGGGTTTCAACTCTATCTTTTGTTATTTTTTATGTAACAATTCGAACTGAATAGAAAAATGTTTGTGCTGTCAGTTGATTGATTTTAATAGTTGTATTAAATATTCAAAAAGCTTGCCAAATTCAAGCTAATGTATAATTGTAAATAGCAATATCTAATTGTCACGCAAGCACTTTAGGGAAAAATCCCTAGTCTAAATTGTGCTTGCATAATATAGCACTACTTAGAGTGACAAGTTGCTGTTTTTTAGCCTCAAGCCTAGTTCCCAGAACGAGACAAAGTCGAATAGCTAATCTCTAGGCAATTATTCGGAAAAAATTATTTAAAATAAGAACGAAATTTACATATCAGACAATTAGCAATTCAAAAACTTGTACCGTTACTAACAAAGAAGTGAGGATGGCCAAGGTTACGACACGCAACCAGACCGTGTCGACCTCATTGTCTGATATGGCCGCGCGAAAAGTTTCCTTGATTTTCTGTTGATTACACATCATGTACTTTATCGCAAGCAAAACCAAAGTAAACAATGACTGTAAAATTTGCCAGTGTATAATCGAAACGGCAAACAATCATTAACTGTCGTGCACATGCAAATCGGTAAAGTCCTATTAAGTCAAATGAAGATATGCAGGTAGCTTGCGCAGTTGCACGTCAAACAAAGTTGCTGTTTACACTTGACTATTTTTCATGTTAATGTCGCTCAGTACCTAGCTATTATTAACTGTATTTTTACTTAAAACGGCCAGAAAAACCTCCGCGATAAATTTGCATTGACAGACACTTGTTTGAATCTCGTTGCGTGTCAGGTTAATTTTTATTGTTTATTTCCGGCATGTGATTGGTTAAAAAAATGTAAATAAAGTTTCTATTGGGTGGCTCAAAGTGTACTACACGCGTTGTAACAGTGATTTCAGTGAGTTCACTCCACACAACACACAACACAAAAATATACGTTCGGATTATCTACGGTGAACGTGTTTACAAAATAACACGTTCATATGTTTCCTAATGTACGTACCTCACGTTTACACAAGAATATAATCTTGAATCCCAATGATTATGGATAGCGTGACGCGCAAATTGGAATCGAACAAGCGAATTCCCAGTTCGTCGGATCCAAATGTGAACATTGTTATGTACCTTTTACTATTTGCGAACACACGAGATAATAGTGAGACTGAAAAGTTTGCCAAGAGAGCTATTGAATCATTGGTAAAAAAACTACGGAAAAAAACAGAGGAACTAGATGCTTTAATACGAGCTGTATCAACTCGTGGCAAAGAACCGAGTAAATGTGTAACAATCCCGCGAACTCTAGATGGAAGACTTCAGGTTTGTGAAAGAAAGGGGTTTCCTCATGTCATATACACAAGACTATGGAGATGGCCGGATATCCAGAAAATGGAATTAAGGCATAATGATTCATGCCTTTATGGTTTTGACTTGAAATGCGAAACTGTATGTGTGAATCCATATCATTACGAAAGAATTGGTACAATACATACATTGGCAAGTAAGTAAATCCGTCATTAAAATCAGCTTTAATGTAACAAATTCCCTTTGTAATTGTGTTTTGCGTATTGCTACTTTTGTAATCTCATAGCATGCTTAAACACACATATATTTCTTTAAATCATGTTGTGATTCATCCTTCGTGTCGCGACTTGATCAGAACGGCTGAGTACCCTCGCACATTCCTGTTTGTAAATACTTCAAAATATTCATAATAATAATATAATAATCATCATAAACGTTCAAATAGTGATTGTGTGATAAATGAGATGTTAGAATACGTACTTGTATTCTAAATTAAAGGACTGCTCTGCCAACAAAACATGGTAATATTTCAATATATTCAGTTTGCGATATTCCCGTATTTGCGTCATTCGTTCGTAGCCCTCGTGACTTTGTTTACGACGAATATAGAGAATGTATTTTCATTAAATCCTCTCTAAACGAATCTACTTACTCTTAGTGTATCACAACATATTGAGATTCGTGTTGAGCTTTTCGTGACGTTCTCTTCAGTTTTCATACATTGTCAAATGGCTCATGCGATCACGCCAGACGAATTCGAGACTTTAATCAGACATATTTTAGTCTGAGAATAGAAAACTGTATGTGAATGCCGTCTATAGAACAGCCGCTACTTTAACTTCAATAGAAAAATTGTTAGCAGCTAAACACTGTTACTTTTTTGCGGCAATAGGGAAAATTTAAGACGTGGATATGCATTGATCTAAGCTAATGACTAAATACGATTTGTTACCAGATGTTGGATATAAAAATCCTACACTACGGTCAGTGACTGTGTGGGCTCTCATTCATGATTAAAAACATTGTTTATTTGACCTTTGCTAGTTTCCATTATTTATTTCGCGAATAGGTTGTTCTTATTTTCTTTACAAGATCATATTGTGTTATTTCAAAAGATTTTTGAATAGCTTGCGTGTCTTGACCGACGTCTGCAGACAAACATTACTGGCCACGCAATGCTTGAGAGAACATCGCAATCGTCAGACGTATTAAAGTCAAAGGTCGGCTTTGAGATTTCGTAGTAAACAAGTTGTGGTGTGTTATTATTTTAGCCGCTAAAATACCAACTTGAAACCGCTTTTGTACACCTGATACATTCTTGTATGATGTTGAAGATTTTTAGGAAAAGATTCACTAATTTGCACACATATTATAATTTATAATACTACAATATACAATGACAGGGCATAAATCCTAAAATGTTAATAAAAATCGTTGTGATACCGATCACAGTGACGATATATCCCGGTGTCGCCATTTTGGCGCGGGCAATAAGCACGGTCAATATGGGTTTATTATGTACATGTTGTCGTTGATTTAGACAAAATATCATTTTTCCATCCCAGTTGCTGCTCTGGTTCCCAGGGTCACACGCTAAGTAAGCTGCTTTGTTTAGCTAAGAAAATAATTGTCGGCATTGAAAAGATTAAAAAAGTTTTGCACAAGGAACATGCTTGTGGTATTTATCTGGTTATTATTCAATTCGATATATATTATAATTAAAATTTAGAATATGTATAGAAAATTAATTGAATGTTCTTGATTATATTTACAATAATGTGTCGTGTTGGGGTTGCTCATTAATTTAATAAGTTAAATTTAATACATAATAATAGCACTGCTACAAATACGATTCAGGTGTTGAATAAGAAGCTAGTGTGCACTTTACGCTATTAATTCAGTTACTTTTTAGATCACTAGTTCTTATAAACTGTGCTACAGTTTTCTGATATATATTTCTAAAATGTATTATTTGGCTCTGCATAATCAAGGGTTTATAATGCAATTAATATCAAGTTTTGCTCTATAGTGTCAGCATTCAACAATATTGCTCTCAATCACTGCTCACCAGTTACTGCCATTACCACAATACATGAATGTTTTAGTCAATGTAATCATTGTCAAAATTTTAATATTCTATTCTATAGTCAGGATGTAATCAAAACAATCCATTAATCAAACTTGATTGAATACTGGATTGTAATTATAATTTCAGGAATTCGTATTTCCTGTGATCCTGTGGATTATTTTGCTTTTTATTAAAAACATATTCTTGAACAACCAAGTTAATCAATTATAATACCCTGTCAACAGTAAATGTGGTTGAGGTATGAGCAAGATGTAACAGAATGATTGCTATGGATTTCCCTCAGAGAGCAGAGGTCATTATTTATTGATGTTGAGACTCCGGAAACAGACAAGTGTCGGTGAAGCACTTTAGAGTTTAATTTATTCAGTCTTAGAAGATAGGCGACTAATTATGTCTGGATATAGGTTACTGTAAGTTGATACGTATACTTATATTCTATATTCTAAAAGTACCTTCAATTATGATCTTTTCATGTCAGTACTATATGTAAATTCTGAACTTCATACAATAAAATGAGTATTAATAGAAATATGGTATTTGTTAATCTTTGCAAATAATTGGTTCTATTTTTAGAATAACACCAAACTTTATTAGTGTGGAGATTACTTCTAATTCCTATTTTCAGCAGCTAAGCTAAAAACAAACAAAAGCTAGAATCCATAAATTAATAGACATTAATGTGATAAAGTCTGAACCATAGTAGTGTAGGGGTTAATTATACTAACATTATAAATTATATTCAATTTGATACTTGAGCCTATCACGTTTGTTTTCCTTATTTGTAGATGATGTTTCTACACAATCATTTGCCAGTCCATTGGTTCATCCGGTTTCATATCAAGAAGAAACTCCAAGTATGTTGTATGAGCAACTTGCTTTTGCAAAAAATGCTGTACCAGTCACAATACCAACAGCAATTCCAACTGCCGATGATCCTTGCCCATTGATTGTACAAACATTGCTACAGTATGTTCATTATAAATGCCATAGTCCAGAGTTGGAAATATTTGCCAGAAAGGCAACTGAATCGATTGTTAAGAAGTTAAAGAAGAGTCCAAATGAACTTGAATCTTTAATAATTGCAATTACATCACAAGGCAAGCAGCTGTCTAGATGTGTTACACTACAACGCACAATGGATGGCAGATTGCAAGTTGGTGAGAAAAAGGATTTTCCGCATGTGATTTACACAAGACTTTGGAGATTTCCAGATGTACATAAAATGGAACTGAAACATGTAGAGTATTGTCGTTATGGTTATGATTTGAAAAACAACAAAGTTTGTGTCAATCCTTACCATTATGAACGAGTTCAGCCACCAGGTTTGTCAATATGCTTTTTGTTAATTGTGATAAGTTTGTTATCAGGTAGCATCTGGTGATTAACTTCACTAGTAATGATGCGAAAATAGGCAGATAAAATAAGCTACAGTTTGCCTGCCGTCTAATACACATGTCCTAAAGTGTTTCTTACATATTATAGGTAATGCATAACATACAATAATTCACTATTGAGTAGGATTTGGTGTCAAATTACAAGACTAAAAAGTGACTAGACAAAATATTTGAAATTGTATATTTAAAGATTAATTGCCACATGGATTGTATTACACAAGTACTCTGAGTTAGGGAGACGTAATTTGACTATTATTTAATAGTTTTGTAGTTTGAGGCAGTGAAATTGGCTAATCTTTAGCATGAGGTTGGTTTCCGAATTTGTATTTATTAAAACTGCAGTGTGTATATTTGCAGGTTACATTTACAGCTAAGTTCTGATTAAATGGTGTTAGGTTGCCTAATCAAGCCTTTGTCTGAATTAAAATATAATATGTCTATCAGCAGTGATTCATTTCCTGTGTTTTGTCTTTATTTTGAGCACAAGTTATGCCAAGAATTTTACCTATGCACTTTATTTATTTAAGAGTTCCTAAGAAAATATAAGGTCAGACAGTTATTGGGTACCTTAGGGCTCAGATTTCCATGTTTGTGTAGGATTGTTTATGGGTATTTTATTGGGAAACCCAAAATTGGATTGGTTCCAGATAATTGTATTAAAATTTTAAAATGAAATTAATTATGTATTTCTCACCTTGACCTAAGTCACCGAGATTGATATGGCACCGAGTTTGAACTCTTTGAACTATATGTCTGTAGCTTTGGACTTAGTCTACCTGTACTCAGTTTTATTGTTTTAATTTGTTTTTAGCACAAAAAAACATAATCCTAACAATTTAGTTATATAAAACGGTGAAATTTAAAGATAAAAAAAGTTTTTAACAACTGCGACGCTCGCGAGTCTGTGGAAATAGACTCTCAAATTCTATTGCGTTTCCCTTCAATAATCTTTTATATCTTTGAATATGCCTCATAGATTATTTGAAATAAGTAAAGAATTTTCAAATTAAGATGGTTTTTGATGAACAGGATATTTTGTGCGCATGTACTGTATGTTAGTTTCATATCAGATCAACAAAGTTGCTTATTATAGTTGGAAAAGCGGCAGAATTTTCGTGTAGTGTTTATTGTATTTGTTGCCTTTAGACTGGTTTCGAAGTTCTGTCTGTCCTGTTCCTGGAAATCCAACAACTGCTCTTGGTAAGATTTTTAAAAATTCTAGTCGTTAGCTGTCTCAGGTTGCGCACGCTTTATAAATTATAATTCATATTGGACTGGACCATATCGGAAAATAAGCGGATACCTGAACGGATTTCATATTATGCAATTTCGAAACCCTGACGCGAAGGTGTTGCAACTATGCTCTTCGGCAGAAATCATTCACACGCAGTTCCGAAATCAACTACATCAGTGAAATCTTTTTTTCTAGGAATTCTGATGAGTCATCAGTTTCCCACACTTGATTCAATTCCATTCTCCCTCAGCCCATCAACACACGGACTACAGTACAACCATCTTCATAATTCTCGCAGTTTTATTCCATCAAACGTTCTTGAAGCTGGTCCGCCTGTTCTTCCATATCTACCACAGAAGCATTATGATAACATATCTCATAAAAAGTCACCAGCACGGTAAGTAAATTCCTTATGCTATATTTTGTAAACGGGGAAATACCAAACTTGGGGGTGGGTGCATGTGTTCCACACTCCCCAAAGCCCTTTTTTGGTACTGCACTACGGCGGACAGGTGGGTTCTATTCCAGATAAACGGGTTTTGTTGTTGTTTTGGGGGTTTAATAGGGGCAACGACTTTCGATCTTTATTATTCAGTTGTTACGGATGAATAAAATCTCATTTCATCCCACTATCACCCTGAGTGTATGTGTACTGACAAACAGTAAGGTGATTCACTCTGGTAATGACAGTTTGTACTGCAGCAGACATGTTATTGAAAAAGGGTTATACTTTAAGGGATATATTTTCAAATGTAGCTTGATTGGTTTCTGGAGCTTGGATATAATCTTTGTTGATTTTTGTGTGGTTTCAAAATATCTAACTTGGAATATATTCATGCGTTGAATCGGATTAAGGGTATATCAATAACAGGTTAAAAATACGCCCATTATTTTTACGGCCGTTTTTTTAAAAAATCTTTCTAATTCCTTTGTAATCCTTGGGACATTTGCTAATTGAACATTTCCTGTCCGTAAATAATATTTGGCCGGACTCGAAAATTTTACTTATAAAATCCAACTCTAATTAAATGCCACCCAGGGGGTATTGACATTTGTGAAAATAAAAGAGACCGCGGTGTTTACAGAATGAACACTTTTGAAATGGTTCACGTTCTATTGCACACGCACTATGAAAACACAAAATTGCCAACGGCAAAATGCGCTAACCAATTATTGATTGGTGAATGTTTCCAACACATGCTCGGCTTTCGAAGCACATGCAGCCTTGTAATTTCTTTCATGTATTGTGGTTCACATGCGGTTTTCGGAAATTCTAATAATACAGGATTAAGGTTTCGTAGAATTGAATAACAACATGTCATGGGTGGGTATTGTGCGCCTTTACAATGCACACAGCAACAGCAAATCTTACCACGTGCTTTAGATTAATACAAGAGATGACCTGTACACCCGTTATTTTCGATAAAGGTTGAAAAATTATGTTTGTCGAAATATGTTTGTGTAGAAACGTGTTTTGCGGGCGCCGATTTTTTAATTGCTTGTTAAGGCTGTGTGGTTGATGCGAAAGATAACGAAATACAAGCGGGAATCACCGTACCTTTCGACCACGAAAAAAGGCAGATTAAGAAATTCTTGCAGCCACACAAAAGCTACAAAGAGAGCTATGTCAAAAATGTCAAAAATCTTGTTTAATCAACGTCTGAAGTTTTTCTGTTAGGCCGAAAAGGTTATATATTTCTCAGTTTTTAAAATTCCTTTTTAATTAGTGCTGTTGGGTAATAAAATTGAAAATGCGATAAATTGATATCTGAAAAAATTGAGAACATCGGACAATTGTTAAAAGTAAATGACTAAATAAATTGATACGATTGATGAAATACAACAACTCTATACCAACTCTATGCAACTCGTTAACGTTATGTAATAATTTTGTATATTTTCTGCAGAAATGATTTGCTTCGCGCTTCTCCTGGAACACGAGATGTTTCCTCCAGTGATAGTGATCGTGACAATACTTCTGAGGCGAAACCAAGTGTAAGAATGAAATTACTTCATTATTTTGGATTTAGAAACAAACAAGAGAGATTTTAATAAGTAAACTATAATATATTTGTGTCGCCCAATTTACTAAACGACGTATAGCACATGCGTTGACCTCCGACTCCGTGCATAATATTTGGATGTGCTTGGATGTGCACTGGGGCTGAAGGATGCGATAGAGTTTTCTTTCCATCCTTACTATCTTGACTTTCTCTCCTAAAATAGGCCAGTCGGGAAGTAGATAATCAAAGTTCACGTCATGATTCAGAAAAGAAAACGTCTGATTTACAAAAAACAAGCGAGTCTCAATCGAGGTACACAATACAATAGGTTATATACACTGTCCTCAAGCTGCATGTCCTCAGATTAAAGTGCAAATCATAACGATGATCGACTTACTTGCTATTATAGTGTTACCTGTTGTTTGTGCAATAACTCTGGTCGAAGTGTGTTTGGACAAGGGAAGATCATCCAGTTTGCTCGTTTCTATGAGGATCGTTATCCTTCAGGGGAACAACGAAGGCGTAATCAGCTTTTCAGTAATGATCGATTGTTGAATGACACTAGATCAGGATACCCGATGCTCAAGAGATCAGCAAGTCATGATAATGTTCATGCCAATGTCAGGTAATGCTTACCATAATATTACACGAGAACAATGTACCATATCCCATGTCAGTGACTGTGGTTTTCATCCCTCGAAGTTTTCTTGTGTTGAAAAATATAACTTTGCGTGCATTTCTATGCAATGTGTATTGCATGTAATACACTAATACCGTTTAAATATGAAATAGCTACTCTTGCGCGTTTCTAAACTCTGCTAGCCTACAGATAATATATCCTAAAGCTAATGGAGATGACCATTATACAGGGATGATCTTGAACGTGGTCATAAACGCCGCCGGACAAACAGTTTGGGAGAGACTGGTGAACATTGTTTACCAGAGAGCGACGATACACAATGTCAATTTGGTTATGACAAGAAGAAAACTCTGTCAGATATTTGTGATGCTCGTGGTGACTTATGGGTGCATGAAAAATGTGCTACATGGACAGCGGCAACCACCAATACTGATGAGAAGCTCTCCGTCACAAGCCTCGTTGCCAAGGCGATAACTACGGTAATATTAGATATATTGTATTATATATTATTTATATATATTATATTATTAGCAGGTCATATGAAACCTTGAAAACATCAAAAGATTCGTGTGTGAGCGTTTAAGACAAAATTGTGCAACTTTTCATGTTCCTTTTAATAACTTCATACAAACAAGCATTTTGGCCCTGGGTGGTTTGATTATCGTAACATTTGCGCTTTATATTGTTTTGCTACAGGCTTGTACTTGGTGTAAGCATTATGGTGCCAGTGTTTGTTGTGCTGTTCCTCATTGTAAGAATGTGTTTCATTTGCCATGCGCAGTAGCAGCTGGAGTTTATCAGGTAATTAAAAAGAATGAAATCTCAGGCTAGTTTTGATGATAAAGACAATACAAGTGATATGTCATATTATCAGGAAAATTATAGTTTAGTTGATAGCGTTTTTGGCTGCCATGGATTGTTTGATGAAATATCAAGATGATTTTTGTTTCAAACACTATCACGTTTGTTGAAAATTAATTTAATTTATCTTTCAAACAGAATGTACGAAGCTTGAAGGCTTACTGCTTGGATCACCCACAAGTCTTGCAGAACATAGGTATACCACCACATCGATGTAATTTATATCTCCTTTGTGTGTTCAAATCTGATATTATTGACTGCACACACTTGAATTACATTATTTATTATTTGACAATTACAACTAAACCAGGAAACCAGGCTAAAGACTAAAAATTATTCTGTATTTTTCTAGCATTTTGCAGTACTTGTAACTGTCCTGGTGAGGTGGGCAATATTTTGTTCTGTATAAACTGTGGTTTCCAGGCACACGGGCAGTGTGTTAGTCCTTCAACCACAGTCACACCTGCTGTAAGACTGGGCTGGGAGTGCAGACGATGCAAAAGATGCCAGGTTTGCAGGTAACCGTAACATATATTCTCTTAAATACTGGTGTTATTCGTATATTAACAAACGATGCCTAAATAATACGTAAATGATAGTGAATAATAAGACTACCGTTGTCTGCACATTGGTCTAGACAACAAACAATATACTCTTAGAATAAAGATTATTTCAGTCTCATACTAGGCCATGGCTTACTACGATGTATCTATGAAACGTGATTCCGTTGGTTCACATATCTTTCCCTAATAATGTAACCTCTGTTGAAATTTTGATGAATTGATCTTGCAGGCATTTGATTGAAGTGAAGAGATCATTAACATGTCGAAGTTGTGACCGAGGCTACCATCTTTCGTGTATCGAGGAAGGGAAAAGTCTACACATTGATCAGTTTGCTGCTGTCTGGCAATGCAAGGTAATACCTGATTTGTCAACATACAATCTTCTTTACAAGGGATGGATTAACTACGAGTGGGTTGCACTCACTCTAAGGATGTTGTAAAGAGGCGTGGTCGACCATGAGTTGCGTTGATGGCATTACTCACTGAACACGCTCCTCATCTCACGCAGAAAATAAATCTTTTTTTTTTATATGACGTCAAATTTCCCGTTATCTTCACAGGAAAATCTTGCTCTCATTAGTGCAAAATACTGTATTATTAATTACCCGAATCTCCATTGGTTTCTGGTACCTAAACTCCTCTTCTCCTACATTTTTGGCGCCCAAAATCTTATTTAAGTGGTTTTTTTATATCCTTACAAACTATAATAACGAATCTGCTAATATGACTTGTATCTGTTTTTGAAAACGTTCTTTAGAAATGTCGACGATGTCAAAGTTGCGGGAAGCATATTCCTAATGCCCAGATGCCGGTTAAAGGAAGCGAAGACGTGCGATGTGATGAATGTCAGACGTTAAGAAGTAGAGGTCGTTGTCCGTTGTGTAATAAAGGTTTTTGTCCCCCTTCGTCTACGAATGTTGCCGTTCAATGTGATACTTGTAAAAAGTAAGTATATTCATCCGTGCTGGGGATAGTTGAACTCTCTTTTTTAACTGTTGTACATTTGTACTGACCATTGGTTGCTTGTGCTTGTAAGATGGTTACACATGACATGTGCAGAAGTTGATCAGGATACATACAACAGAGTTCAAAATGACGATGAGTTGATCTTCATTTGTGAGTCGTGTAATCAAGAGGAATTATCTTCTACCGCTAGTCAGGTATATTGTTGAGACTTGTTGTGTGCACGATATGTTTGCAATCTTTAATTACTTTCTCAATGCTTCCATTTCCGCAGTGAATATCTCTTCTCCACATTACTTCAACACGATTGTAAACTGTATCTAGGGAAACGATGACGAAGAGAAAGACGAGCAACAAGACACCGATGCTGAGATGAACTCTGGAGATTCTAGCGTTGACAGTTCTGAGCAAGTTTCAATTTTCAAGGAATTGCGTTCAAAACAAATCGCTATTCAAGAAGAAGTAACCCAAGCAACAACCAGTTGGTCAACTAGTGAACCATTACAATGGTCGCGGCTTCGGTTAGCTTATTCATTTGAATATTACTACACAAAACATCAAGTAGGAGCCATGTTGAAGATGAATTCACGTGCTCCTTCACGTGCGTCAGAGACGATCTCTTCCCCCCCGTTACCAAGCTCTGCTGAATCGTCCGGATAGCTTCCGAAAGTTCTTTGCTGTTTTACAAACGGTTTTTATGTTCGGTAAGTACACAACCCAGATTATTCATCCCCAACACCTGCCCGTACGTAAAGATGAAACTAGAAAATACCATTGGGGTGTTGTGAAAAAAAATTTACACTTTATGCTGTGCCATCAGTACCATGAAGAATGCATTTAATTAATGACATGAATATTCAAATCTTGTTTCATAAACCTGGAGCCGGAAAACGTGTTCATGGTTTTACTCAGAATAATTATACTGCCTTTGCTATCGCGCTTTTTAAAGGTTTCTATTCATGAGGTCTATTTTGTATTTGAAGTTCCAGTGATAAAATCCTTCTTCCACGGAGTAAAAAAACAGAAAAGCATCTCCGTTGTGCAGGCAGGTAGTTGTCAAAGTTTCGCTTGATTGTGAAGTAGTTTCAGGACTGGAACTGTCATATAACCCACAATAACGGTCACTCATAATATTTTAGACAGCATTTCTATTCTAAATCTCGACATCATCGGTAGGAAAAAACATTTGGAGTCTATTTAGAAACCTGCAGTCTTTATATTCAATAGTAATTTAACGTTCAACACAACACGTGCAATGCCATGTTTCCTCAAATGCCCCAAATTAAGGCTCTCGTTTGCAAGGCTGATATTACCTCGAATACGTCATTTAGGAATTTTATTGTTGACAAATCCGAATGTAGATTAAGGAGTACAGTAAGATAATGTACATAATGTAGACATAAGGTAATTATAGGAATTAGTAAATTTTCAAAATTATTTAGAAGTAATCAATATTGTATATAGTACTAAGTAGATGAAGTTACGCCGTTCATAATATTTTAAAAATAGGTCGTTTATTAAGTCAAATCATGCAGATAGCTTTTCCTGTTCGATGGTTTTGCATTTCAAATCTCATCGGACATGGGTACAATACGTATATTACATGTTAAATATTCCACCTATTACTTAACGCTTTGATCACTCTGCAGCGTAAGATAAGGAAAAATCTTCAACAGAAAATGAAAATTCGACTTTCAAAGCTAGTATGTGAATTTTTACGCTTAAAACTGTACTATGAAAGTTTTGAAACTGAGCCCAACTAGTTTTAGTTCATCACAAAAGTATTCCTTATCTCATGCCAAGGTGGGAATAGTTGTACAGTAATTTTTACAACTGAGCGTGGAGTTTGTCTTTGTCAACGACGTTAGTCTTGGCAAGGGTGTTGCGAAGAGCGTGGTATAAGCCCCGTTTACGTAACTGCCCTCAATTTATTGGTACGGCACTGTCGTATATGGTACCTGTATCCAATGTTACTGGTGCGCAAAACCAAAATAAAATTGGCGAGGTTATCCATTTTAACCGTGCTGTGACAATATATAAATTGAGTGTAATGGAAACGCGGCTTTGGTACATGCATGATACGACAAACTTTTTCAATGGAAGGCGAACGGTTCTTTTGTTGTTGTTTTTTTCGATAAAGCAAATCTTATCGAGATTATTCATAGATCGCGGCTCGATGCGCACTCCTTGTCATAAGTTCTTTCGTCAAAGCGGCAGAGAAAAACTTCCCGCCATTATTAATTCATCTACACTTTGATGATCCAATGTCTATTACACATGATTTTCCGTATTATAAGAAATCAACTGCAGAAACAACTACATAATGCAAAAGTTGTTTCAGGTAGTTTTTTACTTCTTTACAAGTAGTTGGATATTTTTACAACCACAATTGCATATATATATAGGATATAAAGGTATATATGCAGTGTATCTAATCTAATAATGCATGTAGTGAATGGATATCGTTTTCTCCCTAATATTGGTATTCTTTGCAATCCATATTGACGGTGATGACGGTCATTTGCTACCTCTGCCTATTATTAACCAGTTTTTTACCAGCGATTTTTTGCGGCAAGATATTTTGCTTTTGTCATAGAACTGCACATCAGGAACGAATGCTGCCTGATGCTCAATGACAAAAAATACGTTTTCTGCGCAAAAATGGATATAAAATCGGCTTTTGTCCACCTACTTCTGACATTCTTGCCTCAAATTGTCGCCGTTCGTGGCAGTTTCGTGCAAAATACACCAGTTTCAGATATGATGAATGTATGTTTGAATAAGTTTCCTATTTTGTGAAAACAGTAGATATTAAAATAAAGAAGTTCTGTCCACTGTAGTACTTTTCATTGAATGAATGCTTGTATCTTTTAGAGTACGTATGTATATAGGACGTCTTCAAAAATAACGATATCATTCTTTAGTTTTACGTTTTGCCATCTTATCTAAATGCTTTAAATAAATATTTTATTAATGATTATTAGACTTTAGCCCGGTGCACGGGACATTAAGGAGTTTTCCAAGTTTCCGGGATTGTTCCCGCAGTAATTTGAGTAAAAATATCTAAGTTTAAGAAAGATTTAGGTGAATAACTTGCAGTTGCATGCACATTTTGAACATATCGATCCTCCGTCACGCATCCGACGGCAAAACAGTGAACACGAATCATTGACAACACTTGGTGTGCATACATGCATTGACGCGGAATAAATATTGTAATTTCAATGGTAAATGTCTGCTTCAACCTTTATGTACATGAAATGGATAGCTAAACATTAAGTTTATTGTTAGTAGTAAAACTATATTAAGATCCCCCAGTGTATACGTATATTATATATTTCTCAGGTGCATGTACCACTATACTGTAGTACTAAAACGTCGAACGTTGTAAGCATTTCCTCTGAGATAACCGTGTCCATGTCCGTCGTAATAACTAGATGAAGACCAATCCTTCATTTGATTTACGGATTGTTTCACTTCAGAGTATGTCTGCGATGTTCGTTTGTTGTACAGCGGTAGCACTTCTGTGGCTTCGCCCATCACAGCCTGCAAACAAGCAATAAACGTCTGTGCATACTGTCTTACATAATAACAACACTCAGATCATTATGACCATGAAGATTACCTTGATGTATATAAGTGCGTCTGTGCCGAAACCCTCCATGGAGAACAATTGTAAATCCCCACCAAAATACTTTGCATATAATCTCGATAAAGGTAAACCGTAACCATAGCCCGCCTGTCAATGCCATAAAAAAATACGTTTTTTATTAACATTGTCAATGATCAGTGCAAACTTCGGACATACATAAATGCTTCGCCGAGGTAAAACTTAGTGAATACACTACAGATGCTATACTTACAAGAGCTGGTACGTCTCCTGTTGCTACAGGCTGTGGTGCCGTCGTATAATGATATAAAAATAACTTTTCAAGTTCGCTTTTTCGAATTCCTCCCCCACGATCTGAAATCTGGAAACGATATTCGTTATTTAAAACCTGCATGGAGCGAAACAATTTCTACCTTCTGATGGTATATCACTCTGATGGTATATCACCCCTCAAAAGATAATAATTAATATGCTTTTTCACCAGCTTGGTTCTATAGCCTGGGTCACCGATGGTTCAGCTAGGGTGCGTTGCTCTTCCTTTTTTAATGTAATGTAATGGTGGTGACGATGACACAAGTTAATCCACTTACTTTAATCGTAAGATCCTCCTTTCCTTTTGTAATTAAAACCTTCACCTCAGGCAAACGATCTTCGCCATTCTGTTCGACCACAGCTCTCATGGAATTCTAAAATACCAACAGTAAACGTAATGAAAAAATTCACAGAAGCTCAGATTAAATGCCAGCAGCGTTATATATGCAATATACTAACCTTGAGTAATTCAAAAACCATATGATAGAGGTGGGAAGGTACGTAAGTCGTTCTGATTGGTGTGTGAGTTTCACTCTCTGTCGCTGTAATGCGTATAGCAATATTTAGATTAAAAATGGCTGATTTAATCGAACGAATAGGAAAATAAACATTAATTATTTTAATATCACAACGATATACATGCATGCAATATGATGCTAATGCAGTAAAGGCATTTACTTAATTAAAGTGTCTATGAAGTGAAAAAATCACATCATTTTTTTTGTTTTAAAATGATAGATTAGGGATAGACGGAAAGTAGAAAAACTATATCCTATTTGATGCTTGCACACTTTTTACTATCTTGAGTACGCCACCTTGCAAAATTACTTATGATTTCATTATGTTTTCATCTATATGTTTCACAGCCATTCATTACATTGTCAAAATATGGATGTGTAACGATTTTTTTTGTTGGAATAAAAATGTATTGTTCCTACAAGGAAAATATGAATGTAACAAAGCAGTACAATTGCAACATTCGCATTACCATTATGTTCTTCAATGATGACGTCAGGTGAACATAGATAAACTTGTTCACATAAAAATCTTGCATTTGATGCTGCATCTGTAAAATACGGAATTCAGTTATGGGGTAGACGCTTTCTCCTGGCTCAAAGTAAATATTATTTAGCACGCTTTTGAGTGCATAGAGGTCTTGGTAAGCGAGAAAAATCCAAAAAAATAGCTAATGGCTAAATTTCAACAATTGCGCTCGTGTTCGTGTACCAAGCAATTTGCGCAAATTACGGTTTTCATGATGGACTTCTTATTTTTCAGACAGGCTTACCAAGAACAACTGACGCAATACTACAATCTTCATCAAAACAACCAATCCAGTTCGTAATTGATTTTCCCGCCTCCTCGCCACAAATTAACACTACACAAACAAATTATTATCGAAGTTTAATGAATATTTAATGTTTTATTTAGCCGTGGTAAAAGGGCACTGCGTTCATCCGTTATTTACATTGCTTGATAACAGAAGAGATGATGCAGTGTGTCGCTGTAATAAAGTGCGTTTAGCAGAGGAGGTTGGTTTGATATGTTCAAATTCTGTGTTCAAATTTCACTGTGAATGTAATCTAATTGTACAATTTAACTATAAAAGGCCTGATATAGTACTTCAGGATAGAGAGACTAAATTTTTAAAAAAATATTCACTTTGCTCTGGTCAACCCTCTTTCCAAACCTTAATTTCTGGTAACCAGGGTCACATATGGTTCATCAACAGCAAGAAATGTCAGTCACTTACAATGTTGTGTAATTAGGGTTCTGATTCCAATACGATTCATGTAAAATCGATCTGTAATAAAAAATAATAGTTGAATAATTTGAAAGAAATTTTTAAAACAAGTTTTCAAAGCTTCATGAAACCCACCTAAGAAATACTGTATAGAAGGATGCAAAGCATCTTTACCATGACTCTCTTTTAGTTCTATTATCCCCTATTAAAAAAAATTAAAAATTCAATTCACATTTGTGATCGCACAATTAAACCAAAAGCACGACAGGGTTCTTATTTCAATCTGTTCTTCAATTAAAACAGAAATAAATATATATACATGCTTAGCATATACAATTGAACAGTCAACAATCATTCGTAACTTTGACTGACTGTGAACATATATTTTATAAGATGAAAGTGTGCATGCCAACATATGTTGAAAAGGATTTGTTTATAGATAAAACGTTGGATGGGTTTGTCCAAAGTATATTTGTATGGTAGCTAGTGCAATTATGTGGTGTACCTGAGCCATAGTTTCAACAACTGTGTCATGACGAGAACGGATTTTCTTCAAAGCCAGATCAAATCTTTGAAGAAAAAAAATGTATAAACTTTTAAACAAATATAGGTGTAATTTTTAGATGAATCAGCTTATTTTATACTTATAATAACATAGCTAAATAGTTTAAACATACTTTTCTGCCATTTCAATTTCATTTTTCCCACGGATCTTTCCAAAATCTATTAAGTCTTCAAAACTCTGATGGTACCTGGACAACAATGTATGACAATGTACTGTATGAGGTAAATAGTTGAAATGTACTTTCAAATATACAATGAACACATTTTGAAAGAAAAACTACTTTACCAGCTTTGTACAAGTTCAACAGATGGCATCTTAAGTAAGTTGACAGGCAGATGGTTGATTTCACGAATTATGTGTGCTAATCTAACAGGCATTTGGTGACGGCAAAAATGGAAAGATTCAAGATGAGAACCATTTTTCCCTGCAAGAAATGGAACCACATAAACACACAAAATACAAACAAAGTAGTCTCCAAATTTTTCTTATTTTATTAAATTTAGACTTAAATTATTTCTGGGAATCTCAAATGCAACAGCTTAGCCTGATTTAAATTAGAAATAAACTCTCTGTGTAGATACATTTGATAATCTGATTGCATGGATTTATCTAGAAACAGATTATCAGGATGATTATCAGACAAACTGTATTTTCTTTCCTTCATGTTTGTTATGATAATCTCCAGTTTAACTACTTATCATTGAACTATTTGGGCAGATATACTTGACGGGTAAGGTTCATCACGGTACAATTTATAATAAGGTAATATTATATATGAACTAGAATATTATATGATATTATTAGCACAGGGGAATATCTCCATGGTTGCAAATAAAAGCACACCCACAATACACCTCCTACACACAACAGTCACGTTTTGCCAAAAATTATGTAACTTGTTTACTACGAGTATTTCTTAAAAAAAACTATTACACGTTCAATAAATTGCTTTAATCCTATTATGAACATATCAAATTTCATATTTTTTGAACAACGGTTTTCTTGTTCAATGTAAAATATCAATACATGTTCATCATTCACACGTATCAATATTCATTGCCACATCACGGACACTGAAACTTGGAGCGTGCAGTGAGTCACAATAATATCAAAAGAAAAGTCATGAATTCATCTTTTAAGTGAAATTGAAAACATTTTTCCTACACATATTGAAAACAAATCCCTTAAACGTGATAATCCACGTTAATAATATAAACTGCACAACAAGTCAAACAGCTTTTGGACTTTGGAATTGCGGTATTTCATGAATATATATGTATATAAATTATATGTATTTATATATATCAAGTCGGGTTTTTTCATATATATATATAATATTTATATATGGTTTGACATCAAGGTATATACAATTCTAAATTTCTATACTTTACCGAATGATGTGAACTGTTCAATCGTCAGAGGAAACTGCTGATATCCACTGTATCGTTTTATGGCGGTCAACAGTTCAACATTGAGGACTTTTGTCAACCTCATGGCCAAATTTTAACAATTTTACGTTGTAGAAAATAAGAACATCATCCCAACACTATTAATTTAATGGGACATAATGATGAAAAACATCCACATAACATCTTGACTGGTGGCGTAGAGATCAGACAAGCGTTGGTGTGTCCACTTTGTGACGTCAACTGATTATTAGTGAGGGTGTACATGAACATTGCATGTGTTCCTGAATAAGGACAGTTGCTAGGGAAATAGAGTTTTTCTCTCTGAGTTTTTCTCATCCTACTTTTGAATCTGGCAGCTGTACCGTAGACTGTCGCAGATTTATGGTTCTGGGCATAATCATTCTATACACCTCAATTCATGAACTCAATTGATCATTTATTGTGCATCTGTTGAGGAATTAATAGTAACACAAAATTTTAAACTTTATCAATTTTTTTCATGCGTACAAGCCATAGAAATAGCAAACATGTCTATTGACTGTTATTTTTTATAGTACCAAACATAGTACACGCACGTATAAAAACGCGGTCAGCCTGGCGTACACAGGCTGTTGTCATAAACCTGGGTTGATCCATTTTCGTTGTCTTGATGAATGATATGGATTTGAAGAAACCTCTTCTCCATCGACTACCGATAATAAACATTGCCGATGAACTACGATATATGAAAAGCTGAAAAGCATGTGAAAAAAGTTCAGTGTGCGGAGAGTTCATACATTCACTCACCCACACACTTTCACTGAATAATCAATTCCAAACCAACTTAACCAGGATCGTACACAACTTGGAGTTAGAGAAAGTTTGTGTTAGAGAGAGTTAAACCTTTATTATTCTGCGCCGGGGGAAAGTCAGAGATGTTACCCATATCACAGTGGATATGTTGTGAAGTAAATCTAACGCACAAGAAGGCTGTTGAACGTTGGAAAGAACTATGGCACCCTTCCCTATTTGACAAGATTAATTGTGTTACTGGATTATTCCTTACGACGTTCCAAACAAGCGCCCTTTGTGTAGAAGTTAGAAAACTGAATCATATAATCAAACGAATAACTGATACAGAACTCTCTTACTCCAGGTCTGACGAACACTAGAACTATGTGCTTACCAAAATGAGATAACTTTCGTGTGCGGCTGCCTTTTTTCGTTAACGACTTTTGTCGTTAAAACATGGTTGATAATCTCTGCCTTGCGTGCTAAAATCTTTCCGTGTGTCAGTGACGAACGAAAGTTACAGAAACATGTAACTTTACAGGAACTGTCTTTGAATATTTGCATACGTGGCAGGAATGACAATAGTCGTTCTTAAAGGCACATCTCTTTTCGCCACTGGGCACGCCTGACATTTGCGTAGCTAAGAACATAGCTGATAGCTTTAAGGCTGCTTTTCACTGTCGCGTTTTTGCACGTAAAAGTTTAAATGCTTTTAAATTTCTATTATTTAACATCCAGGTCAGCAAATGCATACTAAACTACGTGGAAAACTAAGTTCTTTCGATTTATTCATTTCGTTTTTTTAAAGATAACTTAAATAAGTATTAAGACTTTTGCGTGCGTGTACGTGCGTATGAAAAACGCGACAGTGGAAAACAGCCCTTAGTGTGATTTGATGGTTTCGTATGTAACGCCAGCGCACCTCAGGCAGCAATCACTACCCTATGCCTAAACTAGTCACAGACGTCACAGATTAATGAGGCGGAGCAACACTGACTGACCTTTGCTGTCATATGCCAGTAAGAAGTTTATTTAAGTTGAGGATGTCAAGTGGTAAGCGTAGAGTTGTTGTCACAGGTCTGGGTAAGGAAATTATGATATATGGTATTATTTATTAATAAAATAGTTAACAATCAGTGCATCTATAACTACATTCATGACCACTGTGATTAGAACACATATAGAAATAAATTAGTATTGAGGGTTGCATCCCACTACTTAAAATTGTGTTTCTTCACTTCTTCTCTGCACCAACAAGAGTGCTTTATGTCAGGTCTACATTACTGCAAATTAGCTACTGCAAAGCAGTTTAGATATAATGCAAGTTGAAGCTGATATGAAAATGTCCACCCCTACCCAGTGCCCATTGCCCCTCTTCCTCCCATTCAGTGTTGTGACAGTTGTGTGTAGGCTATAGCCTATACTTGCAATTCCATGTAACATTGGATGGAGAAGGCCAAGGCAGGAGATCCTGATTTAAAATTTGAATGCAGTTTGGATTTATATATTTTACAAGCTAGAAATGATTGTTGGGAGTTTGGAATTTTATACCAGCAGTTCAAAGGAATTTTCACCAACATTTTAATTGCTTCATTTTATCACTTCCATTCACCATTAGATCATTGTTATAGATCCTTGCTGGTATTTGTATTGTAAGCTCATTAGTTGACCTTTTCGCAGGCTCTACTTTGTCTAACACCAAACAGTTTTAGATTTTCCAGTGAAAGAATTTTGCCAGTTAAGTAGTTAATGAGATCATTAATACTTTTATCAAGGTGCTGTTTGCTCTCTTGGTAATGATATACGGTCAGTTTGGAAAAAGATTCTTGATGGAAAATGTGGAATTACCCATGTTAAGAGCCCAGGTACCACATCAAGCAGATATTATTCGGACAGCATCAACTTTGAGTAATCTAAATCATGTGTTATTAAATGTGATATCAATAACAACTGCCTAAAATATAACATATTCTTATACCCTGAGTACAAGGAATGTTGACATGATCAGGAATAAATATTTAAAGAAAAATGGAAGGTAGTAAAGCTGCAAATTAGAATGACAAGGTTGAGTTATGATCATGTGATGATTTTCTTTGCCAGCGGCCACAAACAATACATTGCAATTTCAATTACAAAAGAAATCCGTCGGTTGAACTGAATATATAAATAAATACCCCCTCCCCCCAATTATCGTTCAAGTTACATACGCCAGTGCATCGCCGACTGTCTGTGAAGAGAACCAGGCTTAATTATTAAAAAATTGCGTTCTTCCGAAAGCCGGTTAACAGGCAAATAGAAAACAAGCTAGCAATCGTGACGAATGAAAGGGAATTTAAACGCAAAAAGTGACAAGTTAAATTCTAAAGCGTTTTTTTAAATAGAATAAAGAGAAAATGCACTGGACAAAAATGCAGTAAAAATATTGCAGTATGTAACACTGTAATTTTTGTTTTTAGCTTTTGAGAACGTTCCTGTTAAAATAGGTTAGTATATCTAGCGATAATTCGCGTATTTACGTAGCGAGGTCCAAGTACTTTTATTATGGTTTAAAAGTATAGGTATACATGGGCCGGGTTCTTTTTCTTCTGTAGTGCTACAGTTGTGCATCATTCAGTATATATTGTTTTTTAGCTGCACCCGTGTCAAAGGATTCAGGATTTGTTTCTGAGGAATGGCTTTCAAAACTGAAGGTGAAAAAATATGAAACGACTTCTCCTTGCTCTTAGTTTTAGTGAGGTTCTTTTTACTATGCGTCACGATGTCATATAATGAAATTCTGCACACTAATATATCTCAGTTGCATTCACCCATTGGCCATGTCTTCATGTTTCGTTTAGTCTGACACAGTTTGGCAAGGCAGGCCGGTGAACTTTACGTTCTGGACAAAACATCCCTGCATGTCTTTTATAGGAAAAGAGAGTCGATACACCAGAGGTTTTATATTCATTTGCTGCCTCAAGTCGGGCGTTAGAAGATGCAAAACACGAGAACATTCAAGCGAAAGAATCTGCAGTAAGTTGTATGATGTGACAGATGATGTGTATTTCCAACCAAAAATAATTTCAGATCAGGATATCGTGGAAAATGTGTTATGATTCAAATAGGTTCATTTTTAGGGGGTGTGTATTGGAAGCAGTATATTGGCAATAAATGAAGTTCTTGCGGAAACCAAAGTAATTTCTGAAAAGGTAATGGCCAATAATATCACAAGGTTGAATGGAACAAACATTACATGCTTGAACTGGAGGATTATGAAATGGCACTGTGTTTTTTCTGTCCTCTATAGGGACCCCGGAGGATTAGTTCATTTGTCATCCCCAAGGTTTTATTAAATACACCAGCTGCAATTGTTAGTATGCAGTATGGTTTTCAGGTAATTTGCTTATATAATATATATTATAGAGAATAAATTAAATGCATTGTGAGGTTATGCTTTGATTTACACTAATTAACATTATTTTCTTTTTCAGGGACCAAATCTAGCCCCTTCAACAGCTTGTTCTGCAGGGGCTCACGCTATTGGTGAAGCATTTAGATTGATAAGAAATGGTGATACAGATGTTATGGTTACGGGAGGTACGGATGCAGCTCTCATCTCATTCATAGTCGCTGCATTTTCAAGGTAATTTTACCGCAGTTTTTCATGTTGTAATTTTTCATATTATATTGTTTATAGCTTTTAACCTACTCCGTAACTCACTAGCAAGAGAAGCGTTTGGAAATTGCATAGACATAGGTTAGTTTTTAATGCGTAGGACGTACCTAATTCACATTTGAAAAAGTATATCTTTTCCTCACCTTGCATGTACTATCGAGCCCTAAAGTGCCCAAAAGAGCCTATTGCTGCGTAAATAGAACGTACCCCTATTCGTGTAGTGCACTTAAGCATAAAATCTAACAATGGGTGATTATAATAGATTTCATAGAACCCGTCCCTGTTTTTTCTAGAATTAAAGCTTTGACAACAAAATTCAATAATAATCCGGAAGAAGCATCAAGGCCGTTTGATAAATTAAGATCAGGATTTGTTATGGCAGACGGAGCTGCAACATTAATTCTTGAGGTATAGCTGCATGCAATGTCTGCATGATGGGTACATGATGTGTGCATGATGTGTGCATGATGGGTACAGTATTCGGCCGTGCTAAAGTTCTCTGATAATGTACAGGTTTTGTTTTTTAGGAATATAACCATGCCAAAGCCAGAAATGCTCCTATGTATGCTGAAATTCTAGGTTATGGATTGTCAGGTATGGTTGGTTAACCCTATAAAGCAATCTTCGATCTCAAGAGATTTTTTTCTACTACTTTATATATAATCCTCTCCCCACGGCCTATATTTTTCCTTCGTCATTTTTTATTAGGGGATGCCTATCATTTGACGTCACCGCCCGATGATGCCCGAGGTGCAATACGTTCAATGCGGTCAGCGTTACGTGATGCGAACCTAACACCAGAGGATATTTGTTATGTCAATGCTCATGCGACATCCACTCCCGTTGGTAAAATTTTAAATTCTATATAAGCAAGCGGCCTTATCCATCATGAGGTTTGTATAGTGTAAACGGGGCTATTATGTGTCAATTAAACCTAATTCTGGTGAAGCATCATGTTGGTCTTTGTAATTTAACCATTCGCGACGTCACAGTTGGTAAGATCTCTTGCTATCCAGACCCCTCTCTAGACGCGATACGAATACATTCCCCCCATGCAATTAGGAATCTGCATTCTGTCCTAAATTTCGATATAAGGTGTTTTTCTAAAGTTAAAGTGGAGAACATGATGGATACATATTTGTGACTTAAGGTGACGCAGTTGAAAACTATGCAATAAAAAAGGTTTTTAACGATCATGCAAGAAATATTAAAGTGTCTTCAACCAAAGGTATTTATTTTTAAATATTAAGAATCTTTGTTTTGTGTGGGGAAAATATTAACTTTCTGGTCCGACTTTAAAATTAATTCTTTTTAATTGCGCGGGAAAAAAGTGTTCTATAAATTTGACGTTTATATAATTAGGTTCAACTGGTCATTTGCTTGGCGCAGCTGGAGCTCTTGAAGCAGTCTTCACAACTTTGGCTGTACACGAGGTAAGCATGCGTGTCCCTTTCCGTTGTAGAAAGTATAAAAGTATAACAAAAAAGATAAAAGTCTACAAATTATTTGGAGTAATCTCTTGTTTTTAGGGTGTAGCACCACCGACATTAAACTTACACGAGGTATCTTCAAAATCTGAGTTTAATTTAAATTACGTGCCCAACAAATGCGAAGAATTGGTAGTTGATAAAGGTAAACAACGTATTGCATTGTCTAATTCATTTGGCTTTGGAGGAACTAATGCTTGTCTTTGTATTGGTGAAGTGCAATGATGTGTGCAAACAATGGCAGTGGCTATTTCAGTGTCAACACTTTCTACAATGCATTTCCATTGACATAGTATTGCGCATGCCTGCAGCGTAGATCTTGACGGTTTTGTTATCGAAAATATTGTGCTAAAATCTCGTACAGATAATCTCGTACAGATAATCTCGTACAGATAATCTTTTCAGGCATACTTGCTCTTAATATCAGGATACACTGTTATATCTATTGGGAAATCGTTCGCTACACATTAAATACAGTATAATATAGTTCAAACTAATCATTTTAGAACAGGAACAATGCATTAAAACTGTAATCCTGATTAGAGATGGATGCTCTAAAACAGTAAAATTCATATAACGTCTATATCTATATTATTAATGCCATAATACAACATTTAAAGTTATTCTTCATATGGTAATAATGGGTACTATAAGAAATTGTGGATCAAAGAAAGTGAAGAAGTTCGTTATATTTCATCGTAATTACATTATTGATTGACATAATTGTTTTCGAAACATGCTAATGTGCCATGTGCTCAATTAGTTCAAAAAAGAAGAATGTGATTCTCAGAATTAGGTAAACACAACTTCAAATCAGAACATAACCATCTAGGAATATACTATTTTATTTATTGTTTACAGTAAGAAAATATTGAACAGAGTAGTCCAACTATATTATTAGTTCAGTACACCAGTTCCGATAAATCTGGGGTTAAAGAATAAATACAGATTTGAATAACAATGGGGCGTTTAAACGCTGGTGAACGCGTTTATGTTACTCCTTTATTATGTTACTCCTTTTTATCAAAGGCAATGCTCACTTGTTTGTTTTGTAAGAAACTGGAACATCAAATTTTTACACTGTTTCTCTTTCGTGTTCATTTCGTTTTATTTACACATTTACTTTCCACAACATGCCTGTGATGGTGGTGGCATGGGTGGCATGCATGATGGTTGTCCACCACATCCTGGTGGTGGTGGGGGTGGAGGGCATGGGCATCCAGCACCGCCTGGGGGTGGCATTGGTGGAGGCATCATTGGTGGTGCTCCACCGCCGCAACAACCACCAGCTTGTGGTGGAGGCATACCTCCCATTGGTGGCATTGGTGGGCGCATACCTCCCATTGGAGGAGGCATACCTCCCATTGGTGGTGCCATACCGCCTCCACAGCATCCAGCTGATGGGGGTGGTGGTGGTGGTGGCATACATGATGGAGGAGCACATCCCATTGGTGGTGGTGGGGCAGGGCATGGGCATTGACGTGGTGGTGGTTGACAACATGGCAGTGGGCAGATCTTCATACAATGATGCACACAAATTGGTGGGCAAGCTGCAGGTGGTGCAGGTTGTCCCGCACATCCTGGCTGTCCTGGGGGTCCCATGCATCCTGGAGGACCTGGAGGTCCCATACAACCGGGTTGTCCTGGGGTACCCGGGCATCCAGGAGGGCCCATCATACCGGGAGGTCCTGGCATAGGTGGGGGCATAGGAGGTGGGCAACATTGGGGTTGTGCTGGTTGACATCCTCCACCACACATGCTGGGATTAGCACTTCTTTTGGCAATATCTGGAACGTAGTGTAAAGTATTAGATTCTTTTTTCTAAACATGGTGTGTTACTCTGTCAGAACAAAATCTAAGATGAATGCGTTCTTACTACTACCTTACTAAATAGAAGGACAGTGAAGCAATAGGAGGATAAATGAGCTTCACAATCTAGAAATACTCGCATCTGGAAATCTCTGCTTTAAGTTAATTTTTATGTGGAAGTGCATATGGCAGGTAATACCTGCTCTACGAGACAAATCATGAAGATCTATAGAAATATTCTAATTACACAATTTCGTATATCAGCGTACCTCCACTCTTAACATCTTTTACAATCCTTATTATTTTTCCATGATGGAGATAGGCTTCGGTAACTAATAAAGATGAAAAAAAAATCATATTTTTTTAATTTAGTGCTGATACAGTTACAAATAAAATTAAATGCATAAATGTTCGGGCAAATTTCACATGGTTAAAACATTAGTCTGTTAGTGACTTTAGAGCTGGTGTTTAGGGGCCTAGGGCTAGCTGTTCAATTTTGATCAAACTTCGAGTTTTCTTAAATAGTACTCTTACAAATGATACCACGAGAATTAAAATGATACTATGAGAAAATGTAATTTATAATCAAATTAGGCAAGTTATAAAAACAAGACTATCAAATCGTATAGTTTATTTTGGGGCGCTTAGCGCGCGCGGAGATCTGGCTTTAGAGTTTTCCTTTCTGTGCCAGGCGTGAAGATTTAACTTAGCGTTGTGGAGTTTACCCATTGTGATGAGAAAGGCAAAACTGAACCAAACTGTTTTACAATATTTTCTATGTGTAAAATTAGTTTCAAATTTGAATATTTGTCACATGCATTAATTATCGTTTATTAAATATTCTTGCCGTATCTGACCAACGAAGGGAAAAAAATAAAAACTCACGGCTTACCTCGTTTCGCATACGTCGAGACAGTTATTGCTAAGAGACTCAATACTAAAATCCTTAAGTCCATCTTGTTTTAGGTCGAGCTCTAAAACAATATAAATGAAAGCAAAATCAGAGAGTGTCTAACTGGTACTACAATTGCGTCATGCATTTGCGCGCACATAACTAGTCTCGCGTAATGGCACAATTTTATTATCATATCCCGCGGGATTATTGATAAACGTAATAACTTTCCTTAATCCTGGAAGAATATATATATAATTTTATTGTAATGAATAAATTGCAGTATTTGCCAAAAGACAAAAAGAGTCAGATTTTGATTTCTTGGGGAACTAGATGTACGTGGCTTGAAGAGTATGGAATAAAAAATATATTTCGATGTATTTAACGTGATTTAATTCAAGGGTGAGAAAAATCGTTTGACTTCAAAACATTGAGAAAGTATCTAAGTCAGGAATGCGTAAATCTCTTCACAACCTGCCCTTCTAATCACCCAGCGTGACAACAATAACAATTTGACCTACCGCTGGACAAAAATGTTAAAAACGAAGTTCTTATGGAAGTTTTTTTCGCAATTTCAAATGAAATATAGTTTTAGGTAAGGAACAGTAACATTTTGTAAGAGAGACGTGGTTACTCAGAAAATTGAGGTCAAGCAAACGTCGTATACTGTCACGTGACTGCTGTATGTTTTCTTTTTAATCTGGGAATGACAATATTAATACAATATCGTGCGGTGAACGACCCCAGATTAGTGCATTTTTTCTCAAATCAGCATCGCCGGCCGATTTCTTCAACTGTGAAAGTGATCCTTATTTTGTCTATTCGAGTTCTCTCGTATTAGACACAGAAAATCACAAAGCACAACGACGGAAGGAATCTCAAAAGTCATTAAAATTATCATCGCCAGGCAGACGTTCGTGTATTAAAAAATCAGTAAAATGCGCTTTCGTTAGCGTGGGATCATTGACATAAAAATGATCTTTAATCATTAGGATCTTTTTGGAATTTAAGAAACCACAGACACAGTGCCAGGGGGGTACAACAGAAAAGCGTTAATTCCGTTGAACCTTTTAACAAAAAGACTTTTGTCCAATGATAGTTAAATGGTAGTGTAGGATGTAATTTTATAATTGTTCAACATAGATATGGCTAACCATAGTTTGACATTTAAAAACTACCACCTGCAATTGTGTTTGTCTAAACTCAAATTTCGACTTCAGTAAAACGCAAAAATTCTTTATTAGACATTGTTAAAACTTACTAAGTCATTACTATGGTAGTAAATAAGAATGTTGACTAACCTCTATATTGAACTCGCCGAATATCGGTTGCTCCTGAACAAAATAGACGTTAGTACGGACTAGCAGTTCTTACAACACTCTTCGACAATCACAGTTCACTGCTCATAGGTTGAGATCCTACCTTACGCAATATGATAGCAATTTACTGAAGCAGGTTGCACTGTGTTCCTTGACGTGAAATTTACAAACAACCTGTCCAAAATTATAAACAAAGATACAGACGAGCTCCTTTACTTTTAACTTTGAAATTCACTTTGTGATATAACTATTGATAAATATATACATTCTTTATGGTGTAGCTACATGTCTTTTTGGATTTCCCACATACTTCATTAGAAATAAAGTTGCTTTCCTACAGCCTGAAAATCGGTTTATAGTATTTGCATACTGAAGTTTTAACACATTAAATTTATTCAAATCTTTAAAGGTTACTTGTATGTTTGGCCTTCAGTTGCGGCATGCGTTTTGAGAAGGAAAGATATATATCAGTAATTGCATGTTTAATAAGACAGAAAAGATTTAAAGTTATGCAAATATTAGTAGGAGCAAAAGCATGGGAACGAGATTGAGTCTAATTCATCATATTTTCCGATTCTTGCAATGCGGGTTCATTTCCGTTGTGATCATGTCGTGTTTTGATTGGGTGTTTAACCTTAGTTTATAACGTTAGTTTAACGACAGTAACGTTGATAGGGCCTTGCCGTTTCTTATTGGGTTCCACAATACCAGAATATGAGTTATATTTAAACACGTTGATTGTTTCTGAACTGAAATATCGATTTGAGCTGTTCTATACTTTGACATATTGCTTTTCAGTGTAAACGCTGGTTATACACAGTAAACTGTTTTATATAGGTAGCAAACAATTTGACAAGCTCATTCGTTATAAGTGCTCCAACTTTGGCTCGACGTGATCATAATTGGGTATGAAAATTATGCGTGCGAGAAAGTAATTAACGAACGCAACAAATACTACGTCATAATTATGGACGTGTTATTAGCACTAAACAGACGAAATGTTTCATTAATAAACGCAGTCGTTGTAGAATAAACTGAGCAAATATTTTGGAAAATAATGAGTGAGGAAAATACTGTTACAATACTTGATCTTCTCAATCTTTCCTTGGGCACTCCTGAAATAGGAGCTGTTAACTTCAATCTTCTTCATCGTTTTTTGCTGGAGTTGGTGAAACATCTTTCAATCGCTAGAAAACAGATCGACATAACAGATGATATAAGCATACAATCTGCCTTGGAAGAGACACGTATGTTGAGCGGAGCAAAGTCTCAAACTCATTTCTTTGCCTACAGCAGTCTCAGTGAGCAAGGTGACAGCAAACGTTTGAATGAATTGAGAGCACAAGACAGTCCGACAACATTTAGCAGTGGAAAACTCGCCAGTGAAACGAGATCAAGAGATAGTGTCGGTGCTCTAGAGAAGCCTGATACAGCGACCAGTCGAGTACAAGGTTCTGATAACATCAATGGATTGGTGAGATCTGGAGAATCTAGCGAAGGTGGTAGTCGTACCAGACAGGATACAAAGCAAGTGATGGAGGAGGGCAAAGAAGAATTGCAAACCAAATGCGGCACAGGAGAACGTGGTGACAGAACGTCTGCGGGAAGTAAGGAGAATTTGCAAATGAAGCGCGGCTCTGTTGAAAGTGGTAAGGCTGGAGGAATAGAAGAAGCGCAAGGAAACAAAGAAAACGTGCAAGTGAAAGGAGCCATAGCCCCAGGTAAACGACCTAAATTACCGTATCCAAGACCACACGAGTAACCAAAATTAAATGTTCGTTATTGACGGGAAAGTAAAATGGCAATGTCACTAAACAGGTGCATTGAAACTTGCAACAATATGTTCGTAATCGTAGCTTTTTTACTTTCAAGTAAGGTTTTTGCTGCTGGGCAATAGTCTAATCAATGATATATCTATTTATTGACAGGCGAGAGTCATAAAGGACAAGTGATTGAGACACGAGAAAGTAAAGAGAGCATGCAAACAAAACGTAGCACTGGTGAAATGGATGGCAGTACGAGCTTCCCCTCAGGTCAAATCAAAACTGCTGACGGGAAAGATACAAAAGATGATCCAAAACAACGCAGCCCAGACGAAAGAGTTCAGTTTAAAGCTGAATCTTCTCTGTCACAAAATTCTCTTGTGGTTAAAAGCCTTTCACCTCAATCGGCATTACACAGCCTCGCAGGACGATCTTCTGTGGCAAAGGAAAGCAAACGTACATCACCCGCCTCAAGTAAGACCGACATACGCAAGCGAAGTTTTATTGACATGGTTCCAGGTCTCTATCAACTGGAAAGGAAGATTTCAATTCTCGAAGCCAAGTTTGAATCCTTGTCTGCAGGTCCAACCAATTTGGAACTTGTTCAACAAGCCCGAGACTTACAGAGCCGGGACAGCAGCACGACAGCAGCGGGCGATATGTGGCAGGCAATGAATCTTGTTCGTAGAATTGAAGTAGCTGAAGGAGGTATTGACGGTATTACAGCCATGCTGGATGATATCTGCAAACAACTAAAAAGAATGAAAGAGGCTTGGCCTGATGACTTATCGAACAAGCTGAGTAACACTATGACAAAATCTGGTGAATTGCAATCCAAGCTGGTGGACATCGACGGGAAGTTGAAGAACGTCGTGATCAAAACTGATTTGAAACCCTTTATAACAGTTAAGAAGATGAATGAAATGATGGACTATAAATTGCAAAATTATAGGCAGCTTTCCCCAACTGTTCCAAAGAGCCCGAAGAAAACAATAAGCAGTAAGCTCGCTCAAACGGACGTGATAGAAGTTAGCAGTCAGCCAGCACAAACGTCTCCGACATTAACTGGCAGTGGTCGTGCAAGAACAGCGACATCACAGAAAAGCATCGAAGATCGAGGAGAGTCTGACACAGCAAACTCTCCAGCACAAATTGAGGCTATTACAACAAGCGATGAACAAGCTCCAAGTAAATCCGAGACACCAAGTAGCGAACAAGCAGCGCCGGGGACGACAGCAACAACACCTTTTAGTGAAAAAGCTGAAAGCGAACAAGCGGATTACGACGGACGGGCATATTCGGAAATTGAAAGTGTAGATGAAACAACACTACGAGATGAAGAACGAGTTGATGGAAACGAGCGGCGTGGTAGTGTGACAACTGAAGCTTTTGAGGAACTTTATACGACAATGCAAGATTGGGGCGACTTTCGCGAAGTAGCTTCTCAGAAAATACATGATCTTGAAGAACGCTTATTAAACACGGTTGATAAAGATTCCATGATAAATTTAAAGCAGGAATTAAACAATCTCGCAGGAATTCAGTCGACGTTAAAGGAGAGTCAACAACTGGTCAAAGATGAATTAAAAAAGCTCGCAGAATTTCAAAACCGTCCTGTACTTCAGCCAATAGCTTCACAACATGACCTTAGCCAGTTGGAGACGTCTGTCGAAGGAAGAATGGAAGTTTTGAATAAAAATATACAAGAAATGAAGCAAAACTTCTTTCAGTTGTACGAAATGAAGGAGAGTGTCGGGGGTCTCAAGGAATCTGAAGAACTTATCAAATCCGATGTTGAAAGTATCCGAAGAGAGCTTTTGAAGATTATGAAAGAACTGGAAGATGAACAAGGTAAGTAAGATTCATGGATATTTCAAACAAGATTTTTTAGGTATGATCATTGCACGCACCCATGTTGACATAAGACACAAATTTAATTTCAATAATGAATAGAGTTGTTTGTTGTAAAAACGTTTGTATATAAATTATAATCAACAGATTTTCCTTTTCATTTTACCATGCACAAAAATGAAAGTCTTAAAACCGTTGGAACCGCGCCATGGCCACAGATTGACTTGTAGGATATCAGCCTTTGCATATAACTATGGTCTTTGCCACTGATAGTTTGCTATTTAAGCGGTTATATTTACTTAACAACTGACACCAAGGCGTCTGTATTTGAGAATATTTGTCAAATATGAGCAAATACAGAGTATTGAAATAATTGTACGATGCAGATGTATCAACAACAGAGCTGACAGTATTTAGTCGGAGCCGAACTGATATTTACTCATTATGAGACATGCATATAAACACACCTGGGCTTTTATTCCATCTCCCGATGTTTTCCTTTTGGAAAACATGCAAGAAATGCAAGGAAAACATGTATTCGTTATTCAAGGAAAACATGTATGGCTTTTGAATTAGCCAGCAGCTCCTTTGCAGCTTGCGGCTTCTTTCCCAAAAACTTTGGCGACTCGTGATAAAAACATGTCCATGATTTTACAATCACTTCTGCAAATAAACGTCCCTACAAAAAAAGGATATAGCTACTGCTAGTCGTGACGTGAGTAGAAAACAGCCTTACATCTTCAACCAAATCTTTAAAACCTCATACTTCCGCATGTTCTTTCAGACAAATATAGAACTCTCAAAATACAAACATAATTCATGTTGTCTTCATCTTGTCCAGAGGCTCGCAAGGTTTTCGAAAGTTCTGTTGGACGCAGACACTCTCATGGTGCCATTGATAGCGAAGAAATACACAACATCCGCTCCAGTTTATTGGAAATGAGAAATGAGATTGAAAAGCAGAGCACGTCAATGTCTCAAGTTATCGATGATCAGAACAAGAAACAACTTCATCTCGAGGCATTGTATGGACACGTGGATCAACTTGAGAACATCAAGGCAGATAGACAACAAATTAATCTTGAAATTGAAGTGAAAGCTGATCGTAAAGAATTAGAGACAAAAGTCAGTCAGGATAAGTTTCAGAACAGTCTCAGTAGTTTGGACCAGTCTGTGCAAGATCTCTTGGAAAAATTGGTTGGCCATGTGAGTAGATCAACGACAAATCAGACATTGATCAAAATATATTTCTCGAATCATGATTATAGATCTTATGATAGATTAAAATAATGGGTCTTGTTTTGCCAGTAAAAGATGGATATAATTTTTTTACTTGAAATTCCAGGAAGCAACATTGAAACAAGCGATAAACCACATCACATCAGATGTTAATACCAAACTCGATAAAATGGACATGGATACAGTAAAGAATTATTTTGAAGGAAAGCTCAAAGACCTGAATTCCAAAGTACAGCGAAAACCAAATGAGGATAAATCACAAGCCGCCGCAAGTCGCTGTATGTTGCTACAACCAGCCAATTGTATTTCATGTGATAGACCAGTACATCTCTACCGTGAAGGTGCAAAACTACCCTCGTTACCTCTGAACAAACCACTACCTTGCAGCAAGTCTAATCGACCTTACATATCATGTGACCTCAATGATGTACGACAGAAAATGTACGATTTGCAAAAACAACGAAAAGTAGACCAAACTGAATCGTTGGGTCAGGCTAAAGTTCAAAATGAACTCTTAAAGTTAGGGTATGTTACTGTTATATTACTCGGCAAATGTATATTTTCAATTCCGTTCCGTGTGTTGCTTTATTTGGATATTACGTATTGATTAAAGTATAGTTATCGCTCCGTTAATGCATTTAAAAATTTTCGTTCAGTGCGATCAAAGATGGTGATGATTTCCAAGAGATAGCGAACCGCCCGTGTGGAGGTAATCACACTCTCACATGCCCGGAGAAACGCACAACCATACGAGTGAACAAAGCTTATCGAGAAGACTTGCATTTTATTGCACAACTTTCTCAAAAAGACCTGAGCATCGTCGACATCCTTGGATATGATGGCCATGTTTATAAAGGTCACGTCAATCAGTTACCTTCTATTCCGGAAATTCCAAAAAACACAATGATACGCCGGCCAACAACTGGTTCTGGTCGACCCCGCACCAGCAGTCCTATATAGATTACCTTTCATTTGATCTTGTTTAGTAGATAAAACAGGATTTATGTAGTACAACGTTTAAAAATATGTTACCGGATTTTACATATACAAGTGGACATTTCATTAATACTCTCATATGTGATTGATATGTGCAAAAATTGTAATAAAATTATTGAAAGGAAAGTCGGAACAGGCTGTTTTGCATCATGTGAACCCGGATACTTCCAGGGTTCAAGTGTTTTGGTGTGTCCTCTCTTTGTAAAAAAACACATCTTTTATCGACTGATATCCACGTTACGTTGTAAATTTCACATGACACTGATGAGTGACCAGAAATTAAAGCAATTCATATTTATTCACTTTATTACAACACACAACTTCTTGTATTACAATCTGTGATGGTTCATGCACGTGAACACCTTGTGGTATTTTACATTTGAGATAATAGAACATAGTATATTGGGATTTGGAAAACTACATGCAGACCGTATTTTCACGGCATGATCATGTTACTGAGTAAAACTACTGAACAAACAACCATGACAAATATTAGTTATTTTCCATACCATACGTTGCCTGGGAAAAATCCCATATTAATCTAATAATGTGTCATTGATTTGCGTATTAACTGTGTTTTGGGCAATGTCAGACTTATGCCGTACAACGCCCGTCACATCATTGTCATAGTTCTCCATCATCTCCGTACGGTTTCGCTGGCGAAGCGCGCTTTGTTTTGGGGGCCTGAGCAAATGACGCGCGCATGAGCAAATTTTTAAAGCCCACTTGGATAGTACCAGGAATATAATATAGATACTATAGAAAAGAGTTTTTAAAAATGTTTACGTTAAGAAACGAGAAGCACGAGTATTTATTGCGGATGGCCCTTGCATCAGCTGACAGAGTTGCTGCACAATCGTGACACGGACCGCCAGCGTTATATATAGAGCAATTGATGACAAGAGGGAATTTCAGTTGGCTTACTTAAGTAGGATCTTGTGCAGTTGGGTCATTGTATGCATTTCTACCTCTTTTGGTGATCTTAGTTTATTGGTCGTTTATCTTCTTATTTTGCACCCAGAACCAAATAAATGGGGCTCAGTCCTAGGGAAATTACCCTGCCCATCCCTCTCTGGGTGCACCACCAGGGCCACCATCAAACACCAGGCACTGAGTTTTGTAAAAAGGAAAAGAAACATTTAGCACAGACAAAGGCATACAAATATTATATTTCAAGATGATAAAATTCTTATTCTTGTTTAATCAAATTTAAACTGATTTAAATGTTCAGTTCAAGAAGGTCTTCTTTCACTATTGGGTTCTTTGGATCATGTCCTTCCTTTTGGATCTTTAAAGAGAAATCAACACATTCATATCCTTGAGTAAGAGAGCCCAGTGACACAACATCAATATGAGGGCCAAAATAACCAGTAATGTTGCCTTCATTAATACCACCACTTGCCTCAAGAATAATATGAGGAAATTCATCTTTCAATACTTTTGCAGCACTGTGCAAAGCCTCTGATGTAAAATTATCTAACATAATTATATCTGCACCAGAGCAGGCTGCCTCTCTTGCTTCTGCAATATTTCGGCATTCTACTTCAATTTTGACTGAAAATCCTCCAGCTTTTCTGGCAGATTTTACTGCGGAGCTTACATTTCCAACACTCCAAATATGATTATCTTTTAACATAATCATTGATGAAAGATCATAACGGTGGGTTGAAATTCCACCTACAAGTAAGGCATATTTTTCAACCAATCGAAAGCCTGGAGTGGTCTTCCGAGTGCCTGCAACTTCACCTGCCCATGATGCCATCTGTTTCATTTCAGCCAATCTCTTAGCTTTGGTTGCTACACCACTAGCTCTGGTAATACAGTTCAATGCAACTCTCTCCCCCATTAGCAATCGGTTTACTTTTCCAGTAACCTCGGCCACGGTGCAAACTGGAACCAACCGGGTTCCTTCGTTTACCAACCATTTTACTTTGCAATTGAGATGTTTAAATACAGCTTCAAAGAAAGGGCAACCAGCTAATACCCCGGGAGATTTACATAGCAATACAGCTTTCTCTTCGCGGTCTCCAACAACAGATCCACCATAATCAAAGCTTGGCAGGTCTTCAGACAGCCACGTTCGAACCAACTCGTTTAAAGTTGACGTCGGAAGGATTAATGATAAGTCAGATTTGCCGCGTCTGGAACAGGACATTTTTTCGGCTTCCTTGTGTGTAGCTTCGAGATTCATACTGATATATGATACCTTGTATAAACATAAATTACCACAAGAATATCTTTTATACATAAGCTTCTTATTCTATTATAGTAGGGAGTAAAGACATCGGCCTCCAGGGTAGTGGGGTCTCTGCCCTGGGGGATATTCTGCCGGCATTGGAGACACTTGACTTAAAAAATGGCTAAAGTTAAACGATAATTTCGGGAAATTGGAACAGTATGTTTAAGGTTTTAATGTTCCTTCCTAACTTTACGCTTAACTACAGATGAGCTATATATCTCATCTGTGGCTTAACTTTTACAAAAGAAGTCATAGTGTTAGAGAAAAAGTTGCAAAACCGGGCGTATACCGCCTTCGCCATGATTACGGAATTTTACGTAATACTTCGTAGCTGTTCGTGAATTGTCGTAAATCATGAATCATCACAACAACAACAACAGAATATTAGTATTTAGTAACAAATCTTAGTATGGCTACTTTTGTGTTCTTAAAAATACTTACGTCAAACGTTTATATATTTTTTGTGTCGTTATGTTTTGTGCTCAGAATCAAATCCACATTTCTTAATATTGAAGAATTACAAAAATCTAAATATGGTGTAGACATATCTGCAGAACCAGTGCTTTTAGACATGAACGAGGTACGTACAGTATGTACGCTTGTTTTATTCTTTATAAAACTGCAACATTATGGTGAAATAATAGAAAACCTGCATGTTTGATAAAAAATCAAGTTACTGCTTTGTTTACCATTAATAATTTTCACAACATATTAGCAGGATAAGAATGGTAACGTCATGCAGATTACTTCAAAACATGGTCAACATTATCAATGTGTCCTTCCTATTGTCCACTTTGAAACAAAGAAAAACAAAACAGTTAATGTCACAACGGAAGAAATAAACAAACTGTTGGAGCCACTGAATAACACTTGTATCATCCAGGTAAGAATCTAGTAAATTCCATTCAGTGGAGTGAGGAAGAGGGTTTATTTTAATCAGTATGAATTTAAAATATCATTGGATTTGAAAGACACTTTTTGAAACTGTTCAGCAAAAAGTGATTGTTGGTTATTGTGAAGTACAAGTTCAATTCCATTTATACTTCCCTCATATACACTTTTACTAATTTAGATAAACTTTTGTTTTAACAAAAATACATTTATTTACAAATTTATTTTCAAAAAGTATTTACAGAAATATAAACAATTTTTTACATAAAAGAAACTTTAGAATTATTACAAACATCAAAATAAACATAGTCTCCTCTTTTTCTATTTCTATATATAAATCTCCTTTTTTTCTATACCGGTATACATGTATATATTTTACATATTTTGAGACATTTCATGATATATGTACATAGATAAATGGTTGGTGGTCATACAAAGTATGTATTGGAAAATCTGTTTGGCAATATCATGATGAAGGTAACCGTATTGACTTCCACATAGTATCTCATACCAAAGAGGAGCACAGTCTAACAGAAAAAACACACTTTGCTTAATTTTAGTTAAAAATTGTTTTTAGCCATATTCCTCAGTTTAATTATTTTTATTAGGTCATGAAATCAAAGATAATATTAGTCTCGGTCATTTTTCTGGAAATACTAATTGGTCAATATTTACTGTAGAGGTAGTAATGGATATTTTCTGCAGTTGTTTGAATTCAAAGAATTTTAAACAAGTATTATGTATCACCTTTTTTTCCTCTTTAGGAAGAAATGGAAGATAGCCAAAGATATCACAGTCATTTTTATAGCAATGGTACCGTTTGTGATATTACCGGAAACCCAAGAAAGACAGAAGTCAGGGTACTTAACTCATGATAAATAGCGTACTTTTTAGTAGAATATCCTATACAAAATTTTAGTACATGCTTTTTTAGTTTTTCTGTGGTTCACAAGCTAATGATTTTATATCAAGAATTGACGAGGACTCCACATGTGATTACATCATCAATGTATATACAGACAAACTATGTAGCCACTCCTTATTCCGACCTCCATCACCACCTAAGAAACACAGTATAACATGTTCACCTGCTCTTAGAGAAGATCAGTACAAAAAGTACACAGAAGCTCAGAATAAGAAGACAGGTATTGTCCACATATTCATACTGTAATTAGGACATGCAGTTAAACTGACTTTGTTTGAATCTGTGTGTTTCACAAAAATATTTTTATGTTTTGAAATAGAGAAATCAAGAGCAGAAGGTGAACAAAAGGACAACAGCTGGACTTTGGATAATGAGGGTACTTTTAAAGAACATGATCGTGACCTCAAAAGAAAAACCAAAATAAAGTCTGAATTTGGTGATTTTTCTAAGATGATGGAAAATGTTGTTACTAAATTAATGGGAAGAATTAAGCAGCAGAAACTGAGAGAATTACCGCAAGATGAAAGTATGTACTAAATGACTGGAGATTTGGATCCATATCAATAAGGCATTTAACCACATCTCTTCATAACTTTCCATTTAGATAATGGAGAAGAAAATCCTGATGATGATTATGATGATATTGATGACAATGTTGATGATAACGATGATGATGATGACATTGATAATGATATTGGTAAAGAGTACAAGACCACACAGATTTCTTCAAGAATGAAGAGGCAGGCGATGGAGGGAAATATGAATGACTTGGTTGGGGATGATGAACCAGTTGAAGACACTGATAGAGATGATGATGTAGGATGGGATGGGGATAATATAGATGATGATAATATGGACATTGAAGGATCATCTACTCCATTCAAGATGGATGGAATATTCAAAAATTTTATTTCTAAAGTTAAAAAAGGGAAAAAGGGGAATAAAGGTGATCACTACGAAGAGCTAATCGATCATCTGAAGCTGCAATATCGTTATTTCAAGGGACAGCTTGATGCTCTCATAGATAATATGAAGCAAAGGATTAGGAGATTACAGGAGACGAATATTGGTTCTATGAATCCAGCAGTAAAGGTTTTGATCACCACAATACAAAAGTCTATCAAGCGACTAGAAAATAAACAGAGGTATCGTACCGTATTTCTTATGAATTTTTTGAATTTGCACTACACACCGACGAACTAGGGATGAAACTTAGCGGTGTCCACAATGGACCAGAAAGTATTTTATATGTACTAAACTAGTTAACCCCGATTTATCTGCTTCAAAATGCAGTTACGAAATTTATATAACCAGCCTTGACTATCTAAGATACGAATTATTGGAGTCCCTGCATGATTTCGACCATCCTTTAGGCCTTCATAAGAACATGGACTTTAAACGATCATTTAGACCTGGAATTAACAGCTCATGCATTCAAAAAGGATGTCCTCTACAAACCTTGAACTCTAAACCTGCAAAGCACAATGCGAGCACAAATTTCAAGCTTAATGTTCCAACTACCTAGCTATTTGTGGGTCGAATGCAGATATTTACCCTATCTTCGTATTAACTTTTTAAGCTGGTTAAATCATACTCCTATTATTATTAACGCAGTTGATATAGAACAATCTTGTTGTGTTTGAAATTGCTGTTTATCTGAGCCACAATTATTATTATACATAGAATTGCCGAGGACGCAATGGAGCGACTTACTGATTTATACGATGCATTTATGGAAGATGGAGATTATTTGAAAGCGAATGAAGAACTTGCTGATATAAGATCAACTTTGTTTGGTTTGGTCGACAACGTAAACCTAAAGTCTGATCCTTTAGAACCTGATGATGATACTCCTCCTGATATTAATGATAATAAAGAAAGGTCGCAACCTTTCAAACCTTTAGAAGAGACTTTTGAAAGTGACAAAAAAACTCAGGGCATTGAGATGGAGAAACCCAACCTGGATAAGGTTGTTTCGAAATTAAAGAAAATAATGACACACGAAAATAATGAAGACATGGATCAATTTGAAGACGACCGTATTAGCGTTAGAGTTGCAAAGATCAGGGAGAAGTCGGAAGATTTGTACGACGATAAAGATCTTGACAAATCATTTCTTGGCGATGAAGATGAAAATCAATTGGACGAGATAACTGAGAATCAAGAAATGAGAGAAGCAACTAAAAAGATGGAGAGTATCGTACGTAAACAACTCCAAGATGCAGGGGTTAAACCTGAAGGTTTGTAAAGTTTTGTTAAACCTCAATATTCATTCGGGCCCTTGAATATTTTACCCACCTTGAATTTGCTTGACGTACAATCATCCCCCCTTACCTTACCCGATCTTGTTTTCCTTTTCAACAACAAACACACGAAGGAAGATAATATACGATTTCTGCTTTTGATAAATTTATAGGGAAAATTAAGGTGAAAATAATTACATCAAAAGAAGCATTACAACGTGTTGCTGGTGGAGAAGATAAATTTCAGATTCTTACATCGCAGGAAACAAACCAATTCAGAGATTTACTTTCTAATCTGTTGGTAAGTGTTTTGTTTCCATGAATAGTTACCTTTGTTATTAGCATAATAAAATATACTCTGCATAAGTTTGCTCATTCATTAGCAGGAAGATCTCTTCGTAATGCCATTATGAAATGTATTTTTTATTCATTATGATGTGTTTCTGCGTTTCTGCCTCGTTTTGATATGATTGACTCTCGGGATCATTTGCATGCAGGGTGGAACTCAAGAATTATTGAAAGAGAAAAAGAGACAAAAAAATATGGAAGATAACTACAATCTTGTTTGGAACCAAGGTGGTTTAGAATCAGCAGATGTGAATGATGAAAAACCGTCTTCAATTGAACAAGAAGACGAAAATAGGTGAGAAGAAACAGTGAATTACCTTCATGTTTCATATGCCATTAATTTGGATCTGAAATAGCATCCACAATGAATCAAGGACGGCTGTTGTCCAATACAAGGATAGAATATCGTGTGAATGATTCGTTTGTAGAAAACAGCATACAAACGGGACAATTTTATATTTGAATTATCAATTCAACACTTCACTGAACAACAGTAAAACAACTTCATACAGCGTAAATATGGAAAAGTTAAGAATAATTTATTAAACGGCACAACCGTAAAAATATCACTTCTATATCTTGCACTTTTAATCTCCACCTGATTAATGTACAAAATTACGTGTTAAATAACGATGCATTATAATCGTTATTGTATCATTTCACCGTTGTGGGTAATGTTTAAAACACGACTCTCGCGTACAGCTGACGGAATGTTGCGTGAGGAATGACTGCATGGACTAACAGTTAAGATGATAATGCAACCAATGTTTTGAGCGACCAGTGTCTTTTTTCATTACCATGATCGGTTTTCTCCGGTTCTCTTCGTCTTTCTCTTGAATCACTATCTTTACTGCTGGATCTTGACTTTCTTCTCTCAGCACCAGTCTCTTTTGTAACATGTTTATATTTGTTGTTTTTATCTGAATCTTCTGATGAACTTGATCTTCTTTTTCTACGCTTTCTTGCATCTTTTTCGTCTTCATGATCACTATCATCAATATTTCTTGATCGACGCGGAGATAGTCGATCATCCCAACGATTGGCTGCTGCTAATTCTGTAGATTTTTTCGTGTTTTCTGAGGAGTTCTTCCAGTAACGTTTACCAAAAGAATCTTTTTGTTCCTCGGCTGGATCATCCCACTTACTGGGAGCAGCAACGTCAGTCTCCTCATGTGACTGCTCACGTGACGATCTGTCCCTCCGAGTCCTCTCCTCTGATCTTTTATACTTGCGTCGGTCTGATGGACTCTTGCTGTTTGATCGACTACGAGATCTACGCCTATCATTACTTCGCTTTTGTTTTCTATATTCTGGAGTTCTTGATCTTCTGTACGACCTGCGGCGCGGTGAGCGGTTTTGATTGTTTCGATGTGAAGTTCTGCGATCACTTGGTGATGGAGATCTTGGCGGAGTGCGATACATCTACAAAGAGAAGTGGTAGTTTTTTAAAAAAATTCAAGAAACACTTGAACAAGGTTGTTGTAATTACATGATATGTAACAGCGTGATAGTACAGTAGTGACGCAGAACAGTTGCTGCATGTGAACAAATATGATCAAATATTTACAACCCGTGCTTAACAATAAATTATACTTTCACAATTCCTCACCATTCTGCCGCGCCCTTTTAAAATATGTCCCGACCTTGAAACCTATAAAGAAAAATTTCCATTAAGGCCGCTAAAGAATTGTGAATTGTAATTGTAAAAATTGTAAAATACATGGCAGCTCGAAGACTGAATTGCGTATTTACAAGCTAATCTGAAATGAAAACACATTGACAAACACTACAAACAATCTATATATAACTATTTAAAAATTATACTTTATTAAAAATTATATTAAAAATTATAAATTATATAACTATTGAAAAGCATTGTGAATATTCTAAACTTACGCGTTCGGTTTTCTTTTGATCAACTTTTTCTGTTTTTCTCTCGTCGTCTGGTGCTTTGTAGCCGGGGGGCGAAGAGCGACTGCGTAAAATAGAATGCAATCTTTTCATATGCGCAGTTGACTAAATGCTAGTCATCATTGTAACTGATTTGATAAGTAATAAAGATCATATGTAAAAGTACTTCATATCGCAAAACCTATGGCTTTGGCTGTAGAATGGAATGGTTGCTTAGAGGTCATCGCAACAACAACTTGAACGCCACCAAATCTTACATCTTTGACACTGTACCTGGCTTTTTCACGTTTCTCTCTGACTGGCGATGGAGTACGACTTCGTCTCATTAAGAAATTATTACTCGGAACTTTTGGAATTGTTTCGTCTTCTTCATTCTCCACTTCATCATTCTTGTCTTCTTTCATTTCCTCATTTTTTTTTCTTAAAAACATCGGTACTTATTTATTACAAGTACAATGAAAACAAGCCAGGGTTTGTGTAGGTTAATAATGGAATGATAAGTTAGTTAAGAGTGCATGGCTTAAAATTTTAAAAATAATGTGCCAGCAAATCAATGACTTGTTGTATTGCTCAACGAGATGTATTTCTCTCTACGTGATTTTTACCTCTTTTCTTTCAACTTTTTCTTCTTCTTAGCCTTGAGTTTTGCTTTATTAATCTTTTCTTTTTTTCGTTCCTTCCTTTTCTTTCGTTTCTCTTGTTTTTTCTTTTTCTTATCATTCTCAGATGAAGAGTCAGAGTCAGAACTGCTGGACTCAGAGCTCGCGGACTCCTTAGTTGCTTTCTGTTTCTTTGCTGTAAACAAATAAAGAAGTTTACATGTCTTTGTCGTCTCTGGGCGCATCCATAGCTAAGTGAACAGAAATTACCTTTTAAACGACTCTTCGGTATCAATTCCCCACAATTAGCGATTCTTACATCACTGCTGGGTTTGCTCTTTGAGTCAACTCTTTGATTTTCTATTTCTTTCACAATATCTTGACCTTGAAGAACATGACCAAAAACAACGTGGATTCTAGAAGAGAATGTTTTATTTAATTTTTCTTACACCAAACAAATTACTGCGCAAGGATAGTGTGATCTCACACAGCTTCTATTGAATACTTACTTATCCAGATGAGGACACGGGACTGTTGTTCTAAAAAAAGGAAAAAGAAATTTTGCTAGACATGACAACACCTCCATTATTAAGGAGAATTTTTGTTTCTTAGCGCGTGAAGCTCCATTGCAATACTTACATAAAAAACTGCGAGCCGTTTGTGTTGGGACCTCGGTTAGCCATGGACAAGATGAACGGTTGCTCATGTTTTAATTGTAGATTTTCATCTAGTATTGATATAAAAGTTGATCTCATATTTTTAAATAATTTTTATACCACATTATACGTGTAATAATAGCGTCCACAGCTGATGGGTTGATATTTTACCTTTGAATGTTTTTCCATAAATAGACTCACCGCCTGTACCATTTCCTATATGAATGCATTTAATATTCGTTATTTCATATAGTTACATTTACTAAGGAATGAAATAACGTCTAATACTGTGTTGTGGACTAATTTGTGCGTGGTTTGTGTGCATTCTTGGCTAATTTTTATTATTGGCTATATATAACACACACTTGAAAAGTAACCAGGAAACAGTGGGTCAACTGATCTCAATGTAAATACCTGCAGTGAAGTCTCCTCCTTGGATCATGAAATCCTTGATAATTCTGTGAAACGGAGCACCTTTATAATGTAACTGCTTGCCTGACAGTTTACTGACGCCTTTCTCTCCTTGAAAAAAAATGATTGGTTAAATGCGAAAAGTAGACAAACGTGTAAAACGAAAAAGAATCATTATGGCTTTATGCACTGAGCAGTGAAGCACACTGATCAACTGCTTAATCTTCGTATAGCAGTGAACCTGTGTTATACCTGTGCACAATGCTCGAAAATTTTCACATGTATCTGGACAAATATCTGCGAATAACTCCATCACAATCCTCCCAGCTAAAAAAGAAAGAAAACATATGTACATTGTGCAATTTGATTTCCTGCAAGCGGGAAAATAATGCGCAGAGTTTATCCTAATTTTGTTTGGAATTATTGATTAACAAAATATGATGCAAAAAAACGGAGACAAAAGAAACAATCATTGGAAGAACTTCGTCTAAGAAGGGTTAATTTTTAAGAAAGAAAGAAAAAAGACAAAAATAAAAAGTTGGTACAGTAAATCATTAAATTGAAACCAGGAAAATCTAAAGGCAGGAAAAAGCCACTAACAACTCGGCTAACAAGCCCACGTTAGTTGCATCACTTGCATGGGACACTAAAAAGTTATTTATCTTGAGGTGCCAACAAATGCATGGTATTATCATTAAAGATGCATTTCCATTTGCAGAGAAATAACTTACTTGAGATTTAACACACCGTGTGTGGAGCAGAGCATGCTAATGCTTGAAGATTTGTGCATGCTTGTGTATGTGCTTATGTCGCACGTTTTATTGTTTTGTCTTTTATTATCTTTCCTGATTGCTTTGCTCAGTATGTCGCAAGTGAAAATCAGACTTAATTTTGATTGTGCTTACGCAGGTAATTCAGGGTGAATTCAGATTCAAATTAGCTCACGTATTGTAGTAATTTCACAGTTCTAATAATTTTGAAGTAATGGGTGGGTAAGAACACAAAGTCTTGTATTTATGGGACTGAAATTGAATTAGAGAATAATATTTCTCTATGATTATGGCAATTGAATCGTGTTTAATTTACGTATATTAATTTGACGAGGGATTAGAGGTGTAAAGCTCCACAATTATAGCAAATTTGAATTTGAAAGGTTTACTTATTTTATACAATCTGTAGGTTCAGTAATGAGCCATTCATTTAAATTTTAATGAGGGGGGGGAGGTGGGGGTAGAAAGATTGCTCTAGATCCATTTTAAAGCACAGGTAAATGCGTTATTACAACTGATATACAATTTCAAACGTTCAGTTTGAATTTCAAAACATTTTCTTTCAAAGCACTGTATTATTAGGAGTCCCCGCTTCCTGTACCCCTGGGGCTGAGCTCATTAATGAGCGCATATGATCACGTGCTTACTGCATGACAACAGCACAGAAATTTTAAATTCTCACGTCTAAGAAAGTACTAGGTTAAGTTTAGCTCTAGGATTTTTAAAAGAATATAAACTGAAACAGAGGAAAGAGGTAGATGTCGCTGCGTTACTGTTTCAATTTCTGTTCACGTGCGTTAGACGTGCTAAAGTGAGCAATGACGTCACAAACGATGTTTTCTAACAACTGAAATGAATAATACGACGGCATTATATTAGAAAGATGTCGGTACAGGCAGTTGATAAAGCCAAGCTCCCAGCGTTGATCATTTTTGACAAGGATGGAACATTGATTGACTTCAATTCAACTTGGATGCCGTGGATCTCTGCATTGGGTCGACGTCTTGAGTCCGACTGTAATTTTGATGTGTCAAGCCGGCTTTACGACATTATGGGCTATTGTCGTAAAACTGAAACATTAAGTGATTCAAGTTTACTGGCATACGCAAGCATGGATATTATAAAAGAAAAGATAAAAAGCATGTTACTAGAAAATGGAGTTAGGAATGAAACTGTTGACAGTTTATTGCGCAATTGCTGGAGAGAGTGTCATGTGAACAACACGTGCAGGCCGTTGCCAACAACAAATCTTCCAAACTTGTTCGGAAATCTTCGAAAGGTCGGGGTAAAGGTCGCTGTATGTACGTCAGATAGCCGAGCAAGTACAGAGTCTGCTCTTCAAAAACTTGGCGTTGGAGAGTTGGTTGATGTTATAGCTTGTTCTGATGATGAAAATATGCAACCAAAGCCATCTCCATGTGGGGTTTTAAAAATTTGTACTGACCTTGGTGTTGACCCTGGCCATACGATAGTTGTTGGAGATACAACTACGGATATGTTGATGGCAAAATCAGCCTCTGTTGGTATTATTGTTGGGGTTCTAACGGGCATTGGAACTAAAAATGAACTCTCCTTTTATGCAGACGCTATTCTTGACAATGTTGAACAAATATGGACTTTATTCATGTCATAAATAGATTAATGTAATAATTATGTTATTTTAGCTATTTTTTTTTAAATAGCTTCAATGACTTTTATTGGTTATTTCCTGTGTTTTTCACTATAATAAAAGCAAGATGATGTTCATACTGGGCTTGTACCAATGTCATGGTCACAATCTAATAAATATTTTATCTATCATGGATTGTTTAATCAATTCACCTCATTTAATCACACTACGCATCTATATTTGGTCAGCAGATTTTTTAGTATAAAAAGATACATAAAAATAAACTTGTTGAAGACCTCTGTAATGCTTTTTTCAATTCAGTGATTTGGAGCAATTATTTAACAGAACGTAAGGGGCGAAATTAATGATTGGTTGATGCTATATACCTCTGGAAGAACTGCACAGGACAACAGGATAGAAATATAATTCCATTTAAAATTAAGACCCTTTAAACCTCTAGAATTTACCTGCATCGAGTGAAGTGTCAAAAATCATAATTGATTTACCCTATACTATAGATATAATATTATACCCTTTGGGTAGGAATATAGTACAGTCGAGTATACTAATGTTTTCAAGCAATTGAAAAATCATCTGGGAGCCTTGTTCTAATCAACAACTTTTCAGTTTGACCCACAAATAGAATAAAGTTAAATTTAGCTCGTGTTTGCTATGCATGGGTGTCTTTATACACTGTTGTCAAAGAAAGCTGAAGATGTTTTATATTTATATTTCAATACAATATATCATATATAGATCTTCCTGGGGAATTTAATAAAATTTCAACTCTTCCAGGATGATATATCTCCAGGGCAAAACGCTCTGGACATATCATTCCTTGGGAGTGATATTTCATTGTACTCTGTTCCTTCTGACCCTTCAGGTCTATTAATGACAATTATAGCGCACGTCACGTGTATCCGGGAACCAAGCTAATATTTTGCATCGTCTATTTAATAAAGGGTATACTACGAATTTTGACAAATGGACTTCTAGGGCAAAACCACTTTATGAACAACTTTGAATTGAAGCATTGTGATTAGTTTAATAGTGGATCCAAATTAGAATCCTCAGTCGTGGAAATGAATTATTTCAAGGCAGTATCTTTATTTCATACTCAAGAAGTCGTATTTAAAATATATATCGAAGTTCAATTGATTGAAGTTATTACTGAATGACAAACCGTACCAGATACGCCATTGATTTCCACGTCAAAATAACATCTTGGACGATATCCTTTTGCAGTTGGAGGAAAAGCCGCCATCTTAAGCACAATAAAAACAATCTTACATCGCGTAATCGGAAATTACGCTGTTATGCGCAGGCTCATCCACTGAGCTATAAACGAAGCTGCAATTGTCAATTGACGAAGCTGGTGATATCAATGTGGTATATTTCTGGTATATCCTTCCTGGATGGTTGATTTCTACCTAAGAGTTGCAATCATGCAGTTTCTAATTTACTAGTGCCTTATAAAGGCTGCTGCAGAGAATGGTAAATTAATTGTTGTGATAATATTTTAATTGAATAGAAGTTTGAAGGTTTCGTTTTGTGGGAAATTTATCATTTGAGAAGTGATGGGTCATGTGACAGCAGATTGGACACCTCTTGGTGATGTATTTTACAGGTACAAATTTTTCTTGCTTTGTGAAAACCATTATTCAAAAGTTTTTGCAATAAACAGATATCACAAGCACTGTTTGGCAACTGGTTTTGGTTATATATGAATATGATTATAAATAGAAGAGTTTTAAATCCATGCCTAGAGCTCTAATATGTATGCTGCAAGAAATACTTTAAAAGCACACCTGAGATCCAGACTGCAGAGTATGGCAGTTTTCGACGAGATTTCGGGTGCGAAATAATGACAAGCCCAAGTGCAGATGCGCGAAATAGGCTGAGGTGCGCACCCAAGTGTGCTGTAGCTAAGAATATTGACAATTTATCACTGCCACTCACAATCCCTGCCAAATATCATGTGCAAAATTTGTTTCGATGCATGAAAATATTTGTTGAAAAATATCTCGGGTGCGGCACTACCTAACTCTGCAGTCTGGCCTGAGATCACAGCAGAGAATACAGCTGAGTGGACTTTAGCTATACTCAGTTACTCTGAAAAAATTTTTCATGTAGGACAATTGAATTGTATGATATGGCTTGGAAAGGTGAAATTGACATTACAAAATATCATATTGCTGCAGCACCTTATGGTGGACCAATAGGTAAATGATGATATTTGAATGGAATGATAAATGGAGAATAATATGATGACAACATATTTGTTATAAGAATCTAAGGACCAAATAGCATACCTTTCATCTTTGGGCCTCCTTTAGATTATGGAAGAATTTGTGCATTTAAGCTAATTTTTATATAATTTTTATATAATAATGTTATAGAACTCTAAGCAAGTCCATATTAAAAAGTGAAAATGACGTATTTATGTAGTTCCCATTAGATTATATGCTTGAAATGTTTAGTTCATGTCATGTTTTTCATTAGCTCTTTCAAAGAAACACATGAGAATGTCCGGGGCAAAACCTCTTATCTCTATATATTCTGCAGCTGGAAGATTAATGGCAGATATAAACGTAAGCTCAGTCTAAACAATACTTACTGTACATACACAGTTCTATGGTTATACTGTAGCTGTTTATTGCATAACATGTATTATGTACCATCTCCCCTGAAGGAAAGGTGTTAAATGAATAGGGATGCTTATCACAAAAATAACAAACTTTAATACTATATAATTAACTACAAGTCTACAACAACAAAGGTAACTGCATATGGTGTTCTGGAATCTATTTTAGTGGGAAGGAGGAAACCTTGTTCAAATGGGATGGTCTGTAAGTGAAGACTTGTTCTGTGTTGCTGAAGATGGAAGAATATATGTCTATACTCTTTCTGGGGACTTTATAAAAGTGATGACAACAGGACAGGTACAGTACACACATGATATATGATATGATACAATTACCAACTTCCAAAATATGTTATGGCTAAAAGCTGTATAATTGTCTTTCATACCTCATCTTCTTATAGGAGGGAAAGGAGTTTAAAGTGATTGATTGTAGATTCTTCTCCAGTTCAATGGGATCTGGTATTACCATCTTAACTAGTCGCTACCATTTTTATACAATAAACAAGTTGGAAGATAAAAAAACACGGGAGTTAGCTACTCCTCCAGGTTAGTTGTATGCAACATCCTAAATAACCATAATAACCACTGATTTTCCTTTTGTATTTCTTGGTCTGAAGCAATCCAATCAATCCTAATAGATGCATGCATCCCACCTTTGCACATAGCTTGTGAGAGTAAAACTTAAAATTAATCTCATTTAAGGTGGTTCTGAATTTAAAATGATAATGTTAACCAGGTGTAATTATCGAAAGGGTCTATTGTTAGTGTACAGCCTGTTCTGAGCATTTAAATTATGAAATGTTACCACATATGAGTTGAGTTGTTTAACATTTTAGTAGGCTTGTTTACAATCGTGCTGTTTCTTACATTGTAGGTTTAAATGCTCCACCAAGCAGCTGGATTACCATTCCAGAAGAAAGAAAATCTCATGTGTTGGTTGCTGTGGAGAGTTTTCTTTACTCCGTTACAAGTGAAGATGTTGTTTTATTAGTACGTCTTGTATAATACCAGTTATCAAGTATTCTGCAGTGAACCTTATACAACAGTTTGTTTACAGTTCAATGGTTTTCTGTAACTAGTAAACTTTCCAAAATTAGTCGGACTTCTTCATTTTGATGTAAATTTTCAATACAAGTCATTCAATCTCTCGTCTTTGAAGAGAGGGTGTTTTGTATAGGTAGTAGAAGACAAAACCCTTTCGTTTTATCACGGTTTGTTTTTTTAGACGCCAGAAATCAGCGAGCAAGTAAATGCATTCACAGAGATGGCTCTCTCGATAAACCATAAATATTTAGCACTGTATGCGGACACTGGTCTAGTGTGGATTGGATCTTCGGATTTGAAAGTGAGTTGATGCATTGTAGAAACAGTCATTGAATGATTTCCTCGCCAACTTATTTTTCCGTACGATCTAGACGGTTTATTGTGAGTTTAATACTCGACAAACATCCCGTCCTGAGCAACTAGCATGGTAAGAAAATTTAATGCGAAATGTTATAACTTAGATATAGTTGATATATGTGAAATGTTATGTAAAAAGTACCGAGTTCACCACAATCCACTATAATATACCGGTATACGCTATACTACTTTTTTATATTTTGCTCCGCCCCATTAGCAACACCGTATAAATATATCCCATTATTCCCTTCCCATACCGTTTTCCCTGAATGTAGGTGTGGAAATGGTGCTGTGATATGTTACTGGCAATATCAATATATGATGATTGGACCTGATAAAGATGTCGACACATATCTTTTTCTTTTACTGTAACATGCCGTATTTATGGAAATTCATTGGAATCTCCAATTTTTAAAAACCATAATACCCTTTCTCTAAGATGAAAGTGCTAAAACACTGTTTTAACCTTAATACAAAGATACTGTTTACAACTACATATTCAGTGCATAATATTCAAGTTAACTCATTCCAGAGAGATGTAAGAATGTTATTTAATTTTGACTTATTCACCGTTTAAGCTAAACGGGCTTGATACAACCGGCCCCTGGCTGGTTGTGTTAGTAAATTTTTGGGTTCCTGCGATTGAATCAAACATAGGACCGACTGGTTTAACTTGCCATACCTTCACAGAGTCACTGACTAGGAGATGATTAATCCTTGTTGTTTTATTTAAACATGTAAGACAAATCTATCGTGCTCATTTTCTTTAACATATTTTAATCGTTTTATCGAAGACGATGTTTATCTGGTGCCTGAAATAGATGGTATAAGAATTGTGAGTAACGAGAAACACGAGTTCCTTCAAAAAGTTCCAAGTAAGTTGTATTAATGTGGCAAATAATGGTAAATTGATGTGAGTAAATTGTTTTCGAGTTTATAACAATAAAACTGTAGCTTATACGCTGACAAACAACTGAGAAGACGGTGGTCGTTATCGTTTTAATATTTTTCATTTAAGGTGTTGTTGAAAATGTTTTTAAAATCGGTTCTGTGGAGTCTGGAGCCATGTTGTATGAAGCAATGAAAGAATTCGAGGTAGGCTTTGTTTTGAGAAGATTGATTGAAATTTTGATGATGAATTACTTAAATAAGAATTTTGTAGCAACACCACGTCTTTCGCTCCGCGTCAACCGGGGCGTTCAGCAGTGCAAATTAAAACTGATCTTTACGTGTGGTGTTTCTACAAATTAACGATGCAAGTTTTGGAAGCATTTTAAGGAACTGTAGATCCTAAAACTGTATATAATAATGTTAAACTCTGTTAGTGTTTCACGTTTTTCCTGGTTGCGAATTTTTGAAATATTTAAACTGATATTAGTGCACGGGTTTACCGCCATCTTAGATTGTATGTATGCTTACGCCACTGAGCTCTGTTTTACTTTACGTCTTTTTATTAGAAAAAGAGCGCTAAAGCGGATGAATATATTCGTTTAATAAAACCCAAGTTACCAGAAGCAGTCAGACAGTGTGTGCAAGCCGCGGGTTCGGAATTTGAGCCAACATTACAAAGAAGTTTATTAAGAGTGAGTCTATATATATTATTTTACTTGTGTGCATTCATCTGTTCCGCAAGAATGTTAAAATATTTAAAGATCAATTATTAACAAGGAAATTAAATATTTTATAGGCGGCATCATTCGGAAAGAGTTTCGTTGATGAACTAGAAACTCATAAGAAATATGTGGAAATGTGTCAAATATTAAGAGTTTTGAATGCTGTTAGAGAACATACTGTAGGCGTGCCTTTAACCTTAGTGCAGTATCCTTTGATTAGGTGAATTCTAGTAGGAAAACTATGATTATTTTACAATTCATCAAATGATATCATTTTCAGTAAAATTAGACAGTAAAAATGATTAAGATGAGAATTTGAATTCATTTGCTAAAATGGTGTATATAACGATAACATTTCAACTTAGAATAATAATACACTTAGGATACAAAGTGAAGAATAGAGAATCCACGCTGGTTGCATAGAACTGTGGTTGTTCCTTGCTTTAGAAAAATTATCCTTTTTATGTGCTTTTAAAACCTATTTCGCCTTAATTAATATTAGACTGGACACTTTGTCAATGGATGTGCTTATTAAAAGGTACGATATTCATATATTATCAATATATATTCGCAGATTTTTGTTCGTGTTTGATTGGACTGAATCTCTGACTTTCATAATTTGCCCATCCAGTTTGCATACGTAGACTAACTGATTATAAGTTTTATTATTAGTTTTATGTAAGTTTTATTTACGTATTTCGTCACTATTTGTCTAGATTAATGCTTCGACGTCAATATTGTTTGGCAATGCGAATTAGTAATTATTTGAAAATTCCAAAAAGTGACGGCGAAAGTAGAATTCTGGCACATTGGGCATGCTATAAGGTAAATATCCTAAACTTGAGGTAATCGACGAACTTACCATTTAGAAACCTGATAATTGCACAATGAATAACTTATCAATTTATCAAATAAACAATTGATTTCCCACAGTAAAAAATGTGCATATTTAAATTGTGAGAGCATGCACTGTTCTCGACGTTTTGACCTAACGGCCTTCTTCAAGCGAGTTATAGACACAGCGTTCATAACGTTCATAGAGTTCATAACGTTGATAAGTTTTTCTCTAGTTAAACGACATTTAGTAGAGAAGAAAAGAGAAGAGAAGTTTTTCTCTAGTTAAACCACATATAGAAAAGAGAAAGTAATTTTCAAGTGAACAGATCACACAATGGTCGCTGTATCGTGCTTATATAGGCCTTGCTGGCGGCAGCTGGCATCGCTATAATTTATTATTATTTAAATCAGGTGCAACAAATGAACAAAGATGAGGAAAATATTGCTCTTGCCATTGCAACCAAACTCGGAGACGCACCTGGTATTTCATACACTGCAGTTGCATCGCAAGCTGTTAAATGTGGTCGAGGTCAGCTTGCTCTCAGGGTGAGTATGAAAAGTACAGAAGCTTGTATTTTCAGATGTTTTGTTGTAATGAAATCTTAATAGCTTTTAGAATATGAATCAAAAGCAGCAGACCAAGTTCCGTTACTAATCAGGATGAAAAACAACCAGCTCGCTTTGGAGAAAGCAATAGAAAGTGGAGATACCGACTTAGGTACTTATAATTATATGAATTTTAAACTTTGTCACTTTTATTTGTCAGCCAGTCCGGACTTCTTAAAAAGCGCCTCTTCCTTGAAGTGTCGTAGCCCATTGCGACCGGTGGTTTTGCATGTGCCTTCTTAAGCGGCAATATAATAATTCTGGGCTTTTTCAGTTAACAAAACAATATAAGGTTTCAATTCTTATGAGATGACGATGATGATGATGATGTCGAAGTTGATTCTTTTTCCTTGTAGTGTATTTGGTTGTGATGGACCTTAAAGAAGAAAAACAACTAAAAGAATTTTTGATGACTTTAAGGCATTTTCCAGTTGCTTTCAGTCTTTTTGTAAAGGTATGACTGGGACGATGTTTTACCTTTTAGTTTACACTTTGGTAATGTCAGCTTGAGGTGTGATGATAATCTGATTAAAATATAGGCTTAGCACGTACTGCACACATTAAGCGTGGCTGTACCTCCAAAGTATGATGGGAACTATCATGCGAACTAACGTGGAATTTTTAAATTTAATTTAGTTTTGTAAAGAACAGGATAAAAAAACGTTGGAAAATCTCTACACGATAGATGACCAGTTTCTTAACCTGGGCAATCTTTACTTGCACGATAGCTTCACTAAGACTGTAAGTAAATACTTGATGTCAGCAGAATGCATGAGCACCAGATGTCATTATATACAGCAGTGGGTCCTCTCATTAACGTAACATTTTTTATCTTTTTCTTGCAACATGTGTATCAATTGCTAAGCTTTTGTTATTTAGACATCAGATGAGAGAAGAGAATGTTTGAAAAAATCTTTGGGATATTTTACCCAAGGCAACCTACTCTTTCCAAAACAGGTTGGTTTTATTTGAATTTATAGATGTTAATTTTCAACTTGCTTGACAGCCAGCATCTGGACGACTGGACCCACATGGGACAGCTTTCCCGCTCAGCTGATCAGTCACTGATCTGCTAGTTTTAGAAAATCCAAGTGCCTGTTGGAATGTATGTGCATGTGGAATTACGTTTGAATATTTACAATCCCTCCTGTTATACGCTGAAGAGCATGCATTCGTGTTACGCCTATGTTTGTTCAGCATTATCGTATCAATTTTCTTGCAGATGGTGGAAGAACAAATTAAGCTACTAGAGAAACAGAAATCGCTGGAAGAAAAGTTGAGACTTCCAGGACTATATGGGTTATCAGTTAGTGACACCATATCTCAGGTGAGTTGAGAGCTTATTTACCGCGCGAAATATAATTTTATGCATTGTTAATAACCAATGAAGTATTTTCTAGTGTGTTCACAAAGGTCATTACAACGAAGCAGAACAATTAAAGAAAGAATTTAAAGTTCCTGATAAAAGGTGAGAATCAATCCAAGCTTCATTTGCTTTTGTTAGAAGTATGGTAGTTTATAATGTCGATTGTGTCGATAAATTGTTTCATAGCCAAGGAAACATTACGGGAATAATTTTTGAAACAACTTGTGACTCGGTTGGTTGGTCTTTTGCCATGTCTTAGTGAGAATATTATTTTTACGTTAGATATTATTGGCTGAAGCTTCGAGCACTTGCTAAAGCCCGTGAATGGATGAAACTGGAAGAATTTAGTAAAAGTAAAAAGTCTCCCATAGGTTACGAGGTAGGAAGAAAATAAAAGAAAAGTAAAGCAAGCAGCAATTATGAAAACACGTTGCTGTCCAACCCTGTATCCAGGGACGCGGTTGGTTACTGACTGCGTTTAACCGTTTATGACATTGCTGAATCAGCAGTTAATTATGGCACTGTTGCCCGTTGCCTGGCGCCTACGTTGAACACGACTTTTCCAAACTTAGTTTTCATTTTTAAAGATTAAAGATCTGCGTCTTATTTCTCTTCTAGCCGTTCTTTGAGGCGTGTTTTCAATTTGATAACATCAAGGAAGCTGAAAAATATATTTCTCGCGTTCCCCTTGAGGAAAGAATGAATTGTTACATCAGAGTTGGGTAAGATGATATTTCGCTTTGCGACATAATTGACTAAGAATGATCATAGCAACTCAGCTACCTCTTTTGGGAAAGTTTGTTATTAGAAGGAATTCATTCTTGCCAGCATTCGTTCTCATGCAGCTACGACAAAATCGTTCGTTAACTTTGTCTTGAAATTTGTTTCGCAGAAATATTGAACAAGCGGCAAATGTTGCATTCAATCAGAAAAATGAAGAAGCTTTGAACAGTTTGTTGGGGCGTTGTGGAACAAATAGAACACTCGTCTCTAAAATTGAAACAATGAAAACTCAACTTTCACAAAGAAAAAAATGAGGTCAGTGGAATCTAATTTCAGTTATATGATACGTACAGTAATTAATTAAGATTTATAGTGCGAAACTAATAAAACACAAGACATATTTTGGAACTATATATTCGAACGACCAGATTCGAAATATATGATTGAGATCAAACTCTAACATGCAGTTAAATTTTTATAGAATAAGAGGGGCGTTAGAGTCAGTAAATCATGTATCAGCTATAGATGCAACATCGATTCCTCTTTTATTAATGTTTTGATTACTTTAATTTTTTTAAATTATATTTTTGCTTCCATTCTTGGTTCTGGAGTTTACTTTTCACCACTGTTAGCGTTTGTATGTAACACACAGTGCTCGCTACTAGAATTTATTTCTCGCTTGTCGTCCACGGATTCATTCAATCCACATTTGAGTGTGATTTTCTGCTGGCTGAGGCACGAAAGAGGCAGAAAATGTTTTTCATACACACTGCTGGGGGGGGGAAGGCTTATCTACAGGGGGTCGGGGGGGGAAGGTCAGTTTTTGTTTTGCTAGCAGGCCTGACCTAATATCAATGAGCAGTAATTCAGTTATAATTGTAGGGTTTTGTAAATACTAAGTTTTAGTTTAGGATGCAATGTATGTGATGAGAGATGTGGAATTATTAAAGGTCAGGGGCGAGCAAGGCATCCCACCCGGCAGTGTGTGTGAAATAAAATTACTTTAAGTAACTCTATCATTTAGTCGACACCCTGTCCATTGAAACAAAGTTTTTCAACTTCAAGGGCGACTTGCTTTATTGTAACCTAGCTATATATATTCGGATGATTTTACAAAGATCAGGTTAGTGAACCACAGAGTGGGTTACAGAGTAATAGAAGAGCCTGGGAACGAGGTCTACATTGAGTGTTTAGCGTGGTCTAAAATGATACTGACGAAAGCCGTTGGTTTATTTCCATCGTTGTTTGTTGAAAAGAATTAACTTGAATGATGTGATTCACAAACAGGAAATACCTCGTTTGTCTTTCGAGTAGATTATTTAAAATTCTGTGAGCACTTAATTCACAGCGAATCACGAGCCGTAACTATTTTGCATATATATTTTTATCATAACCATCAGCTTACACTTCAAGGAACACGACTTTTGCAAAGAAAATCAGGATTACAAATGATAAAGAGCCTATTTTTCGCCTTTTATTTTATTTCACGGACAGTTTTACCGGGTAAAATCATTGTTGCAGGCCCTTAAAATCACGTTACGTGTACTGATTTTTTTAATTACACAGCAAGGAGCCTGTCATTTTTGAAGAAACACAACAGACCGCCAAAAATCTTGAATATCAAGTCATTTGAATTAGTTTCAAAAACAAAGAGGGATACACGTACAGTAAAAATAGTTGATGATCTCTTCTGACGGTTTGCCAGTCGTCTGAGAAAAATGTTCATCGCTTGTTGTCTGCCATACCTAACTCGTAGACAATTGGTCATTTCAAACAAAGCTAAAGTCGTAGTAGCAGGTGAAGAAACGTTGTTATGTGCATTAGAATTGAAGACTAAAGATACGAGTGCAAGCCTTAATGATATTCGCCTCAAGTACGAATTGTTTGCCAGAAGCAGTCGTGTTGTGGAACCAAATGTTGCTCATTGCTGTCTATCGCTTATTTCTCGGGAGAAATGCAATATTTTCATTAATGTCTCAACAACAACGGTTGTTAAATTGACCAAAGTGAAATTAGATCTTGGATGGAAATTCAGACTTGCTGACAACGAGATTAAGTTGAAGATAAAAACAGGCAACTCATTGTCAAGTCCAGTACCCTCAAGAAATAGTTCAAAGCCAGATCTCAGTGTATTGAGCAGCAGCGATGAGTATGGCCCGAGGCTACCGAAACTTTCCCGCTTAGACCTGACTAAATCACCTGTATCTCAACTTGATATATCACCCAGTCCTAGTCCTACAGAATCGTCCTTTTCATTCTCAGATTACGAAGCCGGGAAAGGTCAAAGGATTACGTCATATCACTTGTCAAATGCCCAAGTTTCAGCTCATCATAGTTCGGTTGAAGCCGCCATGTTACCTGATGGTATTGGGATCATACAAGCAGGGACACCGGCACATTTCAAGGTGAAGATGAAAGATGATGAGGGAAAATCAATTATTAAGCGAACGAAGTTCGAACTGATGGTCAAATTAGGTGGCGAGGCGATATTCTCTGGTGCTACACGCAAAACTGTTTTTAAATTGACTAAAACTCAGAGTGGAGATTTCACAGTGTTGTTTTTTATCAATGATGAACCGGTTCCAGGTGGTCCGTTCTATGTAAACGTTATTCCATTAGCAGCATGTTCTCTTTCAAATTTCACATTTGACGAGGATTTGCGTCAAGTAAAACGCTATAAAACTCAATTTGATATGATGTACGTAGGTATCTGGATGATATGTCGCGCTAACATTGTTGATAAATATGGAAATAGAATACATAAAGATTGCGAAGTTAACTTAATTCATGATAAAGACATTGATGTAACGGCAGTTCATGTTCACGAAGGTTATCTTCAGTTTAAAACAAGAGCGGAGGAAACTGGTAATTTTGAATTGAGTTTTGTTTTAAAAGAAGATTTACAAAATGAAGTTATTGTAAAGAAAACTGTGCATGTTAAAGAGCTTTCCATGGATGATCAGTTTGTATTTACCTCATATGTTTAACTAATATGTATGAAATTAAATAAGAAAAAAAACAAACTTCGTGTGTTTCATGAATTTATGATCTCATAATGAGCGCGAATTTTAATATCTTAATAAAACAATGTATATGGTACATTGTCCGTCACCGACTCGGGGTTATCAAATGTTTGTTTTCACTTTAATTTGCAGTTAACCACATTTTATCCAACATTTTTAAATTTTAATCCAACACAATCCAACACTGCTAAATGTGTGTGGTGGTGTAAGGTTTTTTCACGTACGTGTAAATAAATTTCAACACATTTCAAAATCACGTGTTTTTTAAACCATGCATTTTTGCATCGTATATTAGCGCGGTATACGAGATGCTCTAAAACCGCTTGTTGCGTTCTTGAAATTAGGTAAGATTACCAATGGTTATGCCGATATATATATTTAAATTATCATAAATTTCGCGTGACACCGGCTATATGCACTACTAGCTTCATTAGCTGATCTTAAACTGGAGAGCGCATCTGGTGTGGAAAATATTTTTTTTACTGATGGAGTAGACAAATTAAGAGATATTAAGATTTTATTATTAAACATCTTATCTTTATATCATACACTACTTCTTCAATTTTCTTAAGATCGTATTTTAATCCATCGAATTTTTTCCTTAAAAAGTCATTCTTAAGATTTAACAGACGAAATCCAGCGTCCAGTTCTGAGACGAACGAAGAAATGTTTTGAGGGCGTTCATATTCTTCAGCTGTTACACAGTTGACTGCCAATCTCGACTACAAGGAAAATAATAGAATATTTATATATACAATACCAGTTGCAAAACCGGCCAGGTTTATACCTCGAATTTGGCATAGCATGGAAACAAGATGATTAGTTTATGAAATGATGAACTTCACTCATTATTATTTTCATTTTAAATGTCTTGTTTGAATTGTAATCAACTCAGATGAAAAAGGCCAAAAAGTGCAGGTCTCAGATTTATACATTTTTACGAGAATATTTTTACCATGTCCATTTATGAGGCTTTGGACAAGAATTTTCGTTTAGTAATCTGTTTTGTAGACTTACTAGTTCATTGGCAAGCAACAATAATCCAGTGAGAAAATCATCCAAATCAATATGAAATCCTTCTTCACGATTCACCTTGACTATTCAAAATGAATTATTAAATCATTGGAATTGGGTTACATATTAGATTGAAGCCTTCTGTGTTTTGTACTGGTCTTCCGACACAGAAAAAACAAACTGACAATATAGAAGATAGCCATGATATAAAATAATGTTTTTAACATAACCTACTTCCAAGCATTCCAGCAAGTTCTTTTCGCGTTATCAATTTATCAGACTTAAGATACACAAGAAACGAAGCAAGGAAAGCTGCCCTTTGACTGACAAACCTCCACTGATCATGAAACCTTGAATTTTAAATGACCACATTAGGAATAGATTAAAATTAATCTGCTTTGCACATGTATAAGAATTTCCACCCGTAATACAAAAAATGCCTACTTGGCATAGCTATATTTCCCATACTACTAACATTTTGCAGCCAAACATGGCAATTATATACTAATTCTAATACACTCTTTTTAACTGTGGTGATTTATTTCCTTCTTGTTACCTATATCACAAGTTGGTCTATTATGCAATTGGTCCATTCAGTACCTGTAATATTGTCCTGCTGGTATCAATAATATCAGCTCCGAAAATTGTGATTTTAATGTTCCAAACATTTCCTCTGCCTGTTGGCATATAGCAGAAATATCTATGGAGTGAAAAAAGGTTTTTCCCAAAAGGGTTAAACATGCAAGAAATGACCAATTTGACTTGTTATGGATTACAATTAGGTGTATTTTCACACAACGATTTTTGAAAGGATTTTGAAAATTGCTAAATGTTAATTATATATATATTTATATTTGGTTAAACCCCACACCTGGCACTGTGTGTGAAGGTTGTTTGCGTAATTTTGAATTCATATTCCCTCATACCGGACATAAATTGAAACTAGGTCATATGATCAGTTGTTTATTTCAAATTGAATAGACCACTCTGATTGACAATTTTAATTTTGTGAACATGATTCCAAATAGAGTGCATTTCCTAGTTTGAGTAGTGGAACCCAAAAAGCTTGCATCACACATGTTCATGATAAGCATGTTCGACATCTTGTTCAGTCAAAATGTTGCTGTGAAAAAAATTTAATTATTCTTACTTTTTTTCTGTGGACTGTGATGAACAGCTTGCAATATGGCCAAAATACATCTTGTTGTTTTTTCCAAATTACGGACAGCACCATTAATTTTCTATTTGAACAACCATAAGAGGGTAAAGGGGTTTGTTGGCTAGTTCATGAATCATGACTAGTTAAGTGGAATGATAATTACAAACTTTATATGTATTAAATCATTGACAATCCAAAAGACTTTCGGATTATCTATGATTAAATCTATCGAACCGTTGCAAAGTTGAAATAGCCAACTTGAACACCAATGATCATTAATGGTAATTATCCACATTACGCACCTCGCGAACATCTTGGTCTTTATCGAGATAAGATTGGAAAGAAGAAAACAATGTAAGAAACTCTCTTTTACGAAGTTCCTCCATTTTCACTTTGGACTTTGAACTCATACAATCCAAACCATTCAGATACAGACACTGAGCTATATAATAATCCTGGAGGACTTGATCCTCCAAATGTTTGGCAAGAAACATGGCATGGCGGATCCTTCGTGCTGTCGCTAGATATGCAAAAAATTTAAATGACATGTATATAGCCGAAGGTTCAGTGAAATATTTCTATGACATAGTATATAACCGAAGCCCGAAGGTGAAGTGAATATATTTGTATAGGGTTGTATACAAATATGAATCACCGAGCCTGAGGCGACTAATTGTTTTAGTATAAATTTCGAGGTGTTTACAAATAATAATCGCCATAATCTGTCAATTTTTTTTTACTCGTGTCAAAAAATATTTTTTCTTCCGGTTAATTCTTTTTCTTGTGTCCAAATTTTTCCTGTCAATTTTTTTTTCTTTCTCTGGTGAATTTCAAAATTTTAGGCAAATCGGCAACGGGGGACCAAAAGAAAAATCCTGATTTCCGTCAATTTTTTGAAATTTCAAAATTCGGTTCAAAACACCTCGAAATGGTTTAAAACTAAGTAAAATTGCATTCTTTGATGAAACAAAAACATTGAACACCAAAAATCAAACTTTGGTTAATTTCAAAATTTCAGGCAAATCGGCAACGGGAGACCTGAAAGGAAAAATCCTGATTTTCGTCAATACTTTGAAATTTAAAAATTCGGTTCAAACTTCCTCGAAATGGTTGAGAACTAAACAGAATTATATTCTTTCATGAAACAAAAACATCGAACACCAAAAATCGTACTTTGGTGAATTTCAAAATTTTAGGCAAGTCCGGTAACCGGGGATCAAACGAAACATCCTGATTTTCGTCAATTTTTTGAAATTTTGAAATTCGGTTCAAAACACCTCGAAATGGTTTAGAACTAAGTAAAATTGCATTCTTTTATGAAATGCTCCGTATTCAATGATCAAACACCATACTGCCTTTCTTTGTCAATCGAAAATACACCAAAATTCCTTTCGGAAGTGCCCCATAACTCATGATGAATAACATCTGCATCGTTCTAAAGAAGTTCAAGTTGCTTGCTCTGGAACAATATTTGAATCTTCCCTATAACTCACAGTTAAAAATACTCTAAAATTCCAGTCGGAAGTGCTCCATAATCAATGCTCAAACACCATACTGCCTTTCTTTGTCAATCGAAAATACACCAAAATTCCTTTCGGAAGTGCCCCATAACTCATGATGAATAACATCTGCATCGTTCTAAAGAAGTTCAAGTTGCTTGCTCTGGAACAATATTTGAATCTTCCCTATAACTCACAGTTAAAAACTCTAAAATTCCAGTCGGAAGTGCTCCATAATCAATGCTCAAACACCATACTGCCTTTCTTTGTCAATCGAAAATACACCAAAATTCCTTCGGTTCAAAACACCTCGAAATGGTTTAGAACTAAGTAAAATTGCACTCTTTCATCAAACAAAAACATTTGAACACAAAAAAATCATACTTTGGTGAACTTCAAAATTTTGGGAATATATCGGTAACGGGGACCCGAAGAAGAAACCTGATTTTCATCAATATTTTAAAATTTTAAAATTCGGTTCAAAATACCTCGAAATGGTTTAGAACTAAGTAAAATTACATTCTTTCATAAAAAAAAACATTTGAACACAAAAAATCATACTTTGGTGAATTTCAAAATTTCGGGCAAATCAGTAACGGGGGACAAAAGGAAACATCCTGATTTTCGTCAATTGTTTGAAATTTTAAAATTCGTTTTAAACTACCTCGAAATGGTTTACAACTAAGTAAAATTGCATTCTTTGATGAAACAAAACATTTGAACACAAAAAATCGTACTTTGGTGAATTTCAAAATTTTAGGCAAATCCGGTAACGGGGGACCAAAGGAAACATCCTGATTTTCGTCAATTTTTTGAAATTTCAAAATTTGGTTCAAAACACCTCGAAATGGTTTAGAACTAAGTAAAATTGCACTCTTTCATCAAACAAAAACATTTGAACACAAAAAATCATACTTTGGTGAACTTCAAAATTTTAGGAATATATCGGTAACGGGGGGCCGAAGGCGAAACCTGATTTTCATCAATTTTTTAAAATTTTAAAATTCGGTTCAAAATACCTCGAAATGGCTTAGAACTAAGTAAAATTATATTCTTTCATCAAACAAAAAAAAATTTGAACACCAAAAATCATACTTTGGTGAATTTCAAAATTTCGGGCAAATCAGTAACGGGGGACCAAAGGAAACATCCTGATGTTTGTCAATTTTTGAAATTTCAAAATTCGGTTCAAAACACCTCGAAATGGTTTAGAACTAAAATTGCATTTCTTTGATGAAACAAAAACATTGAACACCAAAAATCAAACTTTGGTGAATTTCAAAATTTTAGGCATATCAGCAAGGGGGGACCAAAGGAAAAATCCTGATTTTCGTCAATTTTTTGAAATTTCAAAATTCGTTTCAAACTACCTCGAAATGGTTTAGAACTAAGTAAAATTGCATTCTTTGATGAAACAAAACATTTGAACACAAAAATCTTTTCAAAATTTTAGGAAAATCCGGTACCGGGGGACCAAAGGAAACATCCTGATTTTCGTCAATTTTTTGAAATTTTAAAATTCAGTTCAAAACACCTCGAAATGGTTTAGAACTAAGTAAAATTGCATTCTTTGATGAAATGCTCCATAATCAATGATCAAACACCATACTGCCTTTCTTTGTCAATCGAAAATACACCAAATTCCTTTCGGAAGTGCCCCATAACTCATGATGAATAACATCTGCATCGTTCCAAAAAGTTCAAGTTGCTTGCTCTGGAACAATATTTGAATCTTCCCTATAACTCACAGTTAAAAATACTCTAAAATTCCAGTCGGAAGTGCTCCATAATCAATGCTCAAACACCATACTGCCTTTCTTTGTCAATCGAAAATACACCAAAATTCCTTCGGTTCAGAACACCTGGAAATGGTTTAGAACTAAGTAAAATTACATTCTTTCATCAAAAAAAAACATTTGAACACAAAAAAATCATACTTTTGGTGAATTTCAAAATTTCGGGCAAATCAGTAACGGGGGACCAAAGGAAACATCCTGATTTTCGTCAATTGTTTGAAATTTCAAAATTCGTTTCAAACTACCTCGAAATGGTTTACAACTAAGTAAAATTGCATTCTTTGATGAAACAAAACATTTGAACACAAAAAATCGTACTTTGGTGAATTTCAAAATTTTAGGCAAATCGGTAATAACGGGGGACCAAAGGAAACATCCTGATTTTCGTCAATTTTTTGAAATTTCAAAATTTGGTTCAAAACACCTCGAAATGGTTTAGAACTAAGTAAAATTGCACTCTTTCATCAAACAAAAACATTTGAACACAAAAAATCATACTTTGGTGAACTTCAAAATTTCAGGAATATATCGGTAACGGGGGGCCGAAGGAGAAACCTGATTTTCATCAATTTTTTAAAATTTTAAAATTCGGTTCAAAATACCTCGAAATGGCTTAGAAGTAAGTAAAATTATATTCTTTCATCAAAAAAAACATTTGAACACCAATAATCATACTTTGGTGAATTTCAAAATTTCGGGCAAATCAGTAACGGGGGACCAAAGGAAACATCCTGATGTTTGTCAATTTTTGAAATTTCAAAATTCGGTTCAAAACACCTCGAAATGGTTTAGAACTAAGTAAAATTGCATTCTTTGATGAAACAAAAACATTGAACACCAAAAATCAAACTTTGGTGAATTTCAAAATTTTAGGCATATCAGCAAGGGGGGACCAAAGGAAAAATCCTGATTTTCGTCAATTTTTTGAAATTTCAAAATTCGTTTCAAACTACCTCGAAATGGTTTAGAACTAAGTAAAATTGCATTCTTTGATGAAACAAAACATTTGAACACAAAAAATCGTAATTTCAAAATTTTAGGAAAATCCGGTACCGGGGGACCAAAGGAAACATCCTGATTTTCGTCAATTTTTTGAAATTTTAAAATTCAGTTCAAAACACCTCGAAATGGTTTAGAACTAAGTAAAATTGCATTCTTTGATGAAATGCTCCATAATCAATGATCAAACACCATACTGCCTTTCTTTGTCAATCGAAAATACACCAAAATTCCTTTCGGAAGTGCCCCATAACTCATGATGAATAACATCTGCATCGTTCCAAAGAAGTTCAAGTTGCTTGCTCTGGAACAATATTTGAATCTTCCCTATAACTCACAGTTAAAAATACTCTAAAATTCCAGTCGGAAGTGCTCCATAATCAATGCTCAAATACCATACTGCCTTTCTTTGTCAATCGAAAATACACCAAAATTCCTTCGGTTCAAAACACCTGGAAATGGTTTAGAACTAAGTAAAATTGCACTCTTTCATCAAACAAAAACATTTGAACACAAAAAAATCATACTTTGGTGAACTTCAAAATTTTGGGAATATATCGGTAACGGGGACCCGAAGAAGAAACCTGATTTTCATCAATATTTTAAAATTTTAAAATTCGGTTCAAAATACCTCGAAATGGTTTAGAACTAGGTAAAATTACATTCTTTCATAAAAAAAAAAACATTTGAACACAAAAAATCATACTTTGGTGAATTTCAAAATTTCGGGCAAATCAGTAACGGGGGACCAAAGGAAACATCCTGATTTTCGTCAATTGTTTGAAATTTCAAAATTCGTTTCAAACTACCTCGAAATGGTTTACAACTAAGTAAAATTGCATTCTTTGATGAAACAAAACATTTGAACACAAAAAATCGTACTTTGGTGAATTTCAAAATTTTAGGCAAATCGGTAATAACGGGGGACCAAAGGAAACATCCTGATTTTCGTCAATTTTTTGAACTTTCAAAATTTGGTTCAAAACACCTCGAAATGGTTTAGAACTAAGTAAAATTGCACTCTTTCATCAAACAAAAACATTTGAACACCAAAAATCATACTTTGGTGAATTTCAAAATTTCGGGCAAATCAGTAACGGGGGACC